TTAGTAAAAAAAATACTAAACTTATAATAAATTTATTAAAGATAAAATAAATTAATATAAATATTAATTTCTAAATTTAGGTTTCTAAAAATTTTTTCTAGAATTTCTAAAATCTTAATATAATTACTTAATTTATAGATTCTATTTTAAATATATAATAAGATTTAGATATATAAAATTCCTTTAAAATAATTAATTATATAAACTATTTTATTATTTAAGATTAAGAAATAATTAAGATTTATAGTTATTTTTTAATAAATTTAAGAAGTAAAGTATCTTAAGTTATTTTATTAATTATTAAACTTATTAGGATTAGGAAGTTATTTAGAGATTTAGATAGTAAGAATAGATATAATAAAAGTAATAGTAATAATAAGGGGGATAGTAATATTAATATCTTTTTTAAAAAAAAATAATAATTAAAAAAATATATTATTTTAAGTAAGTATTTTAAATAATTTTTATTAAATTTTTTTAACTTATATCTTCTAGTACTTAATTATACTATTTTTTTATTAAATATAATTAAAAAAGTTAGTAATAATAAAATATAGAATAAATAATTTATAAAGTTCTTTTATAATAATAGTAAAGAACTAGTATATCTTAATAATATATTATTTTAATTTATTAAAAGTATTATATAAGAGGGTTTTTATATCTTTAAATAATATAAGTAATAAGGTAGGTATAATAATAATAATTAATTTCTAGTAAAGAGGAGCTATATAATATTAGGGAATAGAATTAAATTTAGATATTTATTAACTAGAAGCTAACTAGATAAAATAGTAGAATAATAGGTATTAAATAATAGATAGGATATAGCTTAAAGAGCTATAACAGGATTAAGGATAATATAGCTTAAATATAGGAATAAGGGTGGACAGTCAAGGCAGAATCTAACTAGATAGGTACTACAGCTTCGCGCTGTGACAAATACTAGGTATTTACTACTAAGGAGATATTAAAATTAATTAAACTTAATTAACTATATTCTAGGATTAATTAATATTTTTTTTTTTCTAAATTTATTATATAATATTTTATATTAAATTCTCTAGTTTTATTAAGACTATTTATAATTTAGCTCTTTATTTAGAATCTTATATAATATAATACTATTAAGTTATTAATAAAATATATAGGTTACTTTATTTTTATTTTATTAAAATTTATTCCTTCTTTAATTAAGAAATAATAAAAAATAAAGTCCTTATTTATTCTAGTATTTATAAGTACCTTTATTATAACCTATTTCTTATTTACTAGAATAATTATAATAATTAAAAAAAATCTTATTAATATCTCTTTATTTTATTAGAGTACTAGAAATTTTAAAATATTTAATTATTATTAGTCCTAATTCTTTAATTTTTTTATTTCTTTAATACCTTTTCTATACTAGAGGTATTTTCTTATAATATAACTAGTTTAATTATATTAATAATATTAATCTTTTTTTTATTAATTCTAGTAATTTTACTACTTTTCTTTTAATTCTTTTTATTAAAATTTATTTAATTAAAGATTTATTATTTTACTATTATCTTTTTTTCTTTTTTTTAAGTTATTCTTTAATATATAAGATCCTAAAAGTTAATTTAATTATATTTTATTTAATTTTTCCTACTTTTTTTATTTTTAAAGTTTCTTATATCTTACTTCTAGTTTAATAATTTTAGCTAGACTTTATAATATTATTATATCTTGCTAGATTTCCTTGCATAATTTAGATCAGGTTATTTAAATAGCTAGCTAGTAAAGGAATTTTTTAAGATTAGCTTTAATTATTAGAATAAACTTCTCTATCTAGGTTATTAAGATTTATATACTCTATTATAGTTCTTATCTTATATATAGGAACTAGTAAGCTACTATTTACTTATAATTTCTTTTTAATTTTAAAAAATTTTATAAGAATTTAATAAATTTTATATAAATAAATTCTTTAGGATTTACTCTATACTTAGAATATTATACTTATTTTATATTATTTTTTAAATAATCTATAATATAATAAATTTTAATTATATTATTCTTATAAAATTTCTTCTATAATTTAAAATAATTTTAAAAATTTTTTAAAAAAATATTAAGTTTTTTTAAGTTTTATATTTTAAAGAACTTAAATTTAGGTATTTTTTCTTTACTTATTTATATAATTTATACTATATATTAAACTATATATTATAACTTATTATCTTCTATTAATTTAATAAGTTAATACTAGAAAGTTACTAGTACTATTAAACCTTCCTTAATAATAGTTTCTAGAATTATAATTATAGATTTTATAAAATTTAGATTTATTATTTTTTAGAAAAAGGAATAAATAATCCTTCTTATACTTATTATATTACTTTACTTAATTAAAAAAGTACTTTAAATTATAAGTATCTTGCTAGTAAGGTACTTAAATATAGGTAGTATTAGTAAAGGAAGTTAAGCTATATAGAGTATAAGAATAATAAGAAGATATTAGAAGTAATAAAATAAAGTACTTACTTCTTAGTATTTTAGAAGTTATTATATTATTATTTATATTACTTAATTAAGTTACTAGCATAATATAGATAACTTAAATATTGCTATTCTCTTAATTACCCTTAGTTACTGGGCATGTGGTTCGGCATGTGGTTCAGCATGTGGTTGCATGTCACGTGGTCGCCGTGACATATTAGATATTTTAAAAAAACTAAAATATATAAATTAATATTATATAAATATTTCTAGTCTAGAATTTATAAATATATTAATTAATAAGTCTAGAATTATTATTTTTACTATTAAATTATTCTTTCTTAAGAAATAAAGTAAGAAATATTAAGATCTTTACTAATTTTTAAATATATCTAGCAAGATATAAGTATAGACTTTATTATATATTTATTACTAAGTAATAGCTATAATATTATTCTAGTTATAATTAATTATTTAATAAAGATAAAGTACTTTCTCTCCTATATTAGAATAATTAATATTAAAGAAGTAATTAATCTATATCTTAAATATATCTAGAAATTCTATAATATTCTTAAAATAATTATATTAGATTATAGAATCTAATTTATTATTATCTTCTAAAAATACTTAATATCTTGCCTGAAAATTTATAACTTATTATTTATTATTTATTATTTTAAAACTAATAATTAAATTAAATATATTAATATTATTTTAGAATAATATTTATAAGTATATATATTATATTTATAAGATAATTAATTTAAATAATTACTAATAATTAAATTTATTACTAATTTTATTTATTCTAAATCTATAGAAATATTATTATTTATAGCTAATTATAGATTTTATTTAATATTAAAATTTAAATTAAGTTACTTTATTATCTACTTTATTAAGAAAAATATTAAGAAATTTATTAATATTATATATAAAATTTATAAATTTATTTATATTAAGATTTTATTTACTTAAGCTTATTATAAAATATAAATTAATTACTAAAAATAATCTATATATTATTATATTATAAAGTAAGAAATCTAGCTAGATATCTATAATATTTAAATACTTTACTTATAAAAAAAATTAAATTAGAAAAATTTTAAACTATATTATATTAAGAAAATTATTAATTTATATATTTATAAATTTAAATTATTTAAAAATATAAAAATTTATTTTATATTTAATATATTTTTACTTTATCTTACTATTAATAACTCTTTATTTAATTAATATTTTAATCTATTATTACTTATTAAAATAGAAGAATTAAAAGAATAAGAAATTAAAAAAATTCTTAATTTTTAATAAATTTATTAAGATTATAGTAAATCTAAATTATAATATATTATTAAATAAATTAAATATAATAAACTAACTAAAGAGCCTATTAAATATTTAGAAAATACTTATTAATTAATAAATAATTATTATTTCTATTATTCTAAGAAGCCCTAACTAATTCTTTCCTAGTTTTAATAGAGCTTAATCCTAAGGAGGGGGATATTATTATAGTATAAAACTATAGTACTTATTTAATTAGATTTTACTTTAATTATTTATTCTTATTCTTATATTTAAGCTATATTATTCTTAATCTTATTATAGCTCTTTAAGCTATATCCTGTCTATTACCTAATATCTACTATTCTGTGGTTCTGTCTAGTTAGCTCCTAGTTAATGAATATCTGAATCCGACTCTGCTCCCTGACAATAGTAGAATAATAGGTATCAGGTAATAAATAGGATATAACTTAAAGAGCTATAACAGGATCAAGGATAATATAGCTTAAATACAGGAATAAAGGTGGATAGTCAAGGCAGAATCTAACTAGATAGGTACTATGGCTTCGCGCCGTGACACTAGTATTTTAATAAGAAATCCTTTCTTATTTATATTATAGATATTCTCTAGCTATAGTTTATATTACTATATTTTCTAGCTTAATAATTTAAAATATAGAATATATTTATATATAAAATTAACTTATTTTTATATAATATTAATAATTATTATATAGGTTAAAATAAGATTATCTTAATAATACTTTATAAAGTATTTAAGCTAGTATTTTCTAGATTTCTTACTAGTAATTTTTTTTATAAAATTCTAAAATATTTTATAAAATATAAAGAGACCTTACTTAATAAGCTTATTAATATAGTTTATTAATTCTTTTTTATATTAATTAATAAGAACTTGCTATTACTTATATTAGTAATTTTTAAGATACTATATTCTATAATAGTATCTTAATAATATTATCTAATTAATACCAAACTCTTTTATAATCTTAATATAATTAATTAAATTATTAATCTTTAACAAGTTAATTACTTCTATTATAGCTTTAATTAAATCTATATTAATTAAGATATAAGTTATTAAAAATTATTAAAAAAATAGTCAGTGAGGGGAAATCAGGTGTCAGGTGGGACTGGGCATCAGGTGATCACTAACTGTATTGATCATTAACAACATGGGCATCAACTGACCGTATTTAGATCACCGGGAAGATACGAATAGCAACTTGTAATAAGAACCTTGAGGACTTCCAAACTAAACCTGAAATCACCATATTACTTGTCAGTCTTCATACTGGAGGCCTTGGACTTGATATGACGGTAGCGAATAAATGTATCCTTGTTGACCTGTGGTGGAACGAGGCCGTTCAAAACCAGGCCTTCTGTCGCCTTATTCGCCATGGACAGACTCGCGCGGTGGAGTGTGTCAAAATTATCGTGGAAGAATCCATGGATGAATACATGCTCGAACTGCAAGGCAAGAAATCGGAGGAAATCACAAGCACCATGGGCGAAGACGTTTTGAAGGAAAGAGACACTATCATCAATCTTATTAAGATGTTTGCAGTCATCGTGGAGGATGAAGAAGGCCGCATTACTGTGAAGCCTAAGCGTAAGCGGGGGAAAAACCAGATGAAAGGTGGTATTCTATCCGATGCTAAGATGATATAGGATTTGAAGGCTAGAGGTGTCATCTATGGCTTTTCTTTTCAGTTTGGATACACGAGGAGGAGGATCTCATGATCTATGATAAGCACAAGAAGGGTTGATGGGTTGTTGTTGTTGTTGTTGTTGTTGTATTGCTTAACACCACATGGCATCCTCGGGCGTGAGCCCGAGGCTCCTGACCTCCCTAGGGGTATAGGGGTGTGCTAAGCTAGTAGGTGTATCTATCTACCTATCTATTTAAGTAAATATAATATATATTTTTGCTATTCTAGAAGGTAATTCTAGTATAAGTAGGGGCCTCTACCTTTATATAGGGAGGGGAGGTCTTTATCCTTATATTATCCTAATATATGGCCACTACTATAGGGAAATCTCTATTAGGGGCTGCTAGGGCTATTCTAGGTATTTTTAGGTACTAGGCCCTTCTTTATATATAAGAATATAGAGTAAGACTAGTTAGTCTAGAAAGAAGGACTTAATATAATAAGAATAAAAAAGAGGATTAGAAAGTATAAATATTAGTTTAATATTTATTAAAGAAGATTATAAGACTCTAGACCTTATATTTTACTTTATTCTAGATTAGCCTTTAACTTAAGATATCTTAGTCCTAGATTATTCTAATATAGATATATATCTTTATAAAACTCTATAATAACTAGGAGTATAATAAAGTTTTTAAGTTTTAATTATTTTAGATACCTAATTACCTTATATTTAATTATTAGGGACTATAAAGATTATTAGGGCTACTAGGTAAAGAGCTACTTACTATAATAATAAAGGACTAGATATTTAGAGCTCTTATTCTTATTATAAGAATATATAAGTTAAATATTTTTATATTAGAAATATTTATAGTACTAGCTAAAGTTCTTATATAAGAATCTAATTATTAGCTAGTAATAGAGATCTAGGTACTAAAGGTATAATTTTAAAAATAAGGCTACTTTATATATTTTTATCTTATTTATCTATTATTACTAGTATTAGCTTAATAATTTTAGAAATACTTTTACCTATTAATTAGTTTATATCTCTTAATAAAGTTAGCAACCTATTATTCTAATTTTACTAGTAGTAGGCATGACCTCTAAGGAACCCTATTCCAGGCCCCTAGCCTTAAAAAAGACCCCTTAACTAGCTAGTTAATTTATTCTTTTATTATCTTTAATCCCTTTATAGCCTAGAGCCTAGTAGAGCTCTATCTTATATTACTTAATTAAATAATATAGTACTTAAAAAGTTTAATAAAAGGAGATTATAGTCTCCCCCCTACTATATTATATTATTAAGGTATTATTTATATATAGCTAGTAATAACTAGTATCTAATAACTTCTTAATAATTATCTCTAGGCCCTAAAGAGCCCCTATAGTCTTTATATTAAATATATATAATTATAAATTAATAACTATTTTTTTATATATAACTTTCTTATATCTACTATATATTATATATCTATAACCTATATAATACTAGCCCTAGTAGTTTCTCTTAAACCTATTACTAAAAATAATTATATTTTCTACTAGTAATATTTCTTATTATATTTTAAAGACTTTTACTACCTCCTTCTTTCTAATCTCCCTTATAGAATCTATTATATATCCTAGAGTATAATATAGTTAGTTTAGGGTTAGCTAGAGAATAGCTAGAAGGAGGGCCCTTATTATCTAGAGCTTAATTTTTAGTCTTTAAAGCAAGCCTATCTTATAGTCTCTTTATATATATAGGGGCTTAATCTTTCTAATTAAAGAATTATTCTTATTTACTAGTTAAAGATAAAGTATAAACTACAGGCATGCTTTTTTTAGGGTTATTATTACTAATAGTAGGCTAGTATCTCTAAAGAGGGTTACTATTAATATAATCTTGAAGACTAGGAGAATCTTTCTAATAATTAGAGTTAAGATCTTCTCTAGTATATTTACATGCTAGTCTAAATAAATATTAATCTTTATATTTTAAATATACTATCCTAACTTTATATAGCCCTTATATTATGCTTTTATACTATAGAGTATGCTAGATAAAATATAAATAATAATTACTTTCTATAGTAAGGCTACTAGTAGGCTATAAATTATTCTTACTAGATTTTATATATATTACATTATTATCCTTATTTTAGTTATTTTTTTTACTATATACCTTCTCTAGGAGAGCTACCTATTAAAATAAATCCCTAGCTATCTAAGTACTAGTTACTTTTATTCTAGTACCTCTATAATAAGCTATATTATTAAATAATTATTAATTTTTAGACTAGATATCTTATTATATTATTTTCTTATAATATAGATTATCTCTAGCTTTTCTAATATAAAGGCTATTTTATTTTAGTTACTCTAGACTAGTACCCTCTAGATATTTACTTCTAGTTACTTATAATTATCTTCTAGTATCTAAATAATATAGCTTAGGTAGAGATTATCTATATACCTAAAGTAGAGAGTTATATCTTATAGGAGTAGTTTTATTATATAGAATAAAAAAAGAATTAGAAATAAAGGTAAGTCCTATAATATTTTATAGAATACTAGATTTACTTTAATTAGTATTATTTCTAACTAGATCCTAGCTAGCCTGCTAGTTAGGAAGCTATTAATAAGAATAACTAGGATCTAGAGCTATTCCTACTCTACTATTTATTTTAGTAGCCTATATTATAAGAGAGTATTAAAGATTCCTAGTATATTTATTATAATTATAGTTACCTCCTTATTTTAGATAAGGGCTATTTTAATATTATATATATAAGCTATAACTAGATTTATAGTAAAATACTAGAAAAGTATACTATATTATTATAGGCTTAGAACTCTATATATAAATATTATATATATAATTTTCTAAATAACTATTCTTTTCAAGCCTTTACTAATTATTAATAGCAGGGTAATTAATCTCTAGAATCTAGGGAAGATCTTATCTTACTTATTTATTTTAAAAAATATAACTACCTCTACTACCTTTTATAATACTAGGAAGTAGCTTAGCTACAGGTACTTATTATATAATTTATATATTATCTTATTTATATACTTCTAGCAGGCTTTAAGAACCTATACTATAACTATATCTATTTTAAGAAAGATATTATTTATCTTAATTATATTCTTTTTTACCTTCTGTTCTAATATCCTCTCTCCTTAGGGGAGGTACTTATCTCTAATCTAGTAGGCTTTTGCTATAAGGTTAAACCCTAAGTTATTTACTAAATTAAATTATCTAAAGATAGCCTACTAGAGTATCTTAGCCTTCTTCTAAATATTCTTAATTATATAGCTATTTACCTAGAGAGATAGTATCTTTATCCTTAATTTTAGTTTATACTAGGCTATAACCTAGTAGAGCTCCTTATTATTACTAATCTTATTAATAATGCCTACCTAATATTAGTATTTAGCTCTATAAACTATATTCTAGAAGTATTTTCTTCTCTCTAGACTTAATTCTACTAGCTATCTATTATAGGAATCTATATACTCTATTATCTATTAGGGGGCAGCTCTTTAGCCTAGGTTAGAGAATTTCCTAACTATCTTAATAACTTCCTAAAGTATCTTTCCTAGATTCCCTATATACTAGTCTAGTACTAGATTATCTAGTAAGCCCTCTAGATCTAGAAGACCTATTATCCTATTCTATACTAGTCCTGCTAGTTATTTTAGGTCCCTATTTAGGATCTTAAGTTATTATCTTTCTAAAGATATGGGTATATACCCCAGGACTATAATAATTAATATCTAGTAATCTAAGCTATAATATAGGTCTGGGTGGACCTCTATATATATAAAGGCTATATTAGAGAAGATTAGATCTAGAATATATCTTACTATATAAATAACTATCCCTAGCTCCCCTATATAACCTATTCTATTATTAATTATTTATTATATAAGCTTTTCTCCCCTGTAAAGGTTTTATACCCCTGACTTAAAGATATTATATATAATATTAAAGTTACCCTTTATAATATAATTAGGAATAAGAACTAGTATTATTATATAATCTATTATTTTATATATAATAAATTCTTAATATATATTTAGTACCTAGGTATTATTTACTATTATTTAGAGTAGATCCTAGCTCTTAATTAGCTTATATTACTCTATTCCTAGGCTAGAGTTCTAGTATATATATATAAATATTCTAGATTATTTTTTTATCTATCTTTCCTAGTCTCTCTAGCTATTAACTAGGGAGTAATATTTAAATACTAGATAATTCTATATTTTAATTCCTAAGCCTATCTATAACTCTTATATATAGGCTATAGTATAGCCCTACTTATAGGCTAGTTATAAAATTATAATATAATTTAATATTAATTTACTAATATTAGCCTAGTAAATTATAAGATTTTACTAGTACTAGGCCTGTTTTATATAGTTTTTATTATATCTTATTCTAGGTCTCCCTAATATTAGATATTAAATAATTTATTAGTATTAGTCTTTACTTCTAGAGTCTATATACTTACTACCTACTTAAGGCTTGAAAAAATATAGAGGCTCTAAATAAAGAGCTCTTTTAAATTTATATTACCTATATATATAATAGCCTGGGCTAAATACTATTTTATAATCTAGAAATCCTCTATATCTATATCTAGCTATAGGGGCACTTCTACCACATACTTGCAAGAGTTTAAAAATTAGGCCCTACCTATCTTTATATATAGCTAGGCTATTACTACTATCTAGTTATAAATATTTTAGAAAGTATATATCTTATAATACCTAATATATACTAGATCCTATTTAGATAATTTAATAAGGGAACTATTAATTCTATATAAAATTATAAAGTAGCTTTTATACCCTATCTTAAATAATCTAAAATAATTAGTATAATAAGAAGGGTTACTATAATTTAGCCCTATAAACCTAGTATAGTCCTTAATTAGTATATTATACTAAGTATAGTAGGGCTATCTTATATATCTTAAGGAGTAGTAATATTCTTAATAATTTAAATTATATTATTTTATAGGGGCTTATTTCTTAATAAGTTAGGATTATTAATTATTATTAAATAGAGTAAAGTTCCTAATAGATATTAAAAAGGAGATTATCTAGATTATATACTCTATTTATATATCTAGCCTATATCTTAATAGGTAGTAATTAACTAGCTTTATACTTATTTATACTAGTACTTTATCTACTATTAATATATTTATTTCTAGGCATATACTATTATAGAATATTACTATACTAGATATTTTAAATATTATATAATTATACTACTTCTATAAGATATAGATATTAATTATATCTAATATATTTTTTATAATATTTATTATCTTCTTTATTATTAGAAGGTTCTAAGTAATAAAGTTACTTAGAATAATTACTTACCTAATTCTAGTTAGGTTAATTCTAAATATTATACTAAAAATTATAAGCTCTAGAATATACTTTACTAGGGCTTAATATATTATATAAGTTTTAAGGCATGTAAGAAGGAGCTTTCCTAATAAAGTAATTAGAATTTTATAGTTATCTCTAATATTTATTAATATAGTTAATCTATTTCAGGCTAATTTTATTATAGTAGTAAGAATAGTCCTATTTAAATTAAGTATAAGTTACCTAATATTATATATCCTAGCTAGTATAAGTCCTCCCCTTAAGTTTTTCAGGGTCTACATGGCCCCTCAGGCTATAGACTTGCTAGAGATCTTGCCTAAGGTTATTAATACTATTATAGTTATAGGCTAACTATATATATATATAGGTATATAATTATCTATAATAGTATAATTCTTAATAATAATAAACTAGATAAATCTATTATAGATTATTATTATATAGGCCCTCTTATCCTAACTCTTTTAGATATTAACAAGCTTATCTACTATAATAGCTAGCTTAGCTAGTATCTTATAATATATCTTTGCCTGGCATTCTTCCTTGTCAAGGTAATCCTGAAGGGTCCTTATAATAGAGCCTGGATTAATAGTTAAGGTACTAGTACCTTTATAGACTAGAGAAGGTATATAAAGAATACTCTTTTCTTACTATCTCTTTATAGTATATAGGTTAGAGGGGGATAAGGGTTCCTATAGCTATATAAAATTGGCTATATCTATACCTTTAGGTAGGTAGTTAAGGGTTAGTATCTCTATCTTAACTTGCCACGCATTAAAACATGGTTAGAGAAGGGGAAGAGGGGCAGAATATATAATAATAAGTCCAAAATATATATATTACTGGGTTTTATAGTAATTTAGGCCCTTCTTCAAAGGTATCCCTGGGTTGCTGAGTGTTGTAAAGGTGGGTTGATGGGTCATAGGATTGGGGAAGGCAGATTTTGGAGTCAGCCCTAACAAAAGAGAGGGCTATGGCGGACATTTATTATTATCTTAAGATCATGATCCCATTAGCTATTCTGAAATATAAACATTCCCATCCGGGTAGCTAATCAATGAAACATTATGTTCTGTGTAATTGCTTACTTTTTCGAGACTTGAGGTTGTTGATTGCTGCTGTCTTTTACATCATATAGATATTTCCTAAGTAGGAATAGTACACTTGCACGATGTCACATGGCCGGCTCCTCGAAATTGAACCATCGCGTTTTCTCACCGCGACTCTTATCTTCCTCAAGCACTTACCATCAAGCTTCATCCAGACACTTTATCACCTAGATTGATCAGGTTGCTCGAAGCCTCTGAACGTCATGGCGGCAAATGCCAGATATGAGCCAGCTCCTCAGCGGGACTCCTTAGAGGACCGGGAATACACCCAGCCCCCGCCTTCTTATCAGGCAACCGCAGAGGAACCTCGTACTGAGGACGACAATGTTCCAGACGACTTCAAGGTACGTTCCCCCCTTTGGGGTCAAGTTGCGACTATTCCCTTGCCTTGCCTGTAAGACGGATGTTGACTTGAGTTACAGTTCGGCGGTACTGTTGCGGAGGCCACGCTGCCTATCCGTATGCAGTTTATCCGCAAAGTATACGCCATTCTGTAAGTGCACTGGCAGCGTTGGGAAAACCAGCAAGAACCACAGTCTAACATGCCATTAATACCTACAGTACCGTCCAGCTCCTCCTCACAACTGTTATGAGCACCATATCCTTCTTCAGCGATAGCTATCGACACTGGATTCAGTCAAACTTCTGGCTGATGATGGTCTCCGTCTTCGGGGCTCTCGGGTTCCTCTTCGTCACCTACTGGAAGCGCAAGAGCTACCCGGCCAACCTCCTGTTCCTCTCTGCATTCACCATCCTCGAAGCCTACTCTATTAGCGTGGTGACTTCATTTTACGATGCCCGCATCGTTGTACAAGCTCTCATCCTGACTCTCGGCATCTTCGTCGCCCTCACTCTGTTTGCATGCCAAACCAAGTATGACTTCACCAACTGGATGCCCTACCTCTTCGGCGCGCTTTGGTTCTTGATTCTCTTTGGATTCGTGTCCTTCATGCTTCCCTTCAACAGCACCGTGGAGCTCATCTACGGCGGTATCGCTGCCCTTATCTTCTCCGGCTATATCCTGGTTGACACTCAGCTTGTCATGCGCCACTACCACGTCGAGGAGGAGATCGCCGCCTCTATCTCGCTCTACCTGGACATTCTTAACCTGTTCCTGGCTATTCTGCGCATCCTCAACAGCCAGAGCAATAACTAAAGCTATCGTCTCCAAGTCGGGGGGTATCCGCTAACCTATAAGGGAGGGTAAATCGGCGACAAAGTAAAAGATATATATCGCAGACTGACTGACCCAGCTCTTGTGTTTTTTTTTTTTTTTTTTTGCCCACTCTCTTTGAACACTCAGAGTGACTTGTATTAACGCCTGCCCAACCCAGCTTTCTTCTACCTTCGATTATCAAGATGGAGGATCTGTATCTCGTAGTTTTGAATTTCAAGAAATCAATCAATCATCTTTCCCTCAATATTTATCTAAGCCCTAGTCTAGTTCTTTTAAGGTATGACGAATCCATGCCGTAGATTTTTTTTTTTTTTTTGAAAGAAAGAGAGAAAGAAAGAAATAAAGGCATCATCTAGGTATACTCTTGGTAAGCCTAACTAGTTAACTAGTTAACTAGTTAATCTAATAAATAAAAATAGAACCACAAAAAGAATAACGTCCAATTAACTAGTGCAAAAAGAAAGAAGAAACAAAAAAAAAAAAAAAGAAAACAATAAGAAAGAAATATTCTGTATCCCAAGAATATCAAACTGTTCAAAATCATCACTAATAGCGTGGCATGATTCCTGAACGCCTTTACAATGGTATAAGCTGATATAAAGGGCTGATGATGCTCTATAAAAAAAATCCGAGGAAGGAAGAAGAAAGAAATAAAACGGAGAAGAGACGAGAAAGGTGATCAAAGAAAGGATAATCCTGAAGAAGGTGATATAATAAAGGGAGAGTAAAAAAAAAAAAAGAAAAAAAAAGAAAAAAAAAGGAAAAAAAAGGAACGAGAGTATGGTAATAAGACGATTTTTCATGATGGTGCGAGAATCGTATCAGGTATCAGGAGCCAAAAGTTGGATTCATTAATGGGAAGCGAGGAATAGAGAATTGGTGATTAGGCATACGACCATCACAATGACTCCATAGATGACTAGACACAGACTCAACTTCCGGATTAGGTCTCTACGCCATGCACGCGTGTGACGACGCAAGAGACCGCTCTCGGTGAGAGGACGAGTCTGGCTGCTGCCGCCGTTAATCTCGTCGTCGCTGTTCTCAGAGAGCAAGCCATCTTCTGCCTCGTCATCTTCCTTCATAAGACGCTGGTGTGCTGGCGAATCTGGCGCAGAAATTTTGTAATAAAAGATACCGGGAAGAATGAAGCTGATGCTGGTGCTTCCAGTGCTACCAACGTAGGCTAGAACAGCCTCTAGAGAGGAGACAGTCATAGCGACGATATAGCTCAGAATGAGAATCGATGTGGTTATGACAGAGAAACGGAGGTCACTCATGGGCTCTGGTGATCGGGTTCCCCGTGGGCCTAAAAGGGGATGTCGATGGGAGCTTTCGTTGCCACTTGGGGAGGGCTTGGGCCTCCAGCGCAGCACTGCATCGACCGAGGCCCTGCACGGATGGCATTGGAGGGGGTACGAAAACATGACGAGAATAACGATCGCGGCTCGGCCAATGGTGGCCCATACTCCTGGAGGGTACATGCCCACGATATTTCCACCGACACTGTTTCCGAAAGATAGGTAGCCGGTGATCGCAACGAGGATGTAGGTCGTAGCAGAGCTTCCAATACTGGCGAGCACAACAGCGGTTGTTCTAAAGTGACTATTATTGCCGATTTCATTCAAAATCGAGAACATCTGCGCGTCGGGTATTAGTAACTATTATTGTCGCTGCTGTGGTGACAAATAGGAGGATCTCACATTCTGATGGCATGTAAACGCAAAAACGATTACTGGGAAACTGCTGAGAGTGGGAACGGCGCCTGCCCAGTGAATCACCCGAATCGGGCCTCGATCAGCTTGAGTATCGCCTTTGATGAAGTGATAGACAACCAAGATCACCAAGTAGCCCATAGAAATCAAGGCTGCGATGCTGGTATACTTCAGGGAATCAAGGCGCCGCAGGTAGGAGAGCGGGATGATAATAAGCCTGTCCGCAGTCAGCACCCACGGCGTTTTGCACTTTCAGACACCGCATATTCATACATGAAAGCTGTCACCCAAAAATGACGATCCACCAAAAAGTCGTATTCTGTCTCTCCTCCCACGAAGCCTTGAACGACCCCTGGCATCAAATCCCCAATGATAATCAGGTAGCTAACGCCGACACCAAAACATTTGATCGCAATCGCGGCATCGAAAATCACGGCGGCGTTGGGATATGTGAGCTGTGAGAGGGCAAAGAAGGATGCAGAACCTCGCTCAAGATACTGCGCACATAGGGATTGGAGGTAAAGACCAAACCCAGCTGTTAACCCCGACCATAGAATAACGAAGATACCGAGGACGATTCCCATATGCGAAATGGCAAGAGGCATGGCAAGAACTCCGGCACCGATGACTGAGTTAAACCACCAATCCGTTAGAATGACCAAATTCCATGTCAAATACCCACTGGGTAGATTACTTACTCGTATTGACAAGATTAATCACACAACTCAGCCAACTTGCTTGTCCTCCAAAACTTTGCTTGCCTCTGGCTCCTCGTCTAGAACAGAACGGTTTCAGTCAGCCATCACACATAACCCCAGAATAGAACAAATTCAATTGAATATACCTTCTAGAGCCCGATCGGATGGCATCAACCGGGCCAACCCCGACGGAAACCTCATCGTCCAACATGTTTGGCGGTGGTGGTGGTGGTAGTAGTAGTGGTGAGTGTGGTGTGGTTGTAGCGGGGAGAAGAAATGCGACCGGAGGCGTTGATAAGGATCGATGGAGAGCGACTCAAGTAGCGACAATGGACGGTCTGGTCTACATAATAATCATACCCATTCCACTCCAACCAGGGAGAGATTATTGATGAAGGGGAGGAGTGAGTGTGGGTGAGACAAGGAAGATAAGACCAGAAAGAAGAATTGGAATTGCAGCTGGCAAGTCTTTAAGACAGGCGGAAGAAGAACAGCCGTCATCAAATTTTAATCTCACACGGTATGCAACCTGGGGACTTGTTTTCTATTTGACAATTATTTCGGTCATGTTTCTCATGGCATTTATTAATTAGTCTGCTCTGCTCTTCTCTACTCAGTCATGGAGGGACCCCCTTTTGTCTTCCCCCAGCCACCCTGATCCAGCATTTCATAAATCTCGTCCTCTACACGGCTGGACATTGACACGGTGTTGCCTGCCCTTCCGTTGGGACCTGGATCATTGAATGGACTCACAGATCTTACTTTCTTGGATACTTCCAAGATAGTTCCTCCACTGATCGGAAATTGCGTCCCGTTGCCCTCAGTGTCGCCAATGATCTCGCTGACCTTTTCCTGCTGGACAAGAGCCAACATCACCGTGGCTACTTCTTCGGGAGTAACCCATTCGTCCGCATCATCCACCATCTTCATCTTCTCAGGGTGATCAGTCCACAGAGGGGTTTTGATCAAGCCAGGAGCTACTGCCGTCACGCGAATACCGGACTTGCCATCGAGCTTGGCCAGGGACCGGACGAAGCCACTAATAGCGTGCTTTGTCGCCACATACATCGGGCTGGCCATAAAGGGCATCTGGGCCGCAATGCTCGCGATATGGATGATATGTTTCCGTTGCTGGGGGTTGGTTCCTTGACGCAGGAAGTGCGAGATGGCAAGTTGGGTCACCCGGATCGGATGGGTCAGGTTGATATCCAGTAAGGCATATCGGCCGCCGTCTGGTGCATCCCGGCTTTCCGGAGTTCCAGGAGGGTACCAAAAGTTACTCCAGTGCTACATTTCGTAAGAAACACTTATGATTAACTATGTCTTGTGTGGTTAGGATGGAGAGGAAACCTACTTCCTCGTAGACACCTGCACCGGGACAAACGATGTCCACCGCACCGAACTCCTTTTCGGCAATGTCGAACATTGCATCTAGTTGCGCCCACACTGTGACGTCTGTTCTCTGGAAGACGGCGCGTGGGGACTTGCTCGAATAGTGGTCGACGACGGCCTGGGCTTCTGGGCGAAGGGCCAGATCGGCTATGAGCACATTGCACCCATTCTCAAGAAGCAGTTTGGCGAAGCTTAGGTTAATCCCTACGTCCCACTGTTAATAGATTTCTGTGGCGTGGTCAGTCAAACAAACGCACCAGATCCAGCTCCGGTCACGACCGCTGATTTCCCTTGCACGGAGAAAGCCATATTGGAAGGATATGTATATATAGAGAGAGAGAGAGAGAGAGAGAGGCCTGTAAACGTGCATCTTTCCCACGAGCTGGGGTTCTTTCCCTCGCTTTATACGCTGTACAGATTGCCGGGTTTGGATTTGCGGGGTAGTGATGGGCCCAGAGAAAGAAAACTAAACTAGAATGTATTTGTTTCTAATTATTCTGTTATTATTAAAAGAGGCCATACTGGAGAGTAGGTAAAGCTGTGCTCTCGGCGGGGGTATCAACAGATTTCTACCTTTAGTGACTCTATCAAGCTTTACAAAAGATGTACAAACCTCTAGATAAAGCTCACGTAATCTAGGCATATCCCGATTTGGGAGCTGGGCATGGATAAAGGAGACACCATGCAGGTTCAACTTGGACAACAGACATGAATGAATCGTAAGGATTACTAGAAATCTTGAGGTATGAACTGGGTGGTTGTGATTAGCTGCTACCTCCTCCGGAGTATAGAGTAAGGTTCCCCTTTTAATTGAGTTGAAACTCTCCATGTAAACGAAGCTGTATAGTAAATACGAAGTAGTGTACAGTAAATCCGCCTTGCCTCGCTATGTAATCATCTATACACCTAGTTAGTTACTTCTCGTATTCATTCGGCGCTCCCCAGTCTCATGACTCACCGCGCCCCGTAAAAGTCAACGTACTGTACATAAACTCAACAGGCAGCCCTAATTACTAGAGTACGGATCGGATAGTTACCTATTCTATTGTAGGTAATCCAGCGCCCGGCATAGCCACAACCGGGCGAAATATAGTAAAAAAGCACTCTGTATAGTATGGTATGTGGTAACTATACTCTGCTTCATGTTCTTTCAAGTTAGGCGAGAGGGCTCATGTGGTATATAAGTTGGATCCATCCTACCGAGTTGGTCTCATTCTTTCTATTCATTCAGTCTCTATCAACCAAACTTATATATAATTCATTCTATCGCTGTTGGTTGACACTGAACCCTGATAAATATTGTATCGTTTCTCCATCTATTCGCCTTGACTTTTGTGTCTACTTTACATCTATATCTATCCATCCATCCACCCATCCACCCATCCGTCCACCTATCGGTATAGATAGATAGATATATAGCAGTACCCTTCCATTCCACCTCAGAATGTGTTTCAACGACTCGCGAAACCGTCAATACGCCGTTCCGTCCCGCCCAGTGGACATCCGATACAACACCCAATCCAACTCTAATATCGGATACGGTCGAAAAGTAAAGAAAGGCAGAAGACGCGGGAACAACTACGCCGACAGCGGGGCATACTATACAGCCGGATATGGTGGTGGAGGAGGAGATAGCGGCGGCGGTGGTGGTGGTCACGGCGGTGGACATGGAGGAGCCAGTGGATGCGGAGGCGGCGGCGGCGGAGGATGCGGAGGAGGAGGTGGAGGAAGCTAAATAAATGAATACGAGATGGAATCGGGCTGAAGTTTATGGTTTCTGGGATGTACACGGCATGGCATTGGCGTTTTGGCTTTGAATCTGGAGGGGGTTGAGCATTGTTCTGCTAAAGAATGAGGCCACATTATATACGAGTGATCATGGATTACGATATGCCCTACTTATACCGTGTCTAATCGGGGGTAGATTTCCGAGATCCCACGGAAAAGCGATGGCTACTAGTAAGACCTATTTATCCGGAGGACAGAATGAGGGATCATACAGAATGCTAACGAGCGGATCTACGGAGAGTTATACTTCATTCAAAGGTGCTTTCTATAAACAACGTGAAGTTTACAACTGGTGGGAAAATCAAAGTAAATACATTTATGAAGTTTTAAGACATTAATACGACCTAACAATATCAAATGAATTCATGCACATCTCTATTTGACCTGAGTTTACCTTGTTTTCCAAAGCATGTCAATTCTCTTCTTTCGGGCCTGCGCAAAGTAAGAATGTTAGTAGGCGATTAAACAAGAATTCGTTGCAGACAAAAGGAGGTAATAATTACCATGGGTGCCAGTATCATAACACCGACAGACAACCCCACAATCGTCATGAGCAGCTGGAGCTTCGAGAATCCCTTGTCTAGCACATCAAAGGCCTGACTGGGGGTGGCTCGCGTCGCGAAGATATCACCTCCAAACGCGAAAACAAGACTCGTACTCTCGAGGAGAGTTGGGGCAGAAAGTACATTCTGGATGCCGGCTACTTGGCGTACGTGGGAGAGGTACCATCTGCCATCGAAGTCGAGGAATGGGATGTACTTCATGAGTCCCTCTTCGGCTTCTGTGGAGGTGGGGTCTCGGCCGATGGGGCGGCGGGGGTCCAGAACGGGGCGGGGGATACCAACGATAGCATTAGAAGAGGGTAGGGTGCAGAGAAGCTGTCGGGTGGTGATACCCTGGCGAGTTTGGGTGACAGCCATATGGGAGATGGGTTCCGCAATGATGAAGGATTGAGAGACTACATGTGGGAGGGGAAGGTCGTGGAGGCTAGAGTAGTTGGATGCAGAGTCCAGTGGGCCGCGGTCGTTGGGAAGCGAGGATTCGTACATCTCAGAGATGACGAGTTGGTATCCCTTTGCGTCGGAGGCATCGGGACCCTCGGACCAGAAAGAGTATGCAAACCAGTTCTCGGACATGGCGGAGGCGATGGGCTGCGTGGTGTCGACTCCCTTATGTGTGCTGGAGTGGAGAACCCGTCCGGTGATCGCGTCCAAGAGATAGAATGTGGCGGATGTCTCACCGACAGCGGTAATAAGGGCAGCATTGGGGGTCAAATACTTGTATAGCACTGACCGGTTCCCTAGAACCTTGCCGATTGATGCGACAGGGTCGTGAGGGGGCCGGGCAGTGGCAGAGATAATCTTCTCGCCAGGTGCAGGGAGGAATTCCCAGACAGGCGATTGAGAGTCCTTGGGGCTCCATCCCAATATACGTCCATCACCACCCTGGGTTACAAAGAACCCGGCGCTGTCAAGGGCTCCAACAGGCTCGCCGTTTTCTTGGACGCCAACAGTAGCTGGAGACGGGCCGTCTTTGATGACAGCAATGGACCGAAGCTTCTGAGTGGCAGGAGCGCGTTTAATAATCTTTCCTGAGGTTATGTTCAAGGTGACAGAGCTACCATCATCCACATACACCGTGGCAACACCAGGCTGCGTTGCGATTGCCTTCACATTCCAAGAATCGGCTTCAGCGGCCTTGGCACTCCAGGAAACGACGCCATGGTTTCCGCTATCGAGAGCATAGACTCGTCCGTTATCGGTAGCAACGATGACCGGCTTGGAAATTCCAAAACCGTCCAGGTTTGAAACTTCGTCAGTTAGGAAGCTGGTAAGAATGCGTCCAGGAAGCTCCTTCAGCCAGTCCGGCAGGTGTTCGAGATCTCGCGCATGGCGCTTTACACGGTGCAAATAGGCACCGTAGATGCTCCCGTGGCCCTCAACTTCCAACTGGTGTGCTAGGTCTTCCTGGTCGTCAACCTCGGCCCAGTTTGCGGCCAATGCACCGGACAGCGCTTCGTATCTGGTCCACCCAACGACACCGTTCTGGATCAATTGCCAATCACCGGACGCCAAAACAAGAGCCGACCGGACAGCTACACTGTCACCTTTCATGGCTACCTCTGAAACAGCATGTACACCGCGATCCGTAATGGGGGTTGATTGAGAATATCTTCCTAGGATACCGTGAGAAGCAGAGGACACCACCGTTGTCTCCGAGTCGGTGATCCGGGTGAAGTAAACATTCGCATCTTTGGTGCTAGTAGCAAAAACTGACCATCCCTTGAGATATGGGAGGCTGTAGGCTTTGGATACGGTAGCAGACTTAAGATCGATGTGATACACCTCAGCCCAGGAGCCAGACTCGGTCTCATACTGAACCAAGAAATGTGGCAAGGCGTTGAGGGTGTGCGGGGCATGGATTTGAATTGCTTTGATATCCTCACCGCTGGTGTTATCGATGTTGATCGTTGTTACCTGCTTCGACCCAATAACGTTGACCTTTAGCGTATTGTATGATTTATCCACCCAAGCAATCAATGGAGATGCAGTGTTGGCGCCGACAAAGATAACCGACTCGGGTCCGGAGACATCGCTTTCGGAGTTCAGAATCTGGGACTGGGTCTGCCGACCAGTCAAGAGATCCAGAGATGTGACTTTAATCTTATAGCCTTTTGAAACCGATTGTAGCGAGATGTAGAAGACATCAGTCGAGGAGGAGGATAGCTGGAAGGGAGTATCACCACTAATCACCCGAAATCGTTAGCCAACCCCAATTCCGTAAAATAGCCTCGAAGCAAACCCAAGCAAACCTTTCATCTTTATGCTCCCATTTGACCTTCCCTGTCGATCCATCCAGCCTCCGAACAAACCCTGCCGTACTTCCAGAAAGTGCAATCGTGTCCCGGGTCGAAGCCGCGGCCGAGGCATCTTCCAGCTCCAGGAGTTCCAGGTCCACCATAGATTCGCCAATAAACGTATTTTCCCATATCAATTTCCCATCCAGAGATCTCCAGGAAGAAACGTAGTCTCCTAGAGCACCAACCACCGAATACGTGCCACCGGAGGCACGTAACAAGGCTGGGGTTTCGGCGGGGCGCGAGAGGTTCTGCCTCCATACCAGGGATCCATCTTTCGGATTTACCGCACCAAGGAGCGATTTCTCGGACAAAGTATAAAGTAATGCGGCATTCGAGGAGGAGGAAGGCTGGAGAAAGAAGGTGGATTGCGATGAAGGGACCCCTAATAGCGCATGGTGGAAATCAACATGACCGATTTCATCGGGGTAAATGGCGAATGTCGACGGAACGCACGATGCGACCAGAAGTAGCGCAGCCTGTAGCCACATTGTTACAAGCTATGCTCCCAAACGAACATCGAATGGTGGAGGGGGAGCAAAAGTCGGAGGTGAGGTGGGATTGTTGCAGACAGCAGACACACTGATAGCTACGGCAAGATTCCAAGATGCTCGGCTGTCAGGCGGTGATGGAAATCCAGCTCAAGTTCGCCCAGCTTATTTATGTAGTGCACAAGTATGTACTCCGTACAACCACCTTCTCCAGCCGTCTCCTTTCTCTCAATTAATCAAATTAAATAACTTCTACTGAGAATCTTTGAACCAATGCATGTATTTTAAGGTGGAATATTGATACACGCTAGGAAATGATAGCCAGCATTTTCACTGTCCGAAGCATGCCTTGTTTGCAAGCTCCACGGCCTGCTTTTCTCCATTACTCATGTCGTTTGTGATCTCCCATGGCTGATTTCCCATTCCCATCGCACGGAGTCCCTCGAGTTTGAGCGAATTCCAATCCAGGGCTCCGTGAAAGCCGATCTCACCCGGACCGCCAGCTCCTGGGAAATCCCAAGGCGGCGAGTAAGCAAGCGCCGCCTTGCGCTGTTTGACAAGGTAGTCGACGTTCATGTCGCACATGGGAGTGGCAGGAACGTAAAGGACACTGGAATCGTCCTTGCCGTGGTGTTCCTTATCTACAGAATGCAATGAGTCGCAGTGCCAGGCGACGTAGTCACCAGGTTCTACCTCTGGAACAGAAACCATGGTTGTTTCAAGCTCGAGGTGTGGGTGTGTCACAGGGTTATATTCCTGGCAAGCGCCCGGGTCAGCTCCTGGAAACATAGCATCCATGGCTGGCTGCAACGTGTTGGTGTCAAAGAATGGCCGCAGAAGAGTATAGGCTGTGCTGTGGATCAGCATGGGACAGACATGCAATGTTCCCTCTCCTGGAGCGGTCTTGGACATCGACAGCCATCCTTGGAAGAATCTCAACATGGAACAGGCGCCAGCCCCGTTATACAAATCCATCTGCGCGGTTACGCGGTGCTTCGCGTCCCAGGGGTCGTATTCTTCCCATTTGCCTTCGAGGATTTTGGCGTATACCTGAGAATACTCGGGGTCCTCCCACCGCTCCAGCGAGCCACCGTCAATGTGAGGACCCAGTGTGAACTTGCTGTCACCGGGTAGTCGAATGCGAAGTCGGTCCGCATAGGTCAGTGGATTCCGAGTAGATATACGCGTGTTGGGGTCTGATGAGTGCCAGAGGCGCTGCAAAAAGCGCTGGGTATCGAGCATGTTGGGATGAGCTCTGGCTTCCGCTTGTGATGGAGTCCAGTACAGCTCGTATACTGCTGGCGAGTCAGGAGGGAATGCCTTGACTCGTTCCTGGTTGGCAGCTGCATAGTCTTTGATCCTTTGTTTCCATTCAAGGGCTTTTTCTCGAGGCATCACATTTCTGACAACAACTGTTCCTCGACGGTGGATCTCCGCCAGCATTTCCGGGGTAATCCTACCAGAAACAACATCCGAATATTCAACTGAAGGGATGATCTACATTCGTATTAGCGTCAAGATACACATGGTCACTGGTCTGCTCGCTAGCCCTTACCTCGCTCCCTTTTTCCTTGATCTTCTGCACCTCCTCTTCCAGACTTGGTAGCAGTCTTTGCCAACTCTTCTTCAAGGCATTTTCATGCCTATGGAACAGTTCCCGCTTCAGGTCTTTGAATCGAGGGGGCAGCGGCTCTGGCTGGTAACCGGGTCTCAAACTCGGGAAGACGCTTGAAATATCGCCCGCAGCCTTGGTGAGTTGAGAAGCCGCGCGGACGGCCGATCTCGAGAATAGCTTTGGTGTAGACATAGTGCACTGTCTCTGACCGGCCTTGCATGTGATTTTTTTTGGGGGGCTTTTTAAAATACTTCCCTTGTCCCCTTCTACGCCTTTATATACATATATAATAATCTGGGGATTGCGGAGAAATGTCGGGAATCCATATTAGGAAAGCGGCCCGATTTCCCTTTTCAGACTTCCCGCTTGCCACCTTGATTTAGAAGAATCAGACCTTCATCTCTCCAGGACATTCACTAAGCAATCCATTCGATAGTTTTAGGTACCATAGCCCAATTAATACAGTTAGCTTTGGTTGGGATGCCGTCCCATACGGGAGGGCAGGCTGTTTTTTTCAGCAAGATGCTTGTGTTGTATGGTAACGGTCCGTCTGGAGTTTGAGGTCTTCCAAATCCTCAGGAGATCCCAAATACTCCGCGGTTGTAAAGGTGGCTGTCCATGGTGAGCCAAGGGTTATGAAAGCAGTAAGTATATCAGTTCGTGTGCGGATATTCACTAAAGCCCATCTATCCAGTACCCCGAGCACGATTCTCCAGACCGCGAAACCAACCCCTTCATTTGCGAACCCTCGGCCCATCAACGGCTCACAGAGAAGGGATTATGCGCAAGAGGGGGTTGGTTGTTCCTTATTTTTATGGGACAGTCACGAATATACAGCTAGACCCCTGGCAGTGGTTTTCCGCGCTCCTTTGACGCTGCGCACGCAGCCTCTGAATGCAGTTCTTTTTGGAGGACGTTGTCAAAACACATGCACGAACCGGATCTATCTATCTACATATGTTCGTGGAGAGCCGCCTGAATCAGCTGGAGTGTATTCTTCAGGGCATACACGAAGCAGGTGACCCCGACCCTAGAAATATGATGATATGTCCTGGCCGCGGCGGTAAATGTGGCTGTAGGAGGAGAACGCGCTGATGGAATAGAGGAGTCAGGAATATGAATATCCATTCCGACTTGACATCTTCTCACAGCCTCCTGGTCAAGGTCTATTACCGCTGTCGTTTTGATGATTGGCAACCCACATCTTGTTTTTACTCTGTAGTAGGATATGGATACTCTGTCAAATGGCACCCAAGATAGGAAAGTAAGCTATAGATTCTGTTTTAATCCTGCGTGATTTTACCTACTAGTATCTATCATCAAGTTATATCAGAGCGAGATAAGGAAGCAAAGGCAGCATATCACTTTAAAGGAACCGTTCCATATGTTATTAAGTAGCACCATTGAGAGAGAAGAACATGAAGATTAGTATATTCGCATGAGCATCCCTAATGTAGATCGCGTACGTACATGTATGCAAGCTGTATGTAATAAGAAACAACAGCATGGGAAGTAGTAAGTACTGAATAGAACCTTGGACTTAATTAAATCTAACAACTTCAAGTCAACACCTGATGTAGACGAAATGTATCAGGAGACCCCCAAAAAAGACATTCCAATTAGTGTAAAAAGGGAAAGAAGCGAAAAGATAGAGGGAGAGGGAGAAAATCATCAGGGTATGGATGCAAGCTAAGACAAGAAGGGGGGGGGGGGGGGGGGGTTTATGTTTATTCAATATTCAGGCGTTGGCCAAGGAAGGAATTAAGCAGCCACTGTTTGCGGAGCGAGAGATGCGCCGTTCTCCAGCTTAAGTTTCTCAGAGACTTCCTCTTCTAGGGTAGGGGATGCGTCTGATGCGGCTTCTTCTGTCTCTGTTTCTGTCTCAGTCGTAGTCCCCGCAGAGGCCTCGACAGGCGCTTCAGCAGCAGGAGCAGGAGCAGGAGCAGGAGTGGCATTCAGGTCTGCAGCCTTGGGCTTGGGGACAGGAACCGTGGAAGCTCGCTTGACCCCATTTTCCTTGCCGATGATTTCGACTCTGTCGCCCTTGAAGAGGACTGGACCCCTGATGAACCCAGGCTTTGTCTCGCCTGTTACGGGGGCGGTCTCAAGAGCGCCGACTAGTTCGCGAGCGGGCTCGTCAAGATAAGGCATGTCGCCCCATTGCCAGTTGAGGTCACCACCGTATTGCTTGGGGATGCTAGAGGGGTCCATGAAGGAGGTGAGGGTCGGAAGGACTTCGGAGGCGGAGAGGATAAAAATCTTAGAGGTCGTGACGGGGTCGAACCAGCGCTTGATCCAGCCCCAGACCGTGGGGAAAAATGCGGGGGCGCCGATGATCTATGCAACTGGTCAACTATGGGGGGTCTCTTTGAGGTAAAATGGGCAAAAAGAGCAAGACGTACAAAGATGCGGTCCAAAGTTTCAGGGTAGTGAGCGGTTGCAAGAACACTCGCGTCCTGCATGTGTCCCTTGAGATTCCAGAACTGCTTCAGACCGACTCCACTAACATCAACAATATTGGTAGATGTCACGATAGGAGTCTCCGGGTTTGGACGGGCTAATTGCGAGCACAGAGGCATGACAAAATTGAGTAGATTTTCGTACAGCGCAAACAAACGAAGCAACCGCTGGGGGACTTTAGACGACTGGTGCGTTTCCGCCGTGGCGTTGGGTTCGGTCATGGTGGAGTTATAGACCGCCATGTTTTTGCTGGTTAGATGCTTGATCTCGAAGACGTAAACAGGGATCCCGCGACGATCCCGACGTCCAGTCCATTGCGGGTACTATATCCAGGAAGGCCAAGGTTAGCTACTTTAGCAGGCTCTAAACTTTATCTCCCGGGGCCTTTTCCCTGCCACTCTTCATATCAACCAAAAAGATGGGGCCGGGGACTGTACCATTCTCCGAGCCGCATCATATGATTCCACGTCGATATTCTCATAAAGCGACTCGATCGCATTTTCCTTTCGCCAATCCTCAGTATCCTTGAACTGACCCCAAGCGCCATTTATATCGAATCTGCGCGCGCGGAGAAAACGCCTATCAACCGGCCCTTATTAGTTTCTGATTCTTCAAGCGAAACCAGCCATCACACAGTACAGCATCACAGGGGGGGGGAAGAAGGAGAGGAAATGAGGGTTGAGGGTACATACAGCATGGTAGCATCATCATGACTGGGCTTCTCCCCCTCCTTCTCAGGCGTATAGTACCCATTCTTCGCGCAGAGATTCTTGAACTCTGTCAACTTCTTCTCCTGGTCTTCAGTCAAATGGTTCAAATGGCCCGCGAGCCACGCATTGCCCGCAGCCTGGGAGGCCGACGCCACGGGATCGTTCTTGGGATCGGCGGCGGTAGCGGCAGCGGATGACTCGCTGGTCTCCGCCTGGTTATGGTGGGATTTGGTCGTCCACAGAGGCATTTTTTTTTCTTTTACCGATGTTTATATGGGGTGATTATATTAGGTGTTTAATATCGAGGAAGGAAAGGTAGGTAAGATAAGGAGCTGGGAGAAAGAAAAGGAACCGGGGGACGGAATTGTGGTTGGTCGAAGGTCAGCAAAACAGGGCTGGATGGAGTCAAGTTTCGTTCCTGTTCCTTGCTAGAGTTATGCGTCCTGAGAGTATTAAAGTGGGTGGGGGAGAGAACGAGAGAGAAAGATTGGAGACCTAACCTAAGGTCAAAGGAAGGCAGGATCTAAAGAACAATTTGTCCATTTCCTGAGGATTTATTTGGACAGTACGCAGTACGTTTTTGGCGTATTATTTATTCATTCATTCATTCATTTCATTTGCCGCCCCAATTTCTGGCCTGCGCTGAGTCAGCGATTCTATTATAGTTAACTAACTAACTAACTAACTAGTTAACTACTCCACGGAACTGGCCTCTTTTTTATCGAGACCTAGCTGGAGCGGAAAGAATTGTACGATATCATAGATACCTAGGTACCAAAGCTATAGTGTCCAAAAGACAGTCCTTTTTGCATTGCGAACGGGAGGAACCGTCAGGGGAGGAACCATTGCGAACGAAATGTGAATATCTGTACATGAGGGATAAGGAGCACAATGTCTCCAGTCCCGGAAATAACCTAAAGAAATAACCCCCTTTTTTCTTAATCCTCAGTCAAGTCGCCATACTCCCACATACCACGTCGCTCTTGCTTAGCTTCGCCCTCCTGGGTACGGAGATGTGAAAGGGTTTCGCCGGCGGCACGTTCCCAGGCTTTCAGTTTGCGAGGGACCATGGCCAGACCCTCGCGAACCACCTCAGCGTTAATGCTGTGGTCGAGATTCTTGGACTCTGAGGGGTCGAGCAGGGTAACGTGCATTGTTCCTTCAGAGGAGATGAAATCCACATTGGCAACAAGTTCCCGGCCGTAGGTCTGTTCTTCGAGGAAGCTGACAGCGTCCTGGAGGTAGTCAGGAGAAACAGGGAACTGAAGGAACGAAAGCACGGCGTCTGCGGCTTGGGGACGGAGCTTCTGAACGGAGAACTGGGGTTGAGAAAGAGGTCGAAGACGGGACCAGGGCAGAACCTCAGAGTTGCCGAAGTCGATGTACACAACCTCTGCTTGCTGCTTCTCACGGTCGTTGCGGCGCACCTTAGCGCGGTACCAGTCACCGTCTTCGGTGAACTTAGCGGCAACGAAATCACCCGCCTTGGGTGGGCCCGGGAGGGGTGTCTCGTTTGCTTTGTTGAGGTGGAATGCACGGAATGCACTCATCAGTTCAGTCAGAGCAGAGGTACCAGTGCCGATCTGCTGGAGCTTCACGCGAGCGGTGCTAGGGTCGACGTAGGTAACCATGACATCGCGGTAGTCCTTGCGGCGAGGAGCAGCCTCAGTCTCAGCGGCACTGCCATTAGCAGCCTCCTCCGCCACCTCCTCCTCCGCTTCCTTGCTAGGATCCCAATCATGCCAGAGGCCTTTACGGGCTTCCTTTGCGCGTTGTTCGGCCGCAAAATACTCCGTTGCGTGGCCCGACTGCTCGGCTGAATAAGCGTGCACAGTAGCAAAGCCTTCCTCGAGCAGAATCTTGGTAAAGTTCTCCTTGTTCACATACAGGGTACCGATGAAACCACCCACCTTGTCGATGGTCTCGACATCGATTTCAACATCGCGTTGCATACAGCGTCGGTTCGCCAAGTCGTGAGCCTCCTGGCCAAACGGCTCCGAGGCCTCGCCCGGGTTACGTGCCGATCGAGGAGCACGAATACCAGACAAAACTAGGGTCAACTTGGCGTTCTCACGGGGAACCAGAACAGTGAAGCGGGACCCGGACTTGACAAAGTCAACAATAGCAGGCACACGCTTTTGACGTTGCAGAATAGACACTTCCATCTTAGCCTTCTGAAGACTCTCAGAGTAATCCTGGTACTGCTTGACCTTGGGAGGCTTGGGTGACCACATTCCCTTGCCATCCTTCTGGGCGTCGGCTTCAGCAACCAACAAATCATCATATTCGGGGGATCGGTCATCATCATCCTGACGATGACGAATAACAGAAGCATAACCAGCTTGTACAAGAGCAAGCGCAACGTTAGTGTTTCCCTGCACAACGGTAGCCACCTCTCTTTCCTCGTATCCCTCAGTAGCAGGCTTCTTGCCGTTAATAGTAACCTTGACATGCTTGCCGATAATTCTCTTGCGTAGGAACTCCTTAGCATCAGCTGCAAATGGTGCCTGCTTAGGATCAGATGGCTTTGGTTGACGAACACTGCTCAGGGAAATCTTCTTCTCCTGGCCTGCCTTGTTCCTGATGAAAAGGGTATCCGCATTCAGTACGCGGATGACGATATAATCCTGGTCGACGGCCCCGCCCGCAGGACCCTTTGGAGCAACAAGACTGGTGAACAGGCCCTGGCGAGCATCCTTGGCCGCTTTCTCTGCGCGGCGGAAGGCAGCCATCTCGCCGCCAAGAAGAGGAGAATGGTGATCATGACAACGGGCAAGCCCAGCTTCCAGAAGGAACTTGGCGACATTTCCATTGGGGTGGAGAACGGTCGCAATCAATTGACCTTGTGGAGTGACGCCCAAAAGCGATACCTGCACTTTCCGCTGCAGAAGTCGGGATTCAACAAACTGGTGCGCTTCCTCGCCGTAAGGCTCGGCAGGCTGTTCCTTGCCATCTGCGCCAACCCGCTTAGTAGCAGGTGCTCTAACACCCGCAACTACAACGATGACCTGCAGATGCTCATCCGAGGAGAGAAGCAGGCGCAGAACAACACGGTCTCCAGTCAGAACCCTCTCCACAATACCCTCTAGTGGTTTATCCTTCCATTCCTCCACGAGGGACTTGGCATCTGCGAGCTCGTAGCTAGTGTCGATACGGCCGCTTTCCGATCCAGCCCACACGCCCTTTTCTTCAGTTCTAGCGTGGTCTTCCAATGCACGGAGGCGCTCGAGCATCGCCACGGTTTCTTCTGTGTCGTCGCTGCGCTTGCCGGCTTCCTCACGGACGCGGACCCATCCTTCTTGGACGCTGATATCGGGCAATGTCACGTCGAAACTGGGCAGTTTGATTGTACCATATTCGCGCTTGGTAGTGGGGATACTGTAGAGAGTCTGGAACTGGATGACCTTGCCGACGAGGAGTTCGCGAAGGAATTCGCGGGATTGGAATGCGTAGGGCTGTTAAAACAAAGTCATAAGCATTTGAAACCACAGAAATTAAGGGTAAAATAAATATATATATATTCATCATGCAACGAGGTAAATAGAGACAGAGCCAAGGGTGTTGAAAAAAAAGGGAGCTGGTCAAGAGGACAAGTATGCTGGCTAAAACACAAAGCATTAAATCAAGAACTCACCTCATCCCCCTCTCTACGCAGCCTCGGTGCTGAGACATATGCAAGACTCAAAAGACGTTCCTGGCCAGGATTGGTAACATGCGACAGGACGACGGTGTCACCCGACAGGACAGATTTCACGCGGGCTTCCAAAGGCATGATGATGATGCTTGGAAGTAAGAGGCAAACAGGCCACAACAAGCACAGGAGCAATTGATGGAAGAGACCCTATCAAAACAAAGGGAAGATTCCAGAGGGGAAAGAAAGAGATAGGGAGAGGAAGAGAGAAGAAGGAAAAGGGGGGAGGATAGGAGGCAACACAAAAAAAAGAAGAGAAGCAATATTACCAGAGTTGGAGGAAGCACGAGGGGAAACGTGGTAAAACCGATGAAGGCGGACACCTGACTTTGTGGGGAAAGCAGTCTGGCCACTTTTAGGTCAACCAGCAAACAGCTATCTATCTACATAACATCGAGCACAGAGACACAGTTATATCGGCTACTTACTAGTCTGGATCTCATTCAATATACTATGGAGTTCCTACTGACAAAAAGAAAATGTATATCGTGATTGCTTTATTCAATTTCAGGCGGAGCTAACACTTAACAACCTTCCATTTTTTTCAATCTAAGATACTTTTCAACTAATCCAACCCTTAATTCAGTCTCCCACATTATCAATTGAGATCATAATCATTCAATCCTTAGTGTGCACACATTTATGCAGCAATGCCAATCACACCTATCCCAGAATTAGCCATCTCGATTTCCAGTCAGTGAAAAAAGGGGACAGCTTACCGCAAGCAGGGCGAGGACCAGCATTGCCAGTCTTCTTGGACTCCTCGTTACCACCACGGCCGAGGTCATCAGTACCGGCGTGAACAACCAGGGTCCGCTATCTCAAGTTAGCCAATTCATCTCACATCTTCCCCTGACCAAGTATCGAGAATTTTTGTCGGGGGTTTGCAGGGTACATACGCCCAGAACGCTCTCGGAACCGATCAACTTAACGAGCTTATCCTGCTTGGAGCCGACTGCGTTACCCTCGGCATCGGTGGTGAAGTTTCCCAGGTCACCAACGTGGCGGACCTCATCCTCAGGAGCACCGTGGGTCTTGCCGAAGGGGTTGAAGTGGGGGCCAGCAGAGGTGCAGCCGTTGGTGTTGTCACCGAACTGGTGGATGTGGAAGCCACGCTGGGCATTGGGGTCGTTGCCGGTGATGTTCCATGAGATGGTGGTGGGGGCGCTCTCGGCGGTTTGCTCGAAGGTGACGGTGCCGGTGATCTTGGAGTCACCACGAACGACAGCAACTAGATCTCGTCAGTCATGCACGCACAATGCTAGCCGGTAGTCAGGGGAGAAGGGTGTGTTGAGCCGCTTGGGGTTAGATCCGAGGCTCTTGATCTCCGATCTGACGGGGCACCGGAGATAACCTGCGGAAAAGCCAAGCACTGGGTTTACTTCCTGAGGCTGTACCATCGCCTCACAGGAGAATATCCCCAGGTAGAGACGATGATAGGCCAGGGACTCTCCTTCGAGAGTGCTCAGAAGGTGCTCAAAGGTGCTCACACAAGGTCCTCCGGCCATGGTCGATCGTGGAGCCGTGCAGGGACAAGACCAATAACAAAGCGAGACAGATACCAGAAAGGACGACTTACCAGCCTTGACCATTTTGACGGATCTTAGTGAAGCAAGTTAAAGTTAAAGGAGAACAGAGTCAGGGACTTAGTATAAGATGGTGGAGGAAATTTGGGGGAGGGAAAGAGAGAGAGGAAGAGAAAACGGGAAGCGAAGTGGAGGAAATAAGAGGAAGAACGAAGACGTAACGAGGGGTAAATTCGTCAGTTCCCTATTATTACTGCTAACTGTGCTAATGCTCAGAAAGATGTGGGTTTCTATTTCGATGAGCTTCTAGTCTTCTCCTCCACTAAAGTACCTAGCTAGGTAAACTACGGTCTCTCTCTCTCTCTCTCTCTCTCTCCAATGTCATTCATTCAATTCAACCCCCAGTCAGTCAGCTATGAATTACTCCGATGTTGTTTTCCTCTGTTCGTAGTGTCGGGACAAGACGAAACCCCCACTTCACGGGCACGTCGGAATGACGTTTCTGCTTCTGCTTCCTAAGCAGCGGATTCCAGACTTTTTGCCTCGGTTTTTATTCTTATTGAATATACGGAGTACTGCTGTACTATTTATTATTTTATTTCATCTCCGGCTTCGATACGACATTAACAACCCTAGGTTACAGGGTTTCTTAATGATCAATGTCAATCAAACCTCGGACTAATTACCCCGCCATGTATGTGCTCTGTATGTATCCAAGCAACTATACTACCTAGGTATGTACAGGGGGTCTACGTATACACTCAATTCTTCCTGTCCTTCTGGATCAACTAAATCTCATCTACAATGGACTTGAATAGTCAAGCTTTACTGGTTCTATTCTGGCAACCCTCCACAAGTTGTAGCTAAACCTTGAATCCATCCAGACACACCCGTGAAATCGGTCGCGGGTAATTTCCGTACCCCAGCTCCAAATCACAACCTTAACCTACTTCAATACGACTCTACTACTCTACGATGAATAAAAAAAAATGGCCGAGGAGGAAATTAGAGGTGCATCCGTAATTCATATCTCTAAACTGGTTTTGTTAAATCGCCAAATTTTACACAAATGAAAGGGGGTTTCATCATAAGGCATCCTGCGCCTATCATTCATTCTCTTGCATAAACAGATCCACTTACGCCTGGATCTTCTGCTTGAGGATATCCTTCAGGGTCACCGCATCAGCAGCGAACTTGGAGATACCCTCACGCAGCTTCTCCACAGCCATCGCCTCCTCGTTAAAGTCGAAGCGGAAGAGAGCCTCATCCTTGAGGTAGCTCTTCTTGGGGATATCCAGGGAGGCGGCGTTGGAAGCATCGAGCTTCTTGGGGACGGCCGCGGTGGAGTTGAACAGGTCCTCGAGGAGACCGGGCTATTCTTATTAGTTTCGGTCTTTGGGGGAAAAAAAAAGGTATTAAAGGGGCCGACTTACAGAAATGGTCAGGTAGTCGCAGCCAGCAAGCTCGGTGATTTCACCGGTGTTACGGAAGGAGGCACCCATGACGATGGTGTTGTAGCCGTACTTCTTGTAGTAGTTGAAGATGCCCTCGACGGACTTGACACCGGGGTCCTCCTGGGCAGTGTAGTCGCGCTTGTGGGCAGCCTTGTACCAATCCAGGATACGGCCGACGAAGGGAGAGATGAGGTAGGCACCGGCCTCAGCAGCAGCGATAGCCTGAACGATGGAGAACATGAGGGTCAGGTTGCAGTTAATGCCGTACTGAGACTGGAGGATGTGGGCGGCCTGGATACCCTCCCAAGTGGAGGCGATCTTGATCAGGATTCGTTCCTTGGGGATGCCATTCTCCTCGTAGAGCTACTTAAATTAGTACTTTCGAAAAAAAAAAATTATTTATTTTTTTTTGGAACCAGCACAACAGAGAAAGAGAAAAATACGCACCTTGATGATGTGCAGGGCCTTGTCAACAGAGGCCTTGGTGTCGAAAGAAAAACGAGCATCCACCTCGGTGGAAACCTTTCCGGGAATGATCTTAAGGATCTCCTTGCCAAAGTTGACAAGGAGGTGGTCGAGGGTGGCGTCGACCTGCTCGTCAACGGTCTTGCCCTCCTTCTTGCCCTTCTCAACGGCAGCGTCGATGAGACTGGCGTATTCGGGCTTCTTGGAGGCAGCGAGGATCAGGGAGGGGTTGGTGGTGGCATCCTGAGGCTTGTACTTGCCAATAGTGGCGAAGTCACCGGAGTCGCAAACGACAACCTAGATATTGAAAGTTGGTCAGTTGAGGGGAAAAGGGAAAAGCTGGTTGCAAGTATGGACGTACGGTACCGGTGGCCTTGAGCTGTTCAAGAGAAGAAGACATGGTGATGATAATTAAAGGATTAAGTAGAGATGGAAAGATGGAAAAGGGGCAAGAGATTGAAGAGGATGATAAAGAAGAAGAAATTGGAGAAATGGACGGGCGTGGCGATGGAAATAATAATAACTTCTGTTGAACCTCTGGAAGACAGGAAATGGTGGGGCAAAATCCATCTTATGACGCTATATTGATCCAGCTTTCTTTCCTGCCCCCCAATTCTAGAGGGGTACAGAGTAAGTAACCAACCTCATCCAACAACCATCCATCTCGATATGTCCACCACGCTCTCGTTCTTCATCTCAATCATCTTAAATCATCTATATACACCTGTCCATTGTCTCTCATCTATTCCTCTATACTATCCTCGCTCCCTCTTTCATACTCTCATCCATATCCTCCATGATTCTCCCCCTCCCCCAGCTACCTTACCCCTCGGCCCAGTGTGCTCCGGAAACACCCAGTCGGTCCACTCTGCAACGAACTAATCATTTCTCCCGCACGCATGCAGCTTTTCTCTTCACCGGAATCATTCCTTGGGAAGTCTATACAAAAAATTATCTAACCGTTGATCGATGCTGACCCAATTCTGAACAACAGCTGACTCCCCTGTACAAATGACTCCGGACTACTTCCTTCCCCACGTTGTCGTTGTTGACCATTTTAGAAGCATCTAGACTTTCTCGAATTTAACCACATCAAAGGGAGGAGAGCGGGGGGGGGGGATGAAAGTAAAATAAAATAACAGAAGAAGAGTCGATCCTAGACTCCGGAACTTTTCAAACCTTCCCTGTTGCGAAAGAAATAGCCGCCCGCGATCTATTTATTTATCAAACAGCAATCCATATCAAACTGTCAAAAACGCTGAATCCAAGGAAGCAATACACAACGGATAAATATAAAACAGGGTCACAAAGGCCGGCGAGAGTCGATACACGAGCATGGTAAAAGTCTGCGGATAAAGTGGTCTCTACCTATATCGCCATCATAACCCCTGTTCATCCAACCAATTCAAACCAATCCACCAGGCTCAATGAGGCGGAACGATGCTCCCCGAGAACCTAACGGCGCTGGACGCAGCTCCATTCGTACTAGACCCCTCATCAGCATCTCTACTCGACAGCCTCCTGTACCAAAGTAAAACTTACCACTTTCCCCGTCTCATCCCCTGTATAAACAACATGGGGGAGCGTCAACATACAACTGATTCCCGCGGCAATATTCGCGCCATTGTCGCGATTGCTATCAACATGATGGAGTTGTCGGATTAACTCCAATTCAAACCGGCCGCCGCGCATAGTTTTAGTCCAGATCTACCCCGCGTCAGCACCCAGCAGAGCACAGCTCCAGGAATTCAGCAGTTTCTTACATTGACCACTCCTCTTCGATGACCTGTAAAAAGCAATTCTCGCTCCTGCCATTCGTTGTTCACCCCTTCGTAGAAGACGCACGACATGACCTTGTCATCGGCCGACTCACACACAACCTGTTCGAGTAACAGAGCCCCGTTGAGCGTAAATAGGCTGATACAATTTCCCTGGCATATCGCGATTTCTCCCGTCACGTCATTGATTCGAGCACACTGGTTTTATATTAGCTGTGTAGTGACTAGCAGCCCAGGCACTCAATACTTACATCCACAGGCCCCTTCGTTGGAATTTCCCGCACAAAACACTGGCGGTTCAAATCCCAGAGCATAAGCTGGCCATCGACAGATGCAGTGAGAAGGGTACTAAAGGATCGTGACATGGCAAGTATAGTTACGGGAGAACGGTGTCCAAATAAGGACCCTGCAGGTTGCAGGTCAACAGATTTGGCTGTTGCCGTAAAGCTCCATATGGAAATTGTGCAATCAGTCCCTGCAGTCACTAGTGTTCGGGAATCGGCAAAAGCCGCACAAGATAGTTGTCCAATATGTAGGTGCTCAAAGTGGCCCAGAAGCTAAGATTTGATCAGCATAACGCCCAATACCACCAGAGTCGAGGACCAACGGTACCTTGCGATTATCCGCAGAATAGAATCTCACACTGCCATCGAAGAAGCCCCATTCCATGTACTTGTCGTAATATGGGGGAATATTGAGTCTTAGGGCAGCAGTGCACAGCAATCGATCTTGCCTCATACACAAGGATGAAACTTGCTCTCCAATATCTACTTGAATTTCAGTACACAGGCCACGTACATTTGATCCCGAAAAGAAACTTACCAAGGAGCGAGAGAGGGAGCTGGGTGAGCGATTCAGCAAGGGAATCTAGTCGTGGGATCCGATGTCGTTGTCCCTCACTCTGGGGATGAGGCCGATTGAATATTTGATGTGGGGTTTGTCCAAAGTTGTGTATAATGCCAATAGTAGCCAAACGTTCCACAGGATCGTCAATAGCGTCGACATCCTTAGCGCCCTGGTAGGAAAGATGATGGAACACATTCACAGCCTCTATGGCAGCTTCACCCTTCTGCTTGCAACCGAAAATCAAGTCAATCCAGTGATGCAGATTCCTCGTCACGTAGGGACTCTCTAAAGCTTCCCGATTTTTCTCGATGAAAATCTTCGAGTCGCCTTTAGCCCATGGGGGCAACTCGACGGAGTCAATTGCGGTCGCCATATTCTGAAGCAGCCCAAAATCATACTTGTTGGAGTTGACCAGGAACTCTGGTAGGTAGAAGAATTCCGGAATCAATTCTCTCACATCCGACATATTTCCTCGAGATGCAGACTCCCATGCCTTTCCAATGGAGTAGAAAAGACGATCAGCATGATCGAAAGTCCCCCCTTGGAGAAGGAGATAGGACTTCACAAATGGTTGCAGACGAATCAAGTAGGAGCTCACTATCATAGCGGAGGAATAATGCGTGCCGTAATGAAAAGGTGGAGAGTCCCCCGCGCCCATTTCCGCGAAAGCTTGATACCGTTCTCTAAAATCGGATTCTCGCTCTGGAGTTTGGCATCCCATAGGCTTCGAAAGATCTCGGAAAGTCTTTGGATTACTCAAGTCCAACTCTTCGCTTGTATAATCAGCAAGAACCCATGGAAAGACGGGATATTGTGTCAAATCATTAAATGTTCTTCCAGCAAGGGTGTTGATTAACATGAGATAATGGAAATTCGAGATTTCGCCCTTGACCCATTTACGCGTTGCTGGATACGCTGGCGAATGGCCGAAGACACTGGCAAACTTTGACCCAAGAGATTGCGGTGTATCTTCGGAGCTTCGCAGGGTCTCAAACCTCCAAATGTCCTCCGGCCGCGAGTGTCCAACACTCCCTGTGACTTGGGGAGCCTTGCTAGCGAGCTGACCGCACAAGTGATCTCGAGCTCGTGACGAGATAAGCGTCAACAGGTAGCTACTGCCGTCAGTAAAGAATATCTCCAGGGCTACATCGCGGAACAAGAATCGTCTTTTGGAAACGCTGACTAGGTCGGTCCATTTCCAGCTCCTGGTTTCATGCTCTTGGGGTTTGCGCTCATTCGATTCCCTTCCAGCAATCATTCGAACATAAGGATCACGTTCGTCAGTAGGAGCTTGCCAAACATTGACGATTTCGCCATCAGACCGCTGAAAAAAGTTATCCAGTATGTAAATGTGATCCTTTCCTTGGATCAACAGGCCTTCGAAAGCTTCTAATCCTACAATTCTCGAAACATTGCAAAGGTTCTCAACTTGATCACCCCTGTGTAGGCTTCTCATAACTTTCCTGTTCTTATCTTCGTAATCTTCCAGGTCCGCCTTAGGGTCATCGATCATCTCAAAGCTTTCTTCAAGGACACTGCCAGTATCCGGGCCGATGCCTTGGGAATTGCTCTCTGACTCATCACTATTCACAGTGGAAGGGTCAAACCCAATAGTGTCGGGTTTAGAGGATGATTGTACTTGCGTGTCAATTTTGATTGCAGGAGGTTCTGACGCTTTGCGTTTCGGTTGGTAGTCTTGTCTCTCGTCCGAATCATCCGGGACTATGCGAAGACGCATACGGCTTCGTCCTTCTGTCTGATCAAGACGCCACCTCCTCTCCTTTTCCTCGGCCAGAACGCCACCAGGACGACGTAAGTCTAAAGTTAGGTGAGAGAACGCGGTCCACATGAACAAATAGCTATCTTGTTGATCCTGCACAGCTCTCTGGTACTTCAAAAACTCCGACGCCGATATGTTCGATATCCAATGAGGCAGGGTGGCTTCATGTCTTCTTGTTACTTCATCGTTGTGCTTCTCTAGCTTGCTCAGATGCCTCAGCTTCTCGTGTCGTTTGGAGGTTCTAGATCGCGACGAATTCTCTATTGCTGTGTTTTGTTCTTGAACAAATTCTTCCCACGACTTGGATATGGTCCCTAGAAACAAGGCATTGAGGTCGTCTTCTTGGTCATCTATCCACTGAAGAAAAGCAACATCATCCATGCCTACCAAGGCCTCAAATCCACTAGAAAGACGTTCTTGGAGCGGAATTGCAACACAGCTCAATATTGTAAACAGCTCAGTCGGCTTTTGCACCAGGATAATCCTAAAAAGGCTCGCTGCGGCCAAACGTACATCCCTGTTCTTATCAATCAACTTTGTGTAAAGAAGGTAGCAGAGCAGCTGTAGGCAGTCTGATTGAGAGTCTTCCTGTGACAGAAGTACAACCTGCCAATAAGATAACCGACCCAGAAAGGGTAAAGTGCCGGGGCCGTCGACTTCCGAGAGTTGAGCTAGAACAACGCGGAACATATTTGATCGAATCGTGGCGATGACCTGACTACAAAGTCTTATGCTCTTCAACCGCGAGATATCTGGTCGCTGGAGATACTCCAGAATGGTACCAGAAAATTCAAGGGTTGCAGCGGCACCATCAACAAACCACCCTTCGAATACTGCTTCAGCCAGGTGGGTGGTAAAGCGCCCCAGGTTGGTAAGCACCCGTGGCTCTGACAGCAGTTGAGTCTTAGAAAACACAACATCTTTTAACGTTATAAGTAGGCTTCGCAACACCCATGAGTTGAAGTAGGCTTGGTGTTCCAGAAATCCCGAAGGCGTTTTTAAATAAAGGCCAAGGCCAGCAAAATCTTTCCGCTCAAGAAGCTGCTCGGAGAAAATAGACAAGACTAAACTCAGGATCCGAAGAATGAACGGGTGATTGGTAATTCCTTCAATCTCGATATTCCCTGGATTGAATACATGCCGAATCCGTAAAGGAGAACGTGAGTACTTTCCTCTGTCAGATGAAACAAGGATAAAGGATGAACCACGACCAAGTAATTCGCTAGTCTCATCACGACCTCCAGACTGCTCAACCATTGTGGTGCGTAATTCAGTGATGCCTCTTGAGTGAGGACGACTGTTAGAACTATGGTCATCAAGACCGAGACCGCTGACACGGTAAGACAATTCAACATCGGCGCTCACAGAATCGGAGCCAACAACGACCGGGAACAGCACCGAGAGTAGGTGTTGGGCGTATTCGGATTGCAATGTAAATTCTCGAAAGCTCGGGGAATTCAAATGCATTCTCGCCATAAACTCAATCACTGCTGCCACTAACGATGACTCTTCAATACCAGAAACTACTGGGACATGCGAGGCCATTGGAGGCTTTGAAGATTGGGTTAGATATTTCTGCATGGAATCAAGGCCTTCTTCTGTAGCCCCGTCTGCCAGGATAGATTTTCGCAAGGCGCTTTGCAACATCTCTATGATAACGGGGAACATCTCAGGGAAAACAACTTGCGTTTGGCTGCCGGAGAAAATTTCCGCAAGAGCAAGATGATCAAATGGTCTGTCGAATATCGTTGTGCCAAGATCGAGGCCAAAGAGTATGGAAAAGCATATCGGCCACATGGCTGGAACGTTCCACCATCGTCTAAAACAACTTCGCATTATGACATATCCACCGCTTTTTTCGCTGAACTTCTTATTGTAATTGCTACCACTGGTGATGAGGAGGCGGGCCAGTATTCGACAAGCCAGGACGACAATTTCAGGTTCATCCTCGCACATAAGGTACAGAAGCCACTGGGTCAAGGTTAGAAATTGACAGCTAAAGTTCAAGATACCAACATACTTTATTTGTTACTGTTCTGGCAAATTTCTTTATAGGCCCGAGATCATGCGAGTTGCAGAGAAGGGAACAAAAGAGGCGAAGCATTTCAACTGATATCGTCACAGAAGGCACCTTTTCCTCTCTCTCAGAAGACGCGACTTGTTGTCGGGGGCCTGTATTGAATCTAATACTCTTCTTTTTCTGCAATGTACTGGGCTCCTTAGGCTTGTGAAGGGAATACGTGATAAAAAGAGCCAGAGACCGGAGTAAGTCCGCGGACAGACAACTTTCCATCAAAGAACCAAAGGCGGAAGCGAACAGTCGTAACGCTTCAGGCGTGAAATTCTCTCCCTTGAGTGCCTCCAGCATTTTTTTATTCACACCTGATATCTATGAGCATAATAATTCAGCGCGTGAGAGTCAAGGGGGAAATGCTTACGCATACGGGCAAGCCGTTTTGAATTAAACCGGCGGAACTGACTCTCATTTGCAAATATGCAGAATTGCGAATAATAGAGTTCAGTGAGAGGATGTCCACCGTATCTCCATATCTCCAAATCCACAAGCAACACCCTATAAGCCAGGGGGTTCGTAATCATCGAACGGCTTGGTTGTTCGAGGTCGTAGCCGACGAATTTCAGGGTCAAGCGAAGAAGCTCTAAGGTCAAAGCAGACCTTTCCTCGTAGTTTGAGCAAACGCTTGCCGTCCTGGATGGTGCAGTATAGTTTCCCGATGCCCAACCGAGCTTTTCACGCAGCAACGTTGCTAGGATACCATATCCATTCTCTTTCTCCATCGCTTCACTATTTCGCCAACTATCTTGCACAGCTTCATATAATGCTTCGACAGCAAGAAGTGTAGATTCTGCTGTGGTAGCTGCGTGGACTAAACTCAGATGTACCGCCGCACAACCACCAATGCGCCAACTCATATCGTCAAGAGATTGCGGTGATGTAACCACCGGGTCGCCTGTTAAGATACCAACACCATGAGCTTGTGTCAAAGCATCATTAATCGCCGGGGTTGCACCATTGACTGCCACTGCGTTTCCTCCTGCCTTTGTTAATTGGCGTAAATGTTTTGCAGCTTGTTTAGAGAGCGATTTGATGAGCTGAGACTCATCAATAGTGTTACTGTCGTCATCATCTAGAATAGATAACGGAGAAATATTGATCATTATAGCTCCCTCGCGGATCAAAGTGCTTGCTTTCCGTCGAATAGCTGTCACAATATCCGATTGCTCTTCCTTACCGGGGTGTAGATGCTCGTTACGAAGGTTCAAAGTCGCTGAAGCTCTGTACGTTTGAAAAGAGCCAAGACAATCTTGAAAGTTTCCATAGTAACGAGGACCAAGATTGTAGAAAACCGCAATCATGTCATCGCTATAGGCCTCCTCAAAAAGAATCGCATTTGCCAGAGACCACCGGGAGGTGGATACTCCCTTTCCAAGTCTCATCGCCAGGTCTTGAGGTGTACCGAAAAAAGCCTGGACTCGTGGGGTTCTATTTTGGGGACTCGGGGCTGGTATGCATGGGTATTCGATTCTTAATTGCTCGACAAATTCACCATCAATGAATAAGGACGCGCGCGAGTAAGACGAAGGTGGTCGTGGTTTCTTGTGAACGACACAAATATGGTACCACCGATTCGGTTCAAATGCTAGCGACTTGAAGCGCACACTTGGACGTGGACCCTTGATAGATGTCTGCAGTATAAAATTGCGAGTATCCTTTTCGAGATATGCCAGGAGAAAGCATGTTTGGCTGTGATCAAACGCCCCAAAAATAGTCGTGTGAGTGCTGCGGTCAAATTCGTCAAAACGTGCCCAAATCCCAATTGTATATCCAGACGAGGTAGTTGGAGGGAACGACCGGCCCAATGTTGAGAATTCTAAAGAGCAGAACCCATGTAGTGAGAGATCAAATTGAATGGAGGGCGGTTCTTTTGAACATTTGAGCAAATTTACAAGAAATCGGAGAGCCTTGGGAGACCGATGAGACTTCCTATATAGAGAAACAGCATCGTCCAGATTACTTATTCCCTGGACACTTAATAGCTGGGCAAGTTCCTGGTAGAGTAATATCTCCATCTCCGGGCGACTCTCATCAAACAAGAGTGGGAGTATAAGGCTCATCGTCCCATTCTTGTGCAGGGTTGTGATGTTTCTCTGGGATTGTGATGCAAGGTGGCAAAGACATGCTGGCAATGCGAGCCTCCGAATCATATGTTCAGATGAAGGTGAAGAAGACTGCCCCAGCCATACCCGGAGCAGTGGCCCCAAAAGCTCCGGTACTTCAACCGTTTCTGATGATCCTATGCACCGATTTATCTCCGCTTTGATGGCTTGGGGCGAGAGCTCGCTGTCATTCTGAAATTTGGTGCTCAGCATCGTGAATATATCTACAGCAGTCTCTTGGCATAGAGCTGCTGCAAAGATGCTACCATAGAAGTACTCAACCTCGCCTTGAACTATGTCTAGCTTTCGGGAAAGAGCTGCAAAATCTTCTTCAAGCGCCACCTCGCCCCCGCCTGGTATACGAGAAGCAAAGTATCTTTTGTTCCCCAGGTGCTCCTTGAGGCACTCCGCAAGCACCGTCAAGACATCCTTGTACAAGGTCAGGAGACTTCTCCTCTCCTCCCTTGACAATATTTCTGGGTTATAAAACTCTGATATCTTCCGGAGAAGATCTAGAAGTGTTTGGAAGCCATTTAAGTGCCGGAATGCTTCCTTTGCCTCGCGAGGACGGTCGCAGTCAATGAATGTGTGGCGGAGCCGGAGGAGACACTCGGTTGCCGATATTGCAAGATGCGAATCGATAGCATTACCGCTACAGATAGCGGTTAGTTCCTCGATAACCGGAATTATCTCAGCAGTTGGTCGTTGGGTAGACGCGGAAGGAGTCGGCGAGGAAAGAGAAATGGCCTGGTTCATTGCGCCGCTAAATCTCCCCGGCTACCTAGCTGACGGTCGGTAACCATCAGACACGAACCTTCACTTCGAATTACTGTGACAACACTCTTCATTGGCATATATTCAAGACGTTGGTGCGGGTAATCGCCACAGAAAGCAGGCTGAGGTGGAAGGAGGGGGCGGAAGGTCTTTTTAAACGGGAGATCAGCAATTGGGGTACACGGATGCATTTGTGAGCATGAGGGCTGAATTCAAGCTCTACTTACTCCCACGCCCTTGGAGACGTCTTAACTGTAACTATGGCTGGGTGCTGATGCCACTCAAACTGTGCCACAGCAATGCAAGCTGAAACATCCATCTCCAATACTTTCGTAGTTCTTGAGATTATCAGGTGACAGAAGCGGCATCTCCCCAGTCGGGCTCCCATTGGTTGACGGCTGATATCGATAAGCCCTTATCGGAGATGCTCTTTTGCGTCTCGACTCGGCTTCCCTGCCGACCCCAGGATGTACCTATTACCCAGGTAGCGTACCAGCTTTGAGGGTAAAATATTTCCAGGTTCAACTCTTGGATGATGAGATTCGGGGATAGTGGATATGGAAATTAAGTTAGGAAGATATATATTATATGATTTGACAATTATTATCATGGATCTCTCCTGTAACACCCAACTTGAGCGCAGTCATAGGCTTTAAGCCCACTATATATATTCCTTCTAGGTTTATATGGGACGTCTCTCTCTACTTCCCTATGGGATGGAATATCATTCTGTCGCTAAAGGCAAGGCTACTTATATCATAGACAGAACTATGTCTACTGTGTGAGTACGAAGCTTGCCTAATGTTGATTGGGATGGACCGTCTTGACTCTGGTTTGCCTGCAACAAGGCAGTTAGCAACGAGCTTCAAATGCTTCTTTGCTCAGATACAATGTCAACTGGGAGGCATCGTGTAGAGGCATCAAGAGTTTAAATTGGCCCAAAAGTACGTTCAACGCTACTACGTAGATACCCTTCGCCATATTTCAACAAAGATAAGAGGGAACCTGGGAGTCCTGGGACGCTGTATCCGTACAGGTGGGTCAAAGTAGCTCCCGGGCATGCCAAACAAATCCCATCAAGAAAGGAACGATTTTCAAGAATAACTGGAAGATTCCGGGCGAGGGAAGGATTTCCCCCTCCAACCTTGAAGGACCCGAGACAGCTTCAAAGGAGTAACCCGAGGACTGCCAGAATAAGGCAAGAATGGCGCGATTATTGGCCCCCTGAGGTCAGCCATTGGTGAGGCTGCTTTGGTCTGGGAAGTTGGCCAAGTGACCACTTTCGCAATCATACGCGCTAAACTACTTTGGTAGATGAGCATGTTCCGGAGTTAAGCTAGTTACCTGGGCATCGTTGAGTCACCGCCTGGACTGGTGTCTTCCGTTCCTTTGAGTCGGAGGTACCTGAGTGTTTGCATGGAGAAACAGGATGTGCATCTTCGTGCCTCATTATTAGGGAGTGTTGGCGAGGGTGTACTCCGCCCCTGTTCTCTCGTTCGCTGCTCCGCTTATCTGAGGCGTGACCTGTCCTCATTATTACCACTATATCTGCAGATGATAGGTATGGGCGTATGTAATTTACCCCAGGTGTCCCACCCCGCCTATCTCAGCGGATCGACAGCCAGTCAGGAGCTTGTCCACTGGTCACCTGCTGTAAATTACCGTAACCCGGTTGCATCATCATCCAGTTGCCCTTGCCTAACTGCTGATAAGTACTAGGTATCTCCTCGCCTTCCATCCAACCTCCTTCATCCCTCTCTATCCATCTCCATCTGTCCATCATTCCTCCTCCAAATCTTGATCTTTCCTTTATCCCATCTCCTTATTCCTCTGTATCTCTTTTGTGGGCTGATTCATTCTTATCCCTCAGCCCACCATGAAAGGCGTTCTTGGCCTTTCCTTGCTCCCGTTGCTGGCAGCCGCCTCTCCTGTGGTAGTCGGCTCCATCCACAACGGAGCAGCCCCCATTCTTTCATCCACAAATGCCAAAGAGATCCCAGATTCTTACATCATTGTTTTCAAGAAGCACGTAGATGTTGAATCAGCTGTTGCTCACCAGAGCTGGGTTCAGGAGATCCATGGCCAGCAGAACGAGCGATCGGAGCTGAAGAAGCGCTTCCTCGGACTCGAGTTCGGGTTCAGCGATGAGCTGTACGCGGGATTGAAGGACACTTTCAATATTGCCGGATCTCTGATGGGATACTCTGGTCACTTCCACGAAGATACCATTGAAGAGATCCGCAATCATCCTGACGTAAGAAGCTTTACCTTATCTTCCTGAGAGGACCATGCTGACATTACGACTGATTAGGTTCAATACATCGAAAGGGACTCTGAAGTCCACACCTTGGAGGATACATCCATCGAGAAGAATGCCCCATGGGGTCTTGCTCGTATCTCTCATCGTCATAGCCTCTCCTTCGGCACATTTAATAAATACCTCTACGCCTCTGATGGTGGTGAGGGTGTTGATGTTTACACTATTGATACTGGTATCAATGTTGACCACGAGGACTTTGAAGGTCGTGCCTCCTGGGGTGCCACTATCCCTACCAACGATGAAGATGCAGACGGCAACGGTCACGGTACCCACTGTTCCGGCACTATTGGTGGCACTAAATACGGTGTTGCTAAGAAGGCCAACCTCTACGCTGTCAAGGTCTTGCGATCCAGTGGCTCTGGTACCATGTCCGACGTCGTCCGTGGTGTTGAGTGGGCTGTTGAGAATCATCTTATGAAGGCCAAGAAGGGTGGCAAGGGCTTCAAAGGCAGCGTTGCTAACATGAGTCTTGGCGGCGGCAAATCAAAGACCCTTGAAGAAGCTGTCAATGCTGGCGTAGAGGCTGGCGTTCATTTCGCGGTCGCTGCTGGCAATGACAACGCTGATGCGTGCAATTACTCTCCAGCGGCCGCTGAGAAAGCCATCACTGTTGGTGCCTCGACACTTGCAGATGAGCGTGCTTACTTCTCCAACTACGGAAAGTGCACTGATATCTTTGCTCCTGGCCTCAACATCCTCTCCACCTGGATTGGTGGCAAGCATGCCGTCAACACCATTTCTGGAACCTCCATGGCTTCTCCTCACATTGCTGGTCTCCTGGCCTACTTTGTCTCTCTTCAACCTTCCAAGGATTCTGCTTTCGCTGTCGAGATTACTCCAGAGAAGCTGAAGAAGGATCTGATCTCCATCGCTACCGTGGGTATTCTCACCGATATCCCATCGGACACCCCCAACGTAAGTAAACCCTTTTGCAATAGAATGAATGAATGGTATGGTATAACTGACAATCACGATAGCTCCTCGCTTGGAACGGTGGTGGCTCTACTAACTACTCTGACATCGTCGCTAATGGTGGCTACAAGGCTGGTCCTAAGTCTGATTCTAAGTCTGATTCTACTCCCTTCAAGCCTGGCGGTATCCTCGCCCAGGCTATGTAAACCTATTTTGAGGATTGACTAGACCTGAACCCTATATTTCCATAACGTGTGCTGTTTTTGTTGGTTCTCTTTTTTTCTTTGTTGCTTTGGGACGACTTTTTGCAACCATGGGTCAATTTGTAGTAGTTCATATTTCTGGTACTCCATACACGGGATCAATTTTATTTTACAATACAATCCTGATTAAAGCTTGATTCGGGAGCGACGTAAACTATGGGCTGGGCTGCGGAACCACAGTGAAGAGGGGGAAAAAAAAACAGGAGATCTATAACGAAATACGACTAAATTCTCAAGGAAAGATGCGATGCTAAGTACCGGAAATGCGTATGTCACCGAGATGCGCCAGCGCTATGCCAAATTACAAGATGAACACGGAAACGCCTCATGCCCTCCCAAAAGCCGTCGCTGAAAGCTCCTTTAACCCGAAATTTAATACTAGGCGAGTGAGCGAAAACTTCGATCAAACCCGCTCGTGGTCGTCCTCATCCTCACTGCCCGTATCACGGTCATCCGAATCCAGGGCCTCATCTGAATCACTCCCGCCAAAGACATCGTCATCGACATCGCTTTCGACCCAGAAATCGGAATCATCCAATTCAGGCTGTTTCACTGCGGATACTGAGGTCTGATGCGTAGGCATGACAAAGTGCTCTGGGATATCTGCTTTAGAAGCCTCCACGCAGTTGCGGACGATGGCCTTGTACTTTTCGGGTTCTTTGCGGAGAAGAACCCCAGCGTCAACATTTGCAGGGGACGAGACTTCGGGGTCATCAAGGAGGGAGAGAATGGAGATCAGGACGGATTCGACACGTTGGGCGGGGGACCAGCGCTCTGAGGCGAGTTCGCCGGACATTTCGTCCTCGCCGGGGGAATGGAGGATGGAGATGCACAGCTTGCCGTCGGGGTAAATATTTGGATGGTAGAGAGGGTGGAGGAAGCGGAATTCTAGGGAAAAAAAGATTGCGAGTGTTAGTGGTGGTGGGGTTCGGCTTCGGCTTCGGATCCCACGGCGGGCTGAGGGGTGGAGGGACATACCGGGAGGAGAGTATGGATAGTTCTTGGGGAACTTCATGGCAGCTTTAAAGTAGCCTCCGTAGTAGAGGGAATCTGGGTTGACAACGATCAAGCCAACAGTCCAGTTGAAGATGTCATCGTTGTCCAGCTGTGCTAAGCAGTTAGCATCTGGGAGGGTTGGGGAAAAGGTAAATAGAGTAGAAAGGCATTGCGTTGTGAGTGGTCTTGTGAGATCGACATACCTCGATATTGACCCAGGGCTCCTGGGCCAAGGTCTTGAATTCATTCATCAAGATGCGCTCAGCCATGATGATAGTCGCGTGGTCCGGAGATACAGGGAGGGAAGCGGCAAGAATGGCGTATGGTGTGTAAGTGAGGAAGTAAAGAAAACAGTCAACCCTCCAGGAGGAAAGAGTAGTTCCAGCTACAGTCTCTGCCTGTTAAGAAATCTTCCTGCCTGATACTATCACAGATTCTGTTTTTTGAAGGCTTGGTTGGGCCTGGGAAATGATTACCAGTAGCGGAAGGTTCCGGGGTGGCGCGACGGGGCTGGGAGGCGGTTACAATCCTGGATTTGTGCCAATAGTGACGGACGTTCCTAACAGAAAATTCGTTTGTACTGCGAACCATTTTTTGTTCCTCCAGGAAGAAGGCAAAAAAAGGGGGAACAGGCAATGAAACTCTCTCAGTATTTTACTCTGATCTCACTGTATTTTCGAGGCCTTTTACCCGGATGGAGAGGGTTTTTTTTTGTTCTTTCCTCTACGGACTACTTACTACCTACAGACTCAGAGTATATACATACTCGGTATGGCTATTTATCCACCATGTAGCAAAAGGTGGGGAGACAAGCGTATCCGGGTGGAGATCCTAATGCACGCGCTTTCTCCGGAATATTAGTATGTAATTACTATTTATTGATTAGCTAGTTACTTAGTAACTAGAGGGAACGAAAGCGCATTGTTCGCTTCTTGGTGGAGAGAGAGTGTGTCTTGGGGATGACTCCATGCTTATCTTGAATGCGAAATTCTGAGGATCAGTGTTGCATTCGATATTATAAAAGGACCTTGAATGAGTCACAGTCGCACACTAACTATTACGAGCTAGTAAAACTACTTGCCGTGTGACAGATTAGGGGCTGTGTATCCCCATCTCCTAGACAAATATCAATCTTCTTCATGGCCGTCCAAGTCTTGAGGGAGGTCGGCGGCAAGCCATGCGGACGGAGTTGGGGCCCCAACCCTGGCACGAGAAAAGAAGTATTTCATTATGTATGAGGATCGCGCATCCCCTACTTAGTCGGTGTGACGGAAAGAGATTAAATGCAGGAATGCACGGACGACCCCATGCTGGATTGATTGATTCCCCTCTGGAGTCTAGTCTGATTTCCTGATGAGTTAGGTGCTGTACCCCCCAGCTACGAGATTTCCGATGTACATACCTGGTAGTACAAGAAATCGGACCTTATCGGTTTGTCGGGGAACCAGAAGGGTTAGTTGGATAGGCGCTGGGCCAGCCGTTGGTGACTCGAGGCAGCAAGTCAGTCTAGTCCACCAAACGATGGCGGATTCTTTCCCCAAGGGGCTGATTGGAGAACGCAGCCATCTGATAATGTAATGGTTGGTTGTTTGGCTGATTTCTAACTTTGAGCTCTCGTCTGGCGTTTTCGTCGCAGCCAAGGGTGTGGTGAAGAGACAGAGAAAGGTATCTGTAGAAGGGAACGACAAAAAAAGGTACCAAGCGGTTCTTGTAGGATTTCTCCATAGATAGCAGATACCTAGTCTAGCGTTCATTTATTTCTCGTTAGCAACATTATGTGCAGGGGGAAGATGCATGTATTGGTCTAGCAATTTGGATCCTTCGAAGTGGGCGGTCGGTCACGATCCACTTCGAAAGCAACCTTCGCCATTCGGCTTGTCCCACTTCTCTGTTCCCTTCATCATCTCCTCTTCTTTTTCTTCTTTCTTTTGTCGACTTTGTCCCATTGTTTCGGATCTATTATTTTTGAGAACCCATTGTAGCCCCCCTCCCGCTTGAGAGGGGCTTATTTTATCAACTGTATATATTCTCTACCGTCCGTGATTGTCATGTTACTTTCGTCTGCCTTCTCCAGTTTGATTACGCTCTAGGGGACGGGAACCCGAGTTGCTTACCAGAAAAGTCTGCTCTCGCCTCTTGGTCATCGTCCCGAACGCTGTAGGCTGCCTGGTCTCGAGAAGAGGCGGGTGGTTTCCCAGAACTCTTGCTTTTGCGACTCAGATCTTTCTTTGGTGCGTTAGAAATGCTTCCAAACTGCGCCGGTCCGATATGGGCCGTGGATGATCTTTCTCGCTGCTTCCAACGCAGGTAGGTCTTTCTTGTCTGTTGTAATTGCTGTTTTTTATTACAATTGATGAGAAGAATGACTAATTGACTGCCTCCGATTCTAGTTACTTGCAAGAGATTTTTCCGTTGACGGCTTGTGCGCTTTCACTTCTCCTTATTTTGTACCGCGTCACATATCATTACGCTTTCTCTCGAAAGGGTTTCTCCTACAAGCTGTTGCCTAGTGAAGATGCTGGGAATGGCCCACAAGATACCAGGGTAACGGACGAAGACCTCGCGGCGGAATCCGATCCAATGCTATCCAAGGCGGCGCAGATTGAACTGCCGCATTATGAGATTGACCGTCCCCGGGGCGAGATTGCTTTGGTATCATTGGAGGTGGTGGCGCTCGTCGCACAGGTAGCTGTGTTCATCGGTATCTTGTCTACAGACGCGTGGGGTTATGACGGGACGCTTCCTGCGGTGGCGAGACTGATTTCCTGGAGTTATATTCTGTTCCTGGTACTGGTCCGCATGCTTCTGTCGATCCTGCAGTTGCAATCGTTTGCGAAGCTTTGGAACCACACCGCGGTTCTATACGGGTTACAATGGCTATTCACCGTTTTCGTGTTCCGGTCTGCGGTCATCTATCCGATCTCAAGACGTGCTTTGACTTTCTCCGCCGTCGAGTTTTCCTTGTCTAGCTTTTTACTGCTCCTCGCCGTGTCTACCCGTAGAGGAAATAAACCTGTCCTGGTTCCACACGAAGATGGCCTCGAGCCAGCAAGACACCCCGTTGCCAGTCTACTTTCCCTAGCGACTTTTTCCTGGCTGGATCCCCTTATTCTCAAGGGCTATAAACAATCCCTAGATCTCGAAGATATTTGGAACTTGACTGCATCCCAGAAGGCAGCTACAGTCCTAGAGGATTTCCGCCGCCGACAATACAAAGGCTCGCTAGTGTGGAAGCTTATGCGTTATTTCTATGGCAGAATCTTGCTGCAAGGTGCTTGGACTGTATTCTCTAACCTTTTCACGTACTTGCCCACTCTGCTCCTCAAAGCAATCCTGGAGTATGTTGAAGATCCGCGATCAACTACTCCCAATGCTGCCTGGCTCTATGCTGCACTCTTATTTTTCTCAGGCACCATACAAGGCGTGGCCGATGGTCAGGCTCTTTGGATCGGACGCAACATTGGCGTGAAGCTACGTGCCATCATAATTGGCGAAATTTATGCTAAGGCCCTTCGCCGAAAAGCTGGCCCCTCCGTGGATGCCGCGAAGAAGAATACTGAAGAGCCGGTCAAGGACAAAAAAAAGAAGAAAGGTCTCCTTTCCTTTGGTCGTAAAAAGAAGGCTGCAAATGACCCTGAAAATGATTCTTCAAATAAGAAGGAGAATGAGGCAGAGGACTCTGAGCTCGCAAATATTGGTACTATTATTAATTTGATGGCTATCGACTCGTTCAAGGTCAGCGAAATCGGTGCCTACCTACACTTTCTCTGGGCTAGTGTGCCAGTTCAGGTTGTCATTGCCGTCACGCTTCTATATAGACTTCTCGGATTTAGCTCCTTTGCTGGTATCGTGATCATGGTCCTGGTGCTCCCCGTCAATCTGTTTATCGCCAAGAAATTCTCGAAGCTTCAGAACCAGATCCTGAAGGGAACGGATGCTCGCATTCATTCCACCAATGAAATTCTCCAGAATATTCGGATCATCAAATATTTTGCCTGGGAGCAACGTTTCACGGACATTGTGAATGAAAAACGTAAAGCAGAGCTTAGGGCTTTGCGCTTCCGTTACATTCTTTGGTCTGGGGCTGCAACGATCTGGTATGGGACACCGATTTTGATTACATTCGCATCATTCTTCCTGTACACAGTAGTTGAGGGCAAGAAATTGACCCCATCGATCGCATTCCCTGCTCTTTCAATGTTCTCCCTGCTTCGCGTTCCTTTAGACCAATTGGCCGACATGGTCGCGCACGTCCAGGAGGCAAAGGTTTCTTTGGACCGTGTGGACAAGTATCTCAACGAAGATGAGACCGAAAAGTACCGCCAGCTCTCCGATGAAGACACCTCTGAGCCTAGAATCGCACTTGATAAGGCTACCCTCACCTGGGGATCCGGAAAAGGACACGGCCAGAATAGTGAGCAGAATGGAAATTCGGATGTTTTCCGCTTGATAGATATTGACGTTGACTTCCGGATTGGAAAACTCAATATTATTGCTGGGCCCACTGGCTGTGGAAAAACATCTCTTCTCATGGCACTCCTTGGAGAAATGAAACTGTTAGAAGGACGTGTTCATCTACCTGGTGGAAGGGCTAACCGCGGAGATCTCCCTGTAGATCCTCGTACAGGGCTTATCGAAAGTATCGCATACTGTGCCCAAGAAGCTTGGCTTGTCAATGACACTATCAAGGAGAACATTATCTTTGCGTCTCCCTTTGATCAGAGTCGGTATGATGCTGTGATCAAAGTGTGCGCACTGGAGCGTGACTTGGCCATTCTGGATGGGGGAGATCAAACCCTTGTTGGAGAGAAGGGCATTGGCCTCTCAGGCGGCCAGAAGCAGAGAATATCTCTTGCCCGCGCTATCTATAGCCGAGCCCGCCATCTTCTTTTGGATGATTGTTTGAGTGCCGTTGACTCCCATACAGCAAAGCACATATTTAGAGATGCTCTTACGGGCCCTCTGATGTTGGATCGGACTTGCATTCTTGTTACACACAACATCGCCCTTACTGCCCAACATGCTGACTACATTGTTGTTCTTGACAATGGTAAAATCACATTCAAAGGTCGCGCGGATGATGCGGGGGCTGCTAAAGCTCTAGGCGAAGAGGTCCTTAAGTCGCGACCAGGCTCCCGGGCTAGCTCCCCACCTCGATCCCGCAGATCTTCGGACTCCCAGCAGCCTAGTGATCAAGAAGAATCGCACAACGGCAATGGCGCCGCAGTTAACGGATCGTCTAGTAAAGATCAGAAGAAGGAAAAGTCTACATCAAAGTTGGTGGAGACGAAGGCCACTGGCAGTGTTAAATGGTCTACAATCAAGATGTATCTCCAAGCTATGGGTCCCTGGTACTACTGGATTTCGGCAATCCTTGTTTTCACTCTTCAGCAGCTCGGATCCGTCTCGACGAATATCTGGATTCGCCAGTGGGCAAACTCCTACAGTATCAATGGTGTTGACGTCGACAATGCTGGCACATATGCTGCCATGACAGACTTCAAATTCCCATCATTTAACGTTGTTGGTGTCCCACGTACTTCGGCCGTGGGTGCGCCACAGCTTAGCACCCAGAGCACAACCCCCGATGGCGAGGTGAATGTTACATATTACCTTGGCGTGTATGCTTTACTGGGAGTTCTTTACATCTTGATCTCGGCTTCCAGAGAAGGAGTCTTGTTTTGGGGTTCCCTGCACGCATCTTTCGGTATCCACAAGCGTCTTCTGAAAACGGTCATGCATGCCAAGTTCAAGTTCTTTGACTCTACCCCTCTCGGTCAACTTATGAACAGATTTTCCAAAGATGTTGAAGCCATTGACCAGGAAGTTGCGCCTGTTGCGATTGGTATGCTTCACAGCTTAGCATCAGTTATCATGATCGTGATTCTGATTTCTGTGATTACTCCCGGATTCTTGGTCGCTGCGGTCTTTATTACTTTGGTCTATTTTGCTTTGGGGGCTGTCTACCTGAATGCTTCCCGCGATATGAAGCGGTTGGAGTCTGTGCAGCGGAGTCCTTTGTATCAACAATTTGGCGAAACGCTGAACGGAATTGTCACCATCCGCGCCTATGGCGATGGACCTAGGTTCCTCGTGGATAATCATCGACGTATCAATGCATATAATCGGCCACATATTTATCTGTGGGGCAGCAACAGATGGCTCGCCTTCCGTGTTGATATCACAGGTGCTTTGGTTTCCTTTTTGACTGCCACATTTATTCTTTCAAACGTTGGGAAGATTGATGCAGGCGCGGCGGGACTTTCGCTAACATATGCCGTCACGTTCAACGAAAACATTTTGTGGTTGGTTCGACTTTACTCAGAAGTTCAACAGAGTATGAACTCTGTTGAGCGAATAAAAGAGTATTTAGACGTGGAACAGGAAGCGCCCCCAGTCATACCCGATTCGCGACCTCCACCCAACTGGCCCAGTCGAGGTTCAGTCAAGTTTGTGGATTATTCCACAAGGTATCGTCCCGATCTCGATCCTGTTCTTCGGGGCGTCTCTTTCACTGTGCAACCGGGAGAGAAGGTTGGAATCGTCGGTCGTACTGGAGCTGGAAAAAGTTCTCTCGCCCTCGCTCTTTTCCGTGGACTGGAAGCAGAATCGGGACAGATTATTATCGATGATGTGGATATTGGTACTATCGGGCTCCGAGATCTGCGTGAATCGATTACCATTGTTCCCCAAGACCCTACTCTCTTTACCGGAACCATCAGAAGCAATCTTGACCCGTTCGGCCTTTTCTCTGATGAGCAGATCCTCACGGCAATCCGCCGGGTGCATTTGATTGATTCCGCCTCCTCTGGCACAGCGACCCCTGTGACTGGCAGCGCCTTGTCCATAACAGAGCCAGGCTCAGCTACACCAACCGGAACCGGTACTATCGTAGACAACAAAAATATCTTCTATAACTTGGAGAGCCCGGTGTCTGAATCTGGATCCAACCTCTCTCAGGGACAGAGACAACTTTTGTGTCTTGCACGAGCTCTGCTGAAAAGCCCCAAGGTCCTAATGATGGACGAAGCCACCGCGTCAATCGACTACAATACCGATGCTAAGATCCAAGAGACCCTGCGAGAGCTGAAAGAGAATACTATTATTACGATTGCGCACCGTCTGCAAACTATTATTGACTACGACAAGGTCCTGGTGCTCGATCATGGCCGAGTAGTGGAATTCGACCACCCCTGGACACTCGTCAACAAGGAGGGTGGTGTCTTCCGCAGCATGTGTGAGAACAGCGGGAACATGGATACCCTTTTGGAGGTAGCCAAGAAGGCATGGGAACAAAACCAACTTGTCGATGATTCATAGACCTTATATTTACAATTGTGTTTTATTATCCGCATTGTTTTTTTTTTTTTTTTTTGGAGGAGTGGTTTATCATTTTCTGTCCTGCTTACACTCTTTCTGTAGCATGATTACCTACCTCTCTCTCTTTCTCTTGACAAAAGTTATGGTACATAATTTGGAGGATAAGTCTTTTTGCAACCCATGGCGCATCTAGCTTATTCTACTGTTTATTAATTTTAATATTCCTGAACAAAAGTCATCCCGTTGCCTCTTTTCTATGTAATACAAAATCGTACAAAATCCAACCCGTCTGGACCAACTGTGCTTACTCAGCGGTGCATATCACGTGCCTCCAAGCAATCTCCCGCCGCTAACCTATATAGGAATAGTGCGGGTGATCGGCTGTGATTCCCGCCAGATCCCGCTTGACCAGGGAGTGCATTGCCATGAAGAAGACATCGCGGATCTCTCAACCCGATATCGATCCATCATCTCGGGCTCGCACGGAATGAAGGAAGAGCTGGGTTCTGGGGATCCTGATGACTGCTTGACTTTTTATCACTCATGCTCACTCTGAAATGATATCACCTCGTTGGGTGATCTTATCCACCCCTACCAGCGATTCCTAATGTGATGATATCACAGTGGCCAACTGAGCAAATCTTGACACCGTCATTCAACGCACAATGGACCCTGTCAATGGATGGGAAGGCCGCGTACATCCCACAGTCGGTGCTTTGGACGGTGGAGCCTATGGGAATTCCCATCGATTTCCGAAATGCTATTTTTCTCGCCTTCTTCGCCCACGGTGCGTTGGAACAGACTTCCAATTGGTGTTTCCACGAGGACGTCGTGATGCAAAGGATGGATATCAACTTCCGCACCTGTAAGCAGAAATTGGCCTTACGGCTTCTCGAAACCAAGTCCTTATTTCATCATACGGTTGCATCCACGTCGTCCTGACGGCGTCGAACCTTAATGGAATATGTCGGATGTGGTAGGCAAGTTATAAGGCCTAGTCGCGGCCTATATTACTTTCTAGTGGCATCTTTTGTCTCCATCTGCCAACTTTCTCGCTAGGTTGCTGCCTTCTGACTCTACCCCTACAAAGCAAAGACGCCAAAAAAAAAAAAAAAACCCCCCCAAGACCGGATTGAATCCTTTCAGCCAAACCATAATGCGATTCCTGTCAGTGTTCAGCGGCCTCCTGCTTGCTGGAGCCGCAGTTGCCCAGAATTCTAGCTGCTCACCTACTTCGTCCGATGCCGATGTCGTGAAATACGCCTGGGTCGTGCAATCGCTTCTGGAGAGATTCTATTCCTCCCAGCCTCTGAACACCACGTTCCTCAGTGACGCCACTAACAGCTCCCACGCGGAATACTACGCCAATCTCCAAGGAATTCAGAGACAGAACCGTCTGGGTGTTCGTGCTATCCAGCTTCTCAGTGGCAAGGTGCCAGATTTCTCTCCCCCTTCATGCACGTTCACCACCCCCAATTCCACCAGCGGCGAGGATTTCGTGAGGAACGCGCTCGATCTTGAATCTAGCGCCTCTGCTGCTTTCATCGGTGCCACTGGCTATACCCAGTCTCCCGAGGTCTCCTTCATCCTCTCCAGACTGGCTGCCCAGCACGCTGCCGATGCCGCCTGGCTCGCCGGGGAGCAAACGGGGGTCGTGTTCCCAACCAACACCACCTCCCTAATTCCAGCATACAACCCTTCATACGTGCTCTCAAATGGAACCGAAACAGGCAAGCTCGGCCAGTACCTCGGTGGCTGCGTAACCCCGCCAACTAGTCCCTGCGGACAGTTTTTCATCGGATCTCTCATTGGTAGCTTGGGTAACGCTACCGCTGCCAGTGCAGGTATCACTGGTTCCGCTTCTGTCTCGCCAACTGCGATGGCTGCTAGGAAGCTGTTCGGCTAAAAAAAATTTGCTTACCTTTTTTTTTTTTTTTTTTTTTTTTTTAATATGTTTGTGTGTGTGTGTGTGTGTATCGTACTGTCTAGTTCATTCTGAGAATACGTTTCAATAATCTTGGCCTAGCAACCAAGCCTCAGGTGGAAACTGTAACAGAAAGTCCTTTTTGTCGTGATTAATTTTTGTGTGTAATGTGGCAAGTTGCAATAGTAATATATAATAATATAATACCTCTAGAATCAGACACGCGAGCAATGAGTGAAAATAAACACAAGCATGAAACTCAACTTAAAAAAAGAAAAGCTAAGTAAGTATACCATGATAGTCAATATTAGGTACCTAGCATAGTATGTATGTACGCTCCAAGCGAATCTCTTAGCTAGCTGGCTCCTTTCTTATTTCTTACTATGTATTTTGTATTCCCCCCCCCCCTTCTAAATTAGAGTTGAGTTTGATACATAGATTTACTTTACGCTTATCTATTGTTAAGATTCACTAGGATAAATACCCAAGTCATTTATATATATCTATATATATATATATAGACTTTTTTTTTTTTTTTTTTTTTTTTTTTCTCTTCCAAATCAAGAAGCAGCCAACCGAAACTATACGTTATACATTCTAGCCAGGTATCTATCTACTAAACTATTATATGCAAAAGGAGAACCTGAAGCCTTTTTTTTTTAATCTAGCTAGCTAGCTAGCTAGCTAGCTAGCTATATGATGCGTGCGTGTTAGAAGTCAATGAATTGAATTCAATAATTTTTTTTTTTAATTTACTTGGTCTTTTATATAGAGAGATGTTTCCTTCCTGCAAAGGCTGTGGAGATGTATTTGGGGATTGAGATTCACTAGTCAAGCAACAAGTATCCTTCTTTTGTGAATAATGAATGGTGCTTGGAGATTATCTTCCATACCCTGTACTTAATATAACATAACATAACATAGCATAACATAGCATAGCATAGCATGGCATGGCATGGCATAAGATAAGGAGGGGGAAAAGTAAATGAAATCTACCCCATCGACTCCGTACAAACTACTCATGCAAAATTCACAGATCTCATTCTATGGTTCCGTGGTCTGTACCGTAGCAATCTCTCAGAATGCCCGATGTCAGATATCTGGCTTGATAACGCGTGTAAAGAGACTTCGGTTGCACTTAGTGAGTTTATCGAGACCCGGGAGGGGTTGAGTGATTTTTCTCTTTCTAGTTCTTCTTCTTCTTCTTCTTCTTCTTCTTCTTCTTCTTCTTCTTCTTGCTGTTGTTGAGGTTGAGATTGGGACTGTTGAGAGTGTGCTGCTTCGCCTTGCCCGTTTTGTCTTCCTCGATCAGCAGTAGAAAACGGCCTGGCGGTATGCTCGGGGAAACGAGGATGCTCGCCCGCAAAATCAACCCCGAGCCCGGGCCCTGCGAATCGGTTCATTATCTCTGACCAGGGGGGATCGGGTCCTTCATGTGAGCTTCCTCTGTTGGATGGAGATGCAGACGCTCCGGGGGGTCTCTGTGGCGTCGCTAGATTAGGATACGCATGGTAAGCACGGGTAGTCGTAGCACCGGTATGACGATCTGCTTCCGTGGAATTGTACAGGTTGTATCCGTAGGCGTGCTCATAATCATGTTGATGCAGATAGTCGGGCGGGTGAGATTCGAGGTAAGGTTCAGCCTGGTATCCGTCTTCCGTGTTTTCTTTGTCGTCTTCTGGCGAGACGTAGTAGGCTTGTTCTAAGGAGAGCCCAGTGTCGATGTCCATATCTTCGGTGTCTTCGTAGATTACGAATCGATTAGGTCGATAAGGGTGTGTTGTTTGGGTGGAAGGCGAGAGACTGTTGAGTCGGCCTGGCGTGCATGTCTTTTCGGAAAAGTATAAAGATGGACGTTGGGGTGGGTGCCGATCAACGTTCACGGTATCGTCGGCACTGCTGGTGTTGATTGCTGTGTTTGAGGTTGGATCTGCATTTGCCTCCCCCATAACAATATCCATGTTATCCAGGTGATCCATATGATCCATGTTTGTGCTAGGGAGAGAGGCCTGACGTTGCAAGAGCGATGCGAGCGTATCATCTGCCTTAGGGCGAGGACTAGAGCCAGGGTTATTATGTGTAGATGGCTGTTGATATTGTCGATTCGCAAGTTCAGATGCACCTGCAATATCTACAGTGTCCGCTGTAGGCGTGTCCCCAGTAGAACACGCTTCGTCGTTCCATCCAGACTCTGAAAGAGACGAGACCTTAAGCCGCTTCCTCGGGGGAAGCTGTAGGTATTGCCCACTTGCCCTCTCACAGAAATCTTCCTCCTGTGCTTCGTCGATATTCCCTTTCAGAAAACCGGGGGTTGACGAAGGAAGAGAAAGAGGATGCAGTGATCGTGTCTCCGTATCTGTATTGTCATCTGCATTGTCATCGTTTCGATCGCCTCTCGCAGTAATAAGAGAGTACCTCCGTTTCTGATAGTTTGCTGGCGGGGGAGGAATTTGTTTCCTATCCTTATTCGCGCCAAAAGCTTGTAAGCATTCATTCTAGTATTGTACCTAGAGGAAAGGAAACCAGGAAAGGCGTCTCACAGCTGGGTGTATATTGAGGCAAAGCTCGAATTCGATTTCATCCATCATGGCGGGACAAACTCCTATATAGAGAATAAGATTGTAGGACGAAGTTGTGATTAAGGAAGGAAAGAAAGCAAGACAATTGTAGACAGGCTTTGATGATACGAGGGAAGGCCAGGAAAGGGATTGAAATTGTGGAAGGGTTTAAACTGGGCCGAAGAGATGGCTAGGTATGATAAAAGGATGGTTGTCAAGTTGAAGCTGGAGTGGAAAAGGGGATGATTTATTCCCCATCGTTTATCCACGAGAAAAATTTCCCTGGACATTGACTCTATCCAAATCCCCCTCTTTGCCCTGTAAGCGTCTACAATCACAAACATGGCTAAGATAATAATTGTTGAAGAAAAAGATACAGAGCAAGGGATTGATTCAGACTATCCGCATACTAGATAATCAGACTTGACGACCACATTGGCATTAGATCGCACACATCCATGATGACCAAGAGATAATACCACATCGATCACCTATTTCTCTCACAGGCCCATTCTTAGACCAAGGTAGCGGCGGTTGCATAGCTCGCATGAAAACTATCCATGGCAGCCCCCCTTTTCCAGGATACAGATTTTTGAGCACAACAAAGAAAGAAAATATACAGACTGAGGGTATGGATCAGATACGCATATGTTGGGGTATTAAGAAATCCTGGAAAGATGCACACATAGCTCGCCTCTATATGTACTGCGTTCCAAGATGGTCAGACTAACCGCACCTTTCCCATATTCTCTGTGGTTGATTATCGAAACTGCCGGGGTCCTACCATGCCACCTCGGGCGTCACCTCCACCAACCTGGCCAAACATTTCGAGCAAGTGCCTGGACGATGGAGGGGGCCCTTGTGGGCCAGGGTTCCCATCAAAAGGGCCCTGCCCGTGAGGAAGCCCCATTAAAGCCTCTCCGTTGGGCGGCATGGGTGGGAACCCGCCGGGGGGAGGGCCGTTCATGTAACCAGGAGGAGGCATCATACCGGGAGGAGGAGGAGGAGGAGGAGGGAAAGCACCTGCACCAGGGCCACCAGCGCCGCCAGGACCACGAGGGAAAGGCTGACGTTCGTTCATCGGAGGCATATTTCCGTGAATTGGCACCATGTTGGCAATGTAGCTTGGGTTGATGCCTCTCGTTGGTGTTGGGATTCCTGGTGGAGGAGCCACAGGTCCTCCGGGCCCCCCACCTTGCTGCGGGGGAAGATGATGACCAGCCCATCCAGGTGGCGGCATATGATCAAAACCGGGCGGTCGTGGGATGCCCATTCCAGGGGGGACCTGGCCTTGAGGAGCTCTGGATCCGCCAGGAGTAATTGGGACTTGGCCTCCTTGTGGGAATGGAACGTCATCAAAGTAACCAACAGGAGGGCCGTTTGTGGGTCGTCGGCGAAGTTGATCATTGGGTCGTGGCATATTCGCGATGGCCGGATCATCCAGCATATTGGGGACTTTCGGACCGGGCCCGATCCCAGGCGGGTGAGGAGGCATTATTGTGTCAGGCATGTTCATCAGCCCAGGAGCCGGACCGGTACTTGGTGGCTGCGGGTGAAGACCTTGATTTGGGCCATTGGGACTGACCCTGACTTGCTGCATCAACCGGAGTAAATGTTCACGGTCTCGTGCCTGAGAATCTTGGCTATAAATGTGCTCCTTCAAAGCTGGACCCGGACCACGAACAGGAGCATCCTGCATAAGAATAAGTTCGGGTCGCTGGGCATGCTCCCGAGACGGAGAGGAAAGGGTGCTTCGAGTCTGCTCCGCCTGTACCAAGGAAGCAGGGCGGTTGACCAGTGCAGCATCATTATTCGGCGTCGAATTTTGAGACCTTCCTCCGCCCAACATCTGCAAGATACGTTGAAATCCTTCCTGGTCGGCATCGAAGGACGGGTTGAATATTGGGGACTTGGTGCTGGTTGGCGATTCGGACTCTTTGGCCGGACTCCCTAGCGGGGGACTAAACAGCCCAGCGAATCGAGAGGACTTCATAGACTTTCCTGCGAGCATTTCTTTCCTGACGACTGCTGGATCGATAGGAGGCGGGGGTGGTGCATGTATCTCCTGGGAGGGCTTCGAGTCACCCAACAGACCGAAAAAGCGCTCCATTGTTGAGTCTTGCAAAGCAGATCCATTAGCGCTGAAAATCTCGCCATCGGAAGGCCGACTCTCTGATTTCGCAAGGGACTCCGGGACTGCCTCGACGGGAATTTCTTTCTTTTCTTCTTGAGGCTGAGAAGACCCGGCTTTCATCTTCTCCTTCCAGCGCTCGAAATCTTCCTGCGTGTGTACCCTGCGGGATTCCTCCTTCTCGTTTGCATCCAGCCATTCGGGCTCCTGTTCTAGCTTGGCCCCCCGGGTCCAATCGCGGTCCGCGCCATGTCTGTCTCGGCGCCATTCGCGATTGCGCAGTGAAGCTTTCTCTTCTTCCGCATCGGGGCCCTCCTGGGCATTGTCATCCCGGAACCAACTGCCTTCGTGTCTCGCTCGTCCCGGCTGGGGCTCCCGTCGGGGGAAAAAGCGACCATCCTTGTCTTTTGTACCGCCACGCTGCTCGAAGGGTTGTTCCCGAGGATCACGGTTTTCCCACCTGTCAAATTCTCCGTTACGTCGTGGTTTTCTTTCCACTTCATCCTGCCCTAGCGTGCGACGGGGGCGGCCACTATTCCAGTCTTCTTTTTCGCCACGTCGATTACTAAACGCTCCCATCTTTCCATTCCCATCGCGCCGTTCAAGGTCTCGGTCCCCAGCATCGCGATCCTTGAAGAACCTATCCCGGAAGTTGAAGCGGTCATTCTTGGTGTCTTCAGAATCACTTTGCCTAAGTGGCGGTCGTTCCGTAGAATCTATCGAGCCTTTGCCGGGTACGCGAGATGCCGAGGCGAAAGCGGTTTTGGGGGGTCCGAGAATAATATCCTCTGTACAAAGATTGGGGAAAAAAAATAATTAGGAATACTAAACCAGCAAGAACAATCGGCAATGTCATAAGGGGCAAAGATCCTCTCACCTGAATTCGAGCCACGAGATATATGACGAGTCTCAAAAAGGCTTGGCCTTCGACCCGTGGTCTCGTTATGATTATTGGTGGTCTTGCGTTGGGTGGCAGGATCGGGAATTGGGCTAGTCAGAGTGTTTTGATCAAATCAGCTTCAGAAACGTAGATAACACAGCGATCAAACTTCGAAACCGGGGTTTAAAAAAAAAAACAGAGAAAAAAAAAAAGGTCTCATACCCCATCCATTCTTCTACCGCAAGTAAATTAGTAGGCCTTGTGACCAGGGGCGACGAGCGCAGCCACAGCAGCTCATCGATCTGGTATCGCCGTGCCATAGCGATGGCAGAGTGTGATGTATTAAGTGCCAACCGTTAGGTAGTTATCATTGGTTCCGGCCTGCAGGAGGTTGAGGAAAAGAAGAAGGTCGCTGTCGTGTCGGGTCTCTCAGTTGTGGTTGGTTATGATTTTGGAACCAAGGGTTGGGGGAGAGGGAGGGGGGAGAAGAGGGAGAGTGAAGGGATAGGAGGGACAAAAGGAGGTAGCGAAGCAAAGAGAATCGCAACTTCAACAGGATGAAGCGAACTCTGTTGGGAGGCGGAGGACAAGTCGGTCGGTCGGTATCGGTGAAGTTGGTCGAGGAGCGGATGAGGGGCAGAGTGTGTGAGCGAAAAGCAGGTCAAGGAAAATGAATAGGGAAAGGGGGGGGTTTTTTTTTTTTGTTTGTTTCAGCGTAGGGTAAAGGCTGAAAGTCGAAAGTAAATAGAGAAATATATGAATAACGAATCTTTCGAGGGAAAGGGATGGGAAAGGATGGAGAGGAAGAAAGAGCTGGAGCGATGATGAATGAATCCGCGAGTTTTGGGGTTTGACATTTTTGGCTTTTTGGCCGCACTTCCCAAAGAGGAAACGAAGGTCTCTCCACCACTACTACTACTATCTCTTCAAATACATTCATCTAATCCAAAAAGTATAGAAATCCTGGGCTAATTACGGACTATGCTCTGGGTATTTCTATCGTTAAGCCTATATATAGACTAGATTGGAAACCTATTTTTATTATCCCATGATATCTACCTACATAGTACCCAAGCAATATAGGGATTTCCTGTTAACTAGTCAATAAACAAGCCTTCAATATTGCAAGCTTATTAGATGCTTTATTTAGCTATGAAAAAGTATTATCATTCCTGGCACTATAGGGGGGTGTGGTGTCCCTGAGATTCTTTTGAAAAGTACACTCTCAACTTGTCCAGAATCGAAACAAGCGGTTTAACCTCCTACCTAGGTATGTACATATCTATGCTATAGTTACTGAAAGTCGTCAAACTAGCCAGGTCTTCCTCCAGATGACCAAAAAAAAAAAAAATTATGCCACAAGGTCTTCAACCGTCTGGAATACTGCACCTCCACTCCATTTGGCAGCCCGGTCCTGGTCTGACGACTCATACAATGACTGCGCCATAGCCGTCAGGGTGGACTCGTCTCTTCCGCTCACTCCTGGGAGTTGACTCTGGATCCAGCTAATGATACCTGCTCGAGTGATCAGGGTTGTGCTGCCTTGGACTTGAGTTGCCCGGAACAGCAAATGTAGAATCCGCCTCTTGGCGGAGAACCCGGCGCTAGGTGAGTCGTAAAACGCGAGAACGCGCTCGAAAACGTTAGCTCGACGGTAGATATCCATATCCTATATATATGCGTATTAGCCACACTTTCGATAAATATCTTGCTTCTCGGATAGGGATGGAAAACATACGTTTCCAGCGCGTAGACCCTTGATCAGCAAGTCAAGTAACCAGCCTACTTCTTCGAAATAACCGTCATCCAACTCCGGTTCATGCAACAGGATCTTGTCGATCCAGTAAGATGGGATCTTCTCCGGTTCCCAGGAAGGAGCCTTTTGGAGGAACTTGTTGACCTTTCCATAAAGTTTATGCATGGGATTTACAAGAACCGCCAAGCAGCTGGCAGCGCATTCCCCGACAATCCACGGGATAGGGGATTCAAGCCCGAGCTGTTTTACGGTTTCAAGCAGCTCTCCTGTAAGAATGTATGTAGATCGCCATTCCGCATATTTGGATTCCTGTAGAACTTGAGTTAAATCACTTTTGACTCCGGGCCTTTTTTTTTTTTTTTTTTTACGTTTGCGGGAGGAGGCGAACCTTTAACTTCAACATGAACCGCGGTATACCTGCGAAGGCCTGTCGTCGCACTTCTTCGTGCTCCGAGGACAAACAACGCATGAGCTCTGCAATATGACCTTCTTCCACCGACACTTCCAGGTCTTTCTGTTCCCAGCGATGTAATTCGTTGTGTGTTGTGCCCTCGGCAGGTAGAGCGCCGAAAATTTCGATCAAGTCCACGTCCTGCTTTTCTCCTTTCGAAGGGAGAGGCTTCTCTGGGTCAGACTCAGCATCCCGCATATCAGTGTCATTTTGCACATCCTCAGCCTCTTTCAAGGATTTCTTCAGCCGCGACTTGAGCTTTTTGTCATCGGTTGCATTGACCAATGGATCCCGCGCAGCTTTCAATGCACGCAGATCTTCCCCAGATGAACGGAGATTCTTCAGTAAGTTGACAACAAATGCGCCCACAGCTTTTTCCACTTCCGCTTTCCCCGCCTTGAAAATGAACGGCCATTGTTCGACAACGGCCGCCACGAGGGGACTAAGAGACTGTGACGTATCCTCCACCAACGATCCCAACAAGTCAAAATAATGAACAGGCTTTTTAGCTATACGGCAGGCGCAATTATCAAAAAAGACCAACTGGTGATGGAGGGAATCCGAGTCCGAAGATTCGAAACTTGACAGAAGGGCAGGAAACGATGAAGTGCGTTGAAGAACCGAATGTTCTGTCAGTACATTTCGGAGAAGGGCATCAATATCCTTGAGAGAGTCTCTTGAGGAAGCTTCAATGAGAACTTTTAGGATAGACGTAAATGCGGAAAACTGCATGGAACCTGCCCATGGGTTAGAAGTAATGCTCGGAAACGGAATGTAAAACACAACTTACCAGGTTGTTGCCACCAGCGAAGGGACGCGGACTGTTGGGCAATTCTGAGGATATTCTGTAGTAGACTGAGCAGAAGTTCAGAATCCTCCTCCCCGAGATTTTCCTCGTCTAGTCGTTTCAGAGCATCGACCAGAACCAGTGACACATCAAATCCCTCATCAAAGGCAGCGTCGGGGGTCACTTCGTAGAAGCATGCAAGCAGCTCCGAAACAGCGTCTTGTTGTTGCAAATCGTCCTTCGCCGTTCGTCTGAACAGAGTTACGACATCCTTCACCAGAGGGCATCGGTGACAGAACTCAACCACCAGCTTTTCTGCAGCCTGGGTCCAAAGAGGTTGGCTGGCTCCGTGATCAGCATGGAAAATTTTCAAGACGGCTTTCAATTTATGGAAAGATAAGGTCAAAATTCGAACAGCAAAGAGAGTGACAATTTCCGCATTCACGTTCAGGCACCGAGTTAGAATCTTTTGCGTGAGGGGCCGTGGGAGCACATTCTCGATAACGACGGAGACTGGCGGAGGCATAGTGGGTAGCTTATCCTTCCAACCACAGTGGGCAGGAACAGGCAGTCTAACCGCGGAAAAGAGCACTGCAGACTCTGCCATCCACGAAGGAGTAGGTTTAGGATCCGAAATGAACATGGTTTTCTTCGTGAAATAGTCAGCGATGAGCTCTGGTGCAGCTTTGAAGATCGCCAGCAGTAGTTCAATCTGTTGGCTATCCGACTCCGGACGAAGAGTCTGGATAAGGTAAGAGAGCGTTCCGTTACGGACTGGAACAGACTCTTTGAATTTGTCTACGAAGGCTGCAGAGTCCAGCCCGAGATCAATCGATGTGTCATCGTCAAGAGGAGGCGATTCGGGATCACTGCCATTGGGATACCAGCCCGTCTCCGACAGCAAGACACCATGTTCGGTTTTCGTGCCAACAGCCATCAATATTTTGTGAATCTCATCAGCGATCGAGATATTGGTCGCATTTGACTGTTCAGATTCTCGGTCATACCCATAAAGCGTGACCAATCTCTCCAGATTCCAGCGGCTGAAGAACTTCGTTTTCGTTTGTCTGGAAAGAGATGCATCCTGGACTATATCCCGATCGATAGATTTGATGACTTCAACAACAATCTCTCGCGGGTCTTTCTTCAGGTATTCAATGAATGCCCTGATGACCTTTTGCTGCTCAATAACATCGGTTTTCGACGTGACATGCTGGAATTTCAAATTGGCCAGGACATATCTCTGAGCATTTCTCCGCAGCGTAGACGCATTGGGGTCGTCTGAGGTTTCCTCTAGTTGCGCTTTATTCGGCGTCAAAAAGACATCAATCCGCTTGAAGGTAATGTACCGGGCAAGATAGAGCTGCCTTGCGACCGCGCCGCCATCAAAACTGACAATTTCCGTCAAGAGACGGAGACAAGGCGAGATCAAGTGCTCCTTGGATTTATTCGCCGTAAGACCCCGATTGAACAAACGGAGCTGCTCCTTTTGCAGCAGATATTTGCACAAGGCGATGCCGAAGTCGCGGAACCCCAAATGGCTCGACACTGTCTTAATGAACAGCGCCAGAACAGAGGGGACAACCGTCAACAAGGACTCATTGTTGTTGGTATCGGCGAATCCCCAGGTTTGGACCAAATCCGGGAAACAGACTGGCTCCTCGGTAGTGCGAGAGATTTGGGAGTCGCAGTAAGCTTTGAGGATGCGGAACTTTTTAGCCTTCTCGCCTTCATTCTCCGCTTGAGCGATAGAAGTGAGAAATTCCTTGAATTTCCTTACTCCTTGATTTAAATGTTAGTTTGGGAGAGAAGCAGCAGCTATGGACATACAGAGATAGTGTCTGGGTTCTCACCATGCTTTGATTCCGGGACATTCTGCTGAAAAAGTAGCAGAGAACGGAGCTCTAGATGTGATGCGATGACAGGAGAATCTCCGGATTCTTGGGGATCATCTAGCTTCCTTCTCTTTGCGAGAGGAGCCCGATCCTCATGCGGGGACATTCTGGGCTAAATTATGAAGCTGTTTGATATGGCTTGAATACCATCCAGATTATCCAGAGCAAATCGGCAGGGAGCAAAAAATCTATTGGCTTCTTTTGGTAAGCAGGCAGTGCCGCCTTAAGCAGCTGCGGCAATATCGGAGCCTTGTTGATCCGCTCCGGTTTTTTTTTTATCACATTTAAATAACTAGCATTTTTAAATCTATTAGTTATTGTCCAACCAAGATTTATGCGAGAAACTCTACTTAGAATTCTTCATAGAGGTAGGGGGAAAGGATATATATATATAGAGGTCAAATATAGGATTATTATTACTACTCCAAACAAATATATATTCCACCAAAATTCCCCTTGTGGACAGTAGATCAATAAATCTACTATCGGCGGACATCTGGGTATCAAGTTAAAACTAAGAAAAGAAAAAAAAAATGAGAGACTAGATCATAACCATTCTTCCATGATGTCGGCACTACTAGTAGTACACCTTTTCCTCATAAACAGGGGGGACGCCCTTGTCGACATCCCACTGGATTCTGTTCTTGTCATCCAGCCAAGCATCCTCATCCGTGATGGGGATGACCTTCATGGTGTGGCGCACTTCCTGGCGACTGACGCCCATATCATCGCGAGGGATCCAGAGCAAAGGTGCCTGGGAACTGATCGCAGGGTGGTAGTATGCGTTGTGCGCCACCTCGGGGGAATAGGACATGATTTCATTACCATTGGGAACCAGACGTCGCAGCTGCTTATAGCCACTATACTTATCGGGGCGCAGATACTTGATGATGAAGTTGGCCTTGGGCTCCGCAATGGGCATGCCGGTCAGGCCTTTCTCAGCAAAATCCACAGTGTCCAGGCCATTCTCATGTCCGTTCTCATGTGACTTGGGGGCGGTGGTAGTGGCAGTGACGTCATCACTTTGCTCTCCATTCGCGGTGTTGCCGAGGGCAGTGGCCTCTTGAGAAAGAAGGGCTTCCTCTTCCGCCTCCAAGTTCTTGGGCAGATACTGGATGAGAGGCTCCAGGGCCTGGTTGAGCGCAAAGTGGTACAGAATCATGACAACAAGGAGGATAATGACAATGACGAGGGGTCCAACGGCGATTGAGTTTCCAGCCGCGCCAATGGCAAAGAGACCAATCAGACAGACGACCAAAAGGTAGCATCCGGTGGTAAGCTGCTGCAGTCCACGGGCATAGTTTTTGCCCTGGGTGTCAATGTCGGCATTCGACACGTACAGCATGTTATAGCGGTACGCAAAATAAAAGAGGTACAGACCGACGGTCGCGAATCCCAAAACCAGTGGGGCAATGCAGGAGTATGTAATAGCTGTTACCGGTCATTAGCCAAAACAAGGTCCACCCATCACCACAACCATACCCAAGAATAGATACATACCAATAACTGCCAGGAGGGTGAAGACAGGGTAAACAGTTCCCCAGCCCAGGCCGGCAAGGCTTGACCAGCGGCTGTACATCTTTCGTGGAGTGTTATCCAACAAGCGACCCAAGATCTTTCCAATGATCAATCCAGTAATCTGAAGAAGTGCACCGGAACTGAAAGACAGGCCCTGCAGGACAATGTACGAAATGTAAAAGTTGGAAGCAGTGGGAATATTGTTGGCAAGCAGCGAGGCGGCAGAAGTGGGCTCTTGGACAATCTTGGTCACGACACTGCTGGCGGACGACGCAAGCGTGACGACGAGGAAGACCTGGACCACTTGGAAAGCGAAGTAGAAGTTTTGGGTTGTCAATTCCACGGCCGCCAGGGACGGAGCGCCACCCAGTTTGGCCATCACTAAAGGCCAACAGTCAGCCTGTGCAAGTCCAATATTGTATCAGGGGATAAAACTCACAGCGAAGAATGATGGGCAACAAGGCCATAAGCACGGACATCAAGACAGTGGGGAGAAGACCGGTAATGACACCCTTGATCCAGCCGGGCACATGGTTAATGAAGCGAAGAAAATGGAGCTTGTTAGTCAAGCTGTCGACATTGGAGATAGAACCGACGAATGCGGTGGGGATGGCCCAGAAGATAATCAAAGCCACGACAAAGGCGATAGTGGCAGAGTAACGAACAAGGCGCTCCCACCATTTGATACGCAAGTTGGACCAGATGATCTGGCTGGGTTCCAATCCAATATACCGGGGGGACATGTGAAGAGGGAGGTTATGAGCCACTGGAAACCGGGTCAGCATGTCAAGTCCTTATGATTGAGAGATCAGACGCCGGCAACTTACCCGACTGGAAGGCAGCTTGTGCATCTGCCTGAGCATGAAATTCCACAAACACTGAAGTTACCAGCTTGGCATCCCCCGCCTTATGTTTCGCTTGAAGCTCCTCGATCTCAGGGGTGAGACGTTCGATCTCAGACCGGGCCCAGTTGATTGTGTCAACCTTCTTGCCAATAAGAAGCGTAAGGCGATGAGTGGGGCGATCGGAAGGCTTCACCCAACGAGCGGCAACAGAGCCAGACTCGTCATCATCTCCCTCAGTCTCTGGGGAAATCGGGACATCCTCGATGTGGCCATTCTTCTTCTTGAGAGTCTTCAGTCGTGCAGCATTTGCGGTGCGGATCAATTTAGTTTCGGCACCTTCCAATTTCATCGCAGCCTTATCGCGCTCCTCAACCTTGTCTTCCAATTCGGAGGTATCGGTTGCAAGCCACACATTCTTAACCTTCTCCTCGCCAAACATGCGGCGGATCTTCTCGCGGTCCAGATAGTCCTCGGTGACAGCTGTGAAGAGTACAGTGCGGGAGGACAGTCGGCTCGCATAAGACGCAGAGAGCGAGTAAGCCTGGCGAAGGTTGATGTAAAACAGGCTCTCGCGGGTGATGGTAAAGAAAACAAACCCTATAGGGTCCCATTAGGTTCAATATCACGATGCAACCCAGTCGCAGGGCGGCCTTACCAACAAAGATCCAGGCAACAAAGGCATGCGCAAAGTACCGCGCATATTTATCCTTGGTGACATTAGACATGCTGAGAATGTCCATTTGGTGCTTACCCGCACCTCCAGTCCCATTGATGGGCATCAAAATGGGCCAGGTGATCAAGCATCCGACGAAACAGATCATCGAGATAATCTTGAGGAAGCGCAGGAGAAGATAAGCATCCATAGAGTGATGCTGTAGCACATACTCGTCGGGCAAGCGGTACATGTCAAAGATCCAATTCATCAAACCAGTCGACGAGGGGGGGGTGCGCTCTGACTCGCGCAGGAATCCGAGATAGGTACGAGGCATATACATGCGGCGCTCACTGCGGCGCAAAAAAATGAAAACGAGGACCATAACCACGGCGATAATCAACGAGGGAACCAAGGTGGTGACCAAACTCGAAGCCGAGTTGGAGGTGTTTTGCACACTATCCTGTCTCAAGAGTTAGGGCGAGGATAATAGCTGTGGATGCTGGGCATGAGCCAAAACTTACATCACGGCGGATGAATTGATGAAGGCCCTGATGGCCAACATCGAAAATTGCCATAGTGGGATCGAACGTATCTCAGCACGGGCGGTTGTTGACTTGAAAAGGGGGAGGGAATCCCGGGGGGGGGGGGGGGTGTGGAAAGCTTCAGCCGTGAAAAGCGACGACGTGAAGCGGATAAAAAGGAGAAAATCTGGTGAACAACCAGGAAAAGGTTAATGATTAAAGAGAGACAGGAATGAAGGGAGGAAGGGGGGGGGGGGGGGGAGAAAAGAAAAGAAAGGACGCCGAAGCGAGAGAGAGAGAGAGAGAGAGAGAGAGAGAGAGAGAGAGAGAGAGAGAGAGAGAGGGAGCGAGTGAGAGGGGCAGCAACAACAACTGTTCCAACGTGGAGAAATTTGAAAAAAAAAAAAGAAAATACTCCGTACGCCCACAGCAACACCAAAAGGGTTAAGATATGAAGTAAAATCTTAAAGGTGGAACCCGGAATGAAGATGAAAAAAATGGATCATGGCTCATCCCAAGATCGGTCGGAGGGAGGTTCCTGAAGCAAATGGTTTCATTGGAAGACTGGCCGAAGTCGATGACGATGAGTGTGCAAACTAGAATCGTGGATCGCCGATTAGTCCCGCTGAAGTTGAAGTTTTCGAACACTTCATTGTGGCGTCTTGCGCATGGTGGCTGGAGTTGAAAACTTGAATTTCCAAATTCCAATAGTCTCGTTAGTGCACACTAGGGGATCAGGTGGAAACTGGGAAATTGGCTCCTGACTCGACCACGATGGATTAATTCATTGATCTTTTTCAGAAGAATAACCCTGGCCAATATACCAGAATTAAACATTCAGTCCAAAATATAGTATCTACTAATTGACTCAAACAAGATGCGGCAGGCTCGGACATCTTCCCGCCATCTGGGCACCGGTTGAATTTCTTGGGAACGGAGATAGCCAATTGCAGTGATCCGGTGTGGATGACTGTATGTACTTGGACGGACATGAACCAAAAAAAAAAAAAAAAAAAAAAAAAAAAAGCAAAAGCAACAGTGAACTCGACAAAATTGGATGACGGCACCTTGATAACCGGCCTTCCATCATTATCAGCGGGGGTCAACGACATGATCATTCCGCCAACATGGTAATGTTACTACTGTCTTCGCATGTTCTTCACGATCCCCCCCCCCCAGTACTGGTATCGATATGTGTCGCCGACCACTGTATCGGGATGCAAATCATGATAGCCAAGGGAAACGTGCCGAACAAAACTTTCCCCCTGGTTGGAAGACTGCGGGAAAAAAGTAGAATCCGTGACGTTGACCTCAACATCGGGTTCATCTAAAAAGGTGCCTGACCATGCTACTAGATAGTATTTAGATATTAAAGTATATAAGATTTGCTCCCTGTAGAGTAGATTACATTGGCTGATTATAGAATACTATATTTCAGGACGATAGAATACTAGGCATTACACTTCGCAATTCATCCAATCTTTAGCAAGACAGGAGTTCCACCTGTTTGAAAGGCTTTCTTATAATAGGTTAGGACAGGCCCTCAGAAAGTATCACTCCTTGCCCTGGGGGAAACGCAGCGATTTCGTTCTGCTTGTGGAAGCCAATGACCTCGAGCAGATGGGAAATAGAGAGGTCACCTAATACACCACCGCATGGGATGGTTCGAAGGAACCTTGCTACCACGTCAGCTTGGGGTTTGCATAGGGATGCAATACTAGTTTACCGGCCTTGGACCTGCGCGCGCATCTGATTTGTTAAGCTTAAGCGCTGGTACTAAATTTCCTCAGCATCCCTATAACTACTATAATTAGTAGCGACTCATTGGGGAGGGCTGATTGGAAAGCTACCGATCAAACTTTGAAGAGCAAAGTAGACGGTCCTTTTCCTTGAGGACGAACATATAAATATGGATGGTAACCGAGTCAAAGTATCAAGCACCACTAAAACCAGAATAGCCAGCAGCAGCAGCATTAGCTATCCCCGGATCAAGTGAGTATGTATGCAGGAGTATCATCATGTTCATTTGGCAATCACTCACAAAGGTTCCCTCCACCCAGGTACCACCTAAACACACTATGCAAAATCCCAAACTATACGTTGTGTTTTATCGCCCTCAATGCGGCAACTACCATTCTTGGGCTCCGTATGTCGATGATGAAGACGCGCTGATGATCTTTGAGGTCGTTGGACAACATCCGGACTTCCAGCGCAATGTTGTGAACGCCAAGGCTGAAAAGTCCAAGAGCTTTCTGGGCAAGGAATACGTTGCGGTCATCAGTAAAGCCGACATAGAGAAAATCAAAGAGGTTGCGTCAACAGTTCCTGTGGACAATGAGACGGTGGAATGGGACTGCCAGGACTACGTGCTTGAGATCCTTGACAAGCTGGAGGATGAGTTTATTCTGGAGGAGTACGATGAAGACTATCGTGAAGCGCGAAGAGTTTTAAGGGAGAAAAAGGGGTGCAATTATCTGATAGTCTCATTGTACAGAAGCTACTTTCAAAACATGCCGATGGGCCTGCTCATAAAACTCGCGTTTCTCGGACTCGATCGAGAAGCCACCACTGAGCGTAGAGATTTGGGGAGACACATTCTGGCAGATAATAAAACCAGTCATCTTTCTCGTACGGGCTGAGGCAGTTTGTGCACCGGACAGATTCATAATAGTCAGGGTAGAAACCACTATATTCCCAGTCAAGTATTCCAGAAATCACGTACTTGGTGTCGACCAATTCAACCATGATATTGTCCGGCCTTATGTCTCCGTGGGTGAAAACAATGCGAGGGCCCGAACTGTTTGTGAACGATGGTGATAATTGACGAAGCCGCCCCGATGCGGGCTCGAGAACAAAAATGTTTCGAAATCTTCACGGCTAGTGATAGGTGTCTCGCTCGTTCGAACATGCCTCCTGAGATCTCTACAGCCTTCACCTGCGACTCCTCCCAGAGGAGTCCCTTCTGGAAAAGGAAGCGTTCTCAAATCTGCCAGTATCGAGCTGAGTTGATTGCTGAGAGAGGAAAGAGAATTTCAACCGGATCTGATGGGCAAAGAGATCATCACATTATCAAATCAGCTAGAGCAATTGCGAATCCAAGCTTTGTTAGCCCATTCACTACTCCCTAGATTCCGCACTGTTGATGCATGGAAAGTGTAGGGCGGTTCCCCATTTCTCGACCTTTTCCAGCCATCTGAATCACAGTGGAAGCGCCACGCAGAACCATTTTTGTCCCATCCTGTAAAGCTTGAGCCAGCTTCATGAAAAACTCTTCGAACCCAACGTTTAGCATCGGTGTGTGGACACGCTGAGAGAGACTTCAAACTCGTGGGAGGGATTTCGTGTAGGGGTTCAAATTTATACCAAGTCATCACAAACAACCTCTTATCCCTCTCCAGAATTGGCGTTCGTCAGCCATGAACACAGAACTGGTCGTTCCAGCGATTGGGTCGCCTCTGGCTTTATATCGTAACTTCTCTCAATGATCCTATATATATATATATATATATGTCTATAGGGAGTGAAGGCAATATTCCCATCAGAAAGAACAACCAGCTGTGATTCACACTCAAATTAATGAATTAATGTTCAGCCAAACCTAGTGTATCTATGATATGATATCGCCGGAAATCCATATATTAACGATCAGATTCCGAGAAAAAAAAAAAAAATTCATCATTCATAACCACTTGCTCCCATGCTATTATTTTGCATTTTACTCCTTGCTCAAAGCATTATCCTTTACCTGCCAAAGTCCCGAACATCCAAAAAAAAAAGTTACTCCTCATCAATGGCGCAATTGGGATGCAGCACGTAGACAGTTCGTTGGGAGTGAGTCTCACTGGCGTCTTCAACTAGACCTTCTCCGCGAATGGGCATGAGAATGTTATCCTGCAGGTAGAAAGCATGGTTAGTATACAGACCACAAGACATAAGATTATTTAAAAAAAAAAAAAAAAAAAAAAGGGTAAAACGAACCTTTACCATGCGCTTCAAAACCTTCACGGCGAGGCCGCGTTCACGTTGCAAATCCTCCTCGTTGTTCAGCTCGGCCTCGATCTGCTCGAGGTACCAGACCAGCAGATCTTCTTCTTCGACACCTTCACCGGACTGGGACTCATCCTCACGGATGCGTCTCACAAAGAGGTTCAGAATCTTCATGTACTTGTCGTATGTAATCTTGGTCTTGAGTCGTTGTTGTGGCTGCGGCGGCGCTTGCTCTCCTTCCTCGCGCATCGGGCTGTCTCCATCCCGGTCACGATCCATGATATCGTGGTCTTCCTCGTCCGCACGTCCCGCCGTAGTATCTTCGTCATCCTCAACCTCGACATCGTCTTTCTCAACGGTGACAATACTCTGCCTGAGAAGGTCGTACGCCTCACGCACAAACTTGGGGACGATTTCTTCAACGCAGTTGACCTTGGCAATCGCTTCAGAGAGACGAATGAGGGACTCGAGCTGACGGACAGTAATACGGTATGAGGAGCGCCCCATGCCGCCCTGAGCATCGTTGGCGCGAAGCTCCTTGTATTTCTCAACGAGAAGAACCTTGGCTTCCTCAGTGAAGACGGGACGGAAGGTTCTGGCGAAACGGACGTAGCGTTGTAGCTGCTCAGTGCTAAACTCCGGTTGGACAGCCTCGTCGCGGTTCATGTGCACGTTGACAATATGGTCCGCTAGACTGCGATCTACCGACTCATTGGGCTCATCGCGGATCACAAAGAACAAATCGAAACGACTCATAATCGGAGCACTAAAGTTGAGGTTGCCGCGAAGGGTGGTCTTGGGGTCATAGCGGCCGCCAACTGGGTTGGCTGCGGCGAGAATCGAGGCACGCGCATTAAGAGTGGTGTGAATACCGGCCTTGGCGATAGAGATGGTCTGCTGTTCCATGGCTTCGTGGATGGCAACTTGATCACTAATATCCATCTTGTCAAACTCATCAATGGCGCAAATACCACCACCGTTCTGCACAACGAATTAGTCTTCTGGGAGGAAAAAAATTGAAAGCGAGATCAGGACGTACAGCTAACATTAGAGCACCGGCTTCGATAGTGAATTCTCCGGTTTCCGCATCTTTCACCACTGATGCGGTCAAACCTGCCGCGGAGGAGGCTTTACCACTGGTGTAAACGGCACGGGGATGCAAGGAGCAGATATATCTATCACGGGAGGTTAGTGATGAGGCCAAAGCCCAGGAATGTTTATCCAGGAAAGGCTTACTTCAGGAATTGACTCTTGCTTGTCGATGGGTCACCAACGATGCAGATGTTGATGTCACCACGGAGTTGCAAATTCTCCTGCTCGGTGCTTTTGGCAACTCCTCCGACCAGCTGCAGGAGCAGTCCTTTCTTAATTTGACGGTGACCATATATCATAGGAGCGATTGAGTCTACCAATCGGGAGTAGATATATTCGGAATGAACCATCTTTTTCAAATCTTGGACATCGGATGGGCTCAAACTCTGGAGCAATGCTTCTTGCGCCTTATCGTCGTTAGGCTCTGGGTCTGGGTTCTGATTGAGGGATCCCAAAATTCGGTCCGATTGGCCGCTCAAATGTTGATTTGGCTGTTGCCCAGGAGTTGTGGTATCCGGTGTTACCATGCAGGCCAAAAACGCTAGTCTGTACGTGAGATCTCTCACACCAAGAGCTTTAAGTCCACTAACTCCTCCACCACCGACATCGTTGCTGCGGAAGGCGCTGTTATCCCGCACTGCCTCAGGTCGCACACCAGGGAGTCCCAGCTGGCTGACATCAGGAATCACAATGAGGGTACCGGTAAAGATACACCGCTCACCAGCCTTGACCCGGTCGACCATTTCACCACGCAAGATCACGTCCATGGTTCGGGGCATGCTGCCGGTGGGGATTTCGTGCGAAGATTCCTGGAGTTTCACCTTCTGCCAATCAACGAAGGTGCTCTTCCCGATCTCCAGACGCCATCCTTGTCGGTTTCCACAAACAGTATTGGGGCATTGTGTGGGTTCCGTGTAACGGAAAGTTTGCTCCACGTTGGTGCAAACTGTCCTGCAGGCCTCACAGATAAAGGTTCCAAGCGACAATTCTGGTCGAATCTCAGATGTTCGTGTGACAGTACCGGAGATCGAAAGTAGCTTTCCGATCTGCGAGGTGCGGAGCTGTCGGAGTCTCGATACTAGAGGCAAATTGTAGAAGGCAAGAGAGAACAGCTTATCAGTCTGTTGGTGTCGAGTTTTTTCACGAATAGTACGTGCGAGGTTAGGGTCGTCGGACACGCTGGCGTTTCCAGCCACCATAGATGTGCCAGCCTGGGAGGAGACGCTACTGGTTGCCTGCCGATGCGAGACGAAATATTCCGGTTCGTATTTTGCGATTAGATTATGCAAAGCCTTGATCAAAAACGGCTGGAACCGATAGTACTGGTTTGCAATTGCATCTGCTAAAATCGGATTATCCAACGAAGTAAGATGCGTAAAGTCCACATAGAGCGTGGACAGCTCCCATTTTGCCATTCCATGGATTTGAGCAATGTAGTACTTATTGCTAAGTTGGGAAGATTGTGGTTGGTGAGGGGTCGGTGCTTGCTGTTCCTCCATATAATTCTCTAGCAATTCCTCAAAGGCTTGCTGCACTTTCTCACCTGCAAGGTCGACAACCGGAGGTGGGCCAGGGAGGTAGGGATTTCGCAAACGGGTCACCGTCGAGCCGTTGTTCTCCGCAACTTGGTCGTCGGGGAAAGCATGCGCATCACTCATTGGGGCATTGCTTTCGGACATAGGCTGTGGCCGTGAACTGGGCAATTGATCCGAATGAAGCCCCCGACTATCGCGAGAGCCGGCAGTTGAGCCCAGCTCAGATTGGAGCACGGCATCGAAGAGGGAAGACATGACCACAAGGGGGGAGGGGGGGTTGGCCGCAGTTAGGCCACAAGGGAAGGGCGGATTGTGTCAGATAGGAAAGCTGTATGGAATGCCCCAAATATACAAATGTCGGATCTGTTTTGCAAAAGGAAGGGGGGGGGGGTGGTAGTGTTGTACCGACAACGTTTTTCTGCTTTGATTCTTTCCCACCATCGACAAATTCATTGATTTCTTCCACCGACGCGTCCCTGACACGAACGCGTCGGAGAAATATTTCTGCGAGCCGTACGCGTAAAGTGGTTTCCAGATTAAGCGATGCTTACCTCAGCGGCGAAGGTACCGCACGGGCCTCCAAACTAGGAAGGTGCTCGGACCCACTGAAAAGAACCCGGCGGATCCCTTCCTAATGTAGGAAGCCACTTCCGCATCCAATCAACATGTGACTGGATAGTTTAGCCGGGGCTAAATTGTTTACAGCCAATAGAAACCCGCACAGTGCAGCTTTAAACTCCCGCAAGTGGATTGATTGACTGGGGCCTCAGGCTGCTAGTTGGTGGTTGACCCCCACTAGTATTCGAGCCAGCGTTATTTCCTTCCTCCCTGATTAGAGCAGGCCTTGAACGGACTCTGCACTTGAGAGTGACGGACGAAGGCCACTGGTGACATTCCACCAGGCCGATGCCAAAGATAGATAAGCATCCATCGTGCTGCTTTTCTCTCCAACCGGCTGGACTCCATGCTAACTCTTGAATGTCTTCTGCTGCCATGATTCTTCCTCTTTCCACTGAGTGCCAATTGCTTTTCCTCTTGGGGAACTTTTGATCGTCTTCTCACCCAGCATGTGGCACTAATGACCTGTGTCTCACTCTGTTTGGTTAATCATATTGCCTCAGGACTTTCTGGCCACAAGTTTCGCAATGTCCGCAGACAGCTGTCTTTCGACTGAGCTGATCCACTCCGAACCTGCTCGTGAGCCACAAGATGGTCCATCTGAATCTCGTATTCGGCGTTCGTTATTCCTGTCGCTGTTTGCTCTCTGTTAATGTCTGACAATGTTATCTCGCTAGGAGGCGCAAATGGCGGCCCCGAGAACCCACTAAAGATCAAAAGGCGGAAGCGGCTCCCTATTTTCGATAATGAGGGTTCAGGCAAACAGATGTTTTATTTTGTCGACTCTAATTCGTCCTCTCGGGAAAAGCGAGCACACGTAATGCGCCACCATGTTCAAGAGAAACGGAAACTACGAAAGCACCCACAAGTGCGGAATGAGAGCGAAAAGAGGATCAATCGATCGCTCCGTTATCTCCCTTGGCAGCAGAAAACACTAGATTTCCAGGAAATGGAGGATCCTGAGTCTACCGAAGTCTTACTGCCTGCACTCCAAGTTGGAGACACACCATCTTCCCCAAGTACTCCCGTATGTCATATATTATCTTTTCAGGTCTCCAGTGCATCCCAGTGAGCGGCAATGTTTGACAATTAGTTTACTGACAGGCGCTTAGTCTCAGACCGGAAATGAACTTGCAATTTTGGCGCCTGAGCCGCACAGTCAGGAGCCCGCCTATACACCATCACCTGTTACGATTCTTGATGCATCGAGAAAAGACCCTTTTAATAGTTTGCCGCTCTGCGCACCTGTAGATATGGAACTGGCCGATTATTGGGCGAATAAGCTCAGCTACTGGTCGGGCCAAAACAAGTGGATGAAAGATGTTGTCTTCAAGGGTTCCATGGATCACCCACTGTCTTTTCAGGCTGTCGTGCTTTCATATTGTGCGCGATGGAAAGCGCAATTATACAACCAAAGTAATATCAGCGAGGTGAAATATTACTTGGGGTGTGCGAGAAAGAGCATTGACGATGCTATCAAAGGGCACGTGCAGATTGATAGTGATGGATTGGCAATGGCACTAGCAGGAATGGCCTTGCAGGAAGACCGATTCGGCAGTAAGGACGAGGCTAGGAAATACGAAGATCGCGCGGTTGAAATCCTTAGAACTCGTACTCGATCTAGCAGTGTTGCCGAAGTTTTCTTCCATTATTCACGATGTGTTATGATGCCACCTCCAAGTCCTGTCGTGGAGGATCGCCAGGAGTATCTCGTCACTTTTCTCCGGATGGCAGAAGAGTTAATGCTGGCACACAGTACCGACACGTTTCTGACATCTGTTCCCCAGCGCTGCGAAGCTTTTCAAATGGACGGTCCATTGTTCCCGTTGCTGTCGAGTGGACCGCGCCCCTCTCAGGTCCCTCATGACTCGCGAATATTCGTCGTGCGCAACGTGCCTACCCAAGAGGTCACCCGCACTGCCGCCTTAATCTACATTACTACCACGCTTTGGGATCTCCAAAATTCTCCAAGTAAAACCGCGCGCTTCCTTACCCACCTGCACAATATCGTGAAGGAGCATAACCTTGACCGGTATCCTGCATGTGAAACCTTTATCTGGCTACTCCTCGAGGAGAGCTGCGATTCCGACCTTAAGGACCCTGAACGGGGATGGTCGACGGGTGAACTATTGAAGATGCATAAACAACTCCGGCCGGACCTACAATTCCAATATAACGAAACTCTGCTGAGCCTGCTGATGCTCACTCCCCCGATACGGGGAGTTGATACGTTTGAGAAGGAATTATGTCCCTCCCTGGTGGAGGATGAAAGCGATCGTTGAGATACCCAGCCCACATTTCTTGAACGAGCAGATCCTGCATAGCTATTCGGCATTTTTGAGCTTCTTTTAGTCTTGATTGCAGAGGCGTCTTGTCTTGGCTGAGATACTCTCCTTTCTCATTGCCGGTTTCCTTGCCTCAAATTTGCGACGCGTTCTTTTTGGTTATCGACAAAGACTCAGCTCTTCGGAGCTTGGAGCTCAGCCGAAAAACCTCACCTTATTAACAGGGGGCTGGATAGCCCGCATCAAAAACCAGAACAATGGGAGCATATAGACACATGCCGGCGTTCAGGATCAGGTTACCTGGCGTTATATCAGATGAAATATCCAATAAGTGACTTTGGCCTACCTACAATTGAGCTACTGTACTGAGACAGATCCTGTTGTGTAAATTTCAAGTTATAAAATGACTCACTTGCTATCCTGGATATTTCAAGTACAGTAGGACGAATTCGCCTCAGAAGCCTATCCATGGTTTATCTACACAAAAGCTCTTGATTGGACCATTTAAATTGCCCTGCAAAGTATTCGTCGCCGATGCTAATAGACCCCCGCTCACACCTAATTCATCATCACACGCATCGCCAACCGGTCCGAATCATTTCCCCCCAACTTGGGCAAAATACTTGTCAAAAAAGTCCGCCAGCTGTGTATATCTACGTCGCAGATACGCATTAGCTCCCATCATTCTTTCTACCCGCTTCACGTCCCCCATAGACTAGGAAACAAAAAAAAAAAAAAAAACAAGAAAGCGAAAACAAGAGACGAGAAACTTACCCGCGCGTATACTCCTTCAAACTCGACTCCTGCTGCAGATTCGCTCTCGCACCCATCCACCCATGCCACATGGTCTCGTACGTCTCCACGAATCCCCCGACAGCCTTTCGCTCAATGATCTCCGCATACGCCTTGACTTCTTCAGCGGGCTCATCTTTCGAGGCTAGAATGGCGTGCGGGATAGCGATGGGTTCTGCGTCTGCCCTTTCCATGCGGCTGTTGCACATACAGAATAAAACCGAGAGTCAGGACACGTGAATGAAACTTGGAATTCAATAAGGGTCAGGCATGGGGGGCGTATGGCGGAAACTAACGTACCCGGGGTGCACCTGGGCTGTAGCTACAAATGGGGTTTCAGGTCCCGAGGACAGAGCAAGGACCTAGTTAATTAGTTAGTTCATTCAATTCCACCCAACGTTAAAGCACAACAAACAGTAGCTACAACGTAGCAGCAATACGGCACGAGAGAAAAAAAAAAGAATAAGGAGAAAGTAGGGAACATACCTTTCCACCCCAGCAAAGTCCGTAAGCCCCCCACTTCTCCACAGAAGGGAAACCCCCCTTGTACGCCTGCACACTCTCCAGGAGGACCTTCACGTTTTCACCGAACGCGGCCTTCTGGGTGAAAAACGCCCCCAGGGCGGCCTTTTTCTCGTCCGTGTCTGTGGGGAACCACTCGGGCTTTGCACCATCGCCGATAAAGAAATCGGGGATGAGAACGAGGGCGTTCAGCCGGGCAGCGAGCAGGTCCGCGCCCTGAGTGGTTTGAGAGGACATGCCGAAGATGTCGTAGATGGTGAGAAGGGCTGTTTTGGCATTTGAGGGGCCGGTTACATCTGTTTTGTACTGTTAGCGAAAGTCATCTCTCTCTCTCTCTCTCTCTCTCTCTCTCTCTCTCATGTTAGGATTTGGCTTGGGGGGATTGCTTATTTGGTCTATGCGGGCCATGAGGGGTAGTAGGTATGTAGCAAGTCGGATCTATAAGACATACAGGTGTTAAACTTCAAGCCGGCGATGTTGGAGAATGTCCCCTTGGGCGTGTAGTCCTCAGATACTACAGGGGGAATGGTGCGGCAGGCTTCACAGGTCATCTTGGCGATTGGATGCGCGAGAAGGAGAGTTGGGTGTTTTTGGTGTTGAAAGAAGAATCCTGTTGGGGGTGTCATCAAAGCATTTTGTATGAGGCTCGGGCCGTTAGCGGGCCGAGAGCGGGATACAGATTATGTGAAGGTGGGGGGAGTTTAGTTCTTTACAACTAGCCCTTCATTTTTGAGGTAAATGGGGATACAGAATCAAGATGAAATACGGCATGTCATGGATGGGTATAGAATAGGATCTTCTACTGCGAAGAAGGATTCTATCTTCAGGCAATAAGCATATTTTCTAGCGTACAACAGTATCCGCTAGCATAGCTCCAAGCCACATGCATTTGAATTTAGGCTAACATGTCACATGTCGTACTTAACCAATACAATAGAAAGAGAATGGATTCATGAGTGTACTCTCATGGGACCTGCAGATGACAAGGTCTATGGGCTTTGTGGAAAGGAGTAGGTAGGTAAGCAGGTTTACATGAGATAAGACCTAAACCGCACTTTGTTTGTCCCGGATCTCGGATGAGCGAGTTCAATTTTGATTGTCTTCTCGATCTGAGCAATTTCGGCTCTCACAATAACAGAGCCATGATCTCCTTCGGCATGGTATTTGGTGAGAATGTCAAACGCTTTGTCAGTTCGACCCTTACTGATCAAATAACGCGGGCTTTCTGGGAGGAACCTGAATCGCAAAGAATTAATTAGCGTTATTTTTTTTGTGAACATAAATTAGCCTACAAGACAATAGAGATCTGCACATAGCAGGCGCACAACCTAGAGAAGATACGGGATTCTCCAGGCCCAGTTGCTTGCAATAGTAACCGTACCAAGCCCTACCGCAGCGGCGTAATTTGGCCGATAAAGTAGGACGAGTTAAATAGCGAAGTTAGGATGGGTCGTTAGGATAGGTTCCGCAACATCCTCCTCTCGCTGCTTGCATACCGCAACCATGATAAAGATTTGATATACGCCAGTCAAACGTCTAAAGGAGCCGTCTGGGAACTGAAGGAAAGCTTGGATGCAGCTCCTCCTGTTTCAACGCCCCCGATGGAGAATGTTGAGGGATGCGTATTAGTGCAACATCAGGTTTGACTACACCATTGAATCGTAGGCACATGCCGGGTAAGATCCCCGTCTGAGAGCCCCATGACTGGGCCTGAGGGAGGGATTCCTCCGTCGAAATTACCCATGGGGTTTCCCCGCGGGGTTGGTTTTCCTCGCTCGAAACACTTCTCCAGCGCATCCAAGCAATCAGAATGGCCCGTTCCGCAGGGTCCAAGTCTGCAAGGGCACCACGAGTGGAAGAGGAGAGGAGAGTCGAATTGGGCTTAGATGCAGAGCTTCGCTAGGAAGACTGGATAAACAGCTATCTAGATTTAGCCAGTAATCGGGAGACACTCCCAGGAGAGTGGGAGCGACAGCCATTTCATTTGCTGTTTGGGGACGGCTTTCACTAGCAGACGTCGAGATTGAACAAAATATGCTGATAATAACATAGATATATAGAAGTATATATAAGATCCCGACGATGAGGTGTGGTGAGTAACGGCGGCGAGAAGTGGGAGAGATATCAAGCGGGGCACCGCCGAGCCAGGCGAAAAGTTACCCCTCACTGTACTGCCAGATAACCATCACTCTGTCTGATCTTTTGAATTACGAAGGATTCGTAGCTCTAGGAATAACCTGAAAAAGTCACCATGGCTCATTCTCATTCTCACGATCATTCTCACGACAACATTGCCGAGCATGGCCACTCCCACGAGATCCTCGAGGGCCCCGGATCCTACCTGAACCGCGAGATGCCTCTGATCGAGGGGCGCGACTGGAAGGATCGAGCTTTCACCATTGGAATCGGAGGGTATTTTCTCCTATCTATGCCATCATATTGGATATATTGGTGGAACCCAGCTGACCGAGTAGACCGGTGGGATCAGGTAAAACAGCGCTGATGCTGGCTCTGTCGCGTGCCCTCCGCGACGAGTACAACATTGCCGCCGTCACCAACGACATCTTCACCCGGTACGTCCCATCCGCTGCGGAAACTCCTCCCCGCGGGAGGGGGGTAAGAAAGGTAAGAAATCTAACGATGACATGACACAGGGAAGATGCCGAATTCCTCACCCGCAACAAAGCCCTCCCCGCCGAGCGCATTCGCGCGATCGAAACCGGTGGATGTCCGCACGCCGCCGTCCGCGAAGACATCAGCGCCAACCTCCTCGCGCTGCAAACACTCCAGAAACAGTTCCAGACTGACCTGCTCCTCATCGAGTCCGGTGGCGACAACCTTGCTGCCAACTACTCGCGCGAACTCGCCGATTTTATCATTTACGTGATCGACGTCGCTGGTGGCGACAAGGTGCCGCGCAAGGGAGGACCGGGCATCACAGGGTCAGATCTTCTCGTTGTCAACAAGATTGATCTGGCTGAGGCCGTTGGCGCGGATCTCTCTGTCATGGAGCGCGACGCGGCCAAGATGCGCGAGGGAGGACCGACGGTGTTTGCGGTGGTGAAACACGGCAAGGGAATGGACCATATTGTGAATTTGATTTTGAGTGCCTGGAAGGCCAGCGGGGCGTACGAGCTTAGTCTGCAGCGATGGAAGGAGGGTGCTCCTCGGGGATCTGGGAGCGTTGAGCCTTAGGTGTTTACTATTTTTATAATGATATCTTCACAAGCATTCGTCTCTCTCTCTCCCTCTTTCTCTCCCGTAGATATAGATATAGATATATAGATATATATACAAGTGCAAGACACCCCAGATCAAAGTAAGGATACATATCCATTTATTCACCTACTACCCAATACTCTAATATAATGTACATATCCGTGCAGATTCAAATATATCTAAAACGGATCTGGCTCCTCGCAAAGCACGCTCGTAAGCATCACCGCTTCACTGCTCGCGTGTTCGCCAGGTTCAAGGAGCGTGTTCCGTCCAGTACACCCGGGACCGCTGTTCATTCCATTCCATTTCCACTCCCGTTAGAATGGAAATCATCATATGTATAAGGAGACGACGGATGGGATTGGATTGGATAGCCCAGTAGAACTCACGTGAAGAATCGACACTTTTTCGAGATGGCGACTTTGTAAACCTCCCTATTGAGAAACAGATCAGCTTAGCCCTGCGGATTGGAAAAGAAAAGGAAAGGAAAGGAAACGTACTCTTCATCAAGGTAGTGGCAATCGTCCATTGGGATGGTCACAGCATGGCTGCCCTCCTCTGTTTCGATACCGATCTGTGTGATGAGATCATGTTAGTTTGTTTCTTTTTTTTTTTTTTTTCTTTAGGATCTTGCAGGTGAGAGAGGTCAATGGTGGCGCGTACTGTAGTCGTTTTGGCGGTTGTGGAGGTGACCAGGAGAATGAGGCTGAGCAGGGCGAGCTGGATGGAGCGCATGGCGATAGATTCGGGATTCTGGACAGGCTCTTCTATGAATGATGGTGTCTCGGGTGTGATTTGATTGATCACAGTCAAGAAGACAGAGAGAGAGAAGAAAGAAGTAAAGCTGTCTTGGTGTGAGAAACCCAGGGCTTAAAGATTGCTGTGTTGTCTTTCATCCCTTGCTGGATCGCATTCCATCCCTGAGGTTATTCAACTACACCCTTGAGATCCAAGGCGCCTCAAAGGGCTTACATACTTAGATTGCGGCTCGTCGCAAGGGGTGCGCCTCCAGTCTCGACTATCGCTAGTTAACTAGTTAGTTACGGAGTAGTTAGTTATGTAGTTAGTTATAACTAATTGGAGCTGATATCTAAGCTTCACAGAGACCTAACTAACTATCTAGATCTACAGAGTATGTATAGGAGTATTGGTCTGGAGCTGCCATATTCAATCTCTATCTTTCCACACCCGGTTCTTTATCCGCCATAGACGCTGCACAGCTGCATATAGTTAGTATATGTACCAGAGTCACAACCCGGCGATGGATAATACATTGCACAACGGTAACCTGCCAGTACCCGATTAAACGGTTGATGGTGGTTTGGTGCGCCTCCCGCTAGCAACTCGATGGCAGGGTTCTCTTAGGGCTAATCGGTGCGAGTTATTAGTTAGTTAGTTAATACTTTATTAATATTATTATTAACGGGCTTTAGTTTGGTCCACATGCGACCATACTCGGTCCTACATCCTAGCCACTGCGTACATGTTGTACTCCGTACCTAGGTACCCGCGACTCCGGGCGTTATTGCATGACGTCCAATGTCTTCGGAGAATGCTCGGAAGACCGAATACAATACACCATTATATCCTTGTCGGGAGACTCACTCTGTGCTCTGGAGTTTGGGGTTGAATGCAGGTACAAGGAACTGAGGGAAATGCAAGTATGGGAGTATGACAAGGGTAAACCCTGGCAGACGGGGCGGAAGAAGAGCTCCGGGCCCATAGCGATCATGATGGTAGCTTCGCGTTTGCAGCCTGTTGGTTCTGTCTCTGGGCCTGTGTTGGGAGGCTGCAGGTCGACTCACATTCTCCGAGACAAGTACGGAGTAGAGGGGATTCCTTGCATTTATTCACTGGTTGGAGTGCAGGTATCTGACACGTCCCTTGCAGGGGGAGGAAAATATTTTGAACCAGTGAGAATTAGAATGATCTTGACCAACAATATATAATAAACAAACGACTCGAAAATCCCACGCTGTCGCTATGATATCTTTAAGCAGGAAACATACTACTAAGCTGTGAGCCAGGGCTAAAAATGCAGCAAAAAAAAAAAAAAAAAAAACATGCTAGGGCAAACCAGATGCATGCACAAAAAAGAGAACGCAAAAGAAAGCAAAGAGAAAATAATAAAACGATGTCACGCAGTAAAAGGATTGACTTCAATAATGGTAGATTCCCTGGCTGATAGACCGGTCCTCTCGACACTTGCATAGATCTAGGAGCGACTTCTCTCGGCGCAGACAACCCTCCGCTGGAATAGTTGTATACGACCAGTCGTCTAGACCCGCCCAGTGCGTTGAGTACCACATCTGAAGTGAACTCCAAGGATAGATGAACCAGTTTCGACCTGTCTGCTTGTCGTTGAAGTACTGGGACATTGATTAGCTGTGGCGAACAGGTCTAGAAGAGTCGCAAGGGGAAAAAAAGCAACGTGCACGGAATACGGAGTAAAAAAAAAAAAAAAAAAAAAAAAAAAAAAGGTGAAAACACTCACAGTGCCACAAGAGTCGGTGAAGACTGTCTTCTCGATGGCGGAGTGTAGCTCTTCATTGTAGCGTTGTTCGCATGCCCGCTTCACTTCGACGGAAGCGGCGCGTCCTTCAAGGATGGGCCGGATGACCCGAAGAATAAGATGTGCATAGCTGTACGGAGTAGATACAATGTGAGCTTCTGGAATGATGCCATTGGACTAGACAAGAAATTGGGACTTACTTTTCAATGGCAAATAATGTGGACGTGTGGGCACGTCCCGAATTTGGCCCCAGCACGTAGAAGAAATTAGGAAAGCCATTCATGCCGATTGACTGGTAAGCCTCGATATAGCCAAACTCCTTCCAGTGGTCCTCTCGGCTGCGATTACTTCGACCACGGACCTCGACGTTCCAGTGGGTCAACGAGAACCCCGTTGCTAATATCTGCAGAAGGTCAATCTGGGTAGCCGCCAAGTGGAGAGGATATACGGAGTACTAACCACTGCATCTGCCGGGTAGCTTTGGCCCGAGCGAGTCAAGACCGAAGATTCTTGGAGTGCGACAATGGGGTCCTTGGTAAGGTGCAGCTTGTCGTTCCGGAGACATGGAATGTACTTTGCTTTATCAAATACCCTGCGCTGTTCACAGAGACAAGAAACGTCAGTACCCGAACACGGCAAGTAGAGAGAGGAAACCCCCCGGTGAATTGAATGCACCTAAACGCGGGTAATATGAAACAACCCGAAAAGAGAGCAAGAAAAGGAAAAGTAAAAAACGTTCCGAGAAAAGCAAAACTTACTTTACAGCCAATTTCGTACTGTGGCACCAAGAGGGGCCAGTACTTTTCTAAGTTGGGTCGGTTAACAGTCACTCTAGTCTCTTCATCGTCTGGATTCGTGCTAACCTGGTGTTGATCCTGTCATGTACGCCTGGCTCTTGTTGGCCGCCACGAGGCGTGAACGAGAGCCCTGCTCCCCTCGGCCAATCATGACCGTGGCCATTTCCAAGGACAGAAAGATAACGAAGCGGAAAAGGAGAAGGAATCCCGGAAACCATCGAAAGACGGCCTTCCAAAAGGTGTTGATGTCCCAGTTGTCATTGGGGACGAAGTATTGTGGGGTCTGCGTATATCATTCATTCTATTAGGGTTTGGCACTTGGGCAGTTGGGAGGGAAACTTGGGACGACTGGGGGGGGGGGGGGTTTCTTTCTTTCTTTTCTTTTTCTTTTTCTTTTTCTTTTTCTTATTTTTCTTTTCTTTTTTTCTTTTTCTTTTCTTTTTTTCTTTTTCTTCCCGGACACCCGGTTCTCTTCAGTGGAGATGAAGATACAGAGCCAGTGGAGCAAACGGAACCCGAAGAAATTGAGAGAGACTTACTCGGATGAACTGTGTGATCGACTTGGTTTCGTCAATGATAGCGGGGATCAATTGGGCAGCAGATGCTAGGGAGTTTTCAGTTAGAATATAGATAAAAAAAAAACAGAAACAGAAACAGAAATCTTACCTCCGTTTCCTACCACTACCACCTTTTTGTCTCGTAAAGAAAGACCACGCTTCCAGCGTGCAGTGTGGACGATCTCGCCCCGGAACGAATCTACTCCCGGCAGATCGAAGGAATTGGGATTGACCAAGGCCCCGACGGCAGAGATCAGGATCTTACACTCATGGTAGAAGACCGTGCCACGGACTAAATCCCGCAGTTTAACAGACCACGTCTGGGTGGATTCCTGCCAGTAGGCCCCTTCCCACTCTGTTTGGCAGACGACATGTTGTAGGACCCCATATCGGCTGGCAACGTTGTGAAAATAGGCCAACACTTCTGGTTGACTGGGGCAGAGTTTGGAGAACCCGGGATGGGGAGCAAAGGAGAGACTATAGAGCGCGGCAGGTATGTCTACCGCACACCCGGGATCTATAAGGAGTCAGTAGAATATCCCAGATTTGGAACGGTTAACCAATTATTAGTAGTAGTAGTAGAGAAATGCCCAGGAAGTATTACATCGATTTGCACACCAGGTGCCTCCAACATCTTCAGACCGCTCGTATATCGTGTAATCGAACTGTTTTAATTTCTCCTGGAGCTGACAGGCAATGGTGAGACCTGAGAATCCAGCTCCAATGACGACTACTTGACTAAAGTGCGACATTGCAATCCCCTAAATTGGGAAGGAGAATTGTGTACCTAGGTATATATTGAAAGGAAGAAAGGAAACGAAAGGAAGCAGAAGCGAGAATGAAACAGTTAAATAATGTCATGAATATCTGGACCATGAAATATATTTATTGATTGATTTATTATATCAGTTTTATTCTTTTCTTCTGAAATTAACAAGATATTGAAACATGCAAGTTCATATAATTAGGACGGGCTAGTAGTTCCTAGTATACAGATGCAGTCATCCATGGTTGGCCGTGGCACCCTCAAGCAGGATTGCAATAAGGTTACAGTAGCGATGATTCGATCCACAGGAACTGCAGCAGCCACTGAAAGGGGTTTAATTCTCAACTACGGACTACGGTGGGTGAGTTGTTCTGTGGGTTGTTGGTACTACTTACTTCCAGTCATGTCTACGGAGTATTAGTTATGCTTTGCTATTATTGACAGGTATGATTTAGTAGAATCTAAATTCCCAGACAATATGATTGATTATAATGCGTTTAAATGCTGAAAGCCGTGTAACCTGCTGTTTTCACTCTATTTTTCCTGTTCTTTTCTTATTTGTCTTACCCTCGATCTGATACTCTAGACGAACTGTCTCGCATCCTCCCACTTCCCTTCGGGGCTATATTGTACTATTTTGCCTGCCGCACCACTCTCTCTCTCGCCTCTTGGGGGTTTCTAGCTTTCTCCTTCTTTCCTTCTTATTGTATGGTAACTTTTATTTTATTTTCAATATTCCCGGGGAGGTCAATCTTCCGTCTGCTGCTTGTATTTCCAATTCTATCAACCCTAACTTGTAATAACAACCCTAGAACTATGCAGCACCTCGCAATGATCCTCGCTCTGGGCTGTGCCCAAATCTTTCTTCGCTGGGACAGGCTCCTATTCGATATCCTTATACTCACCTCTCTCCTCGCACTCATTCTCCCTTTGTGGCTGACAGTTATCTGTTACTCTTCTCGCTCACTACAGCGTGACCAGCAGACTCCGAAAGTCTTCTTGGGAGAACCCCGTCTGCTGGCAACTCAGGTCTCTCATACGCGCTTGGGGACTGGCCACTACAACTACAGTGTTCCTCACTTCCTAGTTGGAACGCCGGTTGGGCTCCAGGGCCGCATTGGCAGCGTGCTATCGCTGGATGAGGGAGATATACCGACGCAGACGCAGACTGATAGGCTCTCCTTGTCCTCGCGCCTCGGGCAGTATTTCAGTTCCAAGACATGGTTTACCATCCATGCGCACCATCATCTCGCCAAGGGCAACGATTCACTCGGGCTGGAGGGGAAGTTGCGCAATTTCCTTCTGTCCAAGGTGCATGCGCCCAATCATCATTTCTTCCCATCCCATTCTCCACTCTCGTCCTCTTACCCGTTGCCCTAATGCACACGCCGTTTTTGCTGCCGGATTCCTGCTGACGCTGCTCTAGGGCGAGGACCCGGACGAATGGCCTTATGCCTACCTCGTTAGCATGCCCCAGTTCCTTGGGTACCAAAGAAACCTTGTCTGTTTCTGGTATCTATACTCATCCTCCCGGGAATTGACGGCCATGGTCATGGAAGTCAACAACTACTGGGGCCAAAGGAAGATTGCCTTTAGCCGTCTGGTTGGCGAATCTCCTCTACCAACCTCATCTTCTTCTTCTTCTTCTTCTTCTTCTCCAGAAGTAACTCACCGATCTGTGTCAGGTCCCACAGCCAGCTCTCACCACTCCCACCCTCGTCACCAGTCCTACAGAGGCCACTGGGACAAGGACATGTTTATCTCCCCGTTCGAGAAAGTCGAAGGGTCGATTGCTTTGAGATTCTCTGACCCACTTGCACCGAACGCACGTCTCCATATTACAATCGCGTTGTTATCCGTAACAGGCAAGCCCCGCCTCATTGGCCGTGTCTTTTGTCCGGAAGATCACGATAGCTTAGCTCCTCGGACGGCCTCATCCTGGCAACTGCTCCGTTTCCTCCCATACTGGACCGGCGTCTTGGTGGTTACCGAGCTACTCATCATTGCTGCGGCGCTACGCATCCGCGCCAAAGGCGCCATGCAATTCTTCGCTATGCCCGAGGTCCGGCCAAACAACCTCCCCCGAGATGAAACCAACACCGAAAGGTAACGTAACTTACATATGTCAACCTAAGTGCAAGTGCTTCACCCAGCCAGCTCCTCACCTCCCACACGTCCAGGAAACTGGAAACTCCATTCCGCCGATACCTCCAGCATCTAGTCGATCATTGCTCTTCTCCCCTTCGCCTCGAATACATCCCGGTTAAATCCCACCACCTCAAACCCGTCGTCACCTTCACCTCCCCGACTGCCACATCCGCCTCGCCAACCCTCACCATCCAAGTCCTCGCTCCTCAATTCTACACCTCCATCCTCACCTACCAAGACCCCATCCTCGCCTTCACAGAGGAATCCCGTCCCTCCCCTCTCCCTTCTGATCCGTCTTCCCGTCGCCTTCGAATTTCCGACCTCTCCCTCCTGTTGACGACCCTGGCAACTTCCTCACCAACCGGGGCCCCCCCCCCACCACCCCGCCCCCGGAAGTTCAACCTATCAGCCTCCCTCATCACCTACCTCCGAACAAGAACCCCAGACCAACCCCCCTTCATGGACCGATTTGTCGCGAGCGCGCTCCCCGCCCCAGCCCAGAATGAATACCGCTCTGCTCTTCTCACGCACCTCCTTGCGCGCAGGTTCGCCCTGGGCCTGCACGCGTTGATCGGCGTGTATGCGACCCTGGCTTATCTCGGCATACAGGCTGGGCTCTCGCTCCTGCTGTTCCGTGTTTGCTCGGGGGTGTCGGGGCTGGGCAATGGCGTAAATGCGATTGCCGCGATGCTTTGTCACTGGGTTGTTTTGAGGGGCGGGAGTATTCTTGTGAAATGAATTTTTTTTTTTTTTTTTTTATATATATATATATAGCGGAATGGAATTCGATTGGGATGTTACTTACTTCCTGTTTCGGTACTTAGTCTAGTAATCGAGTGCAATATATATATATCTATCTATCTATCTACATATACCTAGATGTATATGTTTATCCTCGAGGATTCAATTGCAATATCTAATCTAAAGGAACTACCCGCTAGTCACTACGACAGCTCTATTGGCTAATCTAGTAGGTATATCGAAGATCTACTGACCGACTCGTGATTCGGACGGGACGCTGAATGTATACATAGTTGTATAGACCACTACTGAGCGCCCAACAAGTCCTCTACATCATCCTCCAATGGATTCACCCCGTCTTGGTTCATCTCTCGCGCGACTCTTTCAATCTCCCCCATCACCCTCAATACATTCCCCCCCGCTACACCGGCCGCCTGCTGCACGCTGACGCCACGCCGCAGTAACTCGGCAATTAAATCAGGGTACTTGCTTACATCTTCTAGTCCGCGGATGGGGGTAAACATCCCGTCAAAGTCGGATCCCAAGCCGACGTACTCGTATCCGATTAGTTCGCCGACGTGCTGGATGTGGTCTGCGACGTCCGCCAGAGACGCTGCGGACGGGTCATCGCAACGCGTGTACTCCGGGAAAAACGTGATCATGATGACGCCGCCGTTGTCGCGGAGCCGGAGCAGGACGTCGTCGGGAACATTGCGTGGGTGCGGGCAGAGCGCGTACACGGAGGAATGGCTGAACATCACAGGGGCTTTGCTGGTGTCGAGGGCGTCGTGCATGGTCTTTGCGCTGACGTGGGCCAGGTCCACGGCCATCCCGAGGCGGTTCATCTCGTGGATGAGCTGTCGGCCGGCAGTGCTGAGGCCGTTGTGGCGCGGTGTGGACGGGGTCGCGCTGTCGGCGTATTCATTGTGGCAGACGTGGGTGAGGGTGGTGTAGCGCACACCGAGAGAGTGGTACAGGCGGAGGATACTGGCGCTGGAACCGATTTGGTGCAGTCCTTCGACGCCGAGAAAGCTGGCGATGCGGTGAGAGGAGTGCTCGAAGGTATGGCGGAAGCTAGCGCTGTCGGGGACAACCTCGATATGCTCGGGGTAGCGGGTTGCGAGCCGGTGGACGAGGTCGATTTGCTGGAGGGTGTCGTGGACGTCGTCGTAGTTTGGTTCGGGAGCGGATCCAGACTCGTTACTGTTGGACCCCGCGAAGAGGATTAATTAGTACCTATACTATACTACCTCCTATCGGCAATGCGGAGATATGGGATAAAGGCGGGGGAGGGAACCCGAGAGGCTCCGACGGACCATGCGACAAAGACGCTCCAGAATTGGCCACGGACACGGCCCTGTGCGAGACGCGGGAAGTCGACCTGACCAGGTAACTGGATTTTGTCGGAGAAATTGCTCTGGTAGATGTGGTTGTGGTATAGAGCGCGAATGGCAATTGGAAAGTCATTGTGACCGTCTACATACATGGGCATTAGCGGTGCGGCCTCCTACTCCACAATCGGGAGCTGGGGGGGGAGGATATGTGAACGGTTGTGTTACCAGTTAACGGCTGCAATTGCAACACCTGCTCGACAGGATCGATGTGGGCTGAGCATGGCGTACGGAGGTGGGTCAGGCTATACCAGAGCAGCAAAGTACCGGCGACAACCGCAGCAAGGACGCGTCGATTCCAGGTGGATGGAACAGCGGTGACATGGTTGTTTTGGTGGTGGTGGTGGTGGTGGGGAAGATGAGCGGAGAGCTTCTCCATGATTGAGGATGGAATCGAATCCAAGGACCCGTTGACTATCATGAATCAACAAGTCGCATTCTTATCGACGGAGTATCTGTAGTTCCGAACTTCCGCTAAAGGTTCCCCAGGCAATGCAATCTGTGGATCGGAGACAATGGGGTAGGCGGTGAGGCGGGGTAATACCCGCCCACGTGATTGATAGCCTGCTCGACTCCTAACCAAACAACCAGCGAAGACGGCTTTCCGTGCCTGTGCCTGGGCCAGAGGGAGAAACACTGCTCTAGTGTAGCTGTTTATCTGCATGAATAAATGCAGTACTGCAGACTCCACTGCTCTATGTGCATACAATCACCATGAGCCAGATCTTAACCGCCAACCAAGCAGCGGAGCTGTAAGTGTTTTACATTGCCATCTGCTGCATCTGGCATACCCGCTAATCTGCAAACAGGCACAAGTCAATACTTGCCTACCTTTCGTCGATAAATGCTTCTCAGAGCTCTACAACTTTACGTGAGGAGCTTCAAATTGGGGATGCTTTTGATGAGGCTACATGCAAGAAGTATGAGGGGCTATTGGAGAAGAAATGGACAGGAATCGCTCGACTTCAACGCAAGGTAGAGTGCCATGCGCGTCTGAGAGAAGACCTTCAGGAGGCAATAGCTAACCAACCCTTAGATATTAGATCTAGAAGCTAGAATTGCTAGTCTCCAAGCCGAGCTTGATTCGGCCCCATCCACGTCGCGTTCAAAACAGGCCCATAATCCTGAAAACTGGCTTCCTAGACCATCCCCAACATATACATTTAAGTCACATAGAGATGCTATTCGATGTATAGCATTCCATCCAATATTTACATCCCTCGCCTCCGGTTCAGACGACTGCACAATTAAGATATGGGATTGGGAACTTGGCGAGTTGGAACGAACCCTAAAAGGCCATGTAAGAGCGGTCTCAGGACTGGATTTTGGTGGCCAAGAGGGTCATACGCTACTAGCATCCTGTTCGGGCGATCTTACAATCAAGATTTGGGATCCAAGCAAAGATTATACAAATGTTCGAACTCTTTATGGCCATGATCACTCTGTCTCGGCAGTACACTTTCTAACATCTACAAATAATCTCCTTGTCTCCGCTAGTCGAGATGCATCTCTGCGGATTTGGGATGTTTCAACAGGATACTGTGTGAAAGTGATCAGGAACAACGCTTGGATTCAAGATATATCACCTTCATTTGATGGTAAATGGCTGGTGTCGGGCGGCCGTGACCAAGCAGTAACGGTTTGGGATTCCTTAACTGCTGAACCCAAGGCTACATTATTAGGCCATGAACATGATATTGAGTGCTGTATATTTGCACCTCCAGCAAGCTATAAATATTTAGCTACTCTTGCTGGGCGCAAGGTACCACCTCCTGCGGATAGCTCGTCCGAATTCATCGCTACCGGAGCTAGGGACAAAACCATCAAGCTATGGGAATCCCGTGGAAGACTGATTAAGACTCTTACTGGTCATGATAACTGGGTACGAGGTCTGGTATTTCACCCCAGCGGGAAGTATCTCATCAGTGTTGCGGACGACAAAACAATGCGTTGCTGGGATCTCTCCCAAGAAGCAAGATTGGTCAAGATAATTGATGACGCTCACGGGAATTTTATTACCTGCATTCGCTGGGCGCCCCTTGCGAAGCCCGATGCAGTTGTCGAGACTTCCAACCCGACGAACGGGGTGCCCAACTTTCAATGTGCCATTGCAACAGGGAGCGCAGATTCATGTGTTCGGGTCTTTAAATAGGTGTCAGGAATTTGAACTTGGTTGAAAATGATTGAGTACCCTGGCGGCACTACAATCAAATGTCCCTATTCTATTCTCCTGTCTAACAAACCTCCTAATGCCATGTGGCTTCAGGTTTTTCTAGGCGCCCTCTTGTATGTACATTTATGATTTAGAAACCTGCTAATATGCGGTGACACTATTAGCTCTTGATTACCTTGGGCCGGGCGTGCCTTTAGGGGTTCTCACTTGAGCTGTAATAATGAATATATCCTTTGTGGCTCCTGCAAATGAGCCGTGAAAAAAGTGTATATACATCTAGTCTAACTTTAATAATAGACATAAGATAATGGCTGAAATAAGGTAGATGACTTGGAACCAACAGAAAATGCGGGAAAAAAAAAACACTTGGGAGGCCAGCAGTAGATAAAATCTATTCACCTCTTGCACAGCACTTGCTCGAGTAATGTAGATTCGAATGGGCAAAAACTTGTCAAGCCTTCTATTTTATCTACGAAGGTAGCAACGAGCTATTGCTAAGATTTAAGTCTGCTGGGAAATTATCATGATGGCTTTGGGTGAGTCTTCCCATAGTTATAGGCGAGGCTCGCTTTCTCTATTTGGTGTTATTCTACAGATCGGTATATTCTAGTTATGAAATTTCAGAGATGGATAGAAGAACACAAGATATTTCCTGATTCATAATAAAGAAGAGCTTGCAATACAAGACAGTACAGTCTACTATCTACAGAGTAGGAGGGATTAAGGACCATGCCTCAGGCATACATCGTAGCATTGCGAATGCACTAGTCTTCAACAAGACTAGTCTGTTTCATCATCGACTAGCGTGTTAGGGCAAGGATGAGTCAGCCGAGACATCCCATTCTGGAAGCCTCCATTGGAGGCCTCAGGTGTCCCCCCCTGCTTCTTCAGGTGTCTCAGTCCGCAGTCACGCCTCTCTCTCTCTCTGCCCACAATCCAGATTTCGCAGCCTGGCTGTCATCCTCCTTTCCTTCTATTCTTCATTTGAGGAAGACTCTCTCCTTGATACTCTTCTCCATTTCCCTCCTTTTCCACTATTCGTTGTTCTCCATCGGTCCACTCATCAAGATCTCGGCCTTCTGTACCATTGGTTCTGCTCCCTCCGCCCACACTCGGGAGAACCACACCCAGAGGTTCCTGCCTGTGGATATTTCCTCCGTTCTTCGCCGACGACAACCACTCGACCTTTCCATCCTCAGTCTCTCCTTGAGGAAATCATCACTCTCCTGCCTTGACCGATGAGCCTCCCCTCTCCCCTTCCGCTGTCGTCGCCTCCATTAAAACACCCTCACCACCAGGCCCACATTGTAGCTCTTCAGCATGCGGTGGCGGCTGCCTGGTGCCTGGTCGACCCTTCCCGCTAGTGTCGCACTCCTCCTGATTCCTGTTCTTGTCGCTCCGCAGCAGCTGCATGAACGTCATGATAGCCCCTCTGCCGTCTCGGTGCCGCTGAGGCCGACCGCACACATCCCCGAATCTTTATCCCCCTCCGCGTTGAACGTCAAGTCCAACGATGCGAGCGCCCTAGCAACCATGGCTCTGGCGGGCTCCGGCCGCGCCGTTCGAGCCCCTCCTGCTCAAGCCAGCAGTAGTACTGCTGGCATGGCACCGCAGCTGCATGCGCGGTCCTTGCAGGATTGGGAGGTTGAAGACTTTGTTCTGCTGGCGACCGTCGATGGTACCATTCACGCCCGAGACCGCAAGACCGGAGCCCCTCGCTGGGCTCTTGAGGTCCCGAGTAGTCCCATGGTCGAGAGTATCTATCACCGAGCCAATCGCTCGAGTTTTGATAGTACTCAACCTGAAGATGACTTTATATGGATTGTTGAGCCAAGCCAAGATGGTAGTCTCTACATCTTCAGCCCTGACCCGAATTCGGGCCTTCAACAATTGGGCCTGACGGTGAAGGAACTGGTCGACGAAACGCCTTACTCCGGTACTGAACCGGCGGTTACCTATACAGCCCGCAAAGAAACTACCCTTTATACCATTGATGCCCGTACTGGTTCAATCTTGCGCGTGTTTAGTTCCAGAGGCCCCATCCCTTCCGGCCCGGAATGCCGTAAGGTTGATGATTTTGATAACGATGCGGCCGAGTGTGATTCCCCGTCGGGGACCTTGGTCCTAGGACGGATTGAATATGCCGTGGCCATCCAGAACACTGAGACTGGGGACCCGATTTGTACTCTGAAATACTCTGAATGGACAGCCAATAACCGGGACATGGACCTCCAGAGCCAGTACTTTCAGACAATGGATCAGAGCCATATCTACAGCATGCATGATGGGGTGGTTTTGGGGTTTGACCACTCTCGTATGGAACGACCACGGTATACGCAGCGGTTCTCTTCGCCAGTCGTCCGTGTTTTTGACGTTGCACGCCCCATCAATGTTGACAAACCGGATGCGCCCAAGCCGTTGGTTCTCCTCTCCCAGCCGTTGCAGCCTCCAGACCCTGACTATGGCTCCCTCGACGACCGTGATGACCGTGTATTCATTGATTACACTGACGGAGGTGGTTGGTACGCAATGTCGGAAGCGACCTATCCACTCGTCACTGGGCGTGCAAAAACGGCGCAGTACTATGAAAAGGACTACTTTCGTCGTGGACAGCGGCTTATGAGTCTGACCGAGAGCCAACAACGGGACGCCTTGACCGGCGTTCATTCTCTCAATAGCCCGCGAATTCCCCGACGCCATACCCCGAGCATCTCCGGATCATCCTCCGCCGAGCTCTCTAACGATACCCCAAGGGAGGTCATTCGTAGCCCGTCCGAGTTAGCTCTTCCACCGGCATTGCGGCACAGCACTATCATTCGCAAGGGTTGGGATAACGCCGCCGACATCGTTGTCACTCTTATTTTGTTGTTCTTCGGTGTCTTCATTTACTTCAACACGCATAATCTCCAGGAGCTTGCCAAGCAGAAACTTGACATTAAGAACATTATCTCCGCCTATGGCCAAGCGCCTCTATCGACTCCGTCAACGCCAATTGTTGATGCATCCCACACGAAGAGAGAGTCGAGCGCCGTTCGCTCCACCGTTAATAACGTGATTGTTGGTATTAACATCGACAGTGAACCTCATAATGACGGAGATATGACCCCTAAGCCGAATAAGACCCGCAATACACTCGCACCAAATGCAACTCCCCGTGTCCGTATCCGCGAACCCTCACGAGAACCTGATGACGACGATGATGTGGAAGAGTTGTCACTGCAGGACCCGGACAAACCCAAGAAAAAAGCTCGTCGAGGCCGTCGAGGAGGAAGGAATCACAAACGTGGAAAGAAACCGAACGAGGCTGATGCCAAAGAAGACTCGGTTGGTGCCGAGGGCAGCCTGCAGCCTCCAGCCCGTCCCGAGGCGGAGCCGCCGCTGATGCGTACAGCCTCCTCCAACGAGGTCGTCGAGATGGATGGCGTCCTCGGAATTGGTCGATTGAAGGTATTCACGGACGTTGTCCTTGGGCATGGGAGCCATGGAACGGTTGTATACCGAGGTTCGTTTGACGGACGCGATGTGGCAGTCAAGCGTATGCTGGTTGAGTTCTATGACATTGCGTCTCATGAAGTCGGATTGCTACAGGAAAGTGATGACCATAATAATGTCATCCGATACTATTGCCGGGAGCAGGCGGCAGGGTTTTTTTACATTGCCTTGGAACTTTGCCCAGCCTCCCTGCAGGAGGTGGTGGAACGCCCAGCTGATTACCCCCAACTAGTGCAAGGTGGCCTGGATATGCCGGATGTCTTGCGTCAGATTGTGGCTGGTGTACGATACCTTCATTCCCTGAAAATCGTGCATCGAGACCTGAAGCCCCAGAATATTCTGGTTGCTATGCCTCGTGGACGCACCGGCTCAAGATCTCTTCGACTTCTTATCTCGGATTTTGGCCTGTGTAAGAAACTGGAAGACAATCAGAGCTCGTTCCGCGCAACTACGGCTCACGCAGCCGGAACCTCGGGATGGAGGGCCCCCGAACTACTGGTGGACGATGACAAAAGCCCGGTAATTCAGATGACAGAATCCCAGCACACAGAATCCTCCGAGCCTGCAGTTGTGGATCCTCAAACAAATCGCAGAGCGACTCGAGCTATCGACATCTTTTCGCTAGGATGCGTGTTTTACTACGTTCTTACTCGCGGCTCTCATCCGTTTGACAAAAACGGCAAATTTATGCGTGAGGCTAATATCGTGAAAGGCAACTTTAATCTTGATGAGTTGCAACGTCTTGGCGAATATGCGTTTGAAGCTGATGATTTGATTCGATCGATGTTGGCATTGAATCCTCGCAAGCGGTATGAGAACTCCACGTTTATATCTCTACTTCTCGTCGCTAACCTTCTTTTTTTTTTTTTTAGTCCTGATGCGAGCGGTGTTTTGACACACCCATTTTTCTGGCCTGCGTCGGACCGGCTGAGCTTCCTTTGTGACGTTTCGGATCATTTTGAATTTGAGCCTCGGGATCCCCCATCTGATGCCCTCTTATGTTTAGAGTCCGTGGCCTATAGGGTTATGGGCCCTGACATGGACTTTTTGAAACTTTTACCCAAGGATTTTAAAGACAGCCTCGGCAAACAGCGAAAGTATACAGGGTCGAGGATGCTAGATTTACTCCGAGCATTGCGTAACAAGCGCAACCACTACAACGATATGCCGGAGCACCTGAAGGCGCACATTGGCGGACTACCGGAGGGATATCTTAATTTCTGGACTGTCAGGTTCCCTAGCCTGCTCATGAGCTGCCATTGGGTGATTACGGAGTTGAAGCTGACCCGCATCGACCGATTTAGACGGTACTTTACACCTGTTGAATAGGTAGATAGACGTATTTATTGCACCAATGTTGTGAATACTACTTGATACATTCCAAGGATCTCACTTTGTTACTGTAGTTGCCGAGGACTTTTAGTAAACCGGTTTATCCCATCCTTGGCAACTCCTCACACTTCTAGCAAACAACGCTTGCCCTTGGGAGACATGAGGAAGTACAGGGTCTGGTCCATGTCACTGTCGCTCATATTCTCCCGCGTGGAGACCCTGGCCGTGGGGAAAGCATGGAAGAAGTAAGCGGTTGCCAGGCGCAGCTCCATGCGAGCCAGGTGCAATCCAATGCAATCTGATTTGGTCAGCGGCTCGGTCGATAACATGCGCAGGCCGGGTTACTGCAATTAGACATTATTATATTCGGTACTTACTGCGTGAACCGGCCCCAAATGGCATAAAGGCGTCTTTCATATTCTTGGAGGGCTCTTCCCATCGGGACGGATCAAACCTGTTCAAGCCAAAGTAATTAGCCCTGACTCCTTCCCCCCCTAATAAAGTGATCTTCTCTGAACGAAAAAGGGAGGAAGGGCATTCATTTACCTTTCGGGATTCTCAAAGACTTCCGGATCCCGATGCAAGGTATACAACTGCGTACTTACAGTCGCACCGCCCGGGATCCAGTACCCAGCCATGGTCGCGCCCTTTTCAGGCACAACCCTCGGCAGCGCAGACGGCACGGCAGGATAAAGCCGCAACGCCTCGGTGATCACCCGGTTCATATAGGGGAGGTCCCGCAGCTGGGTATCGGTTATTATCTCGGTATGCGCTGCTCCAGGTCCGGCCAAGGCACCCTTTAATTCAGCTACCAGGGCCGCCTGGATCGCTTCCTCGCGGCACACGGACCAGATGAGATACGTAAGCGTTGCGGCTGTGGTGTCGCTGCCCGCGATAATGAACGACTGTGCGTCGTTGCAGATTTCCTGGTCCGAGAGACATTCCCTTTCGCCTTCCTTGTCCTTGTGGAGCTGGCTTGCGTGGTACAGTTTCGTGAACAGCGTGGGGTTCGCCGAGGCCGGGTTCTGCTCGAGATGCGTTTTGTATCGGTTGACGGAGTCGACGGCGTACGAGATCATGCGGTCTGTGCTTTCGACGACTTCTTTGAAGATGGAGAGCGGGAGCACGCTGGCGAGACTGACGGTTGAGGGGAAAGTTGCGCGGATGCCGCCCACGGCTGCGACGGTTTCGAGGTCGGTGATGTATTGGTTTTTCTATACATGGTTGATTAGAAAGAAAGAAAGAAAGAAAGAAAGAAAGAAAGAAAGAAAGAAAGAAAGAGATTACCTTCCCCAACTCCAACATCCGAAACGAATCCCCAAAACTCAATTCCCCAATGATATCCGTCGTCATAAAAAACAACCACTTGTAGATGTCCACCACAGCCCGCGAACGCATTTCCTCTCCCATCCGGCGCATCGCCAGCTGCACTTTCCCGCGCACCAGCGGCTCCATCACAGTGCGCAGGTTCGTGTCCGACAGCGGAGAGGAAAGTAAGCGTCGATGCGTGCGGTGGAACTCCGGGTCGGTGGTGCTGAAGATACTCTCGCCGTCCTTGCGGTTGAGAAGCCGGTACCATGGGGATTTATGGTATGCGCTTCCGATGCGGTGGATTTCGCGGGCGGAGGGAATATCCGCGACGTGAATTTCTGATGGAGACACGCGGACGATGGGGCCTGTTTTTGTTTTTGTTTTTGGGTTTCTGGTTAGTGTGGTTTATTTTGTAAATGAGAAGGGGGAGGAGGAGGAGGGACGAACCGTATCTCTGGTGGAGAGAGTGGACGTAGCGAGGACGCTGGCCGAGCACGGTAGAGCATTTCAGGATGAAGCCGGTCCATTTGGTGATTTGGGGGCCGGGGAGAGAGGAAAGCGGGTTCTTGTGGACTCGATAGGCTAGCTTGATGGTCATTAGACGTGGTTAATATAGGGAATTGGGGGGGGGGGGGGGGGCCGCTTACTGTGAGGAAGTATATGAAGCCTAAGATGACCAGGAAGGAGGGCAAGTTGCCCACGAGGTAGCTGGGCTGCATAACGGCGGACACGGACACGACCAGTGGAGGCAGGGTAGGCTAACGGTCCCATGCATCGACAGGGCTTCAGATCGAATACATATAGAGATTGGGAGCGTTCTCTGATGTGACATCGGGGTGTATCTACTCCGGTATACATGATGTCAACATGGAGGCTTCCGACATGTACATCGCCGGAAATGGAAAGACTTGAGGAAAAAAAAAAAAAAAAAAAAAAAAAAGGCAACTGGAATTCAAATTCGACAGAATTAGGTATAACTTTAATACGCAGCCCCTAAAACGTTCCAGTCATCAATGCGTTGTTGCAGCAATTCTCCGTCGAATGGCGTCTCGTGTAGAACCTTTCCGAGCTCGCGTGCGGCCAATTCAAACCGTTCCCTGTTTCTAGACGAAGAGGAAGTGATCTTCGAGAGGGCCTCGTAAGATGAGATAGCCTTCTTTGCTTCTCGGATTCGCCCCCAGAAGCTACGGCTCTCGTGCATATACCAGGTTTCTTCCAGCGGTACCTCCCACTCCTCGGGCTTAGTCTCAACAATATCCAGCCATGTGGACATATGCGGCCATCGTTCGTCTTCCAGTCCGGGAAAATGCACCAGGAGGTTGCCCTTGGTGCCCTCATAGGCGTGTTTCCACTCGTAGGTATTAATCCACGTTCGCGGAAGATAGACCAGGCCGTCTCGGTAACCCTTGCCGTCCGGGCCGCCTGTAGTTTTGTTGAGGATTACTGCCATGGAAGTTTGATCTTCCTGGAATCCTAGATGAGCGTCCGGGTTGTAGGCCGGGTAGCCTAATACCTCGATAAGCATGTTGACGGTCCACTGGCTTACGCGAAGGAAGAAGACGCCCGTGTTCAGTCCATTGTGGTCCTTGGAGGCGACTATATGGATGCTGTCGACATCGAAGGGCGGGAGAAAGATTTCCACGGGTATCGCCGGGTTGATTATGATCGAGTCAGCGTCCACCCACCTGCACGGTCAGTAACTATGTATTGATTCCCGGGTCCCAGCGAGAACGAGGACCTACATGAACCATTCAACCCGGTCTAATCCCGGCTTGGTGAGCTCAGCGATGACCAGCGAGAGCAAGTAGCTCGGTTTATTCCAGTATCCCACCGAGATATCCTGCTGCAGGACATCCATCCCGTACCCCCATCGCTCGGCATGGCGTCGATGGCTTTGCAGTGCTCGTTCATAGAGCACATTTCGGGCCCCGTATAGCATGGACACTTTCGTCACCCGTCGGGACCCCGCGATCGTCTCCAACGCTTCCTCTTCTCTCCCGTTCGAAGCATCGCTGTATCCCGTTCCCATCCAGAGTAAACCAAGAAGCGTTGAAATCCCAAGTAAGACGACAACCAGGCGCCGTGAGCGACCTTGTCGACGGGCGATCATCCTGACTGCACTCTGTCCGCCTCGTCAACAAAATAACACATCCACAGACAGTGTAAGTTCTAAGAGGCCCGGTCGGTCCATGGTTGATTTGGTTTTTTAACGAAAAAAAAGTAACAAGGTTCTGGATGGCTATCGTAATCACAGCTTAGAATCTTCAAATCTAGGGCTTTGACCCGGATGGGGAGTCCGGATGCGGAAAGTCAAGGCACATCACATCGGACAGCTATACTCCATGATGTACGTTGCATTTCCTGAGATACTGTAACTGAGGGTTTGCCTTTTTCTCTTTTCTTTTCTCAGGGGAAATAAAGTTAGAAAGTAAGTACGGCCATATTCGTATAAAATGGACACTTCACCCTTCCTCGTAACAGCAAAATGTAGGCAAGTGATTTTATACAGGGTCACGGTGTAAGTAGAGACAAGTATACATAGAGCATCGGCCTCATATAGATTGATCCTGGTAGATCGACCAAGTGCCGAAGTCCGACTACCTGACCAACTGCCGAGTGCCTAGGTACTTGCTCCGGGTAATCCGGAGAAACTAAGACGACTATGGAGAAAGAACTTGACGCAATCGGGATTTCGGAACAGTACTTTGTACAAGGAGAATTTACCAGGATGGCAAACGACTAGGGAACCAGTTGGGATATTGTCCGAGAATAGGGGATAGGTTTGGAACAGAGATGAGAAGAGTTGAACAAATGTCATTATGATCGAATGCTATATACGCAGCCATGTCCTAACTAGCCAAATACCAACCCATATATATGTAAAGAGAATAGATGAGAAATAGACTCTCCCGCCAACGCCACGCTCCCAGTCAAGGATACGCTCAAGAAAACAAACGAAAAGATGGAACCCCCCCCCAAAAACCGAATAACGAATGAGGTGGGATAATCGCGCTGAAAAACTGAAATTTTGTTCTGCGTTTTTTATGCGCAATGTCGGAATACTGAAAAGGAGCAAGGTTAACGTCGCATTCGACTAACGCGAAATGTGGCCAAATCGATAGATTCCACCGATACCTGCTCGTCGTCCACTTCGATCGGTCCCTCGTTCGAGGCAGGTCGCTTGAGCCTAGCGGTTTCAGCGTGTGTCGTGTTTGCAGCCTCCTCTTCATCGGCAAGACTCTTTCGTTCCTCTTCAAGTTGTTTTACTTCAGCGGTAGCAAGGTCGACAAGAGCGGTGAATTGATCTTTCACCCTCTTTAGTTCGCACAAACAATCTCCCGCCCTGAGAAAGTTGTACGCCGCTGTCTCACACAAGCCGTGGGCAAGCTCTAGCTGTTTCTCTGCGATTTCGAAAGGCGACTCTTTGGCTGGTGAGTGAACTTGAGGTGGTTGGGGGCCGGGGCTTCGTGCACTCCGCATGGTGGACAGCAGGTCATCAGGTGAACCAAAAGAAGGTAATTGCGGTCGTGAAGACATTTTCATCCTCCCAGCGCGCAACCCTCCTAGGGGTAACTGTGACATCTTGCCTTTCCGCAAGTTGTTTCGAGCAGTTCCGATGTTTCGTACCATTTCGTCAAGGGACGTCTGAGTGTATCCATCGTAGTGAATGATCAGGTTATGTCGTGTGCTGATGACCGAAAGTCCCTCTCCCGAGGCGATCGACGAGACATCCCCCTCGTCGGCTCCCCTTTTCCGTGGGATTGCTGCTTGGCCGCCGTTGTTTGGCGAGTTTGTTTGGATGGAATAAACGGAGCTGTTCCGTCGGCGACGAACTCTTGTCGACGAATTGGCATACTCTTTAAATGCTTCTGCGAATTCAACATTTTTAGCGACGGTGTAGTCAGTCAGTTCCGACAACCGGCTCAGCCAAGAGGGTACGTTGTGGGCCAGGTAGGAGAAAGCCCCGAGGGCATCCATCTGCGGGCCGGGCATGGATTCACCAGATGCTGTGCCGGTCGGTCAGCAAGATACCAAAAAAAAATCGCCAAAAGATATTCGAATAAGTTAATATTCGGCTTTAGAAGTTGATCCTGGGCTTGGGGTAGAGGCCGAGTCGGCACCCTAGGCCTGTACCATGGGCTTGAGATCAGTGGAAACCAAATCGACCCAAAACCCCAATATCTCGTCGTCGAATCCAAAAGGCGAGTCTTATTCGATGGGGAAGGGGAAAAAGAGAAGAGAAAGAGAGATGGAGAGGAAGGAGGGAAAAATGCGAAAGGAGACGACGGGATGGGATGGACGGAGGATACAAAAGAGTCGACTCGCAGATATTACGGTATACCGTAATGTTACCCTCCACTGGCTGTATTGTCCGTTGTTTGTTGGCTAAACTCAATACAGGATCCCTGCTGGCTGTTTTGCAATCGTAATAATACATCTCCAGTTGGTCCAAAGGGTTGGTCCTGAGAAATCAGGCAGCCCAGCACGGATTTCCGGTCCTTGGATCTTTTTCCTAAGAAAGAAATATCAGACCATCTCTTGTGTCGGGCTGCGATACCTGATCCATGTATCTGTGATTCCAGAGTAGTTATTTTCACTCATCATTGTCCTCCTACGTAGTCAAACAAGCGGTGAAGTTGGCTGTGCATACTGCTTATCCTCCATACAAATCCCGACTGTACTTCGACTGTAGCCCATCCCAGGTAAAAGGAGAATATTCCTTCTAGAATAATCGTTATTCATCTATTTCTAACGGCTCCCTGGAGATTCCCTGCCAGAATCTCATGGTACTCTGGACCTCCAGGCCAAATCAGCCCGTCTCTCTTTCTTGGTGGCCATTCGCTCTCCTCGTAGGGAACTAACGCAGCTAAAGCTGACAGCACCGACACTAAATCCTTGTCGCTCTCGGGATTGACGGAACAGGAGAATGGAGGCGATCTAATTGTCCTATTCGCTCGAAACAGTGCGTTGGCTGTGGTGCACCTGTCGTCCATTACGGGACTTGGTCTTCAAGAGTAGCATATGCTGGCTACTTACAGCTCATCCAAAGACCTTGAGCAACGGTACACCTAGGTCTCACATCTGGTGCTAACCTATCGACATCCGTTTTGGAGCAGATATAGATGCAGATTTGTACTACTAGGAGCAATCTTTTGAAGAGAATGCCTATACATGGTATACTGTACAGCAAGCAATTTGTGATTTCTGCTTTACTGTATGCATGTCTGTGACAGGCCAGTGTTAGGTCATTTATTGTCGCCGCGTTATCCTTAATTGCCAACCCTAGCGGAATGATACTTCATTCCTTTCCACACAGGGTTCCAATCCAGCATGGGTTTAGTACGGAGTACTAAAATGGAGGATTGCTTCCCTGCTTCCCAGTTCCCCAGCACACATTCAAAGCCCCCTTTGCCATGCCTCTACCCAGTCGTCCAGTGCCCGCTTGGCAACATGAAGAGATTCAATCGCGGCATGCCACCGACTCTCACACTCCTCTAATCGCTGCTGTAGCTCCTGGCTAAACACAGAGTGAACAGACAATTGCGCAGATCCTCTCAGGTTATCCAGGGGGAAAGGCAGAAACCTTCGCTCCTCGCTGCCTTGCACGTTCGTCTGGCCACCAGAATCAAGATCTGGCGTTTCCATCTTCACACGCTGTTTTCCGCTAGGCCGCCGCGGCTGGCGTCGAGACGTCTCCGACGTGGCATGCTTGAAGGGCCCAGTTGAATCTGGCGATTCTCGCAATTCATTCCCTGCGGACCCTGTGGCTTGGACCCGGCGATGATGCTCATGCACGCTGCCCTGCGAGCCTGGCATCTCGCGCTCGCCTTCGGACGCAGACAAAGAACTAGACTTCTCTTCTTCTTCTTCTTCTTCCTCCTCACCTTCCTCTGGCTTCCACCGTACTCGACGGAGCGCTTTCTTAGCCAACGGCGACGACAACTCATTGCTGCCCTCGTCGAATGAAGATCCACTACCACTGTCGCGATCGACCGAGCCCTGGTCCCTCGAGATATTGAAACTCGCACCGGAATCCCGTTTCCGTTTCATGGACGACACCGTTCCTGTCGCGTCTTCTGTCTCTAAATCGACAAAATCCACTTAGCTCGTATAGAACAAGGACAAGGACAAGGCTAGGATCCCACATACCACCCTCAGACATAATGCTCCGATGGACACAACGGACCTTGGACTGTCTGCAGCTCCCACACGCAGGCGTCAACTTGGGCTTGCTTGCCTGACCGGACTCCATCGGAGCCAAGGTACCCGTCGGTGGCTGCAATCCATTCCCATTCTTAGCATTCTGATGACATTGTAATTCCAATTGATTTCTGGTGGAGAGGAAACGGGGAGGGAGTGTCCCACCTTGCGTGCGCGAGATGACCGCCTAGTGGTTTGTCTGTCCTGGTCCTCCTCCTCTGCCGCTTCGGCTGTCTTGCGGATCTCAGACACGCTTGGCTTGGGTTCGGGAACGTTGGAGCCCTGGGAATAATCGCCTTGCACGGGGGAGTTGCTTCTAGGACGGTAGGAGGAGGAGATGTCTGTCTCTGTTCTGTCGTCGTCTGCTGGAGGTTGGGGGGGTTGGACTTGTTTGTCTGCTGCGCCAACCGGTTGTATTCCCATGAGGGTCATTATTTCCGTCCGACTGAAAACGATTGCAGTTGAACTCAACCCGTGGCTGTAAGCAGTCTCTTGGTAAATGAATTGAGAAGTAGGGTAATCAAGAGGGCAATAATTGCTCTAGAGGTCTAGTAAAATGAGGGAAACACAATCGGGATTGAATAATGCTCTTTGTCCCTTTGTCTGCCTGCTCCTCCGCCGTAAATAACACAGAAACACAACACATTTGCTACGTTCTTTGTAGATTACAGCTCTACAAACACTCAAAAAAAAAAAGGCATCCAAATCATGGCCACAGATCAAACTCTTCCCATCTCCCTCCAGCCTGCTCCCCAACAAGCACCCACCTCGTTCTACTTACCTTCTCATAGTTCGTTAAATCCAGCCTCTCCACTTCCTCAGGCGCAATCACCACCACTCGGAAATTCCTCCTAGCGACAGGATCCAGAAGATCCTCGACCGTCTGCCCAAGACCAAGCCGCGGATCCTCGGGAGCCTGAGACCGCAATTGCCCGGGGGGGGGATTCCTAAAGGACCCTAGGACAATAATGAAATCAGTACAGCATCCGACAACATACCTACCAACCTCCTTCACACATAACATAACACAACCAAAGAGAGAAAAGAACGAAAAGAAAGAAAGAAAGAAAGGATACATACCCCGCATAACAGGCGAATGATTCGCAAAATAAGCCGTAACCTGTCTATCCCAATCCCAATCCGCATCCGCATCCGCATCCGCATCCGCATCCCCATCAGAAACCGTCCTCCTCATCCCCCTTCTAATCCTCTCCCTGGCTACCTTCTCCTCCTCCTCCTCCCCGTCTATCCCCAAGCCACATCCCCCACCCCCACCCCCAGTAACATACGCCCTCCCCCTAATCCTCCACTGCACCCCCACACCCGGCACCCAGAACACACCCTCCACAAACCCCGCCGAACCCCGCACCTGCGCCGCCTTTTCCATCCTGATATCCGTTGTCACGGCGAGCATGTCGCTCTCGTAGACGGCCGGGTTCACGCCGATGCCCTGGGCATTGAGCGCCTCGATGGCATTCCCATGGAGCGCCGGGGTCGGCCAGAAGCCGCGGAACTCGACGGTGCGGCAGCGCGGGACGGCGGTGTGGGTTTGCGGGTCTTGCGCGACTGTGCTGAGGGCGAACGAGGTGGTTTTTGTGCGGAGGAGGTGCGAGGCGAGGGGCGCGTGCCAGGGGGCGTTGTGGCTGGGGGTTGCTGGTTCTGCTGTCGAGGACATTTCAGTCTTCGTTGGTGTAGTCGCTTGGTGTGGTGTTGGAAGAGAGTGGGCGCGGGGTTCCGTAGACGGTTCGGGAGGAGAGGATGAGGGCTGGCTGGCTGGCTGGCTGTGTTGGGTTCTTGGTGTCACCTTTTCTTTTACTGGATGCGGTAGGCAGACAGACTACCCTTCTGTCTGGTAATTGCTTGCGATCTTGACGATAGCACTTTTTTAAGTTCCGAAGTCGTTGGTGAAAGGCACGGATGACGTTATTGGATGGTGTTTATCTTATCTGATGATCAGTAGGATATCAGCATTGCATTTGAATAGATGGGTTATTTACCAAGGAAAGATAGGGAGCGTACATGAGTTTAGATTCACATAGGCATTTAATGGGTTGTCTTGTATATCTCTAGCATATATCTGTGACAAGGTTTATAGTCGCACTGCTATTCGAGATGAGTATGTTGGTAATGCCGTCTGCATTCTCAATACAGCTTCTTCTTCTTCTTCTTCTTCTTCTTGATATGATTGATGAATGGCAGCTGCAACTAAACCGGCTGAATTACTTGATCCACCCGAGAATTAGAACAGAACTGAGTGGAGTGATGAGTGTACAGTTGGAGAAAGGCTTATCCTTGAAGCCACCAGTATTCATGTTACTATTATCCACCACCATATCAGGGTTGTTCTAGAATATGCGATATCCAACTACAATATAAAAGCCTACGACAACACAGTACAAGACCAGGAAAACAAGTCAATTCTTTTAACCCATACCAGAAGCAAAAGACAGTAGTTCTCAATTGTTATTGCCGAGTTCACAGCCAACGCCAGAGAAACACATTAACCATTGCGATGCTATCCCGCAAACAGTCCGTCCCAAGAAGCCCTAGAGAGATCACCAAACGAAACAATATCACCCATAAGAATTACATCTGCATTTTGTCGTCGTCGCTGTCCTCGCCGTCGACAAGCGCCCCGCCGGGTATCCGGCCCTCATTCAGCTCCTTCTCTAGTCGTGTGATCTCCTGCAAGCTCTTCGCTTCCCGGATCATCTTCTCCACGCGCTTCCTCTCCTTTTCCGTGAGCTTGACGCGAACAGCCTTGTCCGCCGGAGCGCGATCTGTAGGACCGCCAGATGGAAGGTCAAATGTGCGGGACTTGACGCCCATAATCTTCGACGCCAGCGCGGAGGGTTCTTCAGCAGTGCCGAAAAGTTCTTGGGCCTTCTCACGTTCTGCGTCCTTCACTTTCTGGTAGTCTAGGAATCGAACAGTCGGGATCCTCCAAATCACCCAGTACCGGTAGTGCTGTTACCTGTCAGTAGGCGTGGCCTTCCATGTTTACGCGAGGAGATATCTGACCTCCTTCCTTGTAACCGGGTTCTCGAGCAAAATCAAATGAGTGAGCTTAGTGAAGTTGCGTAGGGGATCCAAGTCCGCCAGCTCTGCAATATTATTTGCGGTCAACACGAGGTTGCTCAGGCCCGGAATCGACGTCGCGAGCGCAGGCTGAATGTGTCGGACTCGATTTCGCGCGAGGAGGAGGGTGTGAAGGCGAGGGAAGAAAGGGAAGTTTCCAAGAGAGGAAATGTCGTTATCGGTAAAGTCGATCGCATCTTGGTCCTGCAGCAAGTCAACATCAACCTCACCCAGACGAAAGCCTCAGATAAAACTGAGCGACACAGGAACAAAAGTAAAACGTACTTTGGCAACACCCAAGTTCTCAATCGCGGGTATCTTGTGCCCTATACGACTCCAACCGCAAGGTCGATATCAATCCAGCTCATATAAAGTGTAGTATCTGTCCTTTTCAGGCCCAGTGTGTAACACGCACCTCGAAGATCTAGCTCGCGATCCTTAAGCGGATTGATGTAGGAAAAGGAATTTTGGATCAGCTCAACGGTCAATCGCATGATGGCGGAAAACAGGCAGGAATTCTCTATTGGGGTATCATAAAAAACGGGTAAAACCGGGATATCCAGAGGGTTAAATTTAGAGAATTAACAAGAATATGACAAGCAATTGGGAAAAGAAAGAAACCACAGCGGAGAATGAAGTTGAGTTGTGCTCCTTTACTTCTGCAGCTTCATTGCTGAAGATTTTGCCAGGCGGTGAGAGGCTGAGTCAGTAGTGCACGTGATCATTTTGCACCTTTCCTCGTAACTTAGTTACCGCTTGCGCCAGTTGACGCGAGATTCGAGATTTGTGTAGAAAAATGGTGAGATGTCATATATAAGACAGAAATAGAGAATGAAGAGGATAAGGACATGTTCTACTGGGCTCAACTAACGCCATTACGGGTTGGCACCCCGATCTATTCATACATGCAAGGTCATTAATAAGATTTAAAAGCCAGCATAGCAAACCACTCTATAAATGCGGTTCAAAGGTCCAGCCAAAAGAGAAAAAGGCTATGTACTCCTGAGCACATGGTCCTAAGATGTGAAGCAGAACCAGGCATTTTACCTCACTCCTTAAGGAGTGGGGTGATATCAACTGGCAACATGCTGGGGAGACTTGCCCTGACCGAGAAGATCAAGCCCCATGCAGGGAGCCCCGACAAGTGCGGAAGAGTTGACAACATGAAACATTATTAGCATTAGTCGTGTATCAGGGGCGTCATGCCCGGGGATTTGTGGGATCGGGATGGGCTGCCTGCCCTGGACCGACGGCCGTTCGTTGTGGGACCCAACGCAACGGGTGCTAAGTGCTCCCTGCTTTCTGTCCTTACTACTAAGCCGTTCCGATCAATGGCGGAAAGTCCAGAACCGGCAGTAATTCCAAGCCCGATGGTTGTCGATGAAGAATTGTCAAGATCGAATTTGAAGGTTGTGGTACTGGAGTGGCCCCAGGTGGATGCACGCTTTGGCGGGGCAAAGCTGGAGTCGCTATCCGAGTAATGACCATCGAATGAGGATGGACTAGACTCTGACCCGGCTAGTTCAATATCGTCGACGCCATCTTCTAGCACACGTTCATAAGATGGATTCCGAGCACCGAAGAACGATAGCTTTCCCCCAGATGTCTTTCGCCTCTTGAAACCCGAAAGTGACGATCGTCGATGTTTGAATATGCTTTTGACTTTGTGGTACATTTTCACACGACGGCTGCGGCCGCAGAGAAAAAAAGCGGCCAGAATGATGATGAAGACGAAGAGCAGAAATCCTGGGATTCTTCGTGATGATCCTCCATCAAAAAGCGTATCCTGCCAGGTCTCGTCGTGGAGGCTCTCCGGATCCGGCAACAACTCAACACTTGGATACTGGAAGTCGGTAGGAACACCAGCAACATTACTGCCAAATCCAACGGGGAGAGTCTCAGCAACCTCGACGGGAACCTGAGATGAAGCGTAAAGAACCATTTTGCCCAGGGTCCAGCTCACCTCAGTGGAATGGATCTTATTCACCGCCTGAAATGCATCTAGATAGCCCTTGTTGTGACCAGGTGATAGCACTTCCTTAGTTCCATTAACGCTTGAGCTTGGAAGGTCTTCCAAACCCACGCGAGGAATTCCGATACCATCATGCAAGACGTTAATAACCCAGGAGGCCTTGAAACAAACTTCAGAAGCCCGCTCGCGGTCCAACTTCTTCCACTTGTGGTCCAGGATACCCTGTTCGATGGAATGCCAATCCTGCGAGCAGAATGCTTGAACTCGTTGTTGGTAGGTATTGAAGTCGTACGCCTTATCTTTATGGCCCATCTCAAGAACGTCATGTGTTGTATGCCAGTACTCGCTGATTCCTACGAAGTGATTGACATCGAAATCAATGGCGGGGACATGAATTCCGTGAAGTAGACAAGGCTGGTCAGGACAAGGGGCATCCTTGTCTAGCAATGGGAAAGTCCCTCGCAAGCATTCATCGAATTGCCCAGTTCCCACGAGGGAGCGAACTACATCACCACCATCCTCCAGAGGTTTACCGTCAATCGTGGTTCGAAGGCCTGCCGGTAAACACGGATCTGGAAGTTCTTTTGCATGCTCAACTGCTATCGCGTCCTGCAAAGCTTCGAGGTAGCGTCTTCTAGCCTCCCGCACTCCAAACTCTAGCCAGGACGTAACAAACACTTTGTGCTCCTGCGTAGACCCATCGATATTTCGGAGGCGAAGTAGTGTCAAGTCGTTAGCGTGTTTTTCACTCTCTGTTGCATTGGGAGCAAAGGCGATTTGCGCGGAGGCTCCGCCCATGTCCAGAAATCCGTAGGTATGGTGGCCCTTGCCGTGATCATGATCTCCTGGAGTGTCGAAGCTTCCCAGAAGATAGTTTGTCGCAATCCACCCATATAATCCTTCTGTAACCCCCGGGATCACTTGGATATGCACATCGCAATCCGGCAGCGCAAATTCATAATTCTCCCGAGCATAAGAGCAGACCTGATCTAATAATACTCGTTGTTCAAGGTCACCAAGCAGTCGCATTCCGGCCGTGGCTAGTAGAAAAAGAGGCGTTTCCTTAATAGCATCTTTAGGGACGATGTCACGAGCATGGTCCAAGAGTTCAGCGAGATGGTGCGAGCCGATATCTTCCGGTCTATCCGCGAAGGAAGACACACCTACAACATCGTGTTAGAGATCGACACCGATACACAAGTCCACATTTCAGCTATCCCGCATACCAGGGTGGATTTTCTTGACCCATTCAGCTTTTGTTTTGATTTCCGGCAGCGATTTTAAAACATCCTCGCCACCTTGTTTCCGCGCGATTGCGGTATCTAGCCACCGATAGATGTGCACTCGGGTTCCCTGCTGATATTAGAGGCGAATAACTATTGCAATTTATTGCGTGAGCTCACAGATGATCCTGCATCCAGAACGACTCCATAATGCCCTGTTAAACGTGCAACGGTCAGCTCTTGATCAACCGAGTCTAGGGTGGTGACCCGTACATTTACCCATGGAGAAAGTTTGCCGGGTTCTATGACCAATTTATTCGATTAACATGGCCGGCCCCAGGGAAGCCTTGCGAAGTGAGTCACAGTCAACGAGTCGCAGTCGACAGCGAAGGGTGTCAAGTTCTAGACCGTTGATAGCGATACAGGGTGCTGCAGGTACCGGGAAGGTGTCAAAAGGGATGGAAAATCTATGTAAAGCGGCAAACCGGGGGGGACCACAAGCGAATGGCTTTGCAAAGACAAGAAGGATCGGTAACGAATGAAGAAAAGAAGTCAGAAAGTGCAAGACTGACAAGAGGTTCCAGCAACACGAGGAGAGGGAGATGGGATAACGAAAGACACCGAGTGTGAGCGAGAGAGAAAATCAGGCATGGAACGATAAGACGGGAACGGATGGCGACAGAGCCTGAAGAAAAAGGACGCGACAACCTGCCGATGGCACTATGCCTATTGGGGGAAAGATTGGATATTGTGGTCTCATTCAAGTTCCAGTAGGGAGCATGAAGTTATGAACCATGGAGAGTGAAGGATTTAGAATGTGCAAATATCCTGGGTTTGATTGGTAAAATATGGGAATATTGAAAAAAAAGGGTCTTACTCTTTTGCTAGATTTGTTACCGTTTCTCAGGCACTACTGTATGTATAAATTCGTAGTTAGACAGGTTATTAATAGTTAGGGGCAACGTAAGCCGGCTTTTCCTTGCTTTATTGGCCAGAGTCTGGATAATTTTCAGAGACTAATGGCGTAGCTTGCCAAAAAGAAAAATGAAATGAAATGGAACGTAGTTTACGCGGTCTTCGTACCAGCCTCTGGCTGCTGTACCTCTTTGGATGGTTCTTTTGGTACACCCATCAGGGTCGTGCTGCCAAACGCCTCCATCATCGACCAGTCACCAATTTGTTCATCAACAAAGAAGGATCGATCTAGACCAAGAATCTCCGACTCCTCATCGACCCTTAGACCCAATCCCGGGATATATTTGAGGATGAGAAGCAAGATGCAAGTCATAACAAAGGAATAGGCCGAGATTGCGCAGATCTCAGCAAGCTGCTTGCCAACTTGGACCCCGTTGCCGTCGATAGCTCCAGGTGCGAGAGTGCCGCCGTCTAGGGCCGATATGTACTTGCTGGCGAAGATACCGGTCAGAAATGAACCGACCATCCCACCAATACCGTGGAGCTTGAACACATCCATCCCCTCATCAACATTCATCCACTGATTGAGGTTCTTGCACAATGCGCACACAACAGCCGTGAGGAATCCAATACAAGCGCCCAGCCAGATAGAGACGCACCCCGCAGCGGGAGTAATGCCTACAAGCCCGGCGATTGCGCCCTCGCAAGCTCCCACCACGGTAAATCTACCTTTGTATCGGATCATGTCAACCAAGACCCACCCTAGGATACCAGTAGAGCCAGCAATATTGGTGTTCATAATAGCCATGTAGGCACGAACGCTAGCACTGAGAGTTGATCCGCCCTGTTTTTTTTTTTTAATATGTATTAGATGTGCAATAAGAGCTGGAGGGTGTCCTGTGCACATACGTTGAACCCAAGCCATCCTGTCCAGATAAAAACGGTACCCAAAAACACCAGAGTTGTGTTGTGAGGTCGCTTCATAGATTGCTCCGGGAAGCCCTTGCGTTTTCCGAGGATAACTGCATACGCTAAGGAAGCGCATCCTGATGCGATATGTACAGGACCACCTCCTGCAAAATCAATGGATGGAAGGTTATATAACCATCCCTGGCTACTCCATGTCCAGCGAGCGAGTGGACAGTAGACGATAGTTGCCCATAGAAAGCCAAAAATGAGAGAGGCGACAATACCACCTCTTTCAAAGGCACCACCAGCGACAATCATGATCTGTAATGATTAGTATACCTCTTCCTATAACCATATATCTTATAACTCACCGTGCATGCACAGAAGAGAAGCTGGAACAGACAGAATAGTATCTCGGGAAGCACAGCTGATCCGGGGGAGGGGGCCGCCAAAACTTCTTTGAGCCCAAAGTTCTTCAGCGTACCAATATATGGACCTCCATCTCTAGAGTAGCTCAGAGAGTATCCCCAGAAAATCCACTGGAACGAGATGCTATTTCATAGGTCAGGGCTAAAGTTGCTCGGGAATATTTTGACTGTTTTCCGAAACTTACACTGCTAGTATCAAAAATGCCTGGAACAAGAATGTCATAGCCGACTTCCTTCGTGACAAGCCGCTATACAGGAAGCCGATACCCGGGAGAATGAAGAAAACAATGAAAGTACAAGCAACAACATAGACCGCGTGAAACTCATTCCCTACAAACGGGGCATTCACATCGAGCTGAGTCGAGTCACCGCCGTCGGGAATGGACGGGTCATATTCTGGCTATGTGTGATGATGGTGTGTGAGTTGCTTGAGTCTGCAACGTTAGGCAGCAGGAGGGGAGGGGAGAACGCGTACCGTAGACATTGCTGCAGAGGCCTTCTCCTATACAATCGCTGTCAATGGGATCTGGTCAAACTGACAGTAGATAATTCTTCTGCTGAGGCTGGTCTCCATCGTGATTTATTAGTATTGTTCGCGTCGACCCCATAATTTTGTGTGACTAGGGTCCATTCCGATAATTCGCACCCCTTGCACGATCATTAGTGAGCCAAGAATCCGTAAGACTTGTTATCTCTTGAGGCCAAGAGTCTGCTTCTGTATATAAATACTGGTTTGTCATGTCCGCTGATAGCAGTTATCAGGGAGCTTTGATATCACAAAGCCAAGAGCACCGCGCACGAAGTCACTGATATGCAAGATAGACTTGTGTGAATCTCCAATGAAAGTGTAGTGGTTGGTTATAAGTAGTCAGGGGGGGCCGGAAATCGCAACCACCTCAGGCTTAGTGTCTTGCAATAGTTAATTCATCAAGCATCAGACCGGCTGCAATTGGTGGGAGATAGCACTTTTTACATCTCCTCGGTCATTGATATCACTCCTCTTGAACTCGGAATGAGGCTGTTCCACGCACATCATCTCCAACTAAAACAGGCAAGTTTTTGGACCAGATTAACTCGAGTCCCTGGAGCTACTATGTACATGCAAGCACAAGGTAACCTTGAATCAAGTTCACCTCGCATTCGCCAGTCTATATTTTACGGACTATTGTAGGAATCCCTTGGATGCATTTTAATTTAGACTGAGAAATATAAGTCACTAGTATTGGTACACGGTATATTTTGTCCTACAGGGATCTTGACTTCAGAATGTATTTCCACCTACACGGGATTGTATTCATATACAGCAGCCCACAAGCTGAATAAACACTAATCATAGAAAACTTATCTCGTGCTGGAAGACCACAAGAGTATGTCTTTTGAGAATAGTTATCTTTAGTCTGGTGATGAGAAAGGAGACTTTGAAGCATGGGACGGAGGTTTAGTCGGATATCATTCTTCCAGCAACGGTAAGTAACTGCTCATTACTTATATATACTTCAGTGGAAGCTACAGGGCAAGAGCCAAATGGAACCAATGAAGTATGAAGGAATTATTCCACGACAATTAATGGCAAACCCATGATATACGTAGTTCGGTAAGGGCGCGCAGTAAGGGGCCAATGAAGCAATTAATCAATGCAAGAATACCTTCCCGCCAGCCACTCGCTCTGTTGCAGGTTTGACAGTAAACCAGACATTCTCACAGCTCGGGAGGATCGAGTTGTTCGTAGAAGTTGAGAGTTATGAGATTCATTAATGTTATAGATCCACCGCCTGTCCTGTCAAGTTCCGTGGCATAGTAGTTAGTGTATGAGTCTATTGGATCAGGATTCCGAGAAGGGAAGAAACGAGGGCAAAAGCATAATTTAAGATGAACTATTATTAGTCGATCGACATGCAAGAGCTTCCTTTAGTCCGCCAATTTTGTGTAACGGGCCCATCTCAAGGAATGTGTTGTTAAGCACAAATTTCTCTCCAAGGCCACGGCTGGGACTCTTAAAAGAAGGCAACTATGGACCTACTATATCGATACCCAAAAGCAGTCTCCCGAGGTCCAGTCTATGCATTGCCAGCTCCAGGAAGAAAGAAGTAGACAATGACAAATCCACCCGCAGTTGACGGTGGCAGACTTAATGGTGATAATGAGAACCCGGACACGACTCTTACAGAGCATGAAAAGCAAATCGAAAAGAAGCTCGTATGGAAACTCGATCTCATAATCCTGCCCCTGGTTTGCTTGACGTTTTTCCTTAGCTGCATCGACAGGTATGTACGTCCCCGGCTGGATGTGTCGTCGTTAACATTCGATAGAACCAACTATGCGGCTGCCCGGCTTCAACACTTGGAAAAGGACCTCAAAATGACCGATGCACAATATCAGACTGCACTGTGCATTTATTATTTGGGCTATATCTTTCTCCAGGTACCTTCGAATTTGCTGCTCAACCATTACGGTCGACCTGCGTTGCATATTGGTCTCTCTACTATTGCCTGGGGCATAGTCACAACTTGCACAGCCAGGGTGCATAATTTCCAGGGCATGCTGGCATGCAGAATTATCTTAGGAATCGTTGGTCAGTGCTTGGGGTCATTTACCCATCGATATGTATACTGCTTCCTGGCGCTAATCAGTCTCTTCGTTGGTGTCAACGTAGAGGCCCCCGTATATCCTGGAATCTTATTTTACCTTACGGTAAGGTGTTGATTCCCAATTCTCGCAAGGCCAAATCACGCTCACATTTTCTCGAAGAGATGGTACAAGAAAACAGAACTTACCCTCCGCATAAGCATATACCTCGCGGCAGGTCTAGTGGCGGCCGCTTTTGGCTCACTAATAGCCGCAGGAATTTTAAGTGGACTAGATGGGGTTCGTGGGCTTTCAGCATGGCAATGGCTATACATCATAGAAGGTGCAGGTAGGCGGGACTTCTCTCCACTATGATAAAACCCGGTCAAGATGCCGCACAACTAACCTTTAAGATAGTATCTATATCTGGCGGAATCGCTATCATATCCTGTCTACCTAATTTCCCTCACACCTGGACAGCCCTTGCGCCAGAAATGAAGCAAGTTGGTTTGTCTACCAAACGAACTCCTTATCGCAACGTCGTGTGTCTAACCACATACTAGCAATCCGACGCTTAACTCTCGATGCTTTACAGGCTGACCTTGACATATCTGGTGGCATGTCCCAGGTGCAGGGCCTCAAGCTAGCCCTGGCCGATATCAAGCTCTACGTCATGGCAGCAATCAATATGTGCATCATCGGGGCGATTGGATGTCAGAATTTCTTTCCCACACTTACTGCAACACTAGGATACAGCCATATCGTGTCTTTGCTACTAGTTGCTCCTCCGTACATGTTTATCGCCTTCTATAGTTGTCTTCACAGCTATCTTAGCGACAAGGTAGGGAACCGATTCTGGTTCATCATGTATCCAGCTCCCATTGCCATAGCCGGGTTTGTTATATTCATGACGGTGGATACGTTCGGGATCAAGTACTTTTCAACTTTCCTTATGCTTTTAATTTACCCTATGAACAACACCATCTCTGCTTGGATCGCCACCTGTATCTCACGGCCGCCTGCGAAACGCGCCGCGGCGTATGGATTCATCAGTACAGTGGCGAACTCAGCAAATATATGGACGCCTTTTACATACCGCAATCAGGACGCGCCTCACTTCCGGCTTGCACTTGGGATTGTCACTGGGCTGGTCTTTGCAGCTGCGGTCCTGAGCATAGTGCTGCGCATGATGCTAGTGAGGGAAAATCGGAAGCTTGACGGTATAGAAATTGAAGATTCGCATATGACCGAAGTTGAGCTGGCTAGGTTGGAGAAGACAGCAGAGGCCGAAGGGATTGATATGGCAACGACCAAGCGCTTGCACCACGGGTTTCGATATACAATATAATAGAATGTTCTGGGGTTTCTACAACCTGATTACTTATACATATAAACTAGTTAACTATCTGTATGGTAATGTTGAACCCTGTTGTATTCATATTTGAATTGAGAGATATCATTGCATGGTCAAAGGACGTCAAAAAAATAACATAAATAAACAAAGCAGTAAAGTCATTAAAGATTCAGCTTACTTTTACTTTACCTCGCAACAGTTGCCCATAAAACCCTCAGGTTTCGTTTACTTTCCTCTTCCTCTACAAACCACAAACCACAATCAATAATCAAATACATCCTCCAAGCTCCAAGCCAGAGTAATCCTCACTTCATACCCAAGAACACCAATCCAAGCGATCCAAAATGCCGATGGTTTGGAACTCTGAAGCCGATGCAAAGGTACATACATACATACATACACTATCCTACCTCTCTCTCTGCTCCCTATTCAAATATACTATACCCTACTGACCCACCATCACGCAGCTACTCCTCGGCATATTCAACCAGCTCAGAGACGCAAAGCTGAAGCTAGATATCGATAAACTGGCCGCCTTTATGGGTTCAGGTACCTCTCTCTCTATATTGCTTTGATTTACATTCTATACCTCTGTTACAAGCGAGGAGAAGGCAACTAGAACTAACACGGATATCCCAGACTGTCTCCCGGGTGCCGTTCAGAACCGGCTCGTCAGGCTCAGAAAGAAAGCTGAAGAAACACCCGACGCCAATGCCAACACTGGGAGCGAAGAAGACAAACAAGATCCCAATTCCCCGGGGGAAACGTCTCAGAAGCGTAAACGTGGTCGGCCACGTTCTTCGAAGAAAAAGGCCAAGACTGAGGATATTGCCATTGTGAAGGAGAAAACGGAAGCGTAGAAAACATTCTACGGGCCTTGGATATTGGTTCCTTGCTTTCTTGTGTTTTTGAATGAGATGTGGTCCACTGTTGGTGGGGATCTTTAAATCTGAGGATTGAAGCAGAGCTACTACATAACTAGGGTATGTAGCATGAGAGGGGGAAAAAAAGGCTTCTCTGAGACAGGCCAGACCAATGAACTTGGAAATCATCGTCGTATTCTTTTTTTTTCTTTTTTCGCTTTAAAGACTGGATCCAGTTCTAAACCCTCCCTTCTAACCCTCAGCATTGAACTCCCCGCCCCCCCCCGCAACCCATAATCCAAGTTCCCCTAATTCATAATCTCCATAGATTTCCGAGAGTACAATGCTTGCTTTCTCATTCAAATCAAGCCTCTCCAAAGCAGAAGCAGCTTAGTAGTCACGCATCATCACCCGAAACTTCCTCCTGCACTTTTTCCTTCTTTGCCTTCTTGGGCGTGCGTTTCTTCTGAGGCGAGCCATCAACATCCGAGTCGGTCTTACGCTTGACGCTCATGCTGAAGGTCACGGTGTTTTCGCCCCTGAGGTTTTTGCGGAACTTGGAAAGATGCTCTTTGAGAGCTTTGGGGGTGGGCTTTTCTGCTCCCGCTAAAGTATGAAATATATATATATAGATAGATATATATGTATATCTTTAGATCACTGCAGACTGAAGGGAGGACAGACTAGACTTACGCCAGCCGTTAGCGAGCTTGTCGAGATCAATGTTGACATTCTGAGTCTCGAAGAAGGTGCGCCAGAGCTGGATGTCGGAGTGTTAGCTTCTCAGGGTCATGAACAGGTAAAGGGAAGTCGTACGATTTCTTCGTTTTCTTTGGTCCAGCGCATTTTTAAGGCTCTTGGTGGAATGCTTAGATGAGTTGGGTGGAGTTGACGGATAGATGGCTGATTGTGTGAAAGGTGAGGTTGTTGGCGTTGGTGGGAGAAGAGAAGAAAGAGGTGGAAAGAGTTTGACTGCTTTAAGACCAGCAAGGATTCTGAGCAGAGCTTGAGGGTTGCTGACTTGGTAAGGTGAATGAGAATCTGTGTTATTGCAACTTGGGTTGAACACAGAATCAGTAGATACAGATCCGATTTGATGATTTCAACGAGAGTTTCTATAGCTGGCACAGCTAGCTTCTAGTATCAGCTAAGCCCCCTCGTACAGAGACATTTGTAGAAATCTAAGATGCCTCAGATATCAGAAATATCATCATGATTCTTAATATAGAGAGGACATTCTACATTTTTAGTAAAGATATAGTATAGGATTCAAATTTGGAATCCCCACAGCGTAGGTATACTACACAGAATAGGGCAACACACTCTTTACAGGACCAAGCATATATATATATAACTTAACTTATGGAAAACCCCATCCAAGGCCCTTCTCCGAAGTACTTTTCAAAAGAGGCTCAAGTCTCCCTCCCTGGATTTTCCCACAGATAGCCTGGATATAGACGTTGCAGCACAAAAGCTGCTTGGAAATGTGGTGATTATATTCTTTATTTCATGGACGCCTTCCAGGGAATATTTCTATCCCGAAGCTTTAGCAATAAACAAGCAGGAAACGTAGAATAATCATGAATGGAGTAATAAAGGCGAAAAGTAACAGAATATAGATACAATATAATACATGAAAAGAACTGAACACTGTAGGACATGGGGTATTGACAGATAATAAGAAACAAAGAATGATGAAAATTAAATGGTAAGAGAAACGAGTATGCCCTCATAGTTTGGAACTCGGTGTGATAGCCTTTCTGCGTGGCGCACGGGTCGAGACATTGGCTTCAGGGTCCTGACTTTCGGCACTTTCAAAGAGCTTCCGTCCAACGATGTCAGACATGGTCAAAACACGAGATGAGACAGTGGCCCCATCGCGTCGGTTTTTCCTGCATTGCGTTAGCGAATATTCTGTTTTTGAACAGAGGGAGTACGTCAGAAATAAGAGCTTACCCTTCACGTCTGGACTGCGCAATCAGTTCCATGAAATCCCAAAGCCGCCCCTGAGGAAGCAACTTGCCGCTGTCAGGATCTCGTTCTGGAGTCCATTCGGGGGCGAGTCTCATCTTGGCAGAGGCACGAGGTTCCTTACTTCTGGCGACAATAATGATGCCTTCCTCTGCGAAACGCTCATAGGAATTCTTTAGCGTCTCTTTATTGACAGCTTCGAAATAAGAAAGGTCTCCTTGGTGGTATAAGGTTTTACCCAACTGGCATCCAGGTCAGTACTTAACTCATCACATCTAGTCATGTACTCACGAGTTGTGCGTTATTCTGGGCCTTGCTAAGGTCAATCCAGACATCCTTTGGTCCATTTAAAGGCGGAGTGAGTCCCAGCAGAGACACGGTACCAAGCCACGCAGTTTCAATAAATGGCCAAATAAGAAAGCAGTAGAAATCGTAATTCTCCCGGCCACATTGGCGCTCAGTGTCACTCAGCTCAACATACAGGGGTGCCCCGGAGGAGTCTCTCGTCACAGTGATCACCTTGTCTTTCTCCAAGCCACGTAAAGCATTTTCCAAGTTTGTAGTCAAGCCGTCAGGTGGGAAGATAAATTCTCCACGGAAAAGCTATTGAACGTTAGTATATTGCAGGATAATGAAATCAAATATCGATATACCTGTGATAAGAAAGACACTTGGTGTATGAGGTCACCGATGGAAATTCGTTGATAGGAAGGTCCACCACCTTGTTTCACCCTTGTATACATAGCTGCGGAAACAAGAGCCTCTGTAATAAACAAGTGGATTGTCATATTTCTGTAGAAAGAAAGCTGAAAACGGTCGACGGCGTAGAAGGTCGGCTCGACCAGACCAGCTACCTCTCCCACAATTTCAGGCCCAAGGACTTCAAGAGCTCGATCAACAACCACTTCTGTCCGATATCGGTAAAAGTGAGCAACCCGGCCTCCTTTCGCTCGGACACGGTCGCATAGCCACTCAACGCGGCGTACTAATTCGCCTTTTCCGACTCCACGTCCACGGAGAGTTAACAGAACCGTTCCAACCAGTGCAGTAGGCATCATCACAGAGACCTTGTTTATATCTGAGAGTACTCTATATCCTAACGCTCTTAAAACTCTGCCTCTCTCTGTATAGCTGAGTGAAATTCCATTCTTCAGCTGCAATTGGCCAGGTAGTCTAGTTAGTTGCTGGGTGATGAACTCTCGGAGGCTCCACGGCTCATGAAAACGAACGTCCACACGGCCAAGTTTCAGAGACAACACAGACGATGACGAAAGGAAGTCTGCCAGGTTTTCCTTTCGCTTAGGTTGGCCAAGAAGCTCACTGATATAAGATCTAAAAAAAAGGTCAGAAACTTGGTTGACAATAAAGGATAATGCGGGTCATACTCAGTTTCAATGACTTTGTCATATTGTGTGCTGACAGGACATATGATAGTGTCTTCAACCCTCCCAGATAGCACGCTTTCAACGATGAAATTGAGAATTCCGAATTTCGGGGACAATAGCTTTCCAGTGCGTGATCGACCACCTTCAATGAAGCATTCGAAGTTGTATCCTTGCTGTAAAATTGTATCGATATAAGCTTGTACGACAGTATTATATAGTGGATCGTTCCCAAAGCTTCTCCGAATCCACATGGCACCTAAAGCACATCAGAGAAATGGACTGACTAATGCACGCGAGTCAATTGAACATACCTGCATGCTGTAAAAATGGGCCAAGCAGGGGAATATTTAGGTTGTCGCCCGCAACTACGACTGGCAAGGCAATCCCCAGGCGGTAACAGATAATCTGCAGTGAAACATAATCCACATGAGACTTGTGGCACGGTAAGAAAACGATGGATTGTTTCTTTTTTGTAGCCTCGTCCGCAACAGCTCTCAAGCGGAGAACTTCTTCACTCGATACGTGGATTCCTGCAGCCGCTTATTAGTCCACAATACCATATCGCAAATTGTGAACGCAAGCTTACCTTGATGGTACGCGCGGGTGACACACTGCGTAGCAATATAGTATGCGCCACGGATGAATCTCTTGCTTTCCATCTTGCAGATCATACTGTCCAGCATGCGATCCACAACTTCCTTAAGATTATTCTCGAGCTCATTTCGCCGTTGTGTCCTGTTCCTAGCAAAAGGACCGGCCTTGACCTGTAGCAGCCCTTCTTTCTCCTCAACGGCCAGTCGCGCTTCCGCCAATTCCTTCACTTTATCCTGCAAAATAGGGCTAGCCAAGATGAGGGTTTTAATGCGTTCCGTAAACCCCGAGTAGTATATAGGTTGTCCCACAACCTCATCGTAGGCGCGCCAGCCGGTACCGGACATCATATACAAACTCACTTCGCGTAGGAAATCGAACGGGTTCTCACGAAAGCGCGCCATATTGTGGACCAGATTGCGCTCCGTGATCTGTCCATCTTGCTCAGGTCCTCCGGTATAACCGCTTGGATGGATCGTAACTTGATCTCCAACGATTTCGAGGTCCGGAGCCGACTCGCCCACGGGTGACTTTTCCGACGGCATCTTCACTTGGAGAGAGGGATCTCAGGAGGTGGCAGAGGTGAAGGTATGGAAAGGATCAATCAGCAAAGGGGGGGCATTGAGTTCCTCAAACCACTGAAGAGAATCGAAAAGATCATGACATAACTCAAATAGTGGCAGAAGAAACGTCCCTTCCCCGGTCCTGATAAAAGTCACAACCGAATGCACGGATCGTCCCCATCGGTGCCTCCCCCAGGTTTCGGGCCGAAGGTACCTCGGTGCTGACGCATCTGAAGATCTGTCCCGGCGCGGATTAACTATAATCATGTAGTCACGTGATGTTATATCGGTATCGGAAATACTATGTTCCTGCAGGCGCAGCTACTTGATGGCATATTGGCTTGAAAGTCCCTGTGTTGTGTGCATTCCTTCAACTTTGAGTCAGGGAGTGAATCAACAAATCTTGTCAATTCATGTATACAAGTCACCTACGCCCTATTCGGGGGGAAATTCTACCCTCTTAGCAAGTAAACACCGCTTTTGCACCTCATTGTACCGCGGGTTAACGGCTGGTAAAGTTTCCGTTCTAGAAACTCGATGCCTGTAATTTATGGAGTCCACCTGGGATGCTTTCAACGCCGCAGTAATTAGCACGAGACTAATTCAGAGCTTCCACCATTGCAGCATTCAAACTCAGAATGGGAATGTTCTGGTGATAGTTTCCTTTCGTCCGAACAGATAGATACTATTTTATGTTCCCATGCCCCCATCCTCCCCACGCGACAGCTTGTGAACAATTTGTTCTCTGTGCGCCCATCCAGCTACTCCGCGGCAAACCGAGCTCATTGCCCGGACAGCTGAGGGTCACAATGTTCTGCAGGCCAAGGCAATTACTCCGTAAGATATCCTCGTCAGTATGAGTATCTTTTTTGTTTTCGATGTGCTGTTTTCTAACTTCAAATTCCTTCCCAGTTGCCTCCTCTCTATTCCGAAACCCCGCAACTTTCCCCGCCAGGTCCCTCCGCCACTACTCCTTCCAAGTATTTCGCGATGTTCCACCTCTCCGAGAGCTGCGTCGAGGGCTTCTGTTGGCGAAGAGGAGTGTAGGCCTCGTTCCGACCATGGGTGCGCTCCACGAGGGCCATCTATCCCTCATTCGTCAGGCAGCAGCGGAAAATACGGACGTATTCGTGAGCATCTATGTCAACCCGACCCAATTTGGGGTCAATGAAGATCTCTCTAGTTACCCGCGTACATGGGACTCCGACGTCGAGAAATTAGAGCGATTGAATGATGAGCTTGCCAATGCAGGAGGGAATACTGGCCGCATCACAGCTATCCTAGCCCCGACTTCTAAGATTATGTACCCGACACTTCCTCCTTCTTCGGAAACCGATGGTGATGGCTCGTTCGTCACCATAACACCTTTGTCGAAGAAGCTTGAAGGTGCTTCTCGTCCTGTTTTCTTCCGGGGGGTGGCGACCGTCTGTATGAAGCTTTTCAATATCGTCACCGCAGACCGTGTTTATTTTGGTCAAAAAGATATCCAGCAAACGGTGGTCATCAAGCGGATGGTTAAGGATTTCCACATCGATACCGAGGTTAAAATTGGGAGCACAGTGCGTGAGGAGGACGGTTTGGCTATGAGCTCAAGGAATGTATATTTGGGATCAAGGAGACGGACAGTCGGCCTCGTTCTGTATATGGCTTTAAAAGCATCTGAGAAGGCGTATAAATCCCGAAACCTCAGCCGCGATGATATTCTAAGCGCCGCCAAGAGTATCACTCAAGAGGTTTTATCCAAGCAGGAAGCTCTATCCCCCGCTGAGAGGGTATTGTTTGAGGTTGATTATATCTCTCTTGCGGACCCTGATACTCTTGAGGAGGTCGACATTGTGGATGCCACCAAGGGAGCTATTCTGAGCGGCGCGGTCAAGATGCTCCCTCTTGAAGAAACCAATTCTGGAGAAGACTGCGGTTTAGGGGATGGGAAGGTTTCCGTACGGCTGATCGATAATCTGATCTTGAAGCCTTTGAATTGACGATGGACGAAAGCAATGTATGATATGCAGGCGTTACATAGTAAAAATAGTATATACCCTATCCAGCGCAGGAATGCGGTGGTTCAGCTTGTACAAGATTCATACATTTATCGGGTCCATTGGACGAAATATTCAGGAGCAACCAGTGATGAGGCATGACTCCGAAAAGCAGTCGATAGAAATAAAACAACCATTAATCCAGGCATAATCAAAATAACTTTTCATTCGCCTTTCTAATACAACAAACCCAGCATCCAAGTCGTTGATTGTATGTACTTCCCAAACAGGAAAATAGGGCACATGATGAGGGCTCGGAAGCAGATTCGGCCCGCGAAAATTTCCTTCTGTAGTAAAGCCTTTTCCCAAACTTTCCGTCCGCAGCGCCAAAAGCTCAACTCTGACAAAAGTTCGACCGGGAATCGCAGCCAACTGTCGTCCATTTATTCATCATGGCTGACGATGGCATGCTCCTGAACTTTTCTCTGGGGACCGATGTTATAAAACCAGAGACTAAAATCAAAGGTGGCACGTGGCGCGAGCGATTAAGCGTCAAGAAGATCGCCCAATACCGGACGCAAAACCCCAAGAAGAGCGGAAGTAATAAGGACAACACCGAATCTGACCCGAAGAATCCAAACCGCATTCAGGTACCGGCCAATCGCCCTGCTAAGAGACAACGGACCGATGGAGGATTTCAGTCAGGGTCGCATAGGTCTGGCCCATCTTCTGAGAGACAACATCCGCGTTCCTCGCATCCACGCCAGATAGTATCCTCGCTATTCTCCAAGAATCCCAGGCCACAGAACGCTATGGAGGCTCAAGATGAAGATGAAGCTGTTGAAGATGCGAAACCGACAAACGCTCCATTGATTGATGGACTCGATACCTTTACGAACCTTGGTTTGTCGCCGATCCTTGCAGCGCACCTACTCACAAAGCTCGAGCTGAAAGCGCCAACGGCAATTCAGAAGGCTTCAATATCCCAACTTCTCAAAGAGGAAACCGATGCGTTTATTCAGGCGGAAACTGGTTCGGGCAAGACATTGGCTTATTTGTTGCCGTTAGTGCAACGCATAATGGATCTTTCAAAGACAAAAAACGAGGGCGAGGCAAGCGTCCAGCGGGACAGTGGCCTGTTTGCGATTATCCTTGCACCAACCAGAGAATTGTGCAAGCAGATCTCAGTGGTTTTGGAGGGGTTACTGCGCTGTGCGCATTGGATTGTGGCAGGAACTGTGATTGGTGGAGAGAAGAAAAAATCGGAAAAGGCACGGCTGAGAAAAGGGTTGAATATCCTAGTCGCTACACCTGGACGGCTTGCGGACCATCTCGAGAATACCCAGGCTTTGGACGTGAGTAATGTGCGGTGGTTGGTACTGGACGAGGGTGATCGCTTGATGGAGCTCGGTTTCGAGCAAGAGCTACAAGGTATCATCAAGAAACTCGATGCAAGACTACGACCTAGTCGGATCCCGGGAATTCCCGGGAAAAGAGCAACAATCCTTTGTTCCGCCACCCTTAAAATGAATGTTCAAAAATTGGGCGAGATCAGTTTGAAGGATGCGGTCCATATTAAAGCAGACCCTACGGACGAGGACGGAGAGAACACCAACGAGAACGGCGAAGATGCTGCGTTCAAGGTTCCTGCGCAGCTTAAACAGTCTTATTCCATTGTTGCATCGAAGCTCAGGCTAGTAACGCTCACTGCTTTCTTGAAGCGAACATTCATGCGAAAAGGATCTTGTATGAAAGCTATTGTGTTCGTTTCATGTGCAGATTCAGTCAATTTTCACTTTGAGGTATTTACACGAAAACTCCAAGATGCGCTAGAAAAAACAGAATCTAGCGACGCCGAAGATACAGAGAAAAAGGAATCTGAGACTTCAGCCCACGGAACAATCGCGCCAGCCACTGCTTTCTCCAACCCCTCAAACGCTGTCACCATGTACAAACTTCACGGTTCCCTTCCCCAGCACATTCGAACTGCCACTTTGTCCTCATTCGCCAAAAATCGTGATCCCTCTGTACTGATCTGTACCGACGTCGCATCTCGAGGTTTGGACTTGCCGAACGTTGACCTTGTTGTCGAATATGATCCTGCTTTCAGCTCGGATGAACATTTGCACCGAATTGGTCGTACTGCCCGCCTTGGACGTGACGGCCGTGCCCATATTTTCCTCCTACCCGGATGCGAAGAAAACTACGTTGAAATTCTCAAGCGTAGTTACAGGGATGGTGGGAAGGCGCTTACACGCACAACTGCGGATGATATGCTCAAGCGTGGATTCGGTGGAAATGTGGAGTCCCAGAACAAAGACTGGGATGATAAGGCTACCGAATGGCAGTTGGATGTTGAACGATGGGCCTTGGAGAATCCAGAATACCTTGAAATGGCGAGACGCGCGTATCAATCCCATATCCGCGCTTACGCCACCCACATCGCCAATGAACGACACATCTTCAACATCAAGGAACTCCACCTGGGACATCTTGCAAAGAGCTTTGGTCTGCGTGACCGTCCAGGAAAGATCAACGTCCCCGGTTTAAGACAAGGGAAGGACGACACCAAGAAGGATTTCAAGGCTGAGAGGAAGTCGGTCCCCGGGAAAAAGAGAAAGGCACCGTCTGGCGGCCGAGGAAATGACGATGACGACGATTTCGGCTCCGGCCCCGATCCAACAGCTGTGGCACAGAAGATGAGAGCCAAGATGAGGGAGCAGATGGCGGGAGCAAGCGAGTTCAATATTGCTTAGTTCCGTGGTTTTATTTGTAAATAGCGATCCCTGGCCTCAGTAGATATCCCACAATGAGATCTTTCCATCTTTCGACCCAGCAGCTAGCCAGTGTGTATTTTGCACCTTCTGGCTTCTCTGGCGCTGGACTTGAGCAAGTGAAAAATCCCTTTCTTCACGCTTCGTAAGCTGCGCCCCGTTCTCTTCGTCTCCGGCCTTCCCTAGGGTAGATTCCGGGCCAGGAGTAGGAGACAAGTCACCTATATTCGAAATGGAAGAAACATGCGCAAACGCAACTGCATAGCACCCATCCTTGTGCCACTTAAGCACCGCTAGCTCCTTCATCGTCTTGCATGAATAAACCCTGACCCTTGAATCCCACCCGGCAGTGGCAAATATCTTTCCATCTGAGCGAACCCGTAAACCCTGCTGGCCGGCATGCTTCGTATTTATAGTCCTCAAAGGCGACTGCTCTACCTGTACGGTCCGGGCCGTCGAAGCCGAAGCTCCAAGGCGAGGAATAGGATGCTTGACAAGCAGGGCGTCCGCAGAAGAAGAGAGGAAATAGTCTCCAGTAGCACAACAGACATCGATCGACAATACAGGCTGAGAATGGGGGCGAGATATGTAGAGTTTTTCCCACTTCCACGACCCATTGCTAGAGAAATCTTTCTCCTTGACGGCCCCTCGATGACCGAACACCATGACGTGTCCATCCTCGTAAGCGGCCGCAACGTACAACTCTCCGGATTGAGATGTGGTTAGATGCGCAGCCATAACCATTCCAGTTTTCACGGTGGGGTCCGCAGGGATCGTGCAGATTCTGCGTTCCCTAGGTAGATGGAATAAATCAATAGCGCCAGAGTCCAGGGCATTCGGGACCGCGATGAGCGCAGATGACGGGGGAACACTATCGGATGGTTTACTTCCATCGTCTTCATGTGTATGTAGACCAGTCTCGAGGAACTGCATAGAGAATGCGCAAAAGTTCAGCGCATTCACGGGCAGAGAATGCACAAGCCAGGGTTGGTTCCCAGTGCCTGATTGAGACGAGTCGCCGATATCAACCGGAAGAGTTTTTTGGAGAGACTCCTCGTCTTGCACTCGGAACCTCCACACTTTTAGCTTATGATCTCTTCCGTGTCTGTCATGAGAGAGTTAGTGAATTAGCTATATGTATGGCTGAAGGGAACGTGCGTGTATATTTCTGTCATCGCTCCAGCTGCCAGGCCGAATCCTTTGACTTCGAGGACGGCTCCCTCGTGCGCTTTCCATACCGCTATGGGGCGCTTGAATACAAGATCCCATACGATAATCCAGCCATCGGCGTCTCCTGACACTATGCGAAGGTTTGTATTAAAGATTTGTAGGGCATGGATTGGGGCGACATGTCCGCGTAAGATGTAAGTGGGAGTTGCTGGTGGTTGTCGAGGCTGTGTTGTATCAACACTCATTTCGAGTGATGTCTTTGTAGGAGACAAAGCTGTTTTCAGTATTCCCTTCACAGTCTCTTATAAGGGTTTGTGGTTTGTGATACCTTATGTTTCAATCAATGGTTGGTTTGATGAAGTCTGAATTGAATATGTTTAGGGAAAAGAGAACCATGAGGATATTTGGGTGGGAGGGCCGCACTCTTGGCGTTCTCGCCTGCCGCAACGAAGGACCAGTTTTGCATACACATACAATATATATACATCCACGGTTTGTAGGTATTCAATTGATTCTATTGGCATTACAAAAGGTCCCATACTCAAAATCAGTAGATTGACAAAACTATACCATGTTGACGAATGAATATTCATTGTTCTTACCACTGTTACCGCAAAGAAACACCCCTGTCTCCGATCTCAAATAAACCGCCCACCTATACTATTAAGGTAAATAGCGAGATACACATGACTGATAGGAAAAAGAGTGGGACAGCACGTAGAGGGAATCAAGGGCATATCATATCGCATTAATATCCAATTTCCAGCCTCGTCGCTCAGGCTTCAAGGAAAGAGCCGAGGTAATAATCTTCAAACGAATGACAGCCATGGTTGTCCACCGAAAAGCCCCCAAAATCCATTCCTGGGTTCATAACGTCGTGGGGAATCTCAAAAGGATCAAAATCATCGTACAACATGCTTGCATCTGCGGTGGAATGGATTGATCGAGGTTCGTGTGTCAATCTCCAAGCCCATATTTCCTGAAGTTGACCTTTGATCTGCTCTAAATTCCAACCTGTTCCATGAGTCACTTTACTAAGTATCCCCAGGGCTTCTTCTTGTGCATCCCTTGCAATTAAGCATTCCGCAGCCATTAAAAGAAGGGGAATAGACATTATAGCGATTCCACTTCGACGGGTTAGCAGGAATACTATCTTAAAATCATCTTTTGAAAAGGTCTCATACCGATCTTTAACATTCGCCACGCCACCAAAGACGTTGTAAGCATGCTCTTGCTGCGCATGCTGCATTTCTGGGGCTATTCTCGGTTGCGAAGGATTTGTTCTGGCGAGCATAAGCCTTGTGACATGATAAAACATGTGGGCGATAACTGAAGGGCGTTTAAGAAGCCTGTTGAAGGATTTAAGCTAATAGGTCAGAAAGCTAAGGTAGTAGAGAACCTACCATATCTCTGGGAAAATAGATTTGGAATTCGTTTGCCAGGCCTGTAGATGACCGAGCGGCATCATCGATCGTGGCGCAAGCGCAGCCCATTCATCACACAACTTCTTACAAGTCTCCCATTCCTGTAGTTGCTGGCCAACCATGCTAGTGTGGTTTGGCTTATCTGGCTCCTGTGGCTCTGAAATGGATAAACGGAAATTTGAAACTTTGGCACAAATGTATATCATACGGCGAGTCCAGATTTCCTCGTTTCCAGTAATTGAGGGCATGGTTGGTGCCATATTCATGTTGATGCTCCATAAATCTGGGTTAGAAGACAATTTCCGTCGGAAAAGCAAGCATCCGGTAAGCTCAATAGCGGTATTTAACCAAAAGCAAGCCCCTCCGAGACCATTCGTCGTTGAATCCCACCGACATTCGTTGATCAGACCGGTGGCCGCAATAATATGACTCCTACTATGAACAGGTCCAAAGCACATTATTTCGTAGACACTAAGGGCAACCGCAGTAGTTGCACAAAGCGCAGAATCACGGTCTGAGTCTTTCAAGTAATCAGATAGCATGCGCGAGGCGACGCTATAGAAATATGAAGCCTTTTCCTCGCTATATGAAGGATTTGCGACGGACATATGGCGTGCGCCGCATGCAATGAGAGCATTGTAAAGCATGGGCTCCTCCAGAGCATAAAATGGGAGGATATGAGTGAACTATTGAGAATAAGAAATGAAAAGTTAGAGCGGCATCCAAGGTTAGTCACTGACATATTTTGTCTCCTCCATGGCGTCTATCCACGGTCCGAGTTCTTCCACAAATAATTTCATAAGAAAAACCCCCTCTGGGTCATTCAAACAACGATGACGGTTTGAGCCATACTTCGAGGATTTAAAAGGCGAGTTTCCTTTTTGGTCTGACTGGAGCGAGTTGATGGTCGCAAGGCTTTGGCTGACATGGCTCTCCAATTGATTGTCTTGTTGTACAGGAGGATATCTCTCACTCCCTCCAACATACTCGGAAGCTATAGCCCTGGAGTCATCTTGGAACTTAAAGCTATTTCCTGGGAGGGGTTTTATGTAATGTGGAGGCGTCACGGTTTGTGTATCAATGAAGTTAAGACGAATTCCGCGCCTGCATATTCTGCCTGATCTCCGGCAGTTTTGGCATTGACCCTGAGCTTCGTCACATTTGAGGTGGCGTTCTCTGCAGGTGAAACAACCTGTACGAACTCGCCTCTGCTTTTTCACGGCAAAATCGCTGTCTCTGTCAGTTTCATTGAGCGGCGTGCAAGTCGCAGATAACGGGGTGCTATCCGGAATAACATCGGGTTGATTTGCATCGTTACTGATCGAAGCAGCCAATACCGGATCGCTGGAGCTGAGTTCTTGGGCATTCATGTCCGCCACAGTGTCATCGTAGTCTGTCGGATTGGAGACATGTCCCTTAATATCAGAGATCATGCCCAGGAGTTTTCAGCGATATTCTCTGGTTTCTATGCAGTAGGATGATTGTCGATACACTTTTAATTGACAAATATCAATCAAATCCAGTCGATATTTTGGCACATTAACGTGGACATTGAAATCTCTCGAGCCTGTGTTTGAAAGTCGGACCCTGTCTCAGTCAGCACAGCTGCACTCTCATAGCTGGCAGGGGGATGTCTTCGAGGATCCAGGACAAATAACTGGTATTCTTACCATGTTTATAAACCGTGGAATACTTAACACCCCGTTAGTAGATGGTTTCTCGGAGACGTTAGAAGTTAGAATTCGTGGGACTCTTTAAAGTGGTCGGAGAGTCAAGTTGGTCGCGGGTACGGAGTAAGCTAAACCGGGAAAGGCAGTCTGCCAGTTGATCTGCATCAACTATATATCGGAAAGAAAACATGAGTCTGTCGAATACACGACCTCATCATCAAAATGGGATTTAGGGAAATAAATAGCTTCAGCTTGGTGGCATTTGACTGCCAGGAATGTTAACTTATGGTAAACAGCAGCCAATATGACTGTACCTACCTAGTTGCGGCTCTAGGAGGTTATAGCCTTCGGGCCAATCAGGAAAGAGGCAGAACTGTTACAGAGAAAGTCCGAAATCGGGCCGTAGTGGATTGATCCAGTCCCTAGGTATGGAGTAGACTTCAAAAAGAATCGCAGGCGACCAAGTCCCGGTTCCCGAGGGTGGAGGGGTAAGCACAGTGAGGCGCAGAGAGGTTTTTCCTGCGTCCTTCATGCATCGACAAAAATGGTCTGCACATATCACGAAAGAAACCAAGAGAACCCCTGAGAAGGACTGGTTTGAATCAGATTGTGAAGAATTGAAGAAGGCTCTTCATGATCAAGGGATCCCCGGATACTGGAAACTACCGCACCATTTTGGTTTTGAGCCTTGTCAGAATCCTGTGCATTAGTGTTTGATGCACGAATATACAGATTTCTCAGCCTTGGGACAATAGTCACCTGCACGATCCCAAGCACTTCTTATCAACACAATTTCCCCTCTTTCCACTGTCAGTTCCAATTTCCCAGAGCTTGTCAGACAACAGCTATTCTCCATACCGGTTGTTCTTCGCCTCGAGTCCCGTATTCACTTCCTTTTGTTGGAGTTCTGTTGATTATGAGTGTCGCCCTATCCACCGATGAAGATTCATTCTCCCTCTTACGGCCGCCATATTCCAATGCAAATGAATCAACTCCCTTGTTGGGGAATGACTCCGGTCGTCCATTATACTCGGATGAGCCCTGTAGGGACATAGAGGACGGAACAACCTCCTCCTCATCCACAATTTGCTCTACAGAAGAGGAAGCGGGTTTGCTAGATCTCTCAAGAGTGAGTTCAATACCACAAGGACTCCAGGTCGAGCCGGCTATAGAAATAGTCGTTCCTGCGACGGCGAATAACAAAGCGCTTCCGGACGCTCAAAATGCGGCCACATCTGGCTATGCCTCGCGGTTCATTAATGTCTCTCCCATGAGATTTTGGCTTATCTTCAGTGGTGTTCTAATGGGGTATTTAATTGGGTGCTTCGACTCAACCCTGATGGCCTCAAGCCACCCTGTGATCACGTCTCATTTCCATGCCTCGAACTCAGCCTCGTGGCTTTCAACTTCTTTCCTGCTGACTTCCACGGCATTCCTTCCTCTGTTTGGGCGGGTCTCCGATACCTTCGGTAGGAGACCCGTATATTTGTTTGCGATCTTTGTCTTTTTTGTCACTACAGCGTGGTGCGCAATGGCTCAAAGTATCGGCAGTTTTATCGCCGCTCGTGCCCTCTGTGGCCTTGGGGCTGGTGGGGTGTTTTCAATGGGAATGATACTCTCCAGCGATTTGGTTCGCATAGAGTATCGCGGTATCTATCAGTCATATGTCAATCTCTGCCTCGGAACGGGTGGCTCCCTGGGTCTTGCGTTCGGTGGGTACCTGTGCGATCAAGTGGGATGGAGAGGTGCGTTCTTCGTGCAATTACCATTCATCTTCGTCTATTTTATAGTCGCTGCCTGGACAACACCCGCCGATCTGGGCTTGAAGAGTCAGCACAAAGACCAAATGACCGTTTTCCAGCTCATCAAAAGCATCGACCTCGTCGGGTCCGCACTTTTGGTCCTAAGTGTTACATCTTTGATCATGGGTTTAAACCTTGGCGGTAATGTTTTGAGCTGGTCTCATCCCCTTGTGATTTCGTCCTTGGTTGTATCAGTCGTCCTAGCACTAGTTTTCATCCCTTATGAACGACGAGTGGAACGAGCGGTCATGCCAATATCATTGTTATCGAAGGAACCCCGCGCGAGTCTCATTTTCGGGAATTTCTTTGGATCTATTGCCTGCAATACAATGATCTTCAATACCCCGTTGTATTTTCAGGCTGTCAAATTGGCCAGTCCAACCGACTCAGGTCTCAGGCTGGTCGCATCCACAATCGCAGTGACGATATCCAGCGTTGCGACTGGGTTTATAATTACCTGGTCGAAACGCCTCAAGCCCACGGTGATGATTGGTGATGTATTTCTCCTTATCGGTGGTTACGCTGCCTCGAGAATAGGCGTCGACACTCCTGATGTAGTCGCTATGATTTGTGTCTCCCTTACAAGTCTGGGCCAAGGGTTCGCCTTCCCGTCGCTGATGGTCTCTGTGCTTGCGACAAGTGACCAGGAGGAACAAGCAGTCGCGACGACAACTTTGGGGCTGTTTAGAAATCTTGGATCAGTTATGGGTGTGGCTACCAGCAGTTGGATTTTCCAGAATACCTTGGTTTATCAGTTGGAAGAGAGAGTGACAGGCCCCGACAAAGAAGCTGTGATCCAGCTTGTTCGTAAATCCGTTCATGCGATTGCTGGACTAGATCCACTCCACAAGTCTCAAGGTATGCGCATCTTTTCATATCATTGTGCGTGAATACCCAAGATCTAACATCGCTAGTGATTGGCGCGTATGCATCGGCTCTTCGTTTGACCTTTCTCTCTGCGGCTTTCTGCGCTGCCCTTATGCTTATAATGCATTTCCGGCTGCGTCTACCTCGTCTGGGAAGCAAGGATTGAAATTGATCCGTAATTGCTCATGATGTTTACCTCGTTAGCATCTCGAGCGTCATGTAAGCACCCACCTCTCGGCATCTATGTGGATAGATGGATACATTTGAAGTTCTCCATAGATTATGGCAAAAGTTTGATTCAGAACCATGATGGTGTAAAAGATAAAATATAATATTTTAAACTTGTGGTTCCCCCACCCCCAAGAGTACAAAATAGAAATAAGCTTTAATAACAGAAACCCTGCCTTTCAATTCCAATTATACTCTGAGGCCAGGTTCCAAAAGGTACAAGTGGGCGCGCATGCAGCGCGGCAACCATCCACTCCCACACTCCACAACCGCGGTCCCAGGAGCCAGAGCGCACTTCTTTACATATTGGAAGCCTATCTAGAGTACCTAACGGAGTTCACACCAATAATAACAGATGGTGTTTAAATGTGGAGTAAATTTATAGTGTGGGCGTGGACTGGATCGCTCCGCCAAACGTGCTTTTCCGGTAACTTTACAGGGCCATTTCCGCAAAGTGGCGGCTGATAAGGAACGCCCGGTGCAGGATGGTGGTGGTCAATCATCCTTGACCTCCAATTCTCGATCCTATTATATATCTCTTTTCTTCTTTGTGAATTGAAAGTAATTTCTAGACGGCCAGCACTACTTCCTCCTCTTCCTCCTCCTCCTCCCTAAAGAACCCATTCTTCACACAGACATCCTTTCACCCGTTTATAACACACACTTGCACAGTTGATTCCTCCCGAAATGCGTCGTCCCCCGCTCCGCATCGCCGTGCTTGAATGCGACACCCCAGCGACGCAGAGCAACGCCAAATACGGAGGCTACTACGGTGTATTCTCTAAGCTTCTCCACGAGAGCGCGCATGCTCTCGGGCAGCCCGAAGAATTAGACCCGGAGTCCGGGCTGGATATCTCGCGTTACGACGTCGTCACAGCCCAGGAATACCCGGACCTGGAAGATGTAGATGCCATCCTGCTGACAGGGTCAAGTATGCTCGATCCCCATGCCATGTCAAATCCACCGTGCAGGGCGAGCTGCGCTGACACGCCCAAACTCAGAACATAATTCGTTCGAAGACCACCCGTGGATTCTGAAGTTGGTGGATTTCACTAGGAAGGCCATCGACGACCCCCGGGTTAAGATCCTGGGTATTTGCTTCGGGCACCAGATTATCGCGCGGGCTATGGGGGTTCGGGTTGGGCGGAATGACGCCGGCTGGGAGATTGCTGTGTGTGATGTGGATTTGACAGAGCAGGGGAAGAGATTGTTTGGGCTTGAGAAGATGGTATGTTTTACGTTTTGCGATATCTCTGACGTGTGTTGTAATGACATTCGCGGATTCATATTGCGCAATTCGTATTTATTGGGGAAATGGCTGACAGGTGTGCCTGATGTAGAGAATCCAACAAATGCATCGGGATATTGTGCACGCCTATCCCGCTCATGTTATTCCACTGGGTCATTCCCCGCGCTGTGAGGTGCAGGGAATGTATTTGCCTGGATGCTTCATTACAGTCCAGGGTCACCCGGAGTTCCGGGAGGATATAGTCTCTGAGATTGTCACGTTAAGAGCGGAAGGGGGTATTTTCTCCAAGGAGCAAGCTGAGGATGCGCTAATTAGAGCAGGAAAGCCACACGATGGCGTGGCTATTGGCGTTGCCTTTTTGAAATTCCTTCTCGAGCAATAAGGTCGCCACGGGAATTGTGGCTTCGGGATAGACCGTTGTTTAGAGCGAACTTTGCATATTAAGAAGACACATTCATAATTTAAACGGGGATGGATTTGTATCCAATCATATGGTCTGCGAACCTAAAAAATACGGACCGACAGTTTCTAAATACATTATAAATATTTCCGTCAACGCCCCTACAGGCGCATATTTCTGACATATAACGAGGTATATTAAATTGAAATTCCAGCACGCAAAAAGAGGTTTAACCCGAGGCTCTCGGGTCCTCGCGTTCCAAAAACGTCGGATCCATATTCACGCGGCGTTCGAACTTCGTCCACCAATCCTGGAACGCCTTCAGCGGAACAACCTCCTGGCCCTTATTCGAGGGATCCGACGAGGCAAAGCTCGCCAAGAAATTGAACGCATTCCCAACAATTCGCTGCGCGAGAACTTTCGTAGTCATTCCCTTCTGCTGCGGCGTTTGTCGAACAAGCTCTGTCGATGTACTTGTTGCCCCCGACTTCTCTGCAGCTTCTAGAGAAGCAAGCTGCGGCGCAACCACCTGCACCGGCTCAAGCGATATCCCTAATGTCACCATAGCGCTGTTCGCGGTGTTACCCGATGTCCCATCATCAAGCATTTGGTCTTCATCCTGCGCTTCTGTCCGTCGTGGTGTGTTTACTTTGATCACTGCGGAGGGTTTTTCGTTTGCCAGGGCGCCGATGAAGCGGAAGTCCGAGCCAGGGTACTGGATGTAAATCGCGGCTGCGGTGTCTTGAGGTAGGACTGTTCCCGGGAGACAGAATACCACAATCTCCGTAAAGTATGGATTATAAGGGATATTGAATGCGAACTTTGTGGCCTGGCCATTGGGCTGTGAATCGACTGCGACAATGTCGGTCAGGCATGGTCGGCCCGGGATAATGACGGAGAACATGGCGGGGCGAGAGGGATGAGGGGTAGCGGACTAGAATATGAGCATGTAAATGGTATTATGCTGTTTGGAGACGGCAGGTCCTTATATCAAAAGTATATACTTAAGCCGGAGCGCGATTGAGGTGCATAATTGAAAGCTTAGCAGCTACTGGAAAGCTCCGAGGGTTCCTGGTGATTCCAGACTCTATGATGGAATCTCGGAGAAAATCAGAGTGACGAAATCATGCGTTGCCCTTATCGATAAGGGTTTATACCTCGTGACTGCTCTTTCCCTTTTAAGTTACAACGCTGTAAATCCGCACCTTTACAATCAGACAGCGCTTCCTCGACTGCATCGACATCGACATCGACACCGACACCAACTGCAACAGGTTGCGCAAATGACACAACCGTCGAAACCAATAGCAGATCCTTTACCATCATTTGCGATATTGATTTGTGCTCTCCCTCTAGCTGTTCCAGTACTACGATTACCGCCGACAATTTCCAAGACCTGACGACGGATTCTATGACAGCTTGTCTGGCAAAGTGCGTGGAGTACAACGCCTTCTTCACCAATTCCCCATGTAAAGGCGTAAGTTGGGACAAGTCGGCACCTGAATCGGCCAACCACACACATCGGTGCTTCTTGAAAAATGAGACGAGCACATGGGCGCAACCTGGTGACGGCTGGACTTAATCTTGTCGTTCTCGCTGAATCTATATTAGATATCTTCGAAGGAGGCCGCGGGGAACACGTAAAACCACTCCAATGGTTCTGCGCTCTCGTTCGCAATGCCATGCTCTGCATCCCCAGGAATGAATATCACCGAGCCCGGCAATACAGAATGTGTCTCTCCATCGACAAAAACCCGTCCTCTTCCTTTAGTGATATAATAGATCTCAGCTTGTTTATGGCGGTGTCGGCAGAGATGACCCAAATATGGAGGGCAATGCGCAATTCCAGCGCACATATCGCTCCTGGGTGTTTGAGGCTGAGAGAAGAGCGTATGCCATGTACATTGCCCGTGGTTAGGGTTTGGGAAAGATTCAGGAGACATTTTGGAGATCGTGTCTGCATGGTAGACAATGGGAGCCGTTCGAGGCTTTGCGGATTCCATTATGTGTTGTGTTTTCTTTTGTGGGAATGGATTGCAGTTGCAAACGTATAGATTTGGAAAAGACGAGGTAATTAGTTTTTTTTTTTTTTCTGGCGGGTTTCGACATGACTTTATATACCAACTCGCACTTTGCCATGAGGAGGGATGATATACCCTAATAATTGGTAAAACAATCCCTAGGTCCGCTACCACGAATCATACCCTGGGACTCACCTGGATGATAAGAATAGCATAAGTGCGTTCCCCCCTATATAACAGGAGGTTTGATCTAGGTACTCAAGAAGCCGCTGTTCTGATTCTATTTTCAGTCAATATAGATAGTAGTTTATGCTGTGCTGTCTTAGGACAAATAAATTATTAGGTAGTTTTCGCAATTCTAGAAAGAAAAAGAGAAAGAAAAAAAAAGCTAGCCATATACTTCTAAAGAATAAAGATATTATATTCTTGCCCTTGATTCTGATATTACAGCTGCTTACTCTCTTAAAGATAACACGTAGTCATACACCAAAGGCCTCAATTTCACCTAATCTCAACTTTACCCGTCTGATCGAGCACTTCATTTCTCCTCACTCCCCTTGTCTGTGGCATATACTCTTCCTAAACTGTAAATGGCTTTCGTGCCGATCCCCAAATTCCCTGTCAGGTTTGCTTCCCATGCACTCACGACTCTACTTACCCCAGGTGGTGATGGCAAGTTACTTGATGGCGTCGAGAGCCTCATATCGTCCCAAACAGTCAAGGAAGGAAACTGGCTCATATTCGCCCCAATATTCATTCATCTGGTCCTCAGTGGCTTCGTAAGTACGCTTGGCCGATTATTCTGTGGTCCAATTCAAGAGCTCATCCTAAATCTGCTAGATTCGGTACGTGCTTGGCCATGTAATGCCAACGTTGTTGATCCTCGAAAGTATTCGAACGGATGCAGCTTTATCTCCCACAAGGCAAGGTAGCTTCAGAAACAGGCCAAGTTTCCGAAATATCTTTACCGCAGTTGGCAATCTGTATGAGAAGGACGGAATACGTCTGTTCTTCAGAGGGCTGAAGCTGGCTGTCATCTACCAGGTGACCCATTATACACTTAGAGCCGTCTTGCAAGAAGTCGCTTTGCCAGGGACTTTTACAATGCCTCTGACATATGCCATCGCATCCATGCTGCTTTGTGAACTTCATCTACTTTGGACAGAGTGCACGATCTCTGTGCGTCCTCCAGGACTTTTGCCTTTCGCAATACGCCACGAAACCCAAAGGTGGAAGCAACTTTCCGTCCCTGCATTTGTTCATGGACTCCTTCTGGGCTTGATGAAGCAAGTCGCGACTGCTAGTGGCTTATCAGAATTATCGTCCGAGCAGTACCTTGGAGGGGGAACTGCCATACTGGTCGGCAAAGAAGTAGCTATGACGCTTTACGCTCTTCTTCTCCGACTCGTCGGTCTTTTGCCGGCTTCTGTTGTACTTACTTTGATCGAGGTAAGGATATTACCGAAGGGGCAGGAGACCGTTGTGCCTTTTTCGACGAAAAGAGGCTTGAGAACAGGGGAATTTTTCACTGGTATAAAATCACCTTTGGGATTCAAAAGCATGCGTGATAGTAGGAGGTTGTTTCATATGTCACAGATGATCTGGCTTATCGAACTTCATCTGAAAAAGTGTATGGTTCTCATCATGATGAATAGTTTGGCTCAGTTTCTTGTTTCGTTAGCTTTTTGAAACCCCCACAGAGTATTTGGGTTTCCAAGAAGTAGTGAAGATTTGGGATTCCAGAATTATAAAGGAGCTCTTAAAAGATGTTTCATTTTCCTTATTTATGAACCCAAATAAGGCGAACAAAGATGTTTACCCAATGGGGCATAGACACGGTGCCGCTGGAAACGCTGCTGTGGGTTGTGAGAATCGGAAGATTGCCTGCGTTTTCATGCACCAAACCCAGGCATCATCACCGCAACTGCAGGCACTGCCATACACCTCCATTCTCTAGATATTGCAGATCAAAATGTCAAAGTCCAATCTCCAGCTGGTCCATGAATGCAACACGTAATTATTTCACCCCCTCCACCCGCACGTCTCCAGCTTCCTAACAGTTTTGTAGATTCCCGTATTATCAGGATAACCCCGCGGCGTACACAGCCCACCTGAAAAATTACCACATCTTCAAAGTCCAGGGTTGCAGCTCGAATTTGGGATATATTACGAATGAAGTAGTGAGTCGCTTTGACTGGCCCAAAGAATCCTGGGTTGTCGATTCCGCCGATCAAACTGTTACCCTGGTCGCGGGGTCAACCCCCGAAGCGCGAAGTGCTGCTGTGGCCCAAACCCTCGCCTTAGCGGTGAAACAGGACCGTTTTGAGGTTCTAAGAGGTTGGCGCGATGAGATGTACCCTGTCTACGGTCCCGCGGGGGAGTTTCTTCTGGAGATGGAGCGCTGCGCCAGCCCGCTTTTTGGAATTGTCTCTTACGGTATTCACGTCACTTGCTACGTTGAAGATGCAACGGGGCTGCGGCTCTGGGTGCCTCGCCGGTCGAAGACGAAGCAGACATATCCTGGGATGCTTGACAACACCGTGGCGGGTGGAATGAGCACCGGCGAAAAACCGTTTGAGTGTTTTGTCCGCGAGGCTATGGAGGAAGCATCTCTCCCTGAGGATATTGTCAGGGCTAACGCGACCTCTGTCGGATGTGTCTCGTATACCTATGTGCGGGATAGTCGTGCTGGAGGTGAAACCGGCCTTGTGCAGCCGGAGGTTGAGTATGTTTATGACGTGAAGCTCGCTGCGGATGTTATTCCTAAGCCGAACGACTCCGAGGTGGAGGAATTTTGTTTGTTTACAGTGGACGAAACTAAGAAGGCATTGGCGAATGGCGAGTTCAAACCCAACTGCGCGGTTGTCCTCATTGACTTCTTCATCCGCCATGGAATCATTACTCCTGAGAACGAGAAGGACTTCCTGGAGATCATCACAAAGATACACCGCCGCTTGGAATTCCCAACCGCCTCACATGCGGCAAATTAAAGACACGCCAATGGTGATAAATATGTGTTTTTCGAATATATTTGATATTCTATGTGATAGACCCAGATGCCGAGTAAACGCCAACGCTGCAACTAAAGCATCCAATAAATGCAAAACAAAACTTTTCTGGTTATCCGGCACGGTTTCAGGCGAGTGAAGCGAATCTGTACTTGTTCCGGGCCAAAAGAAAATTAGACGCAAATTTCTGGGCGCAAAGGCCCATGAATGAGGTGCTACCTCTTTCCTATTTCTTGAGAAGCAGATACACGTAGTCTATCCTCAGAGGAGCGAGCTTCTTGTAAGGACCCTCGAGGTAAAGCAAAAGTCCACCAAAGGAAACAAAAACCGCCCTATACGCAATCAAAGGTTAGCCACGCTGGGTATTATTGACCAGTCTTTCAGCAAAGACGGGTCCAAATCCTGCTGGTTTAAAGCTTACATGTTTCCAGAAGATGAACCCTCCTCAAATCGATAAACTTTGCCATGGCAGACATAATCGTAGTCATTTGCCAGGCTCTGCTCGCCCATTCCAACTTCCCTCCAGCCGCTCTTTTCTTCCTTGCCATCAAGCGAGAGGGTCGATGCGAGCGCCATGGAGACAGACTCGCCGACTGCACACGGGTAAAGCTCCGAGTTGATGTCAAGGGTGAATGTGGTGAACGAATCTGAGGAGGTACAGCTCAGGCGAGACACGCGGTCATATTTCTGCGCATTGATCGCGGTGATCGTGAAGGTGTCCTCGAAGAGTAAAGGGTCCGACATGGTGGCGATTATGGAGGCGGAAGAGGAATTAATGTATTTATTTGATCGCACTGGGGGTAACAGTCCAATAGCTGATTTGGAATAGTGATATGGAGGCAGAGAATGGCGGCGGACGAGGTAGTGCAGTGCGGGAAGATGGTTGTATTCGCAGCGAAGGCAGGAGAGCTTTTTTTTTGCTTGGCTTTTAGCGCACCACCGCCGCCGCTTTTACTTCCGGAAGCTGCCCCGCAACAAATCTTCCAAAAAAAAAAAAAGGGTATTTCATTTTAACGCCAACCTCATGATCCCATCACTATAGACACAATGTCTTTTCGCAAGAGAAATCTAGGCTTGTCAACAGGCGATCGTACATCCGTACCCATTTCCCCTGCGCAGACGCAATCGGCTGCACTTCCACCACCTGCGACACCCGGAGTGCGTCCCTCGCCCGATGATGGACGGCCAACAACATCAACTGGTTCACCATCGCTTGACAATCTTTTAGCCGGTCATGGTGGGCTACCTCTTGGGAAAATTCTTTTGGTAGAGGAAAATGGGACTACTGATTTTGCGGGTGCATTGCTACGATACTATGCTGCCGAAGGTGTTGTGCAGGACCAGAAGATTCACGTCATTGGAATGCCCGAACAATGGGGAAGAAGTCTGCCAGGCTTGATAGGCCCTGCGGATGCTGCAGATGAAAAATCAGATAAGCGAAAGAGTGAGCGGATGAAGATTGCTTGGCGATATGAGCGTCTAGGTGAATTTGGTGCCGGAGTGGCAGGATCAAGAGGTAGGTTACGCACTGCAGATGCAGATTTGCTTTACTTGATTTCGTATTAACAAGTTCAGTTCCTGCAACGGCCCCGGGGGATCAAAGTACATCTACTACAGATGGTAGCTCGCCCAAGCAAGCCGCCTTTTGTCATGCGTTCGACCTCACAAAGCGTCTCACTCATCCCTCTATAAGCAACATCTCATATATACCCATCATGCCCTCCAATGAGCCCGTCCTTATCTCAGTACAGAAGAGACTCCAGTCTGCCATTGCCGCAAGTCCACCGAATACAGTCCACCGAATCGTAATCCCTTCCTTGCTTAATCCCACGCTCTATCCAGCTGAAGTCAGCCAACCGGAAAATATCCTACCCTTCCTTCATTCCCTAAGAGGGTTGTTGAGCTCGCCTACAGCTCGCGTCACCGCCATGATCACATTACCGCTCTCTCTCTTTCCCCGGTCGTCGGGGCTCGTGCGATGGATTGAAATTTTAAGCGATGGTGTTATCGAACTATGCCCTTTTCCACATTCATCAGACGCGCTGTCCACGTCAGGCGCTGCTACATCCCATGAGGAACCGCCACAAGGCATGCTAAAGACCCATAAGCTTCCGGTGCTGCACGAGCGCGGTGGTGGAAGCGACCAGAATGTTGGACAGGATTGGGCGTTCACACTCAGCAGGAAGAGATTTGAGATCAAACCTTTCAGTTTACCGCCAGCTGAAGGTGATAAAGAAGCACAGGATAAGGCGCGTTCGGATGGAATGCCGAGGAAGGCCGACCTTGAATTCTAATCGATATTGTTGTTGTCTCAGATAAGACAGCGCATCAAAGATCCTCCATTATTCTTCATGGTCGGATTCTACCAGCATATTGTCCAGTTCGATTTGCTCGGACATGGCGGGGCCAGTATTGACCATAGTACGAAGGTACTGCCTTCCATAGTAGTCACGCCCCGATCCCCGTGAGATTCCAGTGAACCAAGAACGGACGTGACCTCCTAAGCAGGATGAGAAAGCTAGCCATGCTTTGAAGTGTTAATAACGATAAAATTGAAGCGAGGACAAGATAGGTGAGGTGGTACAAACCTATGAATAGTATAAGAGGCGCAAAAAACACCAGAAACAGCAGAAGAAAAAAATTCATAGCGAAGAGACTCGACAGTTACCACCTCAAGGCACCCAAGCTCCCTTCAATAATAGTTGTGCCGATTCTGCTCTGCACTAGGTAACTAATTTCAAGCATCTCTGGGAGCCGAAGGGAACCGGATTGCGGTTTGGGTCTATCCAGATTGCCGGAGTGAGCTCCCTGAATTAGGAAAAGCTTCGCCCCACTTTTTTTTCTTCCCAGTTTTTAAGAACGCTCTTCGCACCAAATTTCTCTCTTATTTTCTTCCACTCCCACAAAACTTTGAGAATCACTCTCATTCTGTTAAAAAAGAAGTGGGCTTGCTGGACAAACTCAAGAAGGATTTTTTTCTATTATGTTTCCTGTCTCTAATGGTAAGTCTCACGAACTGTCTCCGATACCCTCAAAGATCAAATGATTATATAACTACATAATCTGTCAATCCCCTGAAGCTCGCTTTATAAATCTCATTAAAAGAGCATATGTGATTGAGAAACGTATTGAAAAATGACTTGATCTTTTCATGCAAACTTTGAATCAGCATCCCATTGTTGTGCCCAGCGCTAACATTGCGTCAATCGCAGTAGTGAATATTTGATCAATCTCATCGAAAATGGACTCCGAACCCAATTTGCCTATCCCAGTATCGTATATTGAGGGTAATTATTTTATCTTCTCTGTCGATGCGGCTACATATCTGAGACGCGAGCACAACATATCTGGTGTCCTGGTTGGAACCCTGCCCCAGGTACCGCAGCAAAATGTCTTCATGGGCTTGCCATTACAGCTGATGCCCGAAGAGGCAAGGCTCCTAGTGGAAAAAGGCGTAGCTTGCATTGTAGATGAGGTAAATTTTCAAAAGCAAGGAATGCAGTCTCTAATGGAGGAAGACCGCAAACAGTATCTCAAAGAAATAGAATCCCAGGGTATCGAAACTATGCAGCTGCAATATCGCCGGAAGGAGCGGCAAAGAGAAGAGGCCTTAAAGAAAATAGATGAAAAGAAGGCCGCAAAGGCAAAGAAAATGAAGCAGAAGGAGCAGGCTACCGACGCTCCCCAAGGCGATCCAGTCACGTCTCTCTTTGAAGACAGCCAACCATCCACACCTAGTCGAATATCTTCTCGACGTACATCTACTTTAGCTGCGGTCGATAGCATCATGGGGATCACTCCTGCAGTATCTCATCCACCTCTTCCCGAACAGCCGCCTACTGAACACCTACTACCTATCCCTGAAGTGCCTTCCTCGTACCCGCTCTTCGCCCACCTCCATTCTAAGGGCTACTTTCTATCCCCGGGACTTCGATTCGGTTGCCAGTATCTTGCATATCCCGGTGATTCCCTGCGATTCCATTCCCACTTCCTAGTCGTTTCTGCCGAGTGGGATGAGGAAATGGACTTGATGAAGATTATTGCTGGAGGCCGACTGGGGACCGGTGTAAAGAAAGGCTTCCTCATCGGAGGAGCTGACAAAAGGGCTAAGAAGGCCCCCGATACCAACGACAATGTCAGAACTTTCAGTATCGAATGGGCGGGCATGTGATCGTCAGTCTCACTGACCTTTCCCCATCTCCCATGTTATTTCGCCAAAGGGAACAACACGCGCAAAAGGGATATATGTCTTTCATAGGCCATTATTATACCCCTTGCAATCGCTCTCCTCATCCTACGAGCTACACTTCGATGAAGTTGTCTAGCAGCAATGCCTCCGAAGTACCGGCTTTGCGGCGCCGCGGGATTTGAAAATACTCCTCTTTAAACAACTATGCACAGGATTTCTAGTGCAATGTGTTTTATTGCCTAATTTTGAGAATGAATTTACAAGCCAGGTAACTTCAGGATATATGAATAATGGTATCAGCAGTATTGAACAAATTCAAGCAGCGGACGTTCACAACCGTGCAGACCTGCATAGCAGACAAATTAAAAATTCAATATACCCTTCCCTAGTCCATATTGAGTGTAAGTCTGTATTACATCCGTAGTTTGGAGAAAGCACCGTAGCGCTCTTTTTGGCATCAAAAGCTCTGAACACAGCCCGTTAATTATGTCAGGGGTATGGAAGAATCAATTCAACGCCTGGTGTTACTTCTCGAAGCTAACGATGGACTTCCATTGACTGAGTCCGATTCGTTTTCGGGCAGGAAAACATATGCATGTTGCTCGCAGTAGCCTTGGTTCATACGAGGCGACGGGAATAATTCCTGAAGTCGAGGGTAGTCTGCATCACAGACAAAAGTTTCATATCCCTAGAAGCAGGCGTAGAGGAGGGTCTTTAGTCGTATCGTCGGACCTCAATTGAGGCAGGTCGAGAGTATGGCCTTATAGATAGTATACGTTGCGCCATTTAAATTTCTTATTGGCTCTATCGACTGGCCGATGTCGAAATTGACTCCCATGAAGTTCAAAGGTGAGTTTCTCGCTGTTGGTATCGTCATTCCCATCATCTCCAGAGTTGTTATTGCCTTCTGTGTCTTGGGATTTCGGTAAGGGAATATAAAAACGAAAAATCGTCTGTTCTTTCGGGATAGCTAGAACAGCTCGCGTCAGTTTCAGGGCCCGTAACCAAAGCAAGATCCCCCCCAAAACTTACTTTTCACTTCATCCTTCTCCGTCACAATCATAAGCGTAAACTTGGTATCCCTTACCACAATCCCCTTCAAACCCACCCTCCCTGCACACCGACTCCTAACAACCTCTACCTCCGCGCCATGGAAATCCGCACTGACCAATTTACTCCCATGCGACTGGGCCGTGATCAACGCGCCATTGCCACTACCAGCATGTTGCGGCCTCCTACCAGCTCCAAGATCCAGAATATCTTGCATATACGCCACCCACATCTGATTCAGTTCCTTAAAAACCGCATACTTGCACTCCTCCTTGGGAAGAGTATAGAGACCCGACTCGCGCTTCTCCCGCGCAGAGAGCGGCTTCGGCTTCTGTTTGCGGAGGTAGTACTCTTTCTTTCGGAGACGTTGGAGGCGACGCCGCGAGCGCTTGTCTTCGGGCGTTGGGGAGGTGGGACGTAGATAGAGGGGTTTCTGCTTTATGCGCTCTGTGAAGAGCTGCTCGGTTGTTTCGGGGGAGTGCGCGCGGCCGAGCAGTTCGCGACCGATGTGAGGTTTTGATGCAGCCATTTTCTTTAGATTTTATACGACGTAAATATAAGGGGTGCAAGCGCGCTAAGAAACGTATTGTATGGCTGTTAGTTGCTGAGGGAGCGTGGTGTAGTTGGTTGCAGTTGGGGTGACGAAATTCCGCGGAGGAAATTTAAGCTCTGAATCGGGAAGGATTTTGGCCTCCTCTTCTGCCCTAACTAACCACTATGTAGTTAAGTAGGTCTAAAGATATCCGAACGAAGTATATAAAATGAATTATATTAAAATCATTTAATTACTTCAGCTACATTCAATAAGTAGTGCTAATTGTTCTTTTCCTGGAAATAAGTTATTTGAGTCACCCACTGTAACCTATATATATACTAGCCTTAAATCCTCGCTATGCTTGGTGGCTTGCATATTAGTATGATAGCTACTATATTAATGTAAGTATGGAAGTTAGAATTAAAATAGGTATTAAAGTAGATATTAAAGGAGGTATTAGCAGGGAATAAAGCAGGTATTGAAGCAGGTATTAGCAGGCATTCAAGTAGGTATTCAAGTACTCATTCAAGTAGGCATTCAAGTAGGTATTCAAGTAGGTATTAGCAGGTATTAAAGCAGGCATTCAAGTAGGCATTTAAATAGGTATTAGCATGGTAATAGCTTATAAAAGTAGATAATATAGAAATCTCTATAGCTAACAGGTTAACTAACATCCCCAGGTTCTATAGCACGGAAAAGATGGCCCTGCGGGCCATAGTTCTTCCGAACCGCCAGTGCGCGTAGAACTCAGCACGGTGTACAGGTCATACCACGGGTGTTTGAGGGGGACTTTCATATATTATTAAATATATTAAATATATATATTTCGATGCTCCGAGTCTCTTGACAAGGGCAGATCTAAACGCAAAGGTACTGAATATAAAAGGAGGCTGTTTAAATATAGAAATTCTCAGATACTTGAAACTATAGTACCCTTCAACATTCAGATAATTTTCAGTCTCAAAGCATCACTCTGGGAGGTCCTCTATTTCTACGCTTCAGTTTCTCCTATCTTCTTATAGCGTGGCCGCTTCCGGTATACCCTAGTGGAGGGCCCTATGAAAATTATTTATATACTAGTCTCTCTATGGATAAATGTTTGCCAGCTCTAACTGGGTTTTCGTGTCCTAAGAAGCTTGAGGCTTTGATATGAATGTTTTATGATTGTCAGCTGCATCGAAAAGGTACTCCTCAGTTACCCGCTTTAACTCAAATACGACAGATGTATGTATATCCGGAGTATGGGATATAGACACATGGACAAGGGGCTAATTTGCCAAAAATCCTCAGAAACGATCCACCAAAGCCAATAAATACGGCGGGGACAGAGATGCTAAGCTGAAGAATCAGGGTGTAATCATATATTCTTTATTTTTCTCATTCAATGCCCATGGTATCAATATTTGACTCAACTAGGGCTCAGCTCAAAGGGAGATACTATTGCACGTGAGAAGACAGTGAATACTTTGGGGGCTACATAAAATCCCACCATCCTTTGTTTACCTCATCTCTATATCAACCTTCTTCATCTTTCTCCTCTCGCTCCCCGTTGATCTCAATTATAGTCCTATTTAAGGGCAAACATCACAATGGGGACCCTTGTTTTCTTCATTTCTGCCGAACTCGACAAATACCTACCTATCCTTACGGACTCATTCACCCCCACCCCTTTACATGTCCCTCACAACGTTTCAGAACTACCATACCTCGGTGTTCATTTGTGTTTATTACGTGCTTTTGGCAACACATATAGTTGGGACAGTGTTTTATATCCAAGTGAGCTGTGTTTAGAGATGGCATAAAGTGTTAGTGCTCTATTACAAGCTCTCAACTTGATCTCCTGACTCGATCTTACGTTTATCACCAAACTCCACAACTTCATACACACTACTAATCAAAATGGATCTTCGTATTCTCATAGACCCTGACGAGAACAGCGATTCTGGTTTGAGCAGCCCCTGCTCATGGATCAGTACGCCTCCTAGCTCTCCACAAAGGGCCGAGTCAATCGTGACAACTCCTGGAAACTCTCATCATGAATCTCCCAAGAGAAACCTCAGTGAAACTCAAATAGAGCGACTTTCTCTAAGTATTCGAACAAAACCTCACCAGAATGCGAATCTTCAAACAGAAGACGACAGACTTGCAGAAATCAAACGACGAAGAAATGTCTTCTTTGCTTCTGTTAGACATGTCCTTCTTCAGCTCCTAGGGAACACTACCTTTTTTGATCAATTGGACAATTCAAGCCAATTTGCTACTGCCAAGGCTTGTCCTTATAAAGCACTAGCAGCTCAACCTAGAGGGTATGAAGAAAACTTAGACTCATAACTCGGTGGCCTAACTCGTCTGCTATTTAGAATTCGGGGTATTTTGAAGCCGTATCAGCTTGAAGGAGTGTCCTGGCTGCTCTGCCTCAGAAATAACGGTATTGGCGGAATCCTGGCCGATGACATGGGTCTAGGAAAGACACTACAGACAATTTCTCTCTTTCAATATCTGTCAGAGAATGAGGCTATTAGGAGCCACAGATTTTTGGTAGTATGCCCTTTGAGCGTGATTGACACCTGGATTTCAGAAGTTTCGAAGTGGACTACTGGCCTGACTGCCCTTTCTTACCACGGAAACACCGAGGAGCGCCAGAGAATACGGAAGCGCTTCTCAAGCAAAGAGAGCCATGTTGACATTTTAGTCACATCGTACGAAACACTACATACTGACATATCATGGCTTCGAAGAATGGTATGGAGCTACGTAGCCCTAGATGAAGGGCATCGTATCAAGAATGTTCAGTCCAAAAGAGCTCGCAACATTCATAAAATTAGATCGGAGTACAAGCTAGTGCTCACAGGGTACGTACATGCCTGTCTAGACTGTCAGTCCATCGTATCTTTTGCAGTGTTACTAACATTACTTATGTTTAAGAACGCCAGTACAAAACAACCTCACCGAGCTGTGGTCTATCCTGCATTGGCTTTATCCAGATGTTTTTGTACCTCAAACTATGGATCTATTTGAAGATGCATTCTCCTTGAATGAAGGAAAATTTGACACCAAATTTCTGGATCATACAAAGCAGTTCTTGAAACACATTATGCTCCGAAGGACTAAGGAATCTCGGGAAATTAGCCTCAACATTCCACCCAAGGAGGAGACCATCCTATCCGTGCCACTGACGGATCTGCAGCTTTCCTGGTATTGGAAGATACTTACTGGAGTCGACAAGTCACTTATTGTGGACGATTCCACAGATCCCCAGTCACAGCCCACAATCAGCCCCCCAGGATTTATCGACCTTACCACGGGTGAGTGGGAAACAGACGGCCTTGGTGTGAAAAAGAGAAGCAGGATCACTACAAATATACTAATGGAATTACGCAAGGTATGGCTTCTATTGTCAATTGCATGACTTTATTCTCACCTTTTAGTGTTCCATACATCCGTATCTTCTAGAAGACGCTTTTCCCGCGAACTACGAACTTGGACACCACATAATTGAAAATTCAGGAAAATTCATCGTGCTACAGAAGATGATCCGTCAATTTGTTATAGTAGAGAGGAAGAAGGTTATCGTCTTTTCCGGATTTGATCGAGCGCTGAGTCTCTGCGAAGACCTTCTTGAGCTTGAAAAAGCCAAAATGCAATTCAAGCATGTCCGTCTGGACGGGAGTACGCCCAGTGCCTGGCGCAATCTCTCAGTGTTTTTGTTTCAGAATAACCCAAGTTACATGGTTTTCCTGCTGTCAATCAGAGCGGGGGGTGAAGGGCTCAACCTTGTGAGCGCCTCGACGGTCATTTTCCTAGATGAAGACTGGAATCCCCAGGTGATGAAACAGGCTGAGTCGAGAGTTCATCGTCTCGGCCAGACAACACCGGTTAACGTCTTTCGTCTTCATGCTAAAGGAACGGTCGAAGAGCAAATGCGGCATCGCTTGTCAAAAAAGGCCTATCTGGCTGCAAAGGTTGTGGACGATGCTCAAAGCATTGGTGCTTATACTCCTGTCAAGATGCAATTTCCACAAAACATCTCGTTGGTCCCTAGCTCTGACATCGTTTCTGATGACCTGGACTTCGGAACGCTTGGTGATTCAGACCTCGACATTATCTTACGTTCGTGTGCGATTGACCAAGCGGCTATACCAGAAATATCACAATCTGAGCAGAATGCCTGGCTCGCACGCTCTGAACGTGTCAAGACGGATATCTTCAATGGTGAGAAGGTTGACACTAGTACCAGGTCATACTCAACCTACCAAGAAACTATTCTTGATGTTTCCAAGGCAGATAGACGAATTGGAAAATCGAGGACAGTCATAATTGATGGATATGAGGTTGCTAAAGAAAACATCGAAAGGAGGCCAGTGCTCGTAAGTTCGAAACCTGAGGTCGATAAGAGGAATACCATGGTCCACCAGACAGTAAGTTTCTAGTCCTTAAAGTGAACTGTAGCTAACAACTTATAGACCTGCTTCATTTGTAAGGGATCCAGTCCCAACAAATGCGAAATTTGTCCACGTGCTTTTCACATTCAATGTCTTGGGGCGAATCAGGTCCGGCATTCAATGAAGGCTGGCCACATATTATGTCCCCACCATCAGTGCTATCAATGTGGAAAATCAGCTTCTATGGCTGGACAGCTTCTTTTCAGTTGTCTGGACTGTGAATTTGCATTCTGTGAGAAATGTCTCGACTGGGATCGTACAATCTTTGTTGGCGAGAACCTTGTGGCAGAAGCACTAGGATACTCGCCTAGGAACGCATTCTTCGTCAAGTGTTTTTTCTGCACGACCGAGTTACGGAAACACCGCATTGAGCTGAGTTCGCCCAGCCATAGGAAGCGCACAAGACGTATTTGTTGATTTCAGAGAAAGCATGAGTCAGTCACCTGGGGAGCAGCATATTTGATGATTAAAGTCACTGCGATTCGGTGCGATACATGAAATAGGGATGATGATTATGATGGACCTGAATTTGGCTTCGTCCTCTTTTCTTCTACCTCGAGGATCCTAGGTAGCCCTAGACAGGGCCTGCACCGCCACGTACCTCGTGTCGACTGCTTTCTTGGTGGCTGGCGAGATATCTGAAGAATCCTTATTTTATACATGGGCTCTAGGTAAAAATGCAAAGTCCATAAAGAGATATTGCATAGACATCGTAGGAAATCCTATCGATCCATTTAGACCAGGCGAGATTAGAATAATCGGCGACCTGAATGTGATTCTCTACTAGTACCTAGGTAATCTAATTAGGTACCTTTTAGCTTCTACATCTGTGAACTCATGCCGTTGCAAAGCTAACACCTTAGGATCTACTATCTGCTTTTCTACCTCATTATTAGCATGTCGACTCCACGACTATCCCTCTTTGATCTACACTGCCATGTTCTCTGGGGAAAAGAATATAGTCTCGGGAACTGTTTACCGTGGTAAGCTACTCTCCCGAGGGCTATCTATCTCCTGGTCAGTCAAATCAGTCGTCGTGTGAGGCTGTGGCTATGGCTAAACAGGAATGTGAGTTTTTGTGTTTAGTCGGACGGGTCTTCCAGGTAACCAGACAGGTAGCTTTGTCATTGCGTGGATTGGCATAGCATTAGGACTTTTCCACAGCATCGTAATAGTTCCTTCCCTCTACGAAAGACTCGCATAGCCGTCTACGAATCATCGTACGTCCGCATCAAATAGTGAGTTAAAATGACATGCTGACTACATCTACATCCCAAGGGAACAGTAACTAACTAACTAACTAACTAACTAACTAGTAGATGTACACATCCAGCCCGGTGGATCTCAGCGTCGCCACTTTTATCCTACCGGGCCAAGAGCATGATTCTGATTCTATACCGAGCTGAACCAACAGGCAAATATACCTGACTTCGTACAACCCCCAGCCGCGTCCATCAACAAGTAATAGAATCCGGTAGTCCCAGCTTCCTACCGTATTTGTGACTAGATTCCTTACCAATTCCATAGACAAGTTAACTACGAAGGCAGCCATGTACCACGAACCAGGCAAGCCCTTGCTCGCTTCCCGTCCTGGTTCTCTGCAGACTTAAAGCAGAAACAATGCGCTATTGATGTAGGGGGGCAGTCGGGTAAAATCCTATTCGATCCCGTTTTATCGGGATACAGGCATACAGGCATACAGGCATACAGGCATACAGGCATACAGGCATACAGGCATACAGGCATACAGGCATACAGGCATACAGGTATACAGAGCACTTTCGGTGCAGAATTAAAGCATGCTTTTTTTTTTTTCCTTTTCTTGTTTGTGCCCGGAGATATTCGGATCATGTGTAGAGTATAGTATAGTATCATAGGCACGATATATTCTCTTGTGGAGGCTTTATCCCTATGAGAATAGCAAGACTATTTATTCGCTCTTCTGCAAGAGAAAGAATTACCTATCCTACCAGGCTACCGGCTCCCAGTAGGCCTTAACCGATTAAGCGGATCATAAGGTCGCCATGAATCGGCTGCATTTTTGTCAGTGGTGTGGTGCGGTGGGGTGGTGCGGTGTGGTGTAACTTTCGGAGGGTAAGGATCAATAAGAAGACTTCGGTTGCGCGTTGATGCCGTAAAGTGGATAGACAGTAAGACATATGGATATGGATGGCGTACTCCAGACGACCCGGATAATGCTATATAGGTATGTACCAACATTAGCGCACTCCGTAATAGCGGCAAGGAAAGATAAATCGGCCTTGGTGAGTGAGCGAGGCTATCGTGGACGCTCCGGTGGATGGTTGTATGTATGTTCCTTGGTATGTACACTTGGTCTGTTATCATGGTATGAATATTGGGTAGGGATGCGGTCCGAACCGTGGATGTTTCCATGGTACTCGACCTTACTCGTATAAGTCTCAGATGAGTTGAACAAACGCCAAAGGACTGACACCTGGTTGACATAAATAGTTTATGCTAAATTATAGTGCAAATTACTAGATTTTATCCATAAATCCGAAGAAAAAAGGAAGCTCCACCTTCGGGTCCCGACTCCCATATTATTAAAATCTCCATCAGACTTAGACTGGAATAGAATGTTTCTACAAAGTAAGTCTAGACCACTCCGTACTCTACTCTCGGGCTAATCTCAGTTTCTTCAACTAGCCACGATAATCTACAAGGGATTCCCAATGCAGTAGGAGAGACGTTTCCCGACCATGCGGAATGAAATCAACAAATCCACTGGAGTGTCGACTAGGAATTACTGGCATATACAGTACAGTCTTATTAACAGCACATGAAATCCCTGGCCCCTGAAATTTGGGGTGGAGGAACGATCCTTCATCCTTCATCCTTCCTCCTTCATTCCCAGAATGAGACTCGGCCTCTAATGGGATCCAATTATGTATCTATCAGCCATATAATTTCCTAGAGTTCAGCGGGCCCTTTCTTAGGTCCAGCCAGACAGGACGTAAGTGTAGTACTCCGTAGGAGAAACTAGAAAGTGAAAATCGGGCCTGGGCCGTTAGAAGCTTATAAAAGTTAACCAGATTTGCACAGGGATACTCAGCCCAGCCGATCCAGATAAAGTAGGTATCCCCCCCTAACTGAGTAATCAGTAATCTCCATAACTAACTAACTATTACAGAAGATGGTGACTCCAAGACGATGTTGGCTAGGCGGGTATTGTGGGATTTATGACTCAGACTCGCTGGTGTTACGCCAGCCCACCAACACCAACTCTACTAGAGAGTAGAGATCAGTAGAGGCTCTCTCCACTTTATGGAAATGAAGAGGAGGCGCTATCCCGATTTAGTAGGAGTCGAAGTCAGAATCAGGAGAGAAGAGACTGTTCTGTGGTCAATGCCAGTTGAGTTTCATCTTCGCTAGGCACATCACTTTGAACGGTACGATGTCTGTAGTACTAGCCCTGAAAGAGAGTGACGTCCGAATGTCTCGTACCTTAGACCTACGCCTAAATACTGAAAGTCGGAACGTCTGCAGTGTGGTATTATAGTGTAGGAGTGTGTCTACTTCCTGAAGAAGTAGGAGTCGCTAGGGTCGGGTATCTTTGTGTATACTCCGTATATCAAGGGCAATAGTCCGTTCAATAGCATAAAACAGACAACACATCCTCGACCGTGTTCGAATGGGACATACTCCGTACTAACTAACGTTTTGAACATGCAATGACAAGTCACCCCTTCCCCATCCAGCAGTAGTAGTAGTAGTAGTAGTAGTAGTACTATCCTGTGGGAATGGGTCAACTCCGTTCCAAATCTGAAAGTGTACTCCGTACTCTACAATAATAGTACAGAGTACTTACGCACAGACAGGCTGTATCCACAATCATTCAAGTCTAGACTAATACTATACAACTCATAATAATCAGGTAGTCCATGCATACATACCCGTAGGCTACGTACAAGTTCCCCACGGCTTTGGTTTCGCACCCGAAACATAACCTTAATAAGGTCAACATAAACAACCTGATCTTTTTTAGCGCAGGCTGGATTGTCAAAACCAAGCGATGGTCGGCAGGATTTGCTCATTTGAGAGAAATACAAATACACTTTTAACCCCGTAAGGGTAGGATAGAATGAGAATGGGGAATGGAAACCGACAATTTGGAACAAGAGGGTCCATCCGTCCATTATTAACCTGTCCTGTCAACTTGAAGGAGACTTTCCGTGCTTAGGCCTCTGGGGACTAGGTCGAAATCTACATCGAGAAAACGGAATGATTGGGGAGTTGAGACGCGGTCCAAGACAGCGACTTGGTCAATTGCCCTTTTGGGTCGGTATGTAGTATGTAGATACAGGTAGAAGGAAAAGTGACGAAGAAAGCAGAGTTCTCTGCGGTATTAAGCAAATGCAAATGCAAATAAAAATGCATACAAAACGCAACGCTAACAAGCAGTCGTAGAGATCAGCCCATTCCGGGGCGCGTCATCTATCCTTTGCTTCCTCCCCCGTCCCACCCTTGCCTTTAATGCCGGCTAACCTTTCCTCAACCCGCTGCACTATCTCGGGGTCTGGCTCGAGTTTTTGCTTTTTGGGCCTGTGCAGATGGTCATAGTCAGTCATTTGTAACTTGTAACACAGATGCAAGAAGTTGTATTATTCGATTTATTTTTGGGGGAATGGAAACGTACGGGTCTCGGATGGTTTCAGCACACTTCTCTTGTCCGCAATTGGGGCAACTTTTCTCGCCCGACCGGTAGATAGTTGGACACAGGTGACATGTATACCGGACCCTCTGGCGTGGCCGTTTCCAGGTCCGTGCCGGTGGCTCTACTGGGGGTTCCACATCACCAGGATAACCGTCAGGGTATTTGTCCAACTTGGGTCTAATTCACGTCAGTTATCATTGGAAGGGTTGGGGGGGGGGGGGGATTTGGATCTTGTAGGGTACGTACGGGTCACGATGGCAATCTGTGCACCGAATATGGTTGCAGTTACTGCATTCCGTAGCATGAGCAGCAAAGACTGTGTTACACCGATGACATGTCCGTCGAATTCGCTGTCGGACTGGTTTGTGGACCAGATCCTGGCCACCCGTTCGTGAGGGAATCGTAAGTTTAGGCTCTTTTGGCCGCGGTTCCTTGGCAATTGGCTTCTGTGCCCGCTGAGTGAGGATGGCCTGCAGCGCCGTTCCGGCCTGCTCCTTGGGGTCTTTGGGTTTCGCCGGGGGGTATCGCGGGCACTTTTTGCACCGAACATGCTGGCAATTCATGCAGACCTTGTCGGGGCCGAAGGTCGTCTGGCATCGATGACAAGTGCGACGGACTCTCATACGGATCGGCTTCGTAACACGCTGAACGGGCGCATCGCTGGGGGACCTCCACTCTCCAGACTCAATTGTCATTCCATACTTTGCAAAGAGAACCCTAGCCTTCTCCTCCTGAAACGCGCCCCAATGTGAGAACATGGTCGGCTGGGCCAAAGGTTCGGGTGCGGGAATCGGTTCAGAACTATAGAAGAGTAAGCACGGCCAGGAAGACGGGCATATTGGGATCAAGGCCAGGAAACCTACGCAGCCGCTTGGCTAGCCTCGGTTTGTGCAGTGGGTTCATCCGTTGTGCTGGCAGCAGCAGCAGCAGCAGCAGCAGCAGTAGGAGTTCTTGCCGACGAGCTTCTCCTCAGAACGGTTCTCATGCGCTTGAGCATTCTTGACAGACCATCCTGCTTCTCCTCCCCTGCCTGGGCAGATTGTGAAGTTGACATGTTTTTTTCGTAGTTAAACTGGCGCAATTGCCGTATCCACCTAATCCAAAACTCAAGACACTTTCGAGGACTAGAGCTGCAATATATTCTCAGGGTATCCTTGTCGAGTGAAAAAAAAAAATGGACCTTCACACGCAAAAGCAACTCACACCACCTCTCTCATGTCGAGCCGGCGAAGATAAGATATCAGGTAGAAACAAAAAAATACTGAATACGATAAATGAATGCAAATCAAGTTGACACACAACAGATGAATGCAGTGAACGCAGCGTCGAGAAAAGGATGAGAACTAGTCGCAGGCGAGGATGTGGTAGGTCGCACGGGGTTGTTGTGTACCAGAACCAGAGAGTTGGGAGACCCGACAAGACGGTGAGGTGCCAAAAACCACCAACGCAAGGCCCGCCACAAGCAGGGAACGGGTGATTGGCCGAATGGCGGTCAAATCCAAAGTCCAGGTGGATTGGTGTTGGTGTGGCAAGGACTGGTAAGTTAGGAGTACAGGAAATGATATTATTATAACAATAATAGAAGCTGGACAAACTTTCCATGTTTCTAGGGGGGATCGGATGAGCAAGAGACGAGTGGGTATTCTCGAGGCCAAAGTAGTAGGAGACTAAATTCTATTTGATTTAATTGCATTATGATTTCTTTGCATAGTTGAAAAAGGCCATCGTAGACTCCGGCCTTAACATACATTACATGAATTACCCGCTCTTCGTATTGTAATTTGCTCCCTAACTGGGTAGCAGATACCTACAGAGTACTCCGTACTCCGTACTCTCTACTCTCTACTCTCTACTCTCTACTCTCTACTCTCTACTCTCTACTCTCTACTCCCTGTAGAGACAGAAAGAAAGACTCCTGTACTCCGTAAGTTGGCTGTTCCCGCTTGGGGCACTAAACCCGAGTCCACTCACTTAAGTTTAACCAGTGTCTTTTAGCTCCCTTAGTGCTGGCACAGCTCCGGAAGAACTTGGTGTACTATAACCGGTATAGTTATACTATCGAGGCTATCATCCCTTCGTCAACTTGTCATCTTGTTGTAAGCACTCAGGAACTCCTACTACATCTGGAGTAGTAGTGAACTACAAAGTACCTCATTTATCATGGTTGATTAGGTCCAATACTATTGACGCATGGAATAGTCGGCATATTCGGCATATTAAAACCGTTACGATCTTTTCTTCATCCACTCCCTGTAGACTTCGGCGTAGGCCCCGCTAGACCCGCCGCAGGCTCTAACATCAGGATGCAACGTCATTCTTCAAGGTTCAGGTCTGGTTATTGAGAATCCTAAGAATAATCAGTAGGGAGGGAAGTTTCCCAACCCAGTCCTCTTCCTTGGTTTCAGACAAACAATACCAGTGATTAAAAGACTTGAACGACAATTGCAAACCATCTGTTCCTGTCTGTACCCTGTCAAAATCCAGCTCCCCTTGGCGGCATCGGATGCCAAATATGAAGCCCTATCCAACCCTACCTAGTACACTTAGAGGGGAACCCATTAATATGGCCATCCTAGACGATCGGAATACGAATACCGGAGCTAATAGTACCTACATGGTACTAGTATCTCATTGGCCAGGGCACATCCTATCCAAGAGCGCATGCATCCCTGGACTTAATAATTGTTTAATAGTCTTCGGGCTTCACAGGGCTTGGGAACCCCCGCGTCTACAAAGAAAGGACAACGCATATCCAGAAAATATGATCCGACGTCATTTTTAAATAGCAATGAAGGGCAGCGTAAGTTATTGATCGAGTAGGATCTACGCAAAATAATACCGCCATCGCCATGGCTCTTTGCGGAATGCTCAACTCCCATCCACGGCGTATCCACGGATACTTTGTGAACTGTTTTCATTATCTCCACGGATATGGTTTGCGCTCCTACAAAAAGCCTCGCCACCAACGGACACAGTGCTAATTTCAGGCTCCTACCTAACCTGGCTATAGCCTAAGTAATGAAGAGTAACGGACTAGACCCTCATCGTCTCCTCACGAACCGCCCGTTCAGCGGAGCCACGACTAGCCTGTGCTAATTAATCCTCGACCGAAACACAACTTTCCCGACTTAGCTCATGCATGATGCACGACACCGATGACCGCCACTCAATCAGAGGGGACGGACAAACGGCTTCATGCCGGCTGGCTGCATGTTTGTTCCGCGGGGATAGAGAATGGAGGAGGTTATACAAAATGTAGGTAGGTACTAGTATTACGGGGGAGCGCAGCTACCAAGACAAGAATCTCCCCAAGGAACAATAACTCCGTCTGATTCCCCTCTAAAACCGGAGATATACCCTTTGTTTTTAACAGGCAAGAGGGGCGGGGAGGAGGATAATCGGAAAAAAAAGAAATCTACCTCCGGAACAAGACCTTTCCCCCACCAGATAATTGACTGTGACTTGGAAGAAAGACCGGGTACGTCATCTGATATTGAAAAGAATCATAGCTAGTGACTGCCAATAAATACAAAGAAGGAATCATACCATCGCTCTTCGCAACGCCATTCCGCGAGATGCCTCAAATCCTAAGCGAAGAGCAGCAGCTTTGCTACGCGCCCCGCTTCGCTCTCTCGGTCCCAGGACTCGGGAGTCGTCTGTGGAGTGAACAGGGGTGTTCAAACTTCACCCGCGACATCAATGATCATTCCATCTCGGGTCTCCACCAGTGGAGTACCCGGAATTAGGAGCGCATTGATCAGTGCCCGAGGGCAGTGCCAGACCATTGGGTCCAGAGCCAGACTCCAAGAACCAAACGACCAGTAGTTGCTGGCTAGGTATGGACATAACCACCGGATCCAGTCGCACACACGGACCTGGCCGTAGTGAATAGTGGCTAACAGCCTAACAATATTATTTATTCATTCTGGAAGACTGACAAGGGGGAAGTTGAAACTTGAAAGTTCTGGTGGGGTCCATAATTCCTCCCCTCGTGGCGCAGAGACTCCTGCCTATTTAAGTAATTCGAAGCCATCCTGGGTTAACTCCGGTCTCCACTGTGGGGTCTGGTAATACACTAGTAATGATAAGTTTAGATATTGAGTTCGCGTTTAAGGTTTGAGATTTACCATGTAACAGTAACCGTCTTCCTATTTCTGTCTCGTTGGACTGTGTTTTATGTGTGACACTATCATACTACAACCTGATATAATTTCTTCTGAGTCTTGAGCTTCGAGTTTAAAGGATCTCCTGGATACGATGAACTATACACACCTCTCTCATTGAACGGGGTTGATCTGACATCCCCGGATTCTGGTTTGATCGACGCCATCTTATGAGCTTGCATTGAGTATACCGTACCCTGTATGCTCATGTATGCAATTCCAATCGACAAAGCAGCTATTAAAATGAAAAAAAAAAAAAAAAAAAAAAAAAAAAAAAAAAAGTCCAATCTCGTAGCAGCTACAAGGACTTGCCATACTCTGCGAATCTATTCTGTAGGTACATTATCACATGCTTCCTTGCCTACCTGCGCAAAATCACAAGATCTATATATGCCCTACTCGACACCTCGGCTGCAATCCATATCGGAAACCACCCAGACCACAGTAATCAATAATATGCACTCCGGAGTATACCAATGCCGAGCTAAGACACAAGGCAGGAAACGCTACACTGGTACAATATCATTATCAGATATTCTGTTCCATTCTCCTCTTTAGGCTTCAAGATTTGAAATTCCCAGGGCTCATGACTAATCTGCAGTTCCATAACTAATAACTAGTTAGTTAGTTAACTAACTAACTCCGGAGGATATTACTTCTATTTATTTGACTTTGGACCCTAGTCGCTAATTGGATGGTGATAGGTTAATTAATTACTCGTAGTAGCTACCCTAGGTAGTTAGCTACCCTAGGTAGTTAGTTAGCATGCCAAATTCTCAACCTTGGAAAACCTACCGACATCCCGAGGAGGTGGATGTTTACGCACACTCCGAGTAATTATTAGGTACCAGGTATACTGGAGACAGATCATGGATAGAAACACCGAGATAGTATGAGTCAATATTCAATCGAGTTCAAGGTATCTATCTCATCTCGTTGGCCATTCAGAGGCCTGGGTCGGGCCATTTGTATACATACCTAAACCCGGCAGAGAGATCCATTAACTGATCGGGCCTAGGGCATCTCAGATTAATATTTGCCATGCTATTAAAACCCATCCCTGTAGAAAGTGTAGATACAGTTATTGGTCGAGTAGAAAGGAGGGGTATAGTCCAGGCGTTGGTTGCTTGTAGCGAGCAACAACACGCCGCGTGGTGATGGGTATTTGGATCCGATTAGAGGAGCTGAATATATATATGTCTCTGGGATATACATACACATAGATACATTCTGAACCAAGGAACATCTGGTGTATCTCAACGGTATAGGGACGGCACGATGGAGATTGGTAATACAAGGCCACCTAAGGAACAGCTGGGGACTCGCTCCATTACAGTCGGTGATCACCTGACGCCTGGTCCTACCTGACGCCTGATTTCCCCTTACTAACTGTTTTTTTGATAATTTTTAATAACTTATATCTCAACTAATATAGGTTTAATTAAAGCCATGATAGAAGTAATTAACTTATTAAAGATTAGTAATTTAATTAATTATACTAAGATTATAAAAGAGTTTGGTATTAATTAGATAATACTATTAAGATACCACCATGGGGTATAGCACCCTAAAGATTACTAATATAAGTAATAGTAAGTTCTTACTAACTAATATAAAAAAGAACTAATAAGCTATATTAATAAGCTTACTAAGTAAGGCCTCTTTATATTCCATAAGATACTTCAGAATTTTGTAAAGAAAATGTCACGGTGCGAAGCTGTAGTACCTATCTAGTTAGATTCTGCCTTGACTGTCCACCCTTATTCCTGTATTTAAGCTATATTATCCTTAATCCTGTTGTAGCTCTTCAAGCTACATCCTGTCTATTACCTAACACCTACTGTTCTGCTGTTCTGTCTAGTTAGCTTCTAGTTAATAAATATCTAAATCTAACTCTGCCCCCTAATATTACATAGCTCCTCTCTACTAGGAGTTAATTACTACTATCATGCTTATCTTACTATTTATACTACCTAAAGATATAGAAACCCTCCTATATAATACTCCTAATAAATTAAGATAGTATATTACTAAGATATACTAGTTCTCTACTACTATTATAAAAGAACTTTATAAATTATTTACTCTATATTCTACTATTATTAATCTTCTTAACTATATTTAATAGAAAGATAGTATAATTAAGTACTAGAAGATATAAGCTAAAGAAACTTAATAAGAGCTATTTAAAATACTTACTTAAAATAGTATATTTTCTTAATTATTATCTTTTTTTAAAAAAGATACTAATATTACTACCCCCCTTACTACTATTATTACTCTTATTATATTTATTCCTACTACTTAAACCTCTAAATAACTTCCTAACCCTAATAAGTTTAATAGCTAATAAAGTAACCTAAAATACTTTACTTTTTAAATCTACTAGAAGATAACTATAAACCTTAACTATTTTCTAACCCTAAATAGTAGAATAGCTTATATAACTAGTTACCTTAAAGGAACCTTATATACCCAAATCTTACTATATATTTAAGATAGAATCTATAAACTAAGTAATTATATTAAGATTTTAAAAATCTTAGAGAAAGCTTTTAAAGACCTAAATCTAGAAGTTAATATTTATACTAACCTATTCTACCTCTAATAAACCTATTATAAGTTTAATATCTTTTTTACTAAATTTTAATACCTTATATTAGAAGAAAATATAAATAAAAATATCTTACTTATAATTCTAGAATAGGCTATTAGCTAAGAACTTTAAGAGATATTAATATATTTTAAGGCCCTATTATAATACTATAACTTTATTAATTACCTATAAAATCTAGAAAATTACTACTATTATTATATAAGTACTGCCCTACCCCTATTTATAAAGAATTCCTAGCCTCCCTAACCTATTTTAAAGCTAACTTCTGCTACCTAAATTCCTATAGTCCCTATTAATCCTATTATTACTACTGCTCCTACTAAAGACCTAATAGACCTGTCTATTACCTATTACCTTAATTATTGAACCTAATACCTGTATTACTACTATGGTAGTACTAACTACCTAGTAGGTAGCTACCTATACTCTAACTAAAGACTAACTAGCTATACCTCTATATCTACTACTAAACTAGACCTATACCTCTTCTTAACTAGAATCCTGCCTGCTAAATACTTTATATCCCCTAAATTAGAAAATAGAGTATTCTTAATCTAAGTTATAATTAAGAATACTTCTAGTGCTCCCTCTACCTATTAAAGGCTGCGATAGCTAGAATAATAGTAGAGGAAGAAAATTACTAATCTAAACTAATAATCCTATCTATTAACCTAGAGACCCCTAATAAGACTCTACTAACCTTTATTATAATTAACTCTAGAGCTAAGAGTAAATATTTTATAGACTATAATTAGACTATAAATAACTAATTAAAGATACTATTATTAAAGAATCCTATTTTATTAAAGGGATTTAATAGTACTCTAGTAAAGTCTAGTAATATTACTTATTTTATTTATTTAATCTAAAAAATCTATAATTATACTAAAAAGAATATTACTTTTCTTATAATCTAATTTATATACTTTTCTATTATTCTTAACTTACCTTAGTTAAAGACCTATAACCCCTAGATTAGATTTACTAATTATATTATTTTATTTAAAAGCCCCTATTATAAGAAATACTATAATATACCTTTAAAGTTTATAAAAATTTTAATATTATATAATATACTACTAAAAGCTTCTTCCTAATATCTTAATCCCTATCCTAAACCTCTAAAAAACTAAGATATTACTAGAGTCTTAATTACTACCTATACTATATATACCTGCTATAGATACTGGATATTTACTACTATTATTACTAATATTAAAGCCACTCTAAATCCTATTATTATTATTAAATCTAAACTATAAGAGTAACTACCCCCTAAATTTATTAAATTCTATAATATATTCTTACTAAAAGAGGCTAAGTACCTGTTATCTTACTAATCTAATAATTATAAGATTAAACTACTACCTAGAAAAACCCTATCTTTTAGGAGCTTATATAGCATGTCCTGAGATAAACTAAAAGTTCTAAAGGAATAGATTAAAGAGAACCTAAAAAAAGATTTTATTTACTCTAGTTCCTCTCTTACTATATCCTTTATCTTATTTATAAAGAAACCTAGAGGAGGCCTATAATTCTATATAGATTATCAAGCCCTAAATATAATTATTATAAAAGATTATTACCTATTACTACTAATAAAAGAGATATTAAATAACCTAAAAAAAATAAGATATTTCTTAAAAATTAATATTATCTCTACTTTTAATAATTTATAGATTAAGAAAGAACAAGAATACCTTATTACTTTCTAAACTTAATTAAATCTATTTAAATCCTTAATAATACTATTTAAGCTTACTAGAGCCCTAGTATTATTCTAGAGATTTATTAATAAAGTTCTATATAATTATTTAGATATCTTTTATATTATATATCTAGATAATATTTTAATTTATAGCTAAACTTATACTAAATATATCTATTATATTTAATAAGTATTAGAATACCTACAAGTAATAGGACTTTATACTAAATTTAGTAAATATAAATTCTTTATGCGCGAGATAAAGTTCCTAGAACTAATTATAGGTAAAAATAGCTTCTAAATAGATCCTAATAAAGTAAAAATAATTACTAAGTAGGAAATACTAACCTATCTAACTAATATTTAAGCCTTTATTAACTTTAGGAACTTTTACTACTAATTTATTTATAACTTTTTAAAAATTATTAAATTATTAATTAACTTAATTAAAAAAAATATTAATTTTAACTAAATACCTGCCTACTAAGAAATATTTAAATAATTAAAAGCTATTTTTATAAATATCCTAATATTAAAACCTTTTAATTAGTTAAAAAATATAATTCTAGAAATTAATATCTTTAATTATATATTTACTAGAGTATTATTATAATATAATAATAAAAATATATTATACCCTATTATATTTTTCTCTAAGAAATATTTTATAATAGAATATAATTATAAGATTTATAATAAAGAATTATTAATTATTATTTACTACTTTAAAAAATAGTACCCTAAACTAGAAGGGACTCTATTACCTATAAAGGTTATTATAGACTACTAGAACCTAGAGTATTTTATATTAATTAAGCTACTAAATTATTAACAAGCCCACTAGTCTAAATTTCTATCAAGATTTAACTTCTAAATATATTACTACCCTGGAAAGTTAGGTACTAAGCCTGATATATTAACTAGGAGATTAAAGGACTTACCTAAGAAGGGGGATAAATAACTCCTTTACTAGAGCTAGATTATCCTAAAATCTAAAAACCTACTACTTAAGATTACTACTAATCTAAGACTAAATATTAATAGCTAATATTAAGTATACTTTACTAAATAACCTATTACTAATAAACTAATCTCCCTGCTACCAATATTATAACCATTATTTAATAAAGCTTATTTATAAAATAAGAAGTTCTAATCTATTCTAAATATCCTAAAGGATAGTCTACTAAGATACCCTAATATTATACTAGCTAATTATAAATATATTAATCTATACCTAAGATATTAAGACTGACTTTATATGCCTAATTATAATAAGATAAAAGCTAAAATACTAAGACTTTATTATAAAAATCCTGCTACTAGATATTCTAGAAAAACTAAGATATATAAATTAATATTATATAAATATTTCTAGCCCAGGATCTATAAATATATTAATTAATAAGTCTAGAATTATTACCTCTACTACTAAATTATCCCTTCCTAAAAAATAAAGTAAGGAGTATTAAGGTCTCTACTAATTCTTAAACATGCCTAGTAAGATATAAGCATGGACTTTATTATATACTTATTATTAAGTAATAGCTATAATACTATTCTAGTTATAATTAATTATTTAATAAAGATAAAGTACTTCCTCCCTTATACTAGAATAATTAATACTAAAGGGGTAGCTAACTTATTTCTTAAATATATTTAAAAACTCTATAATATCCTTAAAATAATTATATTAGATTATAGAATCTAGTTTATTACTACTTTTTAAAAATACTTAATATCCTACCTAAAGATTTATAATCTACTATCTACTACTTATTACCTTAAGATTAATAGCTAAACTAAATATACTAATACTATCTTAAAATAATACTTACAAGTATATATATTATACTTATAAGATAATTAGTCTAAATAATTACTAATAACTAAGTTTATTACTAACTCTATTTACTCCAAGTTTATAGGAGTATTACTATTTATAGCTAATTATAGATTTTACCTAATATTAAGATTTAAACTAAGCTACTCTACTATTTACCTTATTAAGAAAGATACTAAGAAATTTACTAATATTATATATAAAATTTATAAATTTATCTATATTAAGATCTTATCTACTCAAGCCTGTTATAAAATATAAGTTAACTATTAAAGATAACCTATATATTACTATATTATAGGGCAAGAAATCTAGCTAGATACCTATAATATCTAAATACTCTACCTATAAAAAAAGTTAGACTAGAAGAACTTCAAGCTATACTATATTAAAAAGATTATTAGCTTATATACTTATAAACTTAAATTATCTAAAAATATAAGAATTTATCTTATATTTAATATATTTTTACTCTATCCTACTATTAATAATTCTTTACTTAATTAATACCTTAATCTACTACTACCCATTAAAGTAGAAGAATTAGAAAAATAGGAAGTTAAGGAAGTTCTTAATTCTTAATAAGTTTATTAAGGCTATAGCAAACCTAAGCTATAATATACTATTAAGTAGATTAGATATAATAAGCTAACTAAAGAGCCTACTAAGTATCTGGAGAATGCCTACTAACTAGTAAATAATTATTACCTCTATTATCCTAAGAAACCCTGGCTAATTCCTCCCTAGTCTTAATAAAGCTTGACCCTAAGGAGGGGGGTACTATCATGGTGTGAAGCTATAGTATCTATCTAGTTAGATTCTGCCTTGACTGTCCACCCTTATTCCTATATTTAAGCCATATTATTCTTAATCCTGTTATAGCTCTTCGAGCTATATCCTGTCTATTACCTGATACCTACTATTCTGCTGTTCTGTCTGGTTAGCTCCTAGTCAATGAATATCTGAATCTGACTCTGCCCCCTGACAGAAAATTACTAGTAAGAAGCTTAAAAAATACTAGCCTGGGTGCTTTATAAAGTATTACTAAGATAATTTTATTTTAATCTATATAATAGCTATTAATACTGTATAAAAATAAGCTAATTCTATATATAAATATACTCTATATTTTAAATTATTAAGCTAGAAGATATAGTAATATAAGCTATAGCTAGAGGATATCTATAATATAGATAAGAAAGGATTTTTTATTAAAATACTAGTTAAAGATCTTAGGATCTTCTTAAAATAGAAATATATAGCTAGAGAAGGGCTTAAATAATACCTATAAGATAGAAATTATAAATAAATAACTTTAATTACTTATATTTATACTAATAGAACCTCTTTTTTACTAGATCTTATTTACTAGACTTTTACTAGTAATATATAAGATTCCTAGCTTTAAGACTTTAATCCTAAACTTTATTCTTACTTTTTTACTTTTTTTATAAGTAATTAGACTAATAATAAACTAGAATATATCTAGTTAATTAATATATTTAATTATAAGACTAAGAATAAGATATATAAGTAATAGAGGCTTCTTATCCTTAATAATTATAGATCTTACCTTACTATAAAGTTTATTAATTACTATAATACTAATAAAATCCTATTAATAATATGTAAGCATCTCACTGGCGAGGTGCTTGGGTATGGGTAGTGTTAGTAAAGGAAGCAAAGCTACACAGAGTACAAGGATAGTAGGAAGGTATTAGAAGTAATAAAATAAAGTACTTGCCTCTTAGTACTTTAGGGGTTATTATATTGCTATTTATATTACCTAGTTAAGTTGCTGGTGCAGTATAAGTGACTTAAATATTACTATTCTCCTAATTATCCTTAATTACTAGGTATATAATTTAGTATATAGTTTAGTATGTAGTTATATATTATATAATTACTATAATAATTACCTTCTTTTTCCTTGGTAGCATGTCTACATGCCGTGTATACTACACCTAATCTGGCTTGGCACTCTATTAAGGAGGAGCTAGTCCTAGTTAGTATAATATAACCTACTTTTTTATTTAATACTAGAGATAATAATAGTATGTATAATACTATTTTTATTAATTATACTTTATTAAATAGAATATAAATAGTATTATGTTTTATTTTAAATAGAATAATAAATAAGAGTAGATAATTTACTAGATATACTAGTAATAAATAAAGATATTATTATAATATAAATATTATAGGAAAATACTCTTCTATATATACTCCTTCTAGCCTAATCCATGTTTTAAAAAGTCCCTCTTAATAGGTTAATATATTATACTAGGTAGGTTATTATTACTTAGGTATTATAGTAATAACTAACTATATTATAGACCTTATAGCTCCCTTAAAGTATCTTCTATTAGGTGCTATGCTAGCCATGTCTTTATAAAAGAGAGCCTATTTAGCTGCTATTACTTCTTTCTTTATAGATATCTTTATTCTAGTAGTATAAGTCTATTATATTAACTATTTATAGGCTCCCGCGGTGAACCCCCTTATATTTATACTAACTATAGCACCTGCAACTCTTATTACTACTAGTATATCTCTTATAGTTCCTGCTATTACTACTTTATTATCTAGTAAGACTATATCCCCCTTGTCCTCTATAGCTACTCCTAGTATTATAGTAACTCCTGCTATCTCTCTCTCTACTTCTTTTACTGTAGTAACTCCAGCTACTCCTGCTATTATTATTACGCTAGCTCTTATTATTATACTGGCTCCTGTTATTATGCTGGCTCCTATTATTCCTGCTATTACTATAGCCCTAGCTGCTCTAACTATTTTAGTTACCTCTACTAGCCTGGCTGCTATTATATAGATACTATATTACCTATATTATACTAAATCTTAATAGTATATAGATAATAGTCCTATAAAAGCCTGTTCCTGTATATACCTAAATTTAGGATAATAATATACTTAATATACCTATTTATATAAAAAGTACTTCTTTATTATCCTGCCTGTACAGGTTAGTCTTAGGGAAATTTAGGTAATATCTAGTAGAGTAGCAGGCATGGTAGCCTGTATTTAATAAGCTTATATTACTAAGATTTTTATTTATTATCTCAAGACTAAGGACTAGATAGAGAGATTACTTTAGTTTATTAATTATAATATATTTTGCCTGCTTAATATATAGTATGTTAGGGATAGTATAATAAAATTAGAGAATAATAATAAAGAGGTTTAGAATAATTATAATAATTAGGGATTTACTAATATTATAGTATAGGTATTTTATTATTTCTATTTTTATATAATAAAATTAAATTATTTTCTTAAAATTTTTTAATACCTATAGTATACCTCTATTAAATTTTAAAATTTAGTAAGAAAAAGAAGAAGAATAATATTATTAATATATTTTTATAATTTTTTTAGTTCCTTAATTTTATTAACTTATTATTTTTATATTTTACTATTTTATAGTATTTTACTAGTATCTTACCTATATCTTATTTATATAATAGAACTTATTTAAAATATCTTATATATTTTTTAAATCTTCTACTAATTATTAAGTATTCTTATATATTAGCTATCCTTTTTATTTAACTAGGTATTAGTCTTTACTATATAGCTTTTATTATATAATAATCTATTCTACCTCCTATTCTTTCTTATTATTAATAATAACTAGCTAGAATAATACTAGTAAGTCACTATCTCTTATATTTTATTTCTTAAGGAGTAATATATAAAAGACTAGGTAGATTTTCTTATATAATTTAAGTAGTTATAGGTAGTATATTTATTAGTTTATTATCTTAATTATTTTAAATAGCCCTTTATATTTAGTATCTAGCTTCTTACTAGGCCTTTATATATAAATATTCTTTATAAATAGTAGTACCTATTAGCCTATATAATATTTAGTTAGGTAATATCTCTTATTATAACTCCTTACTTACTATTTAGTAGCATGGCACAAGCTCTCTTCTAGCTAATAATATTTTACTTATAGTTAGTTAAGTTATTCTCCTACTACTATAATTATGCTAGAGTCCCTAATATTAGTAAGTTTAGGTAATACTAGCTAGTAATTATATCATGTCTTATAAGAGAATATCTCTAATAATATATTTTTTATATTATTATATATAAATTCTACTATATCTAGCTAATTTATCTAATTAATTTATTAATAATTAATATAGATTCTTAGATAGGTTTCTAATATCTAATTCTAATATTCTATTTAGCTATCTATTTATAGATAGAATATAATACTTAATTATCCTTTAACTTAAAGCCCTTAGTATAGCTAGGTCTAATATTTACTAGTAAAGAGTAAGCTATAGTTACTTACTAGGCTCTTTAATACTCCTATTTTAAGTATAATCTCTTCTATAAATATATTAGCTAGCTTCTTAGTATTAATATTTTCTATTATTAGGAGGTATTTAGCTCCCTTAGTATATTAGTCTATAATTATTAAGATAGTATTATACACGTGCCTCTTTTATATTAATAGTAGTAAGTCTATAATAAAGTCTAGAGTTAGGTCCTATTAAGGGTGTTCTAGTACTAGGAGCTTTATAAGCTAGCCTAGTAAAAGTTATCTAGGTATCTTTATCTTCTAGTAAATTAGATAGCTCTTTATATACTTCTTAATATTATATTATAAAGTATTTTAGTAGAATTTTTATTTAATAAAATTTAATATCTTTTCTTAACTAAAGTAGCCTATATATAAGTTATTATAGTATATTCTTAGTAATTCTTAATATATTATTTAATTAAAAGGGATATAAATAGCCTTACTATATTATACTAGTTTATTATTATTAATATATTATTTATTCTTATAAGTTTACTTTTATTTAATATTATTTTTAAGCTACTTTATTACTTCTTATTTAGGTAGTTTTCCTGCTATTTAAGTATGTCTCTAGCATGCCAGGTATTTCTTACTAGTATTATTCTAAATTTAACTTATATAGGTATCCTTATATTATATTTCCTAAAGTAAGTCTTGTAAAGTAGTTAATAATATTCTATAGGCTTGCTTATTACTAGCTACCCTTTATACTAGTATTTTTTAGGTTAAAAGTTCTAGATCTTTTAATTATATAATTAGGGTTTTTTAGGGAGCTATTATCTTATTCCTACTTTAATTATTTTATAAACTTCCTAGCTTTACCTAAAGTATAAGTAAAAGTTCCTTAACTATATTTTATTAGGCAGGTTTATAATTCTTTTACCTTAAAGGTATATTAGCTAGGTTAAGGCTATTAGGCTAATATTTAATCTAGAAATTATATACTACTAGGAGCTTGGCCTATCTAGTCTAGTATTAATTTAGAGTTTTAGTAATATAGAAATATTTTAGATTTATATAATCTATTTATATATATATTATATATAGGTTACCTTTAAAATAGTAGTACTATACCTTAAAGTATTTTATTATAGCTAGTAATTCTTAATTATAAGTTTTATACTTTCTCTTTATTTTAATTAACTTTCTTAAGTAGAAGACTATAGGTTATTAAGTAATATATTATATTTTTATAGATTAGGTACTATTATATTATATTAGAATTCTTATAATTATAAAATCTAATATATTAGTTACTAGAAGTATCTCTTATTCTAGATTAAAATACTATAGTATTAGGGATCTAGAGAATGCCTGCTTTAGTACTTTAAAAGTACTTTAATTATTCTCTATTATCTTAAAGGGGCCATTCTTTCTCCCCTTTACTATCTCCTTTAGTATATTACTTAATAGGGTAGTAATTTTAGAGTACTAGTAAATAAATCTTTAAAAATATTCTATAAATCCTAGAAATACTTAAATATTATAAAACAAGTATAATTCTAGCTAGTTACCTATAATATATACTTACTTAGGATCTATTTAGATTCCTTTAATTCCTATAATAAAGTTAAGGAAATATACTTCCTTCTAGTAAAAGCTATACTTTAAAAATTTTATATAGAGATTATATTTCTAGAGATATAATAATACTTTACTAATATAGTATTTATACTCTTTCTTTATTTATAAGTAGATTAGGATATTATCTAAATATATTATATAAAATTTATCTAAGATTCCCTTTATTACTTTATTAATATATACTTAAAAGATAGCTAGGGTATTATATAATTTAAAAGGTATAATTAAATATTTATAATATCTATATCTTATATAAAATACTATTTTCTACTTATTACCCTAATAAATATAAATCTAGTAATAGGTATCTTATAAATCTAGTTTAGTAAATTATTTAGCTCTAACTAGTTAGTTTATTAGTTTATTAATTTATAGAAAGGAATATTAATTCTTAATAATAATTATATTTAGGCCCCTATAATCTATATAAAGCTATAGTAATTTATTAGCCTTTTATATAAAAAGTACTAGCGTGCCTGCTATACTTATTAAGGGCTAGATCTATTTTTTTTCTAATATTTAATTAATATACTTCCTTAAAATTACTAACTCTATTCTTAATATATTATATAGCCAGCCTATTAGTAATACTATACTAGTAACTAATAATATATTATAACTAGCTTTTTTAGAGGAGAGTACCTCTACCTTTTTTTTTAAGAATATTAATTTCTATTCTTTATAATATTTAGGGAGAGCCCCTATTATATTACTATTATTATATAATTAGCTTAAGACTAGTATAATAAGTCCTTACCTTATTATATTCTTAAATTACTTAAGTAATTTAATTTTAATCTTTAACTTTTTTCCTTAGTAGTACTAGGTATTTACTGCTAAGAAAATATTAGGATTAATTAGACTTAGTTAATTATATTTTAGAATTAGTTAATATTCTTTTTTTTTTAAATTTATTATATAATATTCTATATTAAATTCTCTAGTTTTATTAAGGCTATCTATAATTTAACTTTTTATCTAGAATCTTATATAGCACAGTACTATTAAGTTATTAGTAAAATATATAGATTACTCTATTTTTATCTTATTAAAGTTTATTCCTTCTTTAGCTAAGAAATAGTAGAAAATAAAGTCCTTATTTATTCTAGTATTTATAAGCACTCTTATTATAATCTATTTATTACCTACCTAGATAGCTATAGTAATTAGAAGGGGTCCTGCTAGTACCTCTTTATCTTATTAGAGTACTAGGAATTCTAGAGTATTTAATTATTATTAATTCTAGTTCTTTAATTCTCCTGCCCCCTTAATACCTTCTCTATGCTAGGGGTATTTCCTTATAATATAATTAGTTTAATTATACTAGTAATATTAGCCTTTCTTTTATTAGTTCTAGTAATTCTGCTACTCCTTCTTTAATTCTTTCTGCTAGAATTTATTTAGTTAGGGATTTATTACTTTATTATTATCTTTTTTTTTCTTCCTTAAGTTATCCTTTAATATATAAGACCCTAGGGATTAGTTTAATTATATCTTATTTAGTTTTTTTTACTTTTCTTATTTCTAAAGTTTCTTATACCTTATCCCTAGTTTAGTAACTTTAGCTAGATTTTATAATATTATTATATCCTACTAGATTTTCTTATGTAATTCTAGCCAGGCTATTTAGATAGCTAGCTAGCAGAGAAATTCTTTAAGATTAGCTTTAATTATTAGGATAAATTTCTCTATCTAGGTTATTAGGGTTTATATACTCTATTATAGTCCTTATCTTATATATAGGAGCTAGTAAGCTATTATTTATCTATAGTCTCTCTCTAGTTCTAGAAAGTTCTACAAGAATTTAGTAAACTTTATATAAGTAAGTCTTTTAGAATTTACTCTATATTTAGAGTATTATACCTACTTTATATTATTTTTTAGGTAATCTATAATATAATAAACTTTAATTATATTACTTTTATAAAGTTTCCCCTACAACCTAAAGTAGTCTTAGAGATTTTTTAGGAAGATACTAAGTTTCTTTAGGTTTCATACCTTAAAGAACTTAGATTTAGGCATCTTCTCCCTACCTATCTATATAGCTTGCACCATGTATTAGGCCATATACTATAGTTTATTATTTTCTATTAACTTAATAGGTTAGTACTAGAGAGTTACTAGTACTATTAAACCTTCCTTAATAATAGTTTCTAAAATTATAATTATAGATTTTATAGAGTTTAGATTTACTACTTCTTAAAAAAAAGAGTAGATAGTCCTTCTTATACTTATTATATTACTTTACTTAGTTAAAAAAGTACTTTAAATTATAAGTATCTTATTAATAAGGTACTTGAGTATAGATAGTATTAATAAAGGAAGCAAAGCTATATAGAGTATAAGGATAATAAAAAGATATTAGAAGTAATAAAATAAAGTACTTGCCTCTTAATACTTCAGGGATTATTATATTACTATTTATATTGCCTAGTTAAGTTACTAGCGCAGCGCAGGTGACTCGAATATTGCTGTTCTCCTGATTACCCTTGGTTACTGGGTATGTGGTTCGGCATGTGGTTCGGCATGTGGTTGCATGTCACGTGGTCGCCGTGACATAATATATTTATCTTATTTAACTTATTTACTATAGCTACTTAATATTAGGATCTTCAGCCCTCTCTCTACTACTTATAGTAAGAATCTTAAGGACTTTCTATATAAATTAATAGGCCTTAATTATATTATTAAATAGGACTTCTTCTATTTTTTCTAACTAGCCTAGAAATAGGCCTTATTAATAAAAAATATTCTTTTTTTATAGCAAACTATAGGAATATAGCTATTAAATCTAGAAATAATTCTAATTTAATTTAATAAATAAAATAACTCTAAGTCCTCCTTAAGTAATTTCTTATACTCTATCTTATAAGTAGAGAACTAGTAGAAGATTAAGAAGCTTTTAAATTAAGTTATTACTAATATATATAATAAAAATACTAAAAAGTTAAGCTTAATAATATATTATCTTTCTATAGAGAATATTATCCTAAAATTATATTATTAAGGCCTTAAATTAGCCCTCTAGAATAAGAAAAAAAAATATTAATATAGGAAACTCTTATAGTTTAAGCTTATAATTCCTAAAAATAATAGTATAATTTTTTACTCTCCTTAAAAGATTTAGCAGGCTTGTAATCTTTAAATATAGAAGGATAAAGTTATATAACTTACTAAGATATTAAAGGAGCAAGAGAAGGTCTATTAATAGCTTGCTAAAGAAGAGAAATAATACTTACTTAAAGAATAAAAGAGAAATTAAGTATTCTAGTAAGAATTATAGCTACTAGAGGCAGAATAAAAGAAATAATAAAAGAAAGATACTTGCCTAGTAAAGAAGATAGATTACTAGCTTTAAAATAACTTCTAATAAGTAAAGAAGTCTCTAAAAAAGGTCTCTAAAGCTTTATACTAGTAAAAATCTATAAAAACTAGACTAATAATACTTATAGAAGTCCTAAAGGCCCCTCTAATAGTAAATTATCAAGGCTATAAGATCTGGCTCCTATAGTACTTTTAGATTAATTAAAAACTATATATAGAGTCCTAATAATGACTATATTTATTTACTAAAAGATCACGTGATAATAATAATTATATATAGTTGAATTGCTTCATATTTAATATTGCTGGTGGTGGTGAAATCAGGCGTCAGGTGGGACCGGGCGTCAGGTGATCACCGACTGTAACCTGACAGTGGATGAAAGAAAGCAAAAAATCAAACAAATTGGTATCGCGAATTGCAAACAAATCAAACAAATATGACTGACAATATCTATCTAGATAGTTTATATACATATATATAGTTGAACAATTATAAAAAATTTAAACAAAAAAAAGGACGGCCTGAACTGGGAATCGAACCCAGGACCTCGTCGAGTCAAGATGTTTTGAACCCGAACGACGAATCATACCTCTAGACCATCCAGGCGGTCGTTGAAAACTTTCATATCTATTTAATTCTATAACGTATTTCCTATTATTTCTGTAAGTTTTTTTTCTCCATTAGATTTTAATGGCATTATTCTTTCTCCCGAGGGATTTATATAGGGGGTTGTACTTTATTCGACCCTTTGGGCCTGTCTTCTTCAAAGAAAATATCCATGGTATGGTATAGCACTGGTCAATACGTGCAAAAGATGCTTTACAGAGGATATTTACTTCCGAAGTAAGCATCCTTCTGTGTGGATATTAAAACACTCAAACCAGAGCAATAATTAGCTTATATTACCAGGGAACCTACTGGCCTGGGTATTTCGCATTATCTGATAAGATTGATGGATGAATAGTGAAAGCCGATACACAGGTCCATTCACCAACCCTACTGCAACTATATGATCTACACCATGCAAAGCCCGGCCACCAAAAGGAGCCTGGTTCTGCTAGGCAGCTGGGATGAGTTTGATATTATGGTGAGAATAAATCTTGCTACCTGGTCAGTTGTCATAATATATGTATGGGTAGGGTTTCTTTATCACCTGAGGATCTTGACCGAACCATTAGCCGGGCTGGGTTTATACAAAGCCTATTGTTCTACAACAAAGAGAAGCATGTGGTCATCTAATAATTGCGTGCTCTAGCTAGGGAGAAGTTTATCTTGGGGATCAAGCCTAAATAAAGCAGAATATTGCTCGATGCATTCCCCCATTCAAATACACTAGCACAGTGTATAGGTTACGTCAAGTGGGAAGCGCAATGGTCATCCAAACTACAACGCCGTCCTGTCACTAAAATTATCTGCCATAAACTGCACGCTGGGATATATAAGTATGTGTGTGTGTGTGTGTGTGTGTTTGATCACTGCCGCGAAATACCACCCAAAAAAAGGAAGAAAAACTTGACGAAGCTTAAACTACTCTGCACCCTTGAGTCGCGACTCGATGGATATGATATCATCCTCCTGCTCGACCTCAATCACACGGTTGACCTCGGCTGTATTTCGCATAAGTTCTACGGCGCCAGCGTATGTCATTCGCATTGTTGGGTTGCAGTTCTCGGGGAGCCAGTATAGGAGGACGTAGGGGACTGCGAGACGACCGGAGGCCTGTGCATTAGTTGATTAGCTATCTTGATGTCCGAACATATATAATTTACTCCAGAGGGTTCAGGAAGGGAAACTATACCATGGTCAAAGGATAGCTGAGGAGGATGAATCGGGGAGATGAATCGGGGAGCTCATCCGCTAGGTCCTCCATTTTCGTGTAGACTTCGCCATCTTCTGCTCGGATTTCCTGGCTCTTGCTATCGATGATGTCTGCGAAATCCATTATCAGCACTCTACTTCATAACGAAATAAGTGGATTCAAGCAAAGTAGCCTTCCGATGGCTGCGGCGATGTAACAAGGGTGGTGGGCGGTACTGGAGCGTCATGACAGGGCGGACCATACAGATTACGGCCTGGGGATCCTTTGCGCGCGAGGTTCCCAAGCGGAACTTGCGTAGCTTCTCTTTCGTCTCCGGGGAGAAGGCGTATAATCGCGACTCGGAAGACTGTAATTGCTCGACCGAAAAAGAAAAGAGGCGCTGTTAGCGGAATAATCCTCCCGAGTGAGTGTTGTGGGCGCGGGGCAGACTCACCATCTTGTCTGTTGCTCAGGACAAGTATATAAAACAAAGTCGAACTAAAAAAAGGAGAGAGAAAAAAAAATTCAAGGCTCCTCTGTGTAAGATAGATATAATACACGGCCACAGCAAAATCAGAAAGTGCGTTGGTCGCGAGTTGATAGTTAGTTGCAAAAGTGCGCGGAGTACGTAGTTCCAAGTTGACACCAAGACCCCCCACCCGCTCGCTGCTCATGTCATGCGTCCAGACAGAAAAGCACATCGCCGATAATTTGGCGGGTAATTGATTCGTTCTATTCTTTCTCTTTTTTTTTTTTTTTCCCGCCCCCTCCCTCTCTTTCCTTCTCAATTCTCTCTCCATGTTAACTCGACTCACCCAGATTTCTCGACATCTCTCAAGACCGTCGACGAATCTCCCACTTACTACCCCCGTTCTTTCCTCACCCCCGGTTTCACCCCTGTCGCGTGGGCTCACACCCAAGATGACATCATCCACGGTTCCTAAAAGCATCCACACGGCGGCGGCATTGATCATTGGTGACGAGGTGCTTGGTGGAAAGGTATGCTATGTGATCGAATTAAATCACCTGCCCTCGTTTCTGTTCTCCGGAAGCTCCTGGTCTGGGTGAACCCGTCGGATGGAGACTGACCGAGTGATGTCGCTTGACTTTATAGACGGTCGATACAAACTCTGCCTTCTTTGCAAAGTACTGTTTTTCCCTCGGAATCCAGCTGAAGCGCGTGGAAGTAATTGCCGATGATGAGGACGAGATCATGGAAGCTGTGAGGCGCATGAGCAACAACTACGACTTCGTCGTGACTAGTGGAGGCATTGGGCCAACGTCCGTACACCACCCTGTTTGACTACACAATCTACTCTCCCGACCGACGGACACGTATCTTCATGTCCTGGGTTTTCGGTTAAATTGATTATCAAGTGCCACACGCTAACGGTTTACGAACATAGCCATGATGATATCACGTACGAATCGATAGCCAAGGCCTTCGGACTAAAACTCAAGCTCCATGATGCTGCCTTTGAGCGTATGAAGAAACTGTCGAAGCCGCACCCAATGCAGCCCGCCTTCGACTGGGATACCCCTTCCCCAGCACTAACCGCGAAACTACGCATGGTCGAAATCCCACACGACGACGCCCTACCGATAGAACAACAGGCTGTCTTTGTTGCAGATGACTTGTGGGTGCCGATTGCTGTGGTCAATGGCAACGTGCATATTCTCCCCGGCGTCCCGCGCCTATTCGAGAAACTTCTCGAACACCTAAAGCCCTTTTTGCTTCCTCGGTTGGTCAACCCTGAGGGCAAGGGTATCTACCGCTACCTCTTTAGCACCCCCCTTCCAGAGAGTGCAGTCGCACCATACCTTACGGATCTTGCGGCGCGGACTGCCTCGCGCGGAATTAAGGTCGGTAGCTATCCTCGCTGGGAGAAGAAGCGTAATACCGTAACACTGGTAGGAACGGATAAGGAGCTCATGGACTCCCTTATTGCGGAAGTTGAGGAGAACGTGAAGGGAAAGAAGGTGTTGCAAGAGGATGAGATGGATTCTCTCTCTGATGCGGAGGGGAGCAACTAAAGTGGGATGGATATATATCACTTCTACCATCGTCTTGTAAATCACATGGACCCGTATTTAGAGTTTTGAAAATGCTTACTTCCTCTGTTTGGGATGTATTTTGATGTAGGGATATCTCACAGCACGGTTCGATGGATTGTCTCAAGCTCATGATCTCGGAATTGACCAAGCAGATATAGGAGTGGACGACCAAGGTCCACAAAACAGCTCTGACCCAAGTAGGGTGGAGAGTATACTTACTGCGCATGCTTTCCACGAAGTTGGTATCGTATTAAAAAAAAAAAAAAAAAAAAAAAAAAAAAGGTAAAATTGACGTAGATAAGGATAAGGACAACATGGCCTATATGTAGGAAAACCAAATGCTGGGACAAAAAAAAAAACAAAACAAAGGGGTGATTGTTCAAAATCCCCAAGGAATGTAAACAGATAACAGTGAAAGGTAGGCAAGCAAGTAAACCAGTTCAAAACCGAGTCCGTGCTTGTTGAGCGTAGATAACGTAGCATATCCCTGTCGGCTCAGCAGTATCCGGAGCTAAAGCCAGAGCTATATGAATCGAGTTAAAGGGCGTTCTGAATGAAGCGGTTTTGCAAGTGATAGATGAAGATCCAGACCGATGCGAGTAGTTAAAAGGCTTGGGACAAATAATGAGAAAGTCAGAATTCTGGAAGGTCTCTGCAGAGGGATATCAACGAGTATAGCGGCAGCGGTAGATGATAATGACGACGACAATGATGAAGGGGGAGGGGGAAAAAGACATAGGAAAATAGTGAGACGAATTGCAAACAAGCCTTGGGGATCCAAATGCGAAGCGTGACGATAGCATGTACCTATATAGATAATCGCACAGATCTATTGACACGTCCGTACCTCGTAGTCCGACGAGGAATCATAAATCTTTCCAAAATAAATAAATAAATAAATAAAATAAAATATTAAATCAAACAGAGGAACAAAGGGGGAATCGAACGTTCATGGAGAAGATGACGGCATGATGGTGAAAGCAGACATCATCCGATAGCGAGCCTCGTATGGTATAAAAGTCACAATCCACAACGCGTCGACAAGCGCCACACACTCCGCTCCGAGGCAGTGGTCTTTTTCCTGTCGCTAATCTCTCTTTAGTCGGGGGGCTTCTTATTTATGTGAAATATTTCTTTTCGTTTCTCAACTTGCGTGTTTGCATCCTTTTAAAACCCAGCGCCTGCCCAATTACATAACAATACATTTCCCGCAGCAACCGGCGCTCTCACCAGGCTCGCTGACATCCATCTTGCCTTCTGGTGCGCGGGCACCGAATGCTCCGGAGCCGGACGGGTAGGAGGACATTTCCTTGTTATATCGGCGAATCTCACGGACGAGATCGTAGAATGCGTTCTCAACGTTGATGCGAGACTTTGCGGATGTTTCGATGAACTTGCAGCCGAATTGTCGTGCCAGGGCCTCACCCTCTATAGGGGAAAAAGAAGGATACCATTAGGACGGGCTTCGGAAAGGACGGGGTGATAGCGGGAAAGGAACTTACCTTGCTCTGTGACCGCCCTTTCCTTTTCCAAATCGCACTTGTTGCCAACGACAATTATGGGGAAGTAATCCTTGTCCTTCACTCGGAGAATTTGTTGCTGAAATGTCATGATCTCTTCGAATGATTGCCGGGATGTTATCGAGTAAACCAAGAGGAAACCTTCGCCGGTTCGCATATATTGTTCACGCATGGCCGAATATTCCTCCTGGCCAGCGGTATCTAGGACGTCCAATAGAGCCACTTCATCGTCGATGACGCACTGCTTACGGTATGAATCTGTTCGAGGACAAGGTTATGGTAAGCTACACGATCAGAGGCGGTTCCGGGTCGACGCGCGTACCTTCAATTGTCGGATCATATTCATCCACGAAATGGCTCTGAATCAATTGAATTGTCAAGCAAGACTTTCCGACACCACCACCACCAACAACCACCAGTTTGTATTCTCGTAGAAACTATTATTGAGATCATCGTAAGCCATCTGTTTTGCTCTTCCGGACGGCGGAGACCTTGGAAGGTCGGTTCCAGAGGCAGACATTGGGGGAATCGGGGGAGGAAGGGGGGAAAGGAGGCTGGCCAGGCAGAGGAGAGTGTGAAACCGGCAATGAATAAGCATACCTTTGAAGCCATCCTGGAGGATTCTATCTGAGGATCTACCTTTGTGGAAGGGAAGGGGGTTCGAGACGGTGATCGAAGCTATCCCAACGGTGACAGCGGGTCGAGGGAGCAGCAGCACAAATTTCTTTTGCAGAAGGGTTAAGAGTCGGGGCCCAGCAAGTCGGGAGTTTCGCGCGAAAACAGGATGCGCCTAGGAGACAAGTCCACAGCAACGGCGGGTCTAGTGACTAGGCCAAGCTTAAAGAAGCAGATGGGGAATCAGGGGGTTCGTGGAACTTTGCAGGCGGCGTAATTGGAGGTGAGAGCCCGGAAAGAATACTGAGTGTCCTTGGTGTCGTGGAGGAATCTGCAGGGCGGTTTTCCTCCCCCGAAGGATATTTGACTTTCAATAGATAATAATAAGAATAAGTGATAAAGAAGGTTAAACTAGAGGAGCTTCTTCGAGAACCTGGATGGAATTAGGGGGAGAAGGAGAAGAAGAGGAAGAAAGAACGGAGTGGAGAAGGGGAGAGGGGAAAGGGGATGATGGATGGATGGGATGATTAAGGAGAGTTAAATTGAAAGCAATGTAATAATAAATGGAGGTGGGGATAGGAGAAAAAGGCTACTTTTGAAGATTAGTAGAATAGATTGGTCGGGAAAAGGGTTAAATGAAATCGGGCAAAAAAAAAAAAAAAAGGTTGCGAGAGGAGGAAGAAGAGGGTTTGAATATAATTGAAATGACAACTGGTTATAGAGGATTATATCTTATTATGATGTTGGTAATAATAATAATAATAATATGATTGATTATCTGGTCATAAAAGGGGAAATTGGCCAACTTTCGCGATGGGGCCCGTGGGTATTACAAGATGGGGACGTGGCAGTAAAGACACGTATCTCGATTTCTTTCTAGATCGATTCTGGTGGAATGATCGTTTTAGTGGATGTATTTCTTTCTATCACCAGAAAAAAAGGGCCTGACTGGATCATTGGCTCTTCGTTGTGATCGATGAAAAGTTCCCCCCTCCTCTTCTCTAGAGAAAAAAAAATCCTCTCCCCTCAACAAATGAAAAAAAGCAATGAGGGCGCGCATGCACTGCACTCTGTACGGGTAGAAAAGAAGCCTGGAAAAAGGGGCCATCCACTCATTCCCCTCCAAATTTGGTATTATTAGGGTTTGCACCTGCAGTTCTGCATTAAACATTGATTCTTTCCTGCTCCTGCGGAACTTGCAGATGAGATGAGGAACATCTGGCAATCCAATGCAATGTTGTTTTGTTTGTTCCTCTCATACGGAGTATGTATAGCTTCGGAGTCCTTCTTATTACCCGACAGACATTCTTATTATCCATACTCCGGTGGGTTTGATTGATTATTATCATTTTTTTTAATTGCCCAGCCTTCCGTACCCAATCTTAGCATAAAAACGGTCTATGTCAGGGAGTACAATGCTACGATCTTCTAGACTGGCCAGCAAGTGGTGGACCCCTTTAATTTATCCTTGATAGATGGTTTTCCTCCCGGTCAATCAAATGCTTAGGAGTGTTTCATTGGACAGAGTCCATCAAGTCCTCTGCAATGTGTTTTCTTTCGGCGCGCGTCCGGTTGAGCTTACCCGTGGAGATGAAGAATGCCTTCCCCGGCAGGAGTGGCAGGCAGATACAGCAAAAGGGTGAATTATACACGTCTCATAGACCGTTTTCTTCCGTGCGAGAGTGCGGAACAGAGAAATCCTTCAGCCTTAGTGTAGGGCAGCGGGAATGTCGTGACTGGGGGGGGGAAGTGACAGCTCCAATGACAATGAATGTATAAGCGGCACTTACATCATTGAACCAGGGAGGAATAACGGGGTGTCGAGTTTTGTTTTGGATATCTCGATTCTCAAATCGCAATGCTTGTACGGAGTAACCAATCTCTTAGGATGGGAGTTAGAGAGTCTAGGTTTTGAAAGAACTTGTTTGTACGCACTACCGTAGTCAATTATAACTGTTTTATGGTGAATTAAATGTATGTATATAGAATTTCTCGCAATTTACCTCCTACTCGTGTGGTCTAGATTACAGCCCGGGCTTTCAAGCAAAAATCAATGTCATTGTCCAGGTGAAGGCGAATTCCTTCTTTGGAATCTATACATACATACATACATACATACATACATACTAGATATCCAACGCCGTCTCTTGTCTCGCTCGTACTTGGTTTAATCCTTGCTTTAAGTTGCATCATTGCACATCGCAGTGCCCCGTTCATTCGTGGATTCTAGGGTTCTTGCAAGTACGGGGTACGTATCATCCATATCTCTATACTTTGGAAATATCTCCGTCTAATTTCCGTCTCTATCTTGGGTTGCGGGAAGTAAGTCGACCAATGCTGTGGTCCTTCATACTGTGTCCTCCGTTACGAGCACGACCCTACTGACTCTGCATAGATCATCTTCCGGCCCTTGCAACATGAGCAGCGAGGATTCCCGAGATTTTTAGCCTTACACTATCCAGAACGAATGACACAGGAAGAAGAAAGAAAAAAAAAAAAAAAAAAAAAAAAAAAAGGCAATCCTCCCGCCCTTCTAGATAGGTACTCGATTCAGACTCCTGGATCTAGCTAGGTAATTCGAAGGAGCATCGTCGCATCCACCTAATAAAAACCCTGCGGGGTATATATAATTATATATATACTAGTAGGACGGAGTATCCGTAGCTAACTGCTGTACTCTACCTATAACTATAGGCCTTTCCGCGCCTTACGGAGAACTAGTAGAAGTTCCGAGTAAGTCAGTAGCAGGAGGTCCTCCAGCTGTATGTCTCGCAAACCTTACCTGGATTTTCCCTCGAGGTACAGTATTAATCACAGGAAATACGGAGGAGACTGATTGATTGATTTACCAGTCACACATGCCCCTGTGTCCATGTGTTGGATCAAGGAGGCGCCGTCTTAGTAGCTCTAACCGCCCCTTCCGACCTAGTCTCCAGGGTCGCGCCTTGCGCGCCCCCGACAGCTCAACACTTAGGACAGCTCAATACTTAGTTTTTTAAAATTTCAACTATCCTACTTCAAATCTATTTTATTTAATTACTATCATATCAGAAGACTATTATAAAGTTAAAAAACAAATTAAGGATGCTATAAATGCCTTATACTTTTAAAAAAAACCTAATATCTCTAAAATTACACGAGATTTTAATATGTCAAGGTACCGCCTTAGAGCACGCTAGAGGGGTTATAGAACTTGATCTTAGTAATAACTACTAACTATAAAGTTATCTCTAGCTTAGGATTTCACTATTTATTAATATATTAATACTCTAGATAATCTAGGAGTCTACCCATAGCCTTAAATAATTATAAATTATATAAATTCTATCTTATAATCCTCCTATAAAGACCTAGAAACCCAACCACTTAAAGTTAGTAAAAAATAGTTTAACTAATAGCTTTCACAGAATCCTAGATATATAAGAAAGCAGGTAAGAGTCATGGAATTAGATAGGAAGAAAATAGAAGATAGAGATCTTATCTCTACCTAGTTTACTTATCTAAAATATATTCTTTTTACTAGGGGTATCCTACCTGAAGATATATAGAATTTTAATAAAACTAGCTTTTAAATTAAAGTTAGAAAGAATTATTAAATTATCTAGTATATAAAGAAATACTAAAGGGCCTATATTTTTTCTAATTCTAATTAGGAATATATAACTATAGTTGAAGTAGTTAATACTATTAGATATACTATAGAACTACTTATTTTATTAAGTAATAAGTATATCCTAAAGGGCTGGTTTAATTAATTAGAACCTGGATATTATATTAGGGTTAGTAATATAGGTTATCTAAATAATAAGCTTGCCTATTAATAGATATAAATATTTAACTAGTATATAAAATCCTATATAAAAGGTAAATATTAACTTCTTATTTATAATAGTTTTAGATCTTATATAACCTTTAAATTTATTAATTTCTATAAAAAGAATAATATTATTATCTTCTTCTTACTACCTTATACAAGTCATATTCTTTAATCTCTTAATATTAGGGTATTTCATGCCTATAAGTATTAGCATGCTGAAGCAGTTACTAATGCAGAATATTCTGGAGGTGGAAAATTTACTAAGGTTGAATTTTTTTATGCCCTTCATATAATTCAAAAAAAAACCTTTAAAAGGCGTACAATTACCTATAGCTTTTAAAATACTGGAATTATGCCTTTTTAACCTCAAGAAGTTCTACAATTACTACCTGAAAGACCTTCTACTCAACCAACTACTTCTAGTAATTCTGGATCCTTTCATTCCTTTAGAAGTACTCCTAAGACTGCTAAATGCTTTGAATTCTATGCACAACATCTTCCCCAAGCAGAGGAATATGGATATAGCCTTGAAGAGAAGTTAAATAGCTTTATTAAAGGTAGTGTTGCACAGGCCCATCTAGCAGAATCATTAAAGGATGAATTACGACATTATACCCGGGCAGAACAGGCCCGCCGTGAGTGTGCAAAGGCTTCAAGATCCTGTCTATAGCAAGGAGGCACTGTATCTAGTCAAAATTTGGCTAAAATGAAGTGGTTGGAAAAGAATTATAATATAGAGAAGGAATTATCTAAATTATAAAGGTAATAGTCAAAGGTCATGCAAGAACTTATTACCTATGCCTTGAATTAGGGAATTATTTTAAAGAGATATTAGAAGTCTAGGAAGATATAGGAGGTATAAAGGTTTATTTATATCTATTTTATATTAGAATATCTTTTAATTTGGGTATACTAGATTATTTTGAAATTGAAGCTATACAAAACTGAGCATTGAGCTGTCCTGAGCGTTGAGCTGTCGGGGGCGGTTAATATATGTAGGTACCTACTAGGTAGGTGCCTAAGGTGCCTAACTATATTAAATTTGTTTACTTATTTACTCCTGCTCCGTACTAGATAGCATTGGGGAATAATTTAATTAAAAAAAAAATAATAAAAAAAATAACCTAATGTATGGAGCTCTCGTGTAAACTCGAACTTGAACTGAAATGTTGATCTCCGCCCTTCTTTAGGCAAAGTCCCGGAAGTTTGAATCCCTGGTCCTTGCGGTGCGTGGCCTTTATTTCGTGGTTCCGGGTGGAATTAATCAGGTTTCGCATCCACAGTTGGATTGTTGTTCCTGAAACAGATCAACTGTTTCCCTGAGATCCTAGAAATTGGACTTGATGATGTCGTACTCGGATGAATTGGAGTGGTGAGCTAGAAGGAATCCTGGTTGTATTATCTGCTTGGCGTTTTCATACGTAGGCATAAGGCTGATGAGATGGGAAAAATGGATCTCCATCCATATATATATATATATATATATACATGCCCTTCGATTCCCTTGTTCTCTCTCTACCATTAAGGCTTTTAACCCCAAATATACATCGTTTACTTTCGCAGGAATATAGTATCTTTGCCAGGTTAAAAAAAAAAAAAAAGTCCAGTGATGTTCTGTTCGGTTCCAATACTTCTGTCTAGTTGAACTATCCCGATAAGGATGATGGGACAATGTATTAGCCCGCCCACGGGTTCATAGATCCATATCAACCCACCATGACTGCCTCAATAGTACTGGTCATCTTTGGCCATCTTTGGCCCCATTTGCAGCCATGGGATTTCCCGGAGATCGACCAGCAGCTTGGAGTACCGGTGTGCAGGTACCTGGGTTACATATGGCGATCGGAAAGGCGGTCCACAGACCATGATTGAAAAAGCATCGTTGTATAACTGTACTCGAGTCGTACCAGCTAGTCACTAGGATTAGGATCTTTCTCATGGTGTAACCCTCTGTACTTGCGTAAGCTGCCACGCTACATCAAGTAATCGCGATGGCTGCTCCGTGCTCAAGTCTCATGTAACTCTCTTCGTCAGGGAAAAAAAAAAAAAAAAAAAAAAAAAAAAAACCATACTGGAACTGTCATACAGATGGTATCACCACATTAGTATGATTCCATAGGATCATTCCTATCATCAAAGCTCGATTTGCGTTGGCCATATTGCCACGACACCTCGCTCTTCCTCCTCATAATCTTCAAACAAGGTCGATCAATTAAACCAGGGGGGAGATCCTCGTCTTGCCAGGTAGCCCGGTCTGGTAGAAATATCTCCAGGACTTTGGCCTTGATATTGGCTAGCGGGCCAAGGATGGCATCTAGCTTTCCGCCTTCGTATAAACGTAATGTCCAGATAAGTATGAACAGGTTCTCTAGGCCTTTCATTTCACTTAGGACGGAGCATAGTCGCTTCCAATCCCTGTAAATTTCTGGGCTGGTTTCCTCTCTGGACATGGAAGTGTGGTAAGATGTGTGCATCTTGACCGTGCGAATCAAGTTTAGTCGAGACGGAAGGATACTATTTGCTAGGACTGGGAGAACGTAACCGTCTTGGAAGTCGAAGATATTGTTTGCATACAGAAGAGGTACAGTATCAGAGTATATGCATTTGTCTGTCAGTATCATAACGCCTGCAAAGTTGAGAAATGTTAGACGTACATTAATCGACACGATAACAGAATAGGCACTCGACCGACTGGTCCCATTCGAGCGGGACCTGATTTCTTTATTGAAAGTTTTTGAACATACTCGGAGAGATCAAGCCACGAGTGGTCTTCGGTGCATTCAATACCAATCAATCTACTTCCATGGTAGGCAATATGCCAACGGAATCCGCTCAGGCAATATTTCCAAACAATCAACCTGATCTCGTACGGCAGGCGACAAAGGGGTGACTGCTGCTGATCGTGAGTTTGCTGTATGCTCGTTATATCCTTTCCAGACTTCGAGCTGCATTGACGATCCAAGTTGACGCTCATAGAGAACTCAAGGTTCCTTGGTACATCAATGCTGTTGTCGCTGATAAGCTCATTGTTTACATCCTCCGATAGAGGGATGGTGAGAGCTCGAGGCCGTGGATTTGGTAATCGCTCGACGGGGTACTTGCGTTCCCAAGAATAAGGTGCATCTTTTTGCGGGGTTGCAAGCATATTTCCTTGAAAAAAAAAAAAAAGTAACTGTTGGCGAAGAAATTCCTGATATAGATAGGAAGTAAGGAGGTGTCGGTATCAACTTTCTTGAAAGCGCACAGGAAGGCAGTCCCGCCGCTATGTAGTGGATTATCGGCCGCCTGGGATGTCATCTGAAGTTCCAGACTATACCAAATCACACACCACTAAAAAGCTTAATGCTCTCCACGAAAATTATTAAACATGGTTGGAACCCCTGAAGCATTCTACGGGACCATCATCCATTCCCTGACCTCTTCAGAGCTCGAAGTTCTCAAGGAAACACTCCTCATCGTCTCCCCATCGGGTACCATTGAATCCATCTACCCCTCCATCAAACCCCCAACCATCCCTTCCCTCCTCACAAAGCACAACTACACTCCATCCACCTGCACAGTCACCATCCTCGGTGCCAGAGAATTCCTCTGTCCAGGCTTCATAGACACACACACCCACGCCCCGCAATGGGCCCAACGCGGTACAGGCCGCGGGATTGCCCTGCTTGACTGGCTTAACAAGATCACCTTCCCACATGAAGCCAAATTCTCTGACCCAGAGTATGCGCGCCGTGTTTACACGCTCTGCGTCTCCGCAGCTCTAAAGCAAGGCGTCACAACGTCCTGCTACTACGGCTCCCGACACGCCAGCGCGAGCGTCATTCTCGCCGAAACATGCCTGTCCCTAGGACAGCGAGCCCTGATTGGGAAAACCTGCATGAACCGACACGCCCCGGACTACTACCGTGATTCCTCGGCGGAGGAGTCCGTCCGTGATACGCGGGACGTCATTACGCACATCTGCGCGCTTGATGCGGCCTGTCCTGGCGGCAAGGGCATGGTGACGCCTGTGATTACGCCGCGGTTTGCAATTAGTTGTGACGAGGAGCTTCTTCAAGAATTGGGGAAGCTAGCTTCGGAACGTAGTGATCTGCCTATCCAGACCCATTTCAATGAGTCCAAGGAGGAGGTGGCCTTTACAAAGGAGCTGTTCCCGGCCTCCCGCACGGAGGCTGAGCTCTACGAGGGGTTTGGGTTGCTCAATGAGCGGAGTATCCTGGCGCACGCGATATATCTGGAAGACTCGGAGATGGAGCGGGTGCAGCGCTTGCGGTGTGGGATTGCGCATTGTCCGATTCCGAATACGACGATGGATGCTTATATGATCGCGCCCGTGCGAGAGTATCTGCGGCGTGGGGTGAAGGTTGGTTTGGGCACAGATTGTGGAGGTGGATATACAGCAAGTATGCTGGATGTTATGAGGGCAGCATTTATGGTGTCAACCGCGCGATTCAGTGAGAGTGATGGTGCCGATGAGGCGTTGAGTATCCCTGAGAGCTTTTATCTGGCTACTTTGGGCGGGGCGCAGGTGTGCGGCCTGGAGGGGAGGGTTGGGAATTTTGCTAAAGGGAAGGAGTTTGATGCGTTGCTTGTGCGGCCGGATGTGGATGGGGTTATGGCTGTTGTTGAGGAGGAAGATGGTATTATGGAGGTGTTCGAGAAGTTTATTATGACTGGGGATGATCGGAATATTGTCAATGTTTTTGTACGGGGGAGGAAAGTCAAGTCCTCTTGAAGATATTTGCGCGTTTTTTCCCCAATGAAGTTTCAGACATTTCCAACTGACATTCATGATATTCATATGACCTTCTTCAGGCAGCTTTGTAGAGGATATGTGCTCCAGTACACAGCCTTTATTAAGAGAAAGGAATCTAAATCTGAATATAACTGTGACACATCTATACCATTTATTGTTTATTTTGACTTGCCCACGGCTATACACCGTCGATAGCTCGAGTTGCTTAAGGCTTTTTGTAAACGTGTCCAGGGGAAGCCTGCATGAGAGTCAGCAATCATTGCCCACTTTTAGGGAAAGGAAGGAACTCACCTGGTGGTTGGGGAAGATTAGGGTATCGGCGATCACAACGTTTTCCCTCCGACCAACAGCAAAGACAATGATTTCGGCAATATCTTCGGGCGTAAGTGGCTCGCAGTTACTATAAACTGGTCAGTACCATCGCTCTACATTGTGAAACATGGGTATATCGTACGCATAGACTGCATCGGCTTTCGACTTGTCTCCATAGTACCGGACGATAGAAAACTCCTGAGAGAGAATTCCGGTTAGTGTCGTTCTGTTGAGGAATTGTAAAATCACTTACGGTCTCAACTTGACCCGGGTCGATCTCGATGATACGGATCCTTGTGGAGATAAGCTCCTTCCTCAGAGCTTCTGTGAAGGACTTGACAGCGGCCTTGGTAGCGCAGTAGATGCTGCCGCCGGGGTAAGCTTCGCGACCAGCAATGCTTCCGATGTTGATGATATCTCCACGACCACCGTCACTTCGCTTCTTGAAAATGGGGAGGATGGCCTGGGTCATGTTAATCAAGCCGGTCACGTTTGTGTTGAACATAGTGTTAATATCGGCAAGGTCAATATCGGGAGCCTGGGCAACGCCTTTGACGAGGCCGCTGCAATATACTGTTAAAAATCGTTCTTGACGCGTACGAACATTCCGGTGCTACTTACGCATTGTTAACCAGGACGTCGATGTCCTGGAACTCCACAGGCAAAGAGGACACAAAGTTCTTGACTTCTTCGGGGTTGCTGACGTCTAGCTTCACAGGAAGAGTCTGTACGCCATCGCCAACCTCCTCCTTGATCTCTTTAGCCAGTTCCTGCAGGGAATCAATGCGTCTAGCCGTCAAGATAAGCTTTAGGTTCTTGGGGGCAGTCCGGGCGAACTCCTTGGCTGTGCTTCGACCAATTCCGGAAGAAGCACCAGTCACTACGATCGTCTTGCCCTCAAGACGCTTAGCCATTGCAGTTGCCATTGTGCGTTTCGAGAATGCGGATTCGAATATGCGGCGGAAAGAGGCTGTCTGGGCCGGCAGGCAAAATGCGGAGATATTTCCCAGGTGGGAGAATCTGAGTTGGCGGACGCTTCGAATTGAATTGTGATACACACGGAGATGCTTCATCAACGGTTCAATAAGTTGCCAGGATCCAGAGAATGAAATGAGGAGGAATTACGGGAAGAGGCTCGAAAGGTAAGGATGACTTCTTATATGGGTGCGGGGAGTCTTTCGTGATCGGAGCTCGGGATGGCGGGGCTTTTTATGTTTCTGTTGAGTTGCAAACTTAGCCGTTCGGACTTCCACCGATTGATATATCAACCACATAAAGATATACAAGTCTGGTTCATCGAATCTAGCCACAATATCTCACTGGGACAAGCTAACTATCTAAAATAGGAAATAAAATCGATACGAAATATGATCGAGTGAAGGTTGGCCAACAGTATTTCCGGTGTTGAAGCCAGATTACGCGCGGGATCGATGATGAGATATAATACTCAGCCAACGGCCAGGATTTTTATCTTCACAGCGCTCTAACCTGCTCTATTTAATGGTATTCATCGACCTTTTGCTCATAGGCAGTGAGGGCGACCTCCCTCTATCAAGACGCTTTGTTTAGTTTCGGGTCCACGGCTCTCCATCCACCCACGGAACAGTCTCTATACCAGACTAATATGAGACTACTATGAGATAATCTTATGCTTCCTACTGTGGTCTTCGCAAATAGAAAGCCAAGAATGATGGGCAGCAGAAAGAAAGAAAACCACTGCTGCTGCTGGTGGGATTCCAGGGTGCTAACCTGGATATCCCAACAACAAGACATTATCTGAAGGATGTATCTGGACTGGAAGTTGGGCTTGAGCTTTATAATCTAGGACTCTGTCGCCAATATTGGATGCCAAATTTGGGAGACCTGAGCGTCCTGTGTATGTATACCTACCTAGGTATGATTTAAGTATTGCGAAGGCCCGACAAGGTTTTTCGTCTAACCGACCTCTCTGTCATTATTGCATAGGAGCGGATGTCCACTATATTGAAAATTCTCTATACATGTTATGTTGTCTTAGATGATAGACAACACTTTCTCTCAAGCATCTTCGCATTCACTCGTTGGCTCTCATTCTTTACGGGCTTTATTTTTGTTAATTCCGTGCACTTCACTATCGCTTTTTTTTTTTATCAAACAGCATTTCTCCCCCTCTAAAGCATTTGTCTTCTTTTGTTTCGTATTTATCGTGAAATCCTGATAATATTTGCATAAACTTACCAGAATTCCTCTCTAAGGAGGACTCTATTGATTCATTGTCAGCCATCCATATACTAGCAGGTATGTGTGTGGATTTCCCACATTTGCTCAAGTTCTCCCGCATACATTACCATGAATCCTACTGGGTACTGTTGCGGACGGAACTCCTAGAGCCGTGTGTTAATGATTCGAACAGTTGCGAGCTCGCATCTCGCAGTTGGCAGTATCATCATCATCATCGCTTCATCAAACCCTTCAGACCGTAACTCACGACCCAACGTATATGCCCATACGTGGTCATTCGATGCAGAACATGCCGTGCTCGCAATCACGCCAGACGTTAGAACTGACTCCTGAGGTGTTGGCCGCTATCATTTCCAGAATCACGGAAATTGAGAGCGTACTGCAACGCGACCCCGTGGACTGGGCTGAAGAAGCCGAAACCCCTCAGGAAGACGAGGGTAGGGACACGGCTGAGCTTTTCGACCAAGAGGACGAGGACGAGGACGAGGACGAGGACGAGGAGGCAACCGAGATAGGTGACTCTGACTCTGGAGAAGATTCAATTGGAATAATGGAATCCGAAGGAGGAGGAGGAGGAGGAGGAGCCCCCCCCGAGGAAACCAACCCGCAACGCACGCACCAGCTAGCAGAGCCCACGCAGGAATTCCATTCGCGGCAGCAGATCGTTGACGGAGTGGATGGCGAGAAGGTGCATCATTTCAACTGGTTTGGCAAGCCTGTTTACAGAAATAGCTCGACGCCTCCGGAGGTCTCGCTCTGGTTCATCCTGGCCAAGCCCAAGGCTCCCCAGGGCCGAGACAAATTGCGGGTGAAGTCTGTGTTGAAAAGAGCCAGGGTCTGGGTGGACCCGGTTCTTGTTTCCCTTGAGCGCGGAGCCCGGGACTTGCATCGCGGGTCTGCTTACGATCTGATCCGCTTTGCGGAGAAACGAACCTTCAAGTTCTACACACCACATGGGACGTGGCAGCTGGACCGGGATGCACTTCAGGGTGGCGCCCTTTTGGATCAGGGGACAGCCAAAATCTACCACGACGATAAGTGGGGTGCTGGCGGTGGATTCATGCGTTCGCGAAATATTCGGCCGGCGAGTGACTGGTACAGAGAAAGAAGCAGGATTTACGGTGGTGCTCCCAGACGTTCCTTTCGCCTTGCGGTGTTGGGGGCTCGGCGGCGCAAGGAGCATGGATATGGGCGTAGGCAGTCTGCACTCCGACTATCTATGACTGCCGAGGATCTGTAGGGGCATTGAAGGCATTGCTATACAGATGAGGAAGCTCGGGTCCCCGGTCTATTCACAGTGCATTAGGGGCTCGGGCTTCCTTTTGCTTAAATCTAGCCTTGGAGATTGATCCGACTAATTGAACCCCCCCCCCCCCCTTTTGCTAAAAATTTAGTTACGCATCCAGACGAGTACAGCAGCAGCAGTGGAAGATATGTGTGAGCGTGTGTGTGTGTGTTTCCCTTTGAATAATTCATCTCCTGTGCATGGTTTAGCAACGCTTAGCATGTAATAGATGGCGCCTAGGATAAGTGCATTGTTTGGGATTAATATTGGGATATTTTTTTTTTTGCTTCGCTGCCCCTGTTTTAATATACCTACCTTTCTTTGCTCCGCACTTGAAACTTCTTCAGCTCAACCGGATTCAAGATTATTAACTCTTCTTGTCGTTGATTTGGTTATATCCTGTATGTACATTAGAAGTAAATGAATTCCTGCGCAACGCGAAGAAGTACAATTCTACAAGTATCTTACTAAAAGGTGACAGAAATGTTTAACTAACTAACTAACTAACTATACTCTGGAGTATTGACATTAGTAATTCTCGGGTTATGAACTGATGGTGATTTTTATTTCTTGCCTTTGATACCGAAGAAATGACGAAATTGGCCTGGGGGAGTGTCTAAATGAAGGTATTTACTACTGTATAATATTCTCTCTGTTCCTTGTAGATTTCATATCCCCGTGTAGAATAGTAGTCCAGTAGCCATTTGAAGTTCTATATTCTAGAGGGATCACTTCATGTATGGTGTTGTGTGCTGTGTGGTTTGATTGAGGGCGATACAGGTGGAAGAATCTGGCTGCATAACAACTAATTCAAGACTATAGGTTTAGATTCAAATAACAGGAAATACTAGGCTCTCTATTCTTATCCTGAGGTAAAGTTGAAAGATGGAGCGAAGCATTCTTTATTAGCCTAATCCTACATATTGGAGTTGGTTGGGATATATATGCTTTACTCCCTGATCCCGAGATCTAACTAACTCTACCGTCATGGTACTCTGATTGATGCAACCCTAAGGAACCGAATCTCCGAAAAGGTCAAATTAACAGGAGATTTGGAAGATCAAGAGGGGAAAAAAAAAAAAAAAAAGGGAAGAAGGGGAAGAAAATAAGCCACATGAGACCTCCTTGCAATATCTTTTCGTGTGAATTCGCTGATCCCGCCAACGCTTAAAAATAACAAAACTGAAACTAAACACAATCCAAGCCGTAATACTTTTTTACCCCCCAGGTGAGCAAACTCCGTGTAAGTCATTTAGTAGTGTGTTGGAAAATGGTATCTCGCAATAAGCATTTGCGCCGGGTGACCGTTGGTAAATAAAGGGTAAGTGGGTGTATAGGCTAAAAGCGAACATGATGAATGAAAACTTGAAAAAGAAAATGTTATTGGTTCGATAGCTCCGCAAGTTCTCGCTCCTTTGCTCTGAGCATCTCCCTCATTTCCTCGGCTTCGCGCTGCAGTTGGGCCCGGCGATCTTCCCTGAAGTTATCCAGTTCGGACACGCCTGGTAACGGCTGGGCGGATGGGGCAAGGGTAGAGGCTGGGGGGTGGTGAGGCTGGGGATGCGGTTGGCGGCCCATGGCGGCGAGAGAAGGGTCTAGGCGCGATTCATCGCGGGCATGTGCGTGATTCAGGATCGAGGAGATGGAGCTGAGGCGGGTAGGTGGTGATGGGTTGGCAGAAGAAACAATAGGTGGGAGTTGATTCGAACCAGCCTCCAAGGTCGTTGGGATCGAAATGGCATTCGCAGACGACGCCGTTTCCTCGAGAGTTCGTTTCTTGGGGTTTCCAGATGGATTGGGGGAAATAGATCGTCTCCCAAATTGAGAAACAGGCGAATGGCCGGCTGGCCCGATACGATCCGGTTCGAGCAACCTGGGAGGAGGAGGATGATGTGGCAGAGTTACAGTGCCAGAACCAAAGCCTGTAAAATCAACTGGGGGTGGTGCGAAAGCAAATGGCCGTTGTGCGGCAGGTGAAATCCTGTCTATCGGCTCAGAACTGTAGTATCTATAGCGATCGTCACGCGGGTACGCCAGAGTAGCCGGAGACGCAGCTTCAGGCGAAGCAGAGGAACCGTGAGATGAGTGGGCACCACCGGTAGGAGACTGCTCTCGTAGAGCAGGCACAACACGTTTCCGTCGTTTGATGATGGTCTTCTTCATTGTGGTAGGTCGATAACAACCGTGAAGCTTGAAATATAGACCTGAGAGGCCATATTAGTTTAATTGTACGTCGTATACAGCACGGATACATACCACACGCGTTACAGATCGGATGGCCATTCTCATCCCGGCGCCAGAGGGGTGTTACTGTAGTTCCGCAGTTCTGGCAAGATACCAATAAGTTTGCTTCTGTCGGTCCATTGGTTTTCACCTGGACCTCAGGGTCCTGGGCGGGCTTGGCGGGCTCTGGGTTTGAAGTTCGACTCCAAGCATGCACTGGGACGGTCCCGCGTGGAGTGGACTTGTACACCCGATTGTTGTAAGCCGGGCAGCCGTCGCATCCTTCTGCGCCACCAGTACCATTGCAGTTTCCACCACCCGGACAGGATCCTGATGAGCGGCACCCTCCATCGCCATTGCCAGGCAGATCGTGCGGGGCCACGGTGGGGAGGCTAGGGGGATGTGGCCCTTCTGGACTGGCTTGAGTGCGATTTCGCTTCGTGGGCCGGGCAACGTTTCGTGCTTTTAGATAGAGGCCGCAGGCGTTGCAAATCATAGCTCCGGTAGGAGATCGCCGCCATAACGGAGTGCTTTTTGTTCCGCAATTGCTAAAGACCCGCAGTTAGATGGCTGTTGTCAGGTGAGCTTCAATATTGCTGTGTAGGGAAGACCAACCTGCAGGAGTGTCCCAGAAACGAAGTGTCTTTCTGAGATTTGGGGGACGTCTTCTCGGACAAGGGTCCGATTGTAGGGGTTTCTGAAGACGGGATGATGGACCTGTCCAGATATTTCTCCGGTTCATACGGACTGCGGGGGGCCTTGGTATCTAAATCTCGACTGCTGTCATCACCCTGCGGTCGATCGAGAGGGTGCTCCCGGCCAGCCTGAGCTGAGGAGATTAGCTGTTGGGCAGCGTCCAAATCCTCCGCGGACGGGTGTCGCGCAACCACGTCGGGGTTCCGGGGGAGCGATCGCATCGACTCCATGTGCGGGATGGATGCTAGCATTTCCACCAATGACTCGAGCAGTTATTCCTTGCGACTCGAAGGTCCCCCGTCGGCGAAAGATCGAAGGAAGAACGAGGGACTGGGCGAAGAAGGATGAGCGCGCTCACGATTGAGGGTCGAAATAAGGAGAGGGCCGGTCGTGTGAAGGTATGTCGTACCGCAGTCGGGGCAAGTGTAATGTATTGTATCACAAAGTCAAAAGTCGGTCAAGATGACAGTGCAGGAGAAAAAGAAAAGAAAAGACTAAATATGCCTGCTGGGATGGCAAATCTGTCGGTGCTGCAACTAGTGAGACTCCCAACCCGAATGAGGCGGAGCCTAGAAGCAGGGCGATAAATTGTTCGAGAGGGACGGATGAAGGACAGAATTCGAACAGAAAAGTCGAGTGATCAAGAGGGGGGAAAAGAAAAAGAAACGTTAGGGTGTTGTTGAATGACGGACAACGAAGTGATCTGCCACGGAGGAGACAAGGAGCCCTGCGTTGGCTTCACAGCGGCTCTGCTACAGTGGCGCGAGAGAAGTTGAACCAGGTTCTAATGGAAATAATGAGTAATAGAATAGACAAGAAAAGGAAGATTGAAGCAATGGGAATTCTGTCAGGTAAGGGTAGAGGAGAGAAGGATGGAGAAGGATGGATAAGGGATGGATGGGATTGTGGAGGAAAAAAGACGAGGGAAGCAGGAGAAGGAGGATCGACGAGGGCAATCAATCTATCACTTAACCAGGTCAGGTCAGGTCAGATCAGATCAGATATGATAGAAAGAACAAGAAGAAAAAGATAATGATAGTGAATCGATAGAAAGAAATTTGAATCATCATCAGATATCCATTTGTGGTAGGGGAGGAAAGAAGAAAGACAGCAAAAACGAGACCCTGACAGATCTTCTTTTCTTACCTTGGCAACCCGATAGCGATGTGATGCTGATGTTGAGGATTGATTTCTTTTTCCTTCTTCTTTTGCTAATGTCTGCGTCTTGATCGAAGGCTCGTCTTATCGACCGGTTATCGATCTTCCAGGGGGGATCTACAACTGGGGTCTTCGCTGGACTTTCTTTCTTTCACCCTCAGTTTCTTCCCTCTTCTGTGCTTTTTGGTCCTCCCGGCCGTCGATCAAGGACTTCTGATGGTAGAATTAGATAGAGGCTTTCCAAATTCCGACAGGTTGGGAACTGACTAGTATTATAATCTACCCCCTTTTAACTATTACTATTATTATTAGGATTATTCTTTTACTAACAGATGAAATTATATTTAAAAAAAAAAAAAACAAGATACCATGTCATATTATATTCCCTGAAATTATCTGGTCAATTTTACTTTCCCACTGGTTTTTTTTTTTTTTTCTCCTCCATTTCCAAGTCCCTTTTGCCTCTTTTTTTTTGGTTTTTTCTCCCCAGATCGAATCATCCTTCTCCACCGCTCCCTATTTCGGTATAGTGGGTGGGGCAACGCAGAATACCCCTTCCCAAAATAGTAAATAGCGTATCCGGACTCAAATAAGCCTGATTCTCTGCCGGATGATTGGCGGATTCTGGGATGGGATGCAAGTCAGCGTCTTTTCTTCGAGTTTGATTGGCTAAACCTTTCTCAAGGTACAGAGTCGTACCTTTGTTGAAATAATGTACAGAGATTACCTAACATACTAACTAAGTACCACCTATAGTAGGTGCAGCAGGCCCTTCCTCTTAAGTACTATTATTTCACCTGTTTTTTTTATTAATTACACTAATATCATGTCCGAGTCTGGAGTCTCGGAAGTTGTACACCTGAATCTTTCCCAATTAACGCCGGACCGGACTACTTCTTATCTCCCCGATGGAGCTGACGAAGACAAGTTTGATCTATCGCTCTTGTGATTGGACTCCTTCTGCCCAAAATAGTCCCGCTGTCTGCTCGCTTCCGATTGGTTTTCTGTAATCTCAAGAGACCAGTAAAGGCAACAGGATTGCTTGTTGAAGTATGAGAAAATGAACGATTATGGAGTACGGAGTACACGATGCGAAAATTCAAATCATGGCCTGATGACAGGAGGCAGATGACGGGAGATAGCATGAAATGAGGCCATGCCATCTATCCTACCGATAACATGCCACTATTTCTGCGCCTTACCTCGGAGTTAATAATTCGCGGAAATCACCGCAAAATATCTCCGAACCCAACTACCTACCTAGCTAGGTACCCAGCCAATTCCCAAGTTTACAAGATTCACATCTACCTAGATCGTCCAGGCTAGATCTGATCGTGCCCTTCCTCCTCCTCGTTTCTACTTTCCAGGTTATTGAATTATTTAATCTGGTGTTACCGGATAAGAATTAACGATTCGACCTGGCAGACTGTCGATGTTTGGTGTCCCACATCGCACCACGCTTGACGATAGCTAAAGAAACGCCTAGTGTTTTAGTCGGATCCGCAGCATGGACTAGATCAGAACAAATCAGATAACGATAAACTATGTAGGATTTTTTTTTTTTTTTCTTCATCCTTTGATCACGCAGTTCATCGTGATAGGGATTTACTTATGACACGGTAAAAATGACAGCTGTAACCTTTTACTGGACCCTGGGAGATCACGAAATGCTGCTCTATTGGCTGGATTTTACTACGACCTACCAGGTACTAGGTACCTTAGGTAACTACTAACACTTCTCAACGCTTCTTTTTCTATCAAACTAGTTCGAGAACTTGGGATAGTTATACGAGGAGTGTCAAGGTTCTCCCCATCCAATAACTAGTTACAGGCAGGACCTGGGAAGCTAAGCGACCTTTATTAGGTAACTATTATTATTATGACGTAGCATCTACCAAGGTAAAGCAGTACTCCGTACCTGATGTGCTACTACGTAGTATGTTCTATATAGATCCGTACCTAGTAAGACAGCCCAGGCTAACCATCCGATTTCCAAAACGGCTCAAATCCCCATACGCATTAGTAGTCTCCTCCTCCGAACCCGTCAACACAGACAGAGCTTAATATTGCTCCCCCAAAAAAAAAAAAAGGATGAAGCCGATCTTTTCCAGACACTAGGTAGGAGTGCAGCTAACCCTATCCCGAACAGAAGGATAAACCAATATGGCGGGTAGTCTTGGCTGCTGTCTAGATGGTACGGGTACTATCAATACCCAAGGGCTGTGCAGTGTCCTTGTTCGTCATCAATTATATTCCACGCCTTCTGGTGTGCAGGTATGTAGAGATAATAATACATGTCCGCAGACCCAAATATAAATAGCTATCCCGAAGGAGCTGTCAGCAACATTTCACACCTCAAGAATTGAACTGGTAAATATAGTAGCCCCCCCCCCCAAAAAAAATGGGGGAAAAAAAAGGAAAAATATAGCAACTGCAATCCTTCCCTCAAAGTGACAAATAGCAACACATATCCACCACCGGCCTCGTTGGAACCTCTCGCGTGTCCTACGCTTCAAATCATCGCAGAAATGTCATTCATCGCACTCATCGATCATCGTACATCGCATATGAGAATCACTATGGCTAAATCGCATCTCATCTGTATGTCTTGCTTGGCTTCTATCAGTGGTGCTAGATCCGAGTATGAGCCTGAGCCCATAACCAGAGCCGGGGCATTTGTCCCAGCGATCCAACCACCTAGAACAGAACACGTATTCGTTGGGTTTAAACCTGCTCGGCGCCCCAGCCCTGGTCAGTCTCACGCATGTTGGAAGGAGGCTCGATCGAAGGCACAAATTCCAGGGCAATATATCCCACGCCCAGGAATCCGACGACGGAGCCTGCGATGTATCGCAGCACATGGCCGTGCAGCAGAATCGATCCCACAAAGATGTAGACTGATGATGATCCGTTAGTACCTGATCATAACTGGTTTCGGAATCAAGCCAACTTACAAACGCCACGGCCAAGGAAGGAGAACAGAAAGGAGGCATAGCGGTAGACATAATCGGGGACGTTGGGCAGGAATTCCAGACCAGCGATAACTATGGGAAATCAGTATTTGCGCAACCTAAATAAAGCCGACTACTAGCACCCGGGATATTCTTACGGAGACCAAAGATAATCACGTATATACCAACGACAATGGAACCCACGCTGGCAGGGAAGAATTGGGCGATACCGCCGAGGATCATGATGATGCCAACGGCGATGTTAACGAAGCGGCTGTAGATCCCCCAGAAAAGTCAGAATACCATTTTGCATTGACAAAAGGACCATATCCACCTACAAGATGTTGGAGAGATCCATTTTGAAATATATCTATCTGTTCGGGGCGAGATCAAGGTTGAGAGGAGAGTTACGGTCGGCGCAGAATTCGGGATCGGCAACGACAGGAAGGGGCTCTTGGGACTCTTGGATGATATAAAAGGTCGGAAACCCGGGTATCAGGTTGGTTCGAGAATGTTGTCGACTCGACTGAGCTTGAGAGACTACCACGTAGCTTCGGCTGCGGTTATTGACAATACGTCAGGGGAGCTAGGTAGCCAGATTGTTGCGTGGGGGAGAAGCAATCAGACGCTAGTTGGTCAAGCAATGAGCCCTGAATCGCGGGGAAGGAGGCTGGTGTTTTTGAAACGAAGCTTTGGAAGAAAGTCAGAACTGGGAGAAAAAGCTGCGGAGGGAAAATTGAGGAGATGAACACACGCCCAAGCATCCAGGTTTGTTGCGCGGAGACGGAAGTTAACTAAGGCCTTACATGGGGTGGATGACTCAGCAGCGCACCGCCAATGACGTACATACCTATACACTGGGATGGTTGCCATTTACATTCATTTCAGATTGATTGGGTTGATATGTTTATATAGCCATGTTATTTCCTCCGTAGCTATGTACTCGACAGAATTCATGCTATCCTCTCGTATGTGGTGAGCTGAATCCGTTCCACACCCGTAACTCGTATGTAACTCCCGGGATGGCTGGGAACAGAAATGTGGATCAGCATTCATTTCCTTCAGTTATAAATAGAATCTGGCAATTGTCTGCTCGAGTCGAGTCTTAAGACAGGGAGTTGCGCCTTGTTCTCGTATCGATTGTATCCTCCGTCCTTGAGAACCACAGTCCGCTCTTCCCAGCTGCTATCTCCTAGTTTACGGATGTCGTGAACCCCTTTTCTCCTGGAGATCCAAATCCCCTGTCCGAGATTTAGGTCTTGGATCTAGCATAATACTGGAAGCTAATTTGGACATGATAATGGAAAGGATAGCATAGAGATAGGGGGTAGTTAGTTATATTGTATGATTATTCATTTCTTATGAACATAGTTTTATCGTGGAGAGTTCTACCGTAACAAAAATGAATAATCTACCACATCGCTAAGGCGTTGTAGATCTTCCCCAGATCCATCTATTATATTATTATAACTTCGCCCCAAGCTTCTTTCCCTGCAGTGTCTCCTTCACCAACCGCACAGTCTCTGCGGCACAGCCAAACGAAGACTGATAACCATACCCGCCATGGCCATAATTGTGAACAACCGCAACACCATTGATCTTTTCCTTCTCAATACGGGGTCCGCCCTCTCGAAGCGGCCGCAGTCCCACCCCGTGACGAATAATATCTAACCCTTCAATCCCCTGTCCCTTGGCCACAAGCTGCGGACACAGCTCGATAGCTCGCTTCATGATTCTCGTAGCCAAGTTAGGGTCCGGGAGTGGATCCCACTGGTGCTTCTGGTAGCAACCACCAAGGACAGTCCCGCCACCAGCAGCGCGAGTCATCATGTAGAATAGTTCGTCCTCGCCGTCATCCGTGCCGGAGATCGACGACATAATGCCCGGGTCGTTTCGCACAAGAACGATCTGTCCGCGGGCCGGGAGGAGCTTGTCGTCGCGCACGCCCCCTAGCTTTTTGGACGAGAGGCCGGTGCAATTGATGACGACGTCGGCTGTTTTACCGGAGTGATGGGCGTTTGCCGCGTCTGCCACGTGTTTGACAACGGCTCGTTTGAAGACTGTGCCGTTTTTGCGGCATTGGCCGACTAGCCAGGGAAGGTAGATTGCTGTGTTGATGCAGACTGAGGTGAAGGTTTGGGCATTGTCAATACCAGGGGGTAGTTGGTGTTTGGGGATGACTTTGAACTATTGATTCGTTAATGGGAAGAGGGTCTATGGAATGCGATCTCTGGCGCGGTGAAAGATGGGGTAGACGGACATCGGAAAGAACCTCTTTATACCATGGATTTTCATCCACAAGAACCGAGAATGCTTGACCGGTTGTAGAGTTTTGATCCTTTTTGCGATTGTAAATGATAGTATCTGCCGTTCCAGGTGGTTAGCCACTACATTACGAATATCAAGCGCAGAGACATATAGCGATATACCTTGATAATGAATTCCTGCTTCGGGATACTTCTCTGTGATCTCCGTCAGTGGTTTCCATGTCTCGCGCTCCCATTTGGCATGGTTGCTTCCTGGTTGGCCCGTTCTAGGGGGTCCGTTTATCAGTACTTGGGCGATGTTCAAGAATGTTGAAACTGCACAACGTACGGGAAATAATTGGCCCCAGCCCACGGAGAACAGTATTCGATGTCATAATCTCCGGGCATATGTTTGGCAACAACGGTAATGGAATTGGATGGATCCTGGGAGAGAAGATATGCGGTTGTGAGTCCAGATACTCCGGCCCTATCATTATGTTAGTTTGCGTCTTCGAGTCTTTTTTTTTTTTTTTTTTTTTTTTTTTTGAATGAAGGAAGCTTATCATACCCCAGAACCACAATATTGTGTGTCGCCATGATCGTCTATATATATCTGTTCCCCGGGTGGTACAAGGTGTCTATCTGATCGAGTACTTGCGATGAGTCGGAAGATTTGGGGATGAAAGGTCCAAGAAGAGAGAAACAAAGAACAGTTATATAAGAGAGATTATATCGACAGAATCAGCGAGCCATCGTTGCAATGACGCCTCTTCTCAGCCCTATTCTCAACTGGGTAGTGCGATAGCGAGGTAATACCTTGTAGGCTTGTAATTGGAAATGGAGTTAGGTTGTGGAGTACTCCACCTTGGGGTACTCCGTGGTTGGACAGGACGAGGTGGATACAACATGATGATACATTTAGCATGGTTCATATTTAGATAGATCTAAGGTCTATATACGTATCAGAAATCTAATATCCTGTTGGAGAGATTGGGATAGGATTGGTGCCAGGAGGACCCTTATTACCTAGGTAGTTCCAAGACAAAAAAGGAAAATCGCGCCGGGCCAAGGAATATACAATATACCGCATACCTTTCCTGAATAGGAAACCCCGTAATTTCGCAGAATTACTGGTATTACCATTACCATATACCTGTATCATTCTTACGACACGAAGGCAAGGAATTCATTCATTCATTCATTCATTCATCCATTAGTTGAAGAAATCTGCTAAGGGTTTTGGAACTCCTAAACTCGCGTGTTATACCGGTAAAAGGACCTCCTCTTCTCTTGTTCTGTTCGGCAGAAGGCGGCTCAGACTGTTTTCCGACTATTTTCCCTTTCATTCCCTAGTCCGTCTCTTTCTGTTACTCTCTCTTTTTTTTTTTTTTTTTTTTTTTTTTTTCTCTTCCGATTCTTCGCTCCACCTACCCTTTTCTCTCCCCCCTTCAGTTCTCGCTTGGTCGTTTCTGCTGCTCGACGAGGCTCTCTGAATTCCCTCTACCAAATGAGGGTCTTTCGTCGGGCAGGGCTTTTCCAACCATGGCAGATGTCCCTCAAGGTGGCAGAATCGTGCCTATAATTGCCCCTCACCAGCATGGTCCTCCTGATGCAAGCTTCATCAGCAATCCTGAACACCACCAGGAGCAACCGGAACAGTTCCCACAACTGACCCAGTCCAGACGGTCGAGATATACACGCGTCAAAGCTGCGGAAACGGAATGTCTAGAGCTTGAGTGTCTCAACGAGCTGGGGCTCTATGCTCTTCCTACTGAGGGTGATGGTAATTAATCCCCCTACCATTCACAACACGCTCTGAACACCATTCTTTTCCAATTCGGCCGAGGAATGCTTTTATTCCTCTAGCATATCTGACTGTAAACCGTAGGTAATTGTCTCTATTACGCGCTTTCGGACCAATTGTACGGCGATTTCACTCATGCCGACCGAATCCGCGTTCGTCTCGCAGACCACATCTCTGCCAACCGAGATTACTTCATGAGCTTCATAGCTGCTGTTGGTGGGGAGCGGAGAGCTCCTAGACGAGCTGCAGCTACTGCCGCCAAATATGCTTATTGTTCCTCCTCTTCCGCTAGTCCGGCCCCTCCGCCGTCGATCAAGGACAAAGAACGAAGCTTTGATTCCAAGGTAGCAGAATCAAGGAAAAACGGGGTGTGGGGAGGAGCAGAGGAAATCCAGGCATTTTGCCAGGCATTTAAAAAGGATGTCAACGTTTACACTATGTATGGGATCCAGAATTTCCGAGACGTGCACGCTCCAGGTGACGAGGAAAGAGAGACAGTGCACATTGCATTTCATGTAAGCACGGATCCAATTGCCTACTTTCTGATTGATGTAGCTAAACGGCTTTGTTTCCCCAGGATTTCCACCACTACTCCTCCGTACGACATACGCAAGGCCCCCACACCGGTTTACCATGTATCCCCAAGATGGACCGAGTTCTCCCAGCCAATCCCGCGTCTCCCGAAGCCACTATAGTCAATATGGCTACACCATGGAAAATATCTGCCATTCAGGAAGGTCTTGGGGGGAAGTACGACCGCGGCACGATCGTCGAGATGCTCCAGCAATGTCGAGGAAACATAGATAGCGCGTTTATCAACCTTCTTGGGGACGATAATAATAATTCGCAATCCTTCGAATCTACTGCTTCCCGGGCAATTATGAAGTCGCGTTTCCAACCCTCATCACGTTCCTCGTCGCCTTTCAGTACAGGAAGTAAACGCTCGGCGGACGACAGCGACGTGGAAGATAACCCGCGCCCGCCTCCCCGACGTCCTCGAATACGTGAACCGAAGAGACGGATTCTTCCAGATGTAACCGTTGGAATCGCATTCAGAGACGATCAAAACGATTTGGTCTCATTACGACTTCGCGTCAGTCCCGACAAAGGGGCTCCTCCTGACTCTGAAGTTGAAACCGCTACGGAACGGCTAGAAAACAGCTCGTTCGAGTCAAGAGAAGATAGCCCAGCGCTCTCGACAAGGGATAGAAAGACCAGAACCAAGCAGGATATCGACTCTGGAGAAACCTCCAGCCAACAAAGCGAGTCAAGTACCACGGAACGAAAGCTACGGCGCAGTCAGCGTATATCTAGAACCCGCAATACTTCTTAAAAGCCTCTTAATTCGCTACCACACACCACTGCTCTGCCGAAATCTTCCTCGTCCTCTTTTGGATCCGAAAAAAAAAAAAAAAAAACGTCAGCTACACGATAACCTTTCCGTTACATCGATATCACATGTCCTTGCTTTCAAATTTATTCCTGGATTGCATTATAAGCGCGGTGGGCGGTTTCTCTTCTTCTCTTTTCTGTTTCACCATTATTTCGTTCTAGAGCGTTTCCGATCAGCGACTCAGCGGTTGTTTTTTTTTGAAATTTCTCCGATATCCAACAGCATTTGGACCCGGTTTTGTGTCACAAGTTATGTTCTTTCCTCCTCTCTACTACCACGCGACCACACGCGTATGACTTTTCTACCTACCTACCTACCTACCTACCTTTCTATTACTTGATGAGGCGTTAAACAAGAGGTCTGGCATACTACTCTTTTCATTTTGCATTCCAGCATTCGGGGCTGCAAACCAAATCCCTCCATCGGTATTTTTTCTCCTCGGGCTAGACCCCATTGCTTTCTTCTTACAACCATACTACTTTGATAACCTAGCATAAGTGGGGAAGGTGTTGTACAAGGGTTGTTGCATATAAAGTCCTAGGGGCTTTTGGGTGATTGGGTGATGATGATGATGGCGTTTATTGGGTTAGTTAGTTAGTTACTTTGATTTGCTTTGTCAGGAGTTTTTGGGGGGAGGGAGGAGTTGCTTAACTAGGGAATCAACCAATGTTATTACCTAGCAGCTAGCCTTGCGGCTGTTGCTACTACTCTAGATAGATAGATGAAGCTGCTGTGCCAAATACAAAACATGCATGCATGGGCCTAGGGGTTATCGGCTATTGATTCTATTCTGGTGTGGTGTGGTGGTGGTGGTCCTTTCTTCTTCTTCTTCTTCTTCTTCTTCTTCTTCTTCTTTGTTGAAAATTGTCATTTTTTCCTCATAACAAACACTTGATTTAGGGACATGCATAGGTAGTAGTAGGTACATGTCAAGGATGCTATTGAGCCAGACCTCATTTCTGTCCATCACCTTACTGAACGATTTCTATCGGTAGAGTTAAAAAAAAAATAGTAGTAGTAGTAGTAGTAGTAGTAGTAGTAGTAGTGCCGAACTCTCCGACCAAGTCTCCGGGATCGCGCGTGCGAGGAATCATTGTAAAACGGCCGCGAGCATCTAGAACGAAGAAATAGGGAATCAGCTTTATTTTTATTTGTATATAAATGATTGCAATATCTTTTAATTTGAGGGGGTGCTGGGTTGTTTTAAATTAAAGCAATAGAAGGATTGTGCGCTTGCACGATCCCGGAGACTACATCAGTCGAAGAGGTTTGGGGGTAGTTGTTAGCAGCATCAAATAATCGCTAGGAAAATTCCACAAGATTGGGCATATTATTCGTAGACTCGATGGGTCTATTCACCATTATTCCTTTAAGCGCTTGACGCTTATTATATACATGCATGCAAAAACGTATTCTCCATATCATATCCTCCCGTAACATTCATCCTGTTGGAATTAATTTTCCCACCCACCTCCATGTATTCTAAAATACGCTGTAGCCTTTCTGAAGGCCTTGGGTAATTCGCAAGGAGTTTTGAAGGGAGTGGCGGGAAAAGAAAAGAAAACAGCGGAAAAAAAAAAAAAAAAAAAAAAAAAAAAGACAAGACAAGACAAGACAAGGGAAGGAATGGGTTAATGACAAGTGAAGATGTTTGCCTGACGGTAGGTAGAGATAGGCACTTTGTATCTTCACACATTTGACATAAGACATGCGATCAACACCTCTGATGACGTGTTGGGGGTATATGTATAAATGTTTTGAACAGGTATATTATTCATTCGACGTGAATCCGAGCCCGCCCTAGGGACCATATGATCTCGAACCAGCGACGGGAGCTGCTGCGAGCTTGTTAATCCTCGCTATGCAACTGGGTCCGTTGGGTAGGATGAGGGGGGTTGGGAGGAAATCCTGGAAAGGGTCGAAAGCGGCCCCTTGGATAGTGTGGCCGTCTTCTCGTTTCATAAATCAGACGTTCGACAAGGTGGTGTGGCAGAAGTTTGTATCTGGCCGCAGGCGGATGCCTGGAGCGTAGCAGAGGTTGTATAGCTCGTCGACATAAGTTTGAGCACTTATATCACCCGCCACTACCGTAGTAACGGAAGCTTGTCTTCCCATGGCGGATTCAACCGTAGGCTCTGATATTTTCGCAACGTCGACTTTGACTTCTCTCCGCACCACGATGTCTCCGAGTGGAGAACTATCAGTGAGTGTCTCCTGGGACATCGACCGGTTTCGTTTGGAGTGTTTCCGAGAAGACGGCCAAAATTTGCTGCGGGGGGGTCGAACCGACGGTGCCGCATCAGAGTCGGTGTTTGAGCTGGAGCGGACATTCGAATAGAGGAGACCTTGGCTTAATTCCTTGGCCAACCCATCTGCATCAGGAACCCCACCATTCATCTGCTGCTGGACCCGGAAAAGCCGAAGAGGAGTGAAGATGTAGTCAGGATTTAAGACGCGCGTGTCTAAAGACCCAACGGTGCAGAAGGCCAGGAGGAAGCAATTTTTGTTATCGGAGATCCTTGTGCTACGGCACGGTGCAATGAGAGGACGAGGGGCGAATCTAGAAGCTGAGTTGACGTCCGGGGGCAGCGAGGCGGCAAGCAATGACATTGCTTTGATCAACTGTTCACGGAATTCGCTCACATCTTGAAATTTACGGGCATTTTTCGACTTCAGCCAATCCAAGCATGTTGAAATTGACCATCCTTCCATATGAGAAAGCACTTCCAAGTGAGGGACCCTGAGGCGTTCGGTAGGCAAAGTAATCGACGGCAATGGGTTGCTGGCACCCTTGGCGGTCAAAACCTCGAAGTGATCGTGGACCGTAGGCCGCAGAACAAAGGAAACAAGATGCACTCCGGACTCAAAGTTTCGGTGGGATGTGGCGAAATCACGCATATCCCTAAGGTGAGTTCCCAATGGCGTAGAGGCCACATTCATACGGCGAGATAAAAGAGTGGCAACATTCTCAATGGCAGTGAAACGAAATCCCGAGGCAGCTAGTCGAGACGCATCCTGTTTGTTCAATTGACGAACCGTAAACATCAATTGGCCTCTACCCGCACGTAACCTCGAATACCCCATTGCACGCGAAAAGCGGGAGGCGGTTGTGGATGTAGTCAAAACGTCATCATACAACATGCCGAGATCTTCGAGCGGCTGTCGAACGTCGTCTGCCAGATCTTGGGCAGCCACGCAAAAATGTCGCTTGAAGAGTTCATCAAAGCTAGTATGTAGTTCTGCCTCCCGGTCCGATGTCAATTCCTTCGAGAGATAGTACTCGTCAGAGGCATTCTCCACCTCTATTCGATCCCGCATCGAAGGAACGACTTCTTTTATGAGTTTCCAATTCCTACTTGCTCTGAAGGCCCAAAGGAATGCTGGGTGGGTGCGGGTAAGGTCGTCATCACTAAAGGTCTATGGTGATCATGGTTATTAATTCGTCTTGCGAAAATGTGCGGGAATGTTTCAAGAATGTGACCTCACCTTGCCAACATAACGGTCGACAATTTTCTTTGTAGGAAGAAGAGCATGAGGGGTAACCATAATACGGCCTTCAGGGTCAAAGAAGACAGAAGACAAAACTAGTTGTTGCGCTTGGGTTTTCAATCGTCTGTGATTTCCACCAGCAGCTATAGCGCATGCTGATAAAATACCACAAGCAACGCAAGCCTAGGTGTTGTTAGTATCAGTATCAGATAACCTGATCAAATAATATTTTCCCCCCCCGGGGGGGGGGGGGGGGGGGAGGTGAGGAGGGTTTTACCAAAACAGAGCAGATAATGACCGTTTGACTTCGAGACAACTGGCCTCCATTCTTAAGGGATTGGTTGTGGTTCATATAAGACGTCCCAGCTGCAGCAGTCCAATGCATACCAGACACGGCGACGGCCAGTCCACAGCCGCACACACCACGTCTCCACCAACTGCTTGTCCAACTAGCTCTCCATCGGAAGAAAACACTCAAGGCTGCAGTACTGGCGAATACTGCAATCACGGCGGAGCCCGCGACATTGGCTGCTCTGTAGGAGCAGATATAGTTGTTAATACCAAGCTGGCCAACATAATGCATACCGCAGACAGAGCCGCCTGTCAACAAGCCCCCCGTCAAGATACGAGCATATCCTGCTTTCTCACTAGTTCCGGCGGCGTAAAAGGCTGCAAGCAAGACACAGACCGGTAGGATGAATGAAACACCTGTGAACGACATGCTGTAGATGACCTGAACGTGGGGATCTCCGTCGCCGAGGACGATGGCGCGATTTCCGATAAAATGCATACACCAAATGCCTATTCCTCCCATGGTAATCGACGAAGTAAGCAATAGGTACCTGAGGGACGAATGTTAGACATAATAATCTCTCAATGGCGCTTGAGTATTCTACCAGTTGTATAGACCGGCTGTTGAGGTCCGTCGATGGAGAAGTTCCAAGGTGGTTGTACATCCCATAACACTAACCACATAGGAGAGGAAGATGTAGCCTCCAAGGTAAGAAACCCGGGCGTGCTCCCCAGTGACGCTGTCTATGGTCGACATGATGTGAATGAGAGACGAAAGGGGGAAGGGAGGGGAAAAGGAGGGGAGGGGAGGGGGAGAAAGGGAAGGGAAGGTCAGTCAAGTTCATTCATAAGGGAAGGATTGAATGGCGACTATTCATAACATTGATGCACCTGAAACTGCTGTTTCATAGAAGAAAAAGAAAGAGGGAGAAAAGAATGAGACGGGATGGGGAAAACAATGCCGTCCAGATCGCACCACATGGGTGGTGACCTGCAGGGCTTCTCTCACTATTATAATGAATCTGCAGCTAATCTACTCCACATAGTCTTGCTGGCCTTAGTGGGTAAATCCACCACGTTCCAGGACGAATTAATTGCACCTCAGGGCTATCAGACGAGTGCGTGATGGACGGCAGTTCTGGGAATGTGCAAGAGAACATGAATGATTGGATGAAAAATTGGACCTTGTCGGTGTGTGATCTATAGGTACCTGGTAGGTACCTGTAGAATGTAGATTCGATCGGAGGTTACTGACAGGAACCATGGGCCCCAGGGAGCAGCCAGACTAATGTAACCGAACCATGGTAGCTTCTTGATTTCGTCCGGTGACCGAGCTCTTCTTGAGATGATTTACCGAGTATTCAGAGCCGAGTCCAGCTTCCACGTGTTTGAAAGCTCCATTCTTGTCCTCCACACTGATCCTGGTTAGGTGTCAGGATATGTTGTTGATATCACAAACCCAACACGGTCTCCTAGAGTACTCGGGAGGATTGGTGGAAATAGATTAATTAAGTTACGTTGTTGAATGGGAGGTTTCTGGTTACGAGGCTTAGTCCAATCCGGCGAGATGCCGACGAAGATTGGAAAGTCGAACCTGCCCAGGTGCCAATCCACCCCAAAAATTCACGGAATTTGTTTTTTTTTTTTTCTTGAAAGTTGAGGGGAGAGATGGGTGGCGAGTTGTAGAGATGCATAAAGAATCCATTGGTCCGATGACACGACCTCGGAAGTCCAGCGATCGGAGCTTACCCTAGTCCGGTTAGCACGAGCATGGTGGGTCCGAGGACAGCAAATCGGACTTGATGGAAAAGGGAAAAAGATTGTCGTCTGTTGCACTGTTGAATCGTTGATCCATGGAACAAACCCTTTGTATCGATTTCCGGGAGGCAATTCCTCTTCTAGGGATTAATATTTCAATCGACCCCACTTGACAGGTAGAAGCATTCCCAGCCGAAGTTGGTGGATTGGTCTTCTTTTGAGAGAGCAAAATCTCAAAATCCAGATAACTCTTCAATATCCACTACAATCGATAATCCGATCGTTTGTGGAGTAATCTTTGGGGCTTTTTTCTTTTCTTTTGGAAGCCCTTGATCAAAGCCACCGAACAAATCCAATCCATCAACCCTGTTTCAACAAATCACTGGAACAATGTTCTAGATATCCCCCTATTTCACCCCCCATTTTTTTTTTTTTTTAAAAAAAGGGGGGAATTGATTCCTGGCCAGATTACTCCGTACGCCGTACGGAGGATAATCCCAGAATTTAGTCCGTCCTCTTCGCTTCGAGCCGTGGTTGCACGCAGTGAATAGCTTGCCCTAACCGAAATCCACGCCCGGCCGAGTCACGATAAGGCAGCCTCTCAGCTCCCAAGCCCACGGTTGACCTAATTTAATAGATGGACTTTTATATTGGGAATACGCACTAGATTTCGACACAGCAGCTAGGTCTATCGCAAAGCCGGCCGGGTCCGGCAGTCACTCGCAGCTGAATTATTAGTCCCAACTATCCTTCGAGAGCAACCGTTTTTCTTCCTTTTTTTTTTCTTTCTCCCAAGTAAAGTCTGTCCAGCAAGATCAGGGTTCCCCTGCTTTTACGTACTGGGCCTTGGTGTGGATTCTAATTAACTTTCCTCATCAGGCAAGCTTCTCCGGGATATCCTACCTGGCTGTAGGCTTCTGGACCTGGCTGCGGTGCGGGATATAGATTAATATACCCTATTCATTCGTCAGTTGCCGGAAACCATCGCCGGAGGTATGTTTCGTTTTTCTGTCATGTGAGTCTAAGAGTCTAAGTACGCCGGTAGTGGACAGACATTGAATGAGTTCCGCAACGCGCCACACCCAGAGATTCATCTCTACATTTCCCCAAGCTGGTCAGGATCAGCTCGTGGAAGATTTATTAGAACCGGAGTTCCAATTGCTCGGGCTCGGGCAGGGGGGATGTGTCCTGAATTGGGAAATGGTCTATACTCCGAGATATGCTCGAATCGGAAGTTTGCCCCCCCCTGGCTAACTCGCGTGCAACCTTTTTTTTGCCACTACTCCAGACTCAGAGAATAACTAGATAGACTTAAGCTTGGATCTCTCGCTCGCTGCTCCCGGTCGTATTGGAGATCAACTGCGGGAAATCAAGGTTATGTCCCTAGCCATATACTAGTTATCTCATATCAATAATCATAGATCTATGCTGGTCAATCCTGGAGTCGGTGCGGCATGATCAGCTGTATATAAATAACTGACTGTATGTACTCTGTATCTATATTTAGCTATCATGCACTGGCCTACTTAAGGTACCTAATTACACTGGACACTGAAAACTTGATCCAGAACACATATCTGGGAGTTCTTGAATGTACAATTAATGCAAGCCATGCAAGTAACGCATGAACCATATCAGTTTCATTCTATCTGCCCAAGACTTTGACCTCAGAACATATAGATAGAACGTCCAAGCCGAATCCTAAGCACTACCGTTGCACGCAAGCCACCTAATCCTCATTGCAGATCTCTCTACGGAGTACGGAGTACACCAGATAGATAGATAACTAACTAACTAACTATTCTTACGAAGTGAATGACAAATCATCTCTCACCTCAATCAATCAATTCCTGGGCCCCTCCGCGTTGTCTCATGTATGTAGCACCATGCCGGCAGGGGGTTGGTTGAAAACACTGGTTTGACAGTCCCTCTAACGTCAGTACAAATTTAAGACACTTTAAATAGACAGTAAAATAATGTCACTTGATGTACCAACGTTAATTAAGCCATTTTTTGAGGTAAAGTGTCAAAAAAAAAAAAAAAAAAGAATATTTTTCGAGACCTAGTTTGTAGGGAATGTTTTAACTACTATTAAAACTACAAGGAATTTAATTCAATAACTAACTGGACTAGTAGTAGCTATTATAATAATACGGTTCTACAGTCTTTTTTAGATCTATATAACTATAGGCCTCTACTCTAGTAAGGTGCTAGGATGATAATATTATGCAGGCATATATAAATAAGGTATTAAATTTTTAACCAACGTGGTATACCATTTTTTGAGTTTCAAATCAAATTACTATTAGAAAGTCAAGTACCGTTGATTAGCCATTAAACTAAGGCAGTTCGTCAAACTAGCATCCAACCAGCGTTTCCAAACCACTAATAGTAGTATAGTTATTCGCTACCTACCTACGAAGTAGTAGTAGGTAACACCCTACCCATCTCCTTCCTCTCTCTCATAGGCTGTACTATAAACAGAAATGCTACCTGTCTGCCATCCCGGCAAAGGGAAGGGGGGGGGGGGGACTACTACTACTACTACTACTACTACTACTACTACTACTACTACTACTAGATCAGTATAGTACTGGTCGATTCAAGTGCAGCATAACTGTGCTTGGCTGTGTACGGGCTAGTCTGCCAACTCGATCAAGGACCGAGAGAGAGTTCTGTAATGATACCATGCCATGATTATAGCATGTGAAAAGTTAGTATCGGTTTCATATACCAAGAGAGATTACAAGTTTTATGCTACTGCACTCTCTGCAATACAACACAATCAATCCATAAGTTTATTTCGGGGTCCTAGTCCCTTGATAAAAGAAGGTAAACTAACACAAATAAAAATCCCATCCTAGAGACGCACAATTACAACATTGAAAACACGGTTCATAACATTTACGCAATCAAGGACTTGACGGCGGCCTCGATAGCTGGGGGGTTGGCACCCACAACCTCTGTGACCTTCTCGCCATCCTTGAAGAGCATGAAAGTAGGCATGGCACGCACACCGAGCTCGGCAGCGACCTCGGAAAGCTCGTCGACGTCGATCTGGTAGAACTTGGCGTCGGGGTAGGTGTTGGAGAATTCCTCGACCTTGGGGGCAATGGCCTTGCAAGGGCCGCACCAGGTAGCGAAGCAGTCAACGACGACAGGACCGGCGTCCTTGGAAAGGACCTTGGCGTCGAACTCGGCCTTACTGTAATGGAAGACGAAGTTAGCCTTTTTTTTTGTATTTTTTTTTTTACCCTTCTCGTTTACAAGAGTGCATGGCGGGAGAAAAAAAAAAGAACAACTTACGATTTGATGCTCTCAAGACCGCCCATTGTGGATGATGAAGGTGAAAATTGAAAGGTAGGGGTATAAGAGAAAGCTCGTCGGGGAGTAGCGAGGCTGGGACGCGGAACGGCGGATTGTGGCAAAGAGATCGAAGCTCTAGTCAAACGGCTAGCAGAGAGAGAGAGAAGACGACGGGAGGCCACAGTGGTGGATGGATGAAGGCTATAAAAAGAGGAGGAGGAGGGGATGATTAGCTCTAAATGAGGGGCTGCTGAAGGAGGGGCAGATATCGATTTTATAGTGGGCGAAATTCCCGAGGAAATGACGTTGCAACCTTTCGCCGGGTGACTAATCAGTCCAGCGTAATAACCATGTCCAAGGAACACAGTAGGGGAGTGTAGAGGGTTCTTATCGATTTGCTTACCCAAGACCACGGGCGACACGCCAAAGATTAGATTGATTTGTCAAGCCAAGAGAAGACATTTTCACTAAGAGACTATTACAAGACCCAATATAAGACCGATTGGCTGACCGGAGTGCTTGGATTGGGCTGGGGGCGAGACTTGGGGATGTGGAAGGAATGCAAAGATGTGCTTCACGACAGTCAGTGTTTTTCCCCTGCTGGAGACAAGGAAAGGAAAGGAGCCTTAAAGCGGCGACATCCGGATGACGTGATTTGGCCGCTTACGAATCGGGCGGTTCTAGACGCGGTGCCTGGCCTCAGGCACACATGTCCTCGGAAACCTGGTGCTTACGAGTTTGGGCTATCGTTAGGGTAAATACAGATTCCGCTTGGTACAGCAAGGGTATAGCAAAATTAGAATATCCTAGCCAGTAAAGGGAGCATTTAAATTACACATGGCCTCATAGCAACATCACAGGAAGAGGTACCGATATGCACCAAATTCACAAGAACGAGAATGCCTCAGTCTATCACAAGCATAGTTTGCACAATAGCCAAGTGAGCCGTCCTTCTGCATTGACGCAACTCATTCAAACTCTCGCCGATGGGGGTATCAACAAACTCAAGAAATAACAAAGCCCGCCAACAATACCAGAGCCACGGAACGAAAACCCCATGCTCTGAATTGTAGTCATAGCTGCCTCCGATCTCATTGTCAGTCGGGGGAAAGCTAGAGAAAATACCAAGAGAAAGAAGAGACAAAGGAAACTTTCGTAAGGAGTATATCCTCCAAAAGAGAATAGGCGCTGAATGCCCCACGGTCGAAGAATTAGTTTCACGCTGGGGTTATTGGTGAGAACTCGGTGAGGAAACTCCGCACGAGCGGCCGTGGATGTTGCTACTGCCATGCGCTGTTGGGAAAAGAAGTTCTTCGGAGTGTTCTTCGATGGGACTGAATTCCATCTCTGCTGATATCGGAGACAAGGATCGAACGTTTTTCAGGAGTCCCTCATTTGACTTGGGCCGAACAGCCGGGTTCACAAGAACAGGGCGTTTAGCAATCTCCTCATGCCAAGTTTCCTGTGTAGGCTCCGGTGCGGGGAGCATATCCAAGTCCTTGCTTGGCTCATCAGCAGGACTGTTGCCGTCTCCAGACACTTCACCAGGATATGCGCCGAACGCAACAAATTGTTCGTCATTCGCAATCTCATTGCATTTGGAGGAAGTTTCAAGGGCCTCGTCTGTTCTGTTTTGGGAGGAACTGATGCTATGTCGAGCGAGATTACTAGGCCTTTGGGAAATACGGCGCAAAAACTGCCCCGACATCCAGGACCCTTCGGAGTCGATCGAGGCCAATGATTGCGATAAAGGTACATTTTCGGAGTCTTCCCCTAAGCTATCACCGCTGCATGAATGATGACCGTTCTTCGGGACCTCTTGGGGGTCAGACTCAGAACCAGGGATAGGGTACTGAGACCCGACATGCAGATCCAGTACCTTAGCCTCCATCAAGGATTCATCCACCGGCTGCTCTGGGATATCTGGAGACTGAAGTCGTGAATCAGGTGGTGAAAGGGGTTCGTCGCCGAAAATCTCGGTGAATTTCGAGTGGGAACGTTTGAAGGAACTCGATCCGAGCAGGATTTTTGGTGGTACATATGGAGGCGGGATGGATTGTTGGGTGTGAACCTTGAAGAAAGACTCATGTGAGACGTTGTCCGGGGGAGGGGGGCTCCGGTCCTGGAAGCGCTCGCGATAGCTTCGCTTGAGGCGGGAGCTACCTCGGCGGAATATCGAGGTAATGGTGTTGACACGCACGCCGCCGTGGTCAGACAAGTGTCGCTCAGATTCAACAGGTCTTGAAAGGTCGGACGCGGACTCCCTCGTCACCCCGTAGAACTGCGATGAGTTCGGACTGCCCAACGCATGTCGAGATGGTGAAAGTGAGGGTGATAGGGTGCTGCGCGACATCGCCATGTCTTGGGATGGCCTCAAACTTAGGCGCTGTTCAGGCTTACGTTCTCGAACAGAGCGATCATCAATGTTGCCAATAACATGAACGCTTTCTGGCGATTCGCGGTCACTCCTTTCGGCATCTTTTGAAGTATCGCGCAGCCATGAGCCAGAGGCAGGCTTAGCAACGAAAGTGCCGTTCGCATTCGAGCTAGAGTCTTCTTGGGTGGTAGGTTGAGACTTGAAGGGGCTCTCGGGTCCCAAACGGCCAAGCTGGCTCTCTACGGAGCTCACGTTCGCCACCTCATGAGGGTTAGGGGTTTTATCGATTTCCGCTTGTTGTGCTTGTTTCATAGCGCTACGCTGGAGTCTGCGATACATTTTCTCTTGGTCTTCAATTTGTTTTCGGTCCCGTCGTCGGCGATCTCGCTCCATTAGCTCTCTCAGCGCTGCCGCATCGAGATCGTCTGCCAACTCCTCGATTCTTTTCTTCGAGCGCATATTCTCCTCGGACGGAGCAAGCCCCGATGTCTTGACTCTCTGATCTGCTGTTGGCTCTGGCGATTTTTGGTTTCTTGAATTTGATAAACGCGGAGATTCCACATAGCGAATGACGGGACGAGGTGTCCACGCGGCGAAGCTATTTACTTTGAATGTGTAGGTCTCGGAGAAATCCGAGAGCGAAGACGCTACAGAGTCATGGATGGAAAGGCTGATATCGGAAGGGTGTCTGTTTAAACGTCGACTCTGAGCACTGGGGCCTCGAAGACCTTCGATCAAAGCATTCTCGCCTGGTAGAGGGGTCGTCGCGCGACGAGGAATGTCGATCGGGGTCGAGGCCATCAGCCGAATCTCACGTTCCCTGGCAATTTCGTAAGCCTTTCGCTTGCTCAGTCGCTTCTTAAGCACCGCTGGGTTCTCATTGCGCCGCGGTTTGAGGAGAGATGGATTGCGGGACAAGGTCTGCGGCTCGGGTTTGGAGGTGTTGGAAGAGGGCAGGGTGGCAGCCTTGACGGGTCGAGGCCGTTCACTCTGTGAGGTAGACGGAGGGTAGTAGGCAGGTTGCGAAGACGGAGGAGAGACATCTTGAAAGGAGGCCGGGAAATCCTCTGCGGGCTGCGAATGGCGGTTCTTCTGGCGTTTAGATTGCTTGCGGGACGGCTTTCTGCCTAGATTACCTTCGTCCGGGCTGTGATGGAGATCATGCGACAAGGATGCGTCGACTCCAGTGGTTGAGTCTATCTGGATGGTATGCCGCTTCCCCCTGCGACCAAACGGCCATATCGCCATGGTGCCTGGTCTGGTATGTCTCTACCCCGCCAACAAGTCAAGCGTGCACAACCCCTATTGCCGGATACCAGAAGGCGACAAGATAGACGAACTCATGAGGAATGGCAGGATCACGAGAGACACAATCAGAGGGTGAATCGGTTTTGGGGGCGCAGGACCGAGGGCCCAGGGTCGAGATTCAAAAATAGATTTGTCCCCGTGAGAGTCGAACGAGTCAACCCAGATAGCAAGATAATGGAAGGCAAAGGATGAAGGTCGAATGACGGCGTAGTTTGGCACCTGAGAGGTAAGAAGTAGTCGGTTGTGGTTCTTGGTAGCGTTGCCTAAGGCCAAACGGGAGGAATCTAATTCTGGAGTGGCAAAAGGATCCCACGGCTACGAGCCTAGGACTGAGAGGAGAGTCAAACGAGCAGAAGCAGCAGATAGAAGGGATTGTGAGGGAAGGAGAGAAATGTAAAAGAAAAGAAAGAAAAAAAAAAAAAAAAAGGGCCCAAAAGAAGAGCGAGACGGGGAAAGAGGGAGAGGGAAGGGAGAGAAGAAGAAGAAGAAGAAGAGGAAGAGGAAGAGGAAGAGGAAGAGCCTGAAAGAGTGTGAAGGTCATGAGTGAGGGATGACGATGTGTCTGTGAGGGCCTTTTTTTTTTCCCTTAAAATTATATTTTATTTTATTTATTATTTTTGGGGGGGGGGGATGTACATTTTTTTTTTCAGAGATTATTATTTTCTCTTTTGCACTAGTTATTTAATCAGTCAAGGATGTGTTAGTAAACTACTCCTAACTACTCCTAACTACTGCTAACTAGGTACTCCTCCTCTTACATAGTAGTAGTTCACCAACTGGATATACAAAGGTCCAAAGGCCTAGCCTTAGGCAGACAGGCAGGATCCTTGGGACGAAGAAAAAGTTACACCGTTGACATGCGGGCCCGGCCGTCCCAAATAGAACCATAGGGATTCTTTTCTTTTCTTTTTTTTGGGGGGGTCTGAAATTACAGGTCAGGTCTGGCTGGAATCTTCAAGTCCTCATCACTGCATCCACCCGATGTCTTATAATTTGTAATTATTTGGGTTGTCCATGTCTCATTTTGGTGTGCCCCTGGTTACCAGTAATACCGTAGTAATTAGTACTCTGTACTCTGCTCTGTGTCCGCAACTCGAGCAGAAGAATACACCTGGAAAAGAAACTCCTAATTTAGGAGACGTCATGCGCATCACTAGTAAAATGAACAGCTCCTCCGTTGATCCTAAAAAAAAAAAAAAAAGAAAAAAAGAAAAATCTCTTCCTTGAGCTCAAAGCCCAATCCCATTGTCGGTACCTGCCTTAGGGTGCCGGCTGGCCATTTATTAAATTATTATTGATTGTATCTGCCGTACTCCACAGCCCAGCGTCTCCATACTTGGAAAAAACGTTTCCGCGTACTTAAATTAGGACGAGGAAAAATACCTTTCCTTAACATCTTGCTCCGTGAAGTAAGAATATACGGAGTAACTAGTTATACGAAGTGGTTTTGTATCCAATTCAAACTCGTATCATCTACTCCGTATCTTGCCCTACCAGACTACCTACTACCTACCTAGCAAAAGGGAATTCCTCCTTCCTACCTGTCCTGGTTACTGATCTGGCAACTGTGGGCGTGCTCGACGACGATCTTCTTCACATTTCAACTGTGCAAGTTACTAGATGATCGAGCTGATTCGCTGCGTCCGTCACCACCGGCCCAACTGGTCACAAGGGAGAGTCAACCAACCGTCCAGCAGAGTTAAAAGAGCCAAACTTTTGTCGTGAACTAGGTATAGAGGAACGGTTGAGGATGTAGAGAACCTTTTCTTCGGTTCAAAAATCGGGTATTCAACGGTTCATCCTCTGACACTCACCTCGGTTGACTTCGCAGACGATACGACTCATATAAGCGGTGTAATCGGAGTGAATTACGGGGCTACTTAGTGCCAGTGGGCTTGGGGTTAGATTAACTAACTATTAGATACTCCGTATTACGCATCGTATGGGATTACTATGGGGACAGAAACTGAGAAAACACACTTGGAACTCCACTATGGAGTACACCCATGGAAAAAAAAAAAAAAAAAAAGGGCGAGCATTCTGGAGATCTCACTAAAAGATGGCGGCTAGGCTAGGCTTTGAAATTGAAATTGAAGCGCACAGAACTCGTAGGTTATCTGTGTCAATCGAGCGCTTTGCATACCACAACCGCTTGGGGGAGAGACATGTCTCTCCCCATAGATGTAAAATTACTTTGAAACATTTCTTACTCCAGAGTATGTACGTGTTCTTGGCCTCGAGAACCAAAGCATGGACTGTCTGAGTGAGATGGCAACGAACTTTTGATCAAGATAATCCGCACTACCCTGCCCCAGGAGCGGAGTAATCAATCCGTCCTTATTTATTGACTTGCATCGCTCTGTACAGACCAGAGTCTCACGGATCCTTTCGGAAAATGGTCCACTCTAAATTACAGGCTTTACAGCCAGCAGCAGCAAAGTACGGAGTCCCCCCGAGTCCCAACAACAACCCACCGTACTCTGTACAGGCCAGGCCTACCAGGGGGACACTGGACCCTGCAAGGAAAATAATACAGCCATGAACCGCCCTGTGTAAGGTATACATATGTTGTCCTTTTATAGCGTGCTTATTGGCGAGGGGCGGGATTCGGGTTTCCAAGAGACCTGCATCGAGATGCCGTGTATGCAATGGGATCTCGCAAACTAAGGTCCCCCCCCTAGTGTGTCCACCGATAATACCTGTCATAAAACACCCTTCCGGAAGAGGATTCTGCCTGCTGCATCAATAAATGAGATTGATTCTTCTTTCCTTTCCGTGTAGTCGTTTTTCTTCCCCGTAAGCGCTTACGACGAGACAAGCGAAAGCGTCCGTCGTCCCCCATCCAAGGTACAGACTGGAGATTGAGAATAATGCATACATACACTTCTTACAGTGAGCATCAGTGTAGTAGCAGTGGGTGTTCATCTAAGTGAGACCCTCCGATTCACTGGTTCCCGCACCATCAATGCTTATTCGCGGGTCGATGGGGCTTGCAGACGACTCTGGTGTTCTAAGGAACCACGTTGGATTTGTGCTGGCAATAATCAGGGTAGGTCTGTATATAACTTACTCGGGGAGAGAAGCCAACCATTTCTCGACCAGCGCCAATAGTGTCGTCCGGAGGGCCAGCGCAGCGCTTGGTTGGAACTTCCCTTGTGATTTTCGTAGGGTGGTTTCGGTTTTAGCGTCCAATATATATGTAGGCATTTATTTAGTATTGGGCGATAGCCAAAAAAAAAAAAAAAGGACAAATCGCGCGACACTTCTTTCGCTCTGTCTGTGTGACTGACTCACTCGGACTCTATAGGAGCCAAATAAGACCTGGTCTTCCCACTTTCACAGTTAACGAAACAAGTCATTAAGTTTTACCACGGGTTATCGAGAATTGTTACTGTCTTGCCACGCCGCCTTGAATTTGGCTTTAAGTATGACAACCCCCTATCAATAGGTAGGTATACATAAGAATTGAGATCACCGTGCCACCCATCCAACCAGAACAATCAATTCGACACAATAAACATAGAAACATCCGCTGTATCCAGGAAAAATAGACTGCATGTGCTGACGGAGTCTTCTCGCCGGTATAAGAGGAAACCCATTCAATGGCAAACAAATCCATGATATGTCTGTCCATCACTTTCCAATTCCCCTGCCACATGTGGCTACACTCGCTATGAACGAACTATTTAGGTCCAAGAAGCGAAATTTCCTAGCCGTGGCGTCAAAAGGACGATAATTCTGAAAAAAAAAAAGAAAAAGAAAAAAAAAAGATGTACTTCGTACACAGTTCATTAACCACACAGTTTAGATCAAACTGAACAACTCAGACGTTATGCATGCCTCCCATCTATCCTGTTATCATTGGACGGATCGTTTTCTCAGGCGATTTGTCTCCCGCTCCAGGATTCGATATTGCCGGCTTCCCCGGCGACCCAGCAGTCTCTTCAGAGACCAGGAATCATGGGCATTGATGTGGCTTTCTGTTGTGTGCTCGTTGGCCGATTCGCGTCTGTGCTGCGATTTCATATACAGCTCGGCTGCTGGTTCCGATCGAAACGTGGCTATCAATGGCTCTGCACCCATCGTTGCATATAGAGTGTGGCCAGGGGTAACGAAGGCAAGGATTCACCCGAGGAGGAGGAGGAGGATGTTTTGGCTTTATCCTCGACAAGATCCTTTGGTACGACGACACTCTGTAAACCTAAAAGACAGAAAAAGAAAGAAAGAAAACACCCGAAAATCGATCTCCAAGTAGAGACTGAATGAATGGCTTGGTGTTGTATCCTCCGTATTGGAAATTATAACCCGTGAACTGGAACCGGGAGAACTGAACCAAGAGTGAGCGGGGTTGCTTGCGTGAGTGCACCACTTTATGTAAGAAGACCTAGGTTTCGGTGTAGGGATACTAGAAACCTTCGAGGGATCGACAGATACGATTATACTGTCTCTTATATACTGCGCTACACTCGCAATCCAGCTCAAGTGTATGGCCGTATCTGCTATCTAGGCTTGGTGACTACTCCGTACTCAAGAACGAGAGGCATATCGCCACAATTCACTGACGGAGTGAGATACGGGTCCACAGCACAGTACACACTACTGGTCACTGGTCAGTGATTTTCTTTAGAGCGTCATCAGTCATCAGGACGGGTCGGAAGGGGAGAACAAACCGAATGGCATCTATTTGGCTTGATTGGGCCACGCGAGAGATCACGTGTGGATGATGGAGACGGAGATGAGATCTAGACAATTCTAGTCCTCTACTCATCTTCAGAGCAATGGTGGAGAGGATGATATCAGGTGCGGAGGGGCTTTGATGGAGTCAACATTTGTTCCACTGGCTTCGACGAACTGGAACGAGCCGGGATATGTCAGCGTTTGGTTCCAAGTTCTATTGTTCTATACGGCATTTTGTAGCCGGCAGAGGCATACTGACAATGAGAAAAGATGACCGTACTCTTTAGATCTGATAAGAGACTACACCGCTACATTGCAGTTACACATGGCGAGGAAGACGTAGAATTGGTGAACAGTTCAGTCTCCTTCTCAAATGACAAGTCAATCATACCTAGGTAAGTCTGTATTCCATACTTCAGACACTTCTTGAATCAGAATCAACAGAACCCCTTCAAACGATGAGAAGTGACCAAAGCGTGACAGCATACCCATTCTAGCAACCATCTAGAAGTAGAAAAAAAAAAAAAAAAAATCAAAGTCCCTCCGATTGGACGAGTTCCAGATCCCCCGAATCGTTTCAACCCAATCGTCCGACAGTCTTCGTTTGCGAGAAAGTTTGTTGCACAGAACAAGTTGCTGCCCTTGCTACCTGCGAACCCCCCCCCCTCCCCCACTCAATACAGAATTCGAATTGAATCAGGTACATCTGCCTCATCCATGGCATCTCTCTGGCATTCGCCTGCCTTACTACAAAGCCTAGACTAGACCCTCAACATCTCCTCCTCCTCCTCCTCCTCCTCCAACGCATCGCAAATTGAATCTCGCTCAAATTCCACCTTCAAATTACCGAAGACACACGAATAATGGGAACAAAAAGGAACCGACTCGAAAACTAAAGGCAAGGCAAGGCAAGGCACAAATTCACCCTGCACTCGGTTCGATAAATGTCGTCTTAAGTGGTGCTGGGCGCCTCGTCCCCTACCCAGGTAATTAGTAATGGTAGCGTGGCCTGCTACCGAAGGAAAGTCGGTCTTATCCGGGCTAGATAGGGGGTGTATAATACAGATTGAGGCTCTCTACCAGACCCGTACGTCGCTGCTGCGTGCGTTGTTCAATCGCTTGGATTAGATTGAGGGACGGAGTCACGGTGCGTCGTTTGAGATGCAAGGCGGTTATATTACTATGGACAATTGTTGGGGTTGGGGTTGGGTTTAGGTTTTTATGTTACGGAGTTATGGGACAGACATCACGACTTTATGAAATGAAGTATGAAGGGGGGCAAAGAAATACATAGTGGAATGAGCTATGATTTATGATACCATTTGCTGAGAAGATTTGCTGCGCAGATCTATGATATGAGGAACGATAAGAAAAAGAATTCCAAGTTATGGCTACCATTGACCCAGGGAGAGTTATTGAAATGGATTTCGTTATACGTGCTTTTATTGTTTTCCTGTTTTAGGCCCATACATGGAATCATAGCTCATACACTCCGAGTTGGTGTGTGGTAAATTGAATTCTTGTCCTCCGTCATCCTCGTGGTTTTGGGTTGCCTTGCCAGAGGGAAGACGACGGAAGCTTTGATAGCTGCACGTGATATGACCAAAGCAAGTTCAGGATGAATGGTCACAAGAGCCATATCGGTATCGGCTTCTGTTAGGCAGAAGAGGCCGCAGAGAAAGAGGCAATGAAATCCTGCAGCTTGGTTTTGTGGAGTCTCCCATCGCCCAAAGACCGTGCGTTTATAGCCCCAAAACGCCGTGCAAACATACTGTCTACCTTGAACGCCAGCCACCCTCACTCGTCTTCAGCCATGACCATACTACCGAAGTTTTATCGTTCAACTGTTGGCGAGGCGGCTAAAACCAGATCTTGATCAGTTCTTCGCTGACGGCACTCGGTGTTAGAACACCACTATCTGTGATCAGGGCGGATATTAAATGAGGCGGTGTGTAATCCACCACCTCGGCACAGTACTCCGAAGACAGATCTGATGTGTCTTTGGGAGCTGTCGGTTGTTGCTTGGCAGCATCAACGTCTTCCTCAGTCTTGAAGTCGATAACGTGCTGCTCGATTGGGAGGTCATATTGGCCAAGCGGGTAGATTCGAACAAACTTGTGGCTCTCGGCCACCACGTAAAACGGCTTCCCCATAGCCTTTGCTAGAAGTCCGATTTGATACGTGCCCATCCGCGATACGATGCCTCCATTTTCCACCACACCCTCCGCACCCACAATGACGACATCGGCTTTCCCCATTGAATACGCAACGGCGGATTCCGGGATTGTAGCCACGGGAACTCCCTTTGCCCGGAGGGCTCGCACTGTCTCCATTCCCTCGGGCTCAGCCGAAGACTTCTCGATGTTCTTCTTTGCCGACGACAGAACGTAGATCACCTTAAACCGCACAGCGGAAGGTCCGCCCTTTTCGTCAGCAGCCTGCTGCAACAACGAAGCGACAACTCGCGATCCACCGTTTGTCAGAACTGTGCTTCCATCTCGTACGAATCCCCTTCCAAATGCTGAAATTTTATCTCGGCTTTCCTTTGCACGCCGAATGAACAACCGACTGTTGGAGAGAAGATGTGCACGAATAGCATTAAAATCACCCGCTGGCCCTAGTTGACCCGGTCTTTGCAAGGTTGTGATTAAGTATCGCTGGAAGAGATCGGTTCCTGCGGAAAGACCGATAGGGTTCGGGATAGACTTCTTCAAGTGTGCGGTGGACTTTTCTAGTAGGTCGAGGGTCTCTGATATTGTCGAGGAAGGGGAGTGTGTAAGAAGCAACACCAGAGCTTCAATAGCCGCGATTGGCATGGTCAGATCTGGGTCTGAACGAAGCAAGCCATTGTACGTCGCGACAATGCTGATCGCACAACATTAGTAGACGAACAGTCACGGTGAAATCAGAGAACTTACTCAAATGGCTCAGAAACGTTCGGTGTCTGGGAGGTGGCAGCCGCCATTGTGTCTCACAGCGCCCAGGTAGCTCCAGTTATTTCCAAAAAAGTCTTCCTCGGCTGCGGTAGCTGTCGTTGCGCAATAGGTAGCTCCTCCTTGAAATTCGTGCATCCGAAAGAGTCATCAAAAAGACCATGAGCCGGTGTTTGCATTGTTTGCATATAAACCCCTCCTGCCGGTCACTAGTCCTTTTCGGTTGCCATGTAAGAGATCATCATATAAACAATCATTTCACCGCCCACCTAGGCCATCGCATCCCACTCTCCAACGACATTACGTCCCCTCTGTCCCCCTTTTTCCAATATCAGGGACTCATAGTTTTTTTAATCGCTCGAGTGACGCCATGTCGTACAATCATCGGATGAGCCAGCAATTCCATGGCTCCTCCCAACAGCATGGCCGGGGCCGTAAGAAAGAGGATGAAAATGACGCTTTAATGCGCCTGGTGAGTTCCTAAAGTATCCTCCCATATTTCTTACATAGTGCTAATGCCGGTGTATAGCCTGATAAAGAGATTGCGGGATGCATTAATGATATCGGTATCCCCTTTACCGCCGCAGACTTGATTAAACCGAACCCTCAACAAATCCAAATGGTATTGGAATGGTTTGCAGAGCTTCTTATGAACGTGACGCGAGATACTGTGGAACCAGCAATGCGCGCAGCGGCCGATGATTTATGTGGCGACTACCCAGATATTGTGCCTACGGATACACGTAACCTGATGGGTTTCTTTGTTAGGCTGAAAGGACTGATGTTGGAAGTATGATCTCCTTTGGGCCTTAAACTGTTTGATCAAAAAGCTTCGAAAGTTACTAATATGTCTTCTTTAATAGTGCGGTGTCAACGATTTCACCTTCACCGATTTGACGAAACCCACACACGATAGACTAGTAAAGATTTTCTCATATCTCATTAACTTTGTGAGATTCCGCGAGTCCCAAACCCCTGTTATCGATGAACATTTCAACAAGGCGGAAAAGACCAAACAGCGCATCGATGCCCTATACGCGGAAAACCAAGAGATGGACCAACGCCTCGAAGAAATGCGCCGCAGTCTCAAGGCAAACGAGGGCGAAGTAAAGGAGAAACTCAGAAGGAACGATGATCTTAAGGCCCGCCTGCGAGAACTAGGACGCAGTCAGGAGCGTGTTGCGGAGACCCTAGAACGCGTCAAAGCAGACAAGGCACGGCGGCAGAACCAACTAAAAGAGAAAATGGAGAAATCTGTGCGAACTCGACAAGAGGTGGATAAGCTGCGTCCATACGTAATGGAAAGCCCCGCTAGCCTGCAATCATCACTTACAGAATTATCGGAGAGTTTGATGAGAGAGAAGGCCCAGATCGATGCAATGGAGAAGAGGGCGAGAGCATTGCAAACATCTTCAGATACCTTCACGGTCGTAAGCAACGATGTCCAGGCTTGCGTGAAGCTTCTTGAAGATATTTCGGTGGAGCTGCAAAAAGAAGATGATGAGGAGTCTCGGGCTTCTAGAAACAAGGAGGCGATTTCTGAGAGGGGTAACAATGTCAGAGAAGTGGAGCAGACGGAGAAGTTGCTACAGAGGCAACTAGCACGATGGCAGGAAAGGATTGAGGCTTTACGAAATAATGCACGTGAAAAGGCAGAAGTAGCCCAGAAACGAATGGAAGAGTTACGCGAAGTTCAGAAAGAGCTTCGTGAAGAGCGAGCAGAAAAGCAACGCGACATGGAGAGAAGGAGAATTAGGATTGAGCAAACAGAGAAGAAGGTTAGTGTCCATGTCTTTTGTCTTCATTGGAACTTGTGTTGCTAACATCTCCTCAGATGGTGGACTTGAAGGAGAATATTGAAAACGAGATCCAAAGCGCCCACGACGAATATCTCAAACTGGAGTCGCACATAAAGCTCTACATCACAGAAATGGAGAAATGTTTATAACGTAAGGATTGATTAGCTATCGCGCTGGAGTTTCAGGGTCAAGTTGAGGATACCCGGTTGTTTTGATGAATTCAGGAGTTATTATTGCATATACATATATATATACACATTTAGTGAACCAAAGCAATTCTTCCGTTTTTCATAATTCCATGAAAGAGGTTGCCATAGCCGTAGCATTTCCAGTTTGATCTATGCCTGTAAATTGGAACCATCGCTCCACAACTCTCTTCAGTGGCACCATTCGCCCTGTCCAATTACTTCCTTCAGTCGCTTTGCGTAGAGAATTACTGAGCAATGGCACATCTATGTACCATAGCGCCTCTCCACGTTCGTCACTAGTTGGGTCTAGAGCATCTCGGCATTCGCAAAGAACAAGGTCCACACCGTTCCTGGAAGCAGCCTCGACTGCATTTGCGAGTGTCCTCGATAGTCCCTGAGCAGAAAACTCCAAGGTCGGAAAATGCAGACTTATAGGGTTCAGAATCGCCATCAGGGACCTGGAAACCTTCTCTTCCTTGAAGATTGATGTTTGCTGGTAGAAACTCGTCGATATATATGCTCGGAGATGCTCTACTGTCGGGCAGAAAACCACCTGGGTCTTGCTGGATTTGGAGAGCAATCCGAGGGTTTTGGTAAGCAGTTTATGCCGGTCGACGGTCTTCATTGATTGGACATGAACGGCAGCAACAAGTTGTTCCAGGAAAAAATCCCGTGTGGAACAGACAATGAGTAGGGTTGGCGCCGTGTCTTGGTCCAGGATATATTGAAGGAAGTCCGTCACCCACCGAGCAAACACAATACGCCGCACGGGGCCCATCGGGGCAATAATTTGCTCTGCTAATGTTTGCTGAGAGTGGAATCGAAACCCTGACAGATTATTGACTGGATATTAACATCCTTCCGCATACTTTGTTGACGACAAATTCGATCGATTCATTGGCAGGCTGGACGTTGGTGATCGGGGGATGCAATACTCCGGCGGACTGAAACAAGTGGAAGCTTTTCGTCACCTGCCTTTGCCCACTTACCCTCTTCCACCCACCACGCGCCCCTCCTGTTCAGAACAATCCTCCCCCATACCTAATTCTGGTCTACGAATTGCCCTTGCGAAGGGCTTGGGGGACAGCTGAAATGGAGACAATCTCCAGGATCTCCTCGATGCTGGAAACAGGTATTGCTTCCCCCCAAGAATCCCTCTTGAGAACTCAGTCAGACTGACGATGCGGGCGGACCAACAGCTCGGGAGCTTACCCTCGAAGCAGCTCAATCGGCGGCTTTATCGAGAGGGACTGGGCTTGGCGGATCACCTCGTAATCTAAGTGTGTCTCATATCAAGAAGCTTTTAGACTCACGCAATGACCGAGAGGTGTTGGATGGAATGCGACGGGTCATAACGGTACGGAATAATTCAAACCGACCGGCTCATATCGTTGTTTTGACCTATGGTTATTTAGTTGATGTATCGCTCCGAACCGTCCCTTCCTTTCTTCTCCGCAGTCGTGAAAAACGTCGCAAGCGCAAATCTCGAAGTGAAGAAGCTAGTCTATATTTATCTCGTTCACCATGCGGAAACGGAGCCCGACCTGGCCCTCTTGTCCATCAATACGATCCAGAAGTCGCTCACGGACCAAAACCCACAGGTGCGGGCCATGGCACTCCGCACAATGTCGGGAATAAGGGTGCCAGTTATAAGTCAGATAGTGTCTCTTGCTATCAAACGTGGTTGTGGGGATATGAGCCCCCATGTTCGCAAGGCAGCCGCATTAGCGATCCCTAAGTGCTATAGACTCGATCCGAGCACACAAACACAGCTCACTGGGTATATTGCGACACTTCTAGGCGATACCCAATACTTTGTTGCCGGGCCAGCCGTGTCTGCCTTTCTGGATGTCTGTCCTGAGAGAATCGATCTGATTCATAAGCACTATCGGGGTTTGGTGAAGAAGCTTGTGGACATGGATGAGTGGGGCCAGCTTGCAACTATACGACTTCTGACATTCTACTCCAGGAAGTGCTTTCCCCTTAAGACCAGGAAGGTGAAGATAAGCCAAACGAAAACCAAAGGGTTTTACGATGACGACATAGAAGATGTGGGCACCAAAGGCGATGAAGATACCTATGATGTTCCCGTCTTGGATTCGGATCTTGAACTTTTCCTAGGATCGTGCAAGCTCCTTTTGCAAAGCCGCAATTCCGCCGTTATCATTGCCGTTGTCCGCTGTTATCTCTACCTTGCTTCTCCGGACTATCTCGCTGCTGCCGTAGGCCCGCTTGTTGCGCTTCTTCGGAGCCCCCAGGACATGCAGCTTATCGCGCTTTATAACATTGTTGCTGTTGCTTTACGATACCCCAAGCCGTTTACGAAGTACATTTCTCACTTCTTAGTACATGCTTCTGACCCGGCACATATTTGGCGTCTCAAGCTTGAAGTTCTTACAATACTATTCCCACATTGTGGCCTTCATCTGAAGGGGGTGATCATTAGCGAACTTGAACATTTTTCACAGGGTGCCGACCCGGAGTTGGTACGCGAGAGTGTGCGTGCGCTCGGGCGTTGCGCGCAGAGTGACCCTAATACCTCCAGTCAGTGTCTGCGTATTTTACTGCGCCAGATAACAAGTCTTGACGAGAATCTGGTGTCCGAATCGTTAACGGTCATCCGACATCTGATTCAACAAGATCCAGCTTCTCATGAGCGAACGGTCGTGCAGCTGGTGAAGCATCTGGGTCTGACAACTAACCCCGATGCTAGGTCAACTATTGTGTGGCTAGTTGGAGAGTTTGCCGGTGTTGCACCAGAGAGGAACATCGCTGCTGACGTCCTCCGAATCATGGTGCAGAACTTTGCAGATGAATCAGAATCTGTCAAGCAGCAAATAATTCTCCTTGGCGCTAAAGTATATCTTCATCATCTTCTGCGCCACCCCCCCAAGGAAAAGCCTCAGTCGGAACCCGAAGTCCAGCAGCAAGTCAAAAATGACTGGGCTGATGGCCAGGACAACCCGGAAAATGAGACGAACAATTTCGAGGAAAAGCAGAATGGAGTGGAGGAAGAAGAGGACACGATCACTCTTCTTTGGAAGTATATCCTTCTGCTTGCTAGGTATGATACATCTTACGATCTCCGTGATCGTGCCCGACTGTACAAAGCACTCCTCGGCTCACCATCCTCGACACAAATTGCAAATTTGCTGCTTCTTGCCCCGAAACCGGTGCCGCACGCCCCCAGTCCATCTGAAACTAGAAAGGACTTGCTCATAGGCTCGTCTACTCTTGTTTTGGGGCCTGAAGCCGGTGTCCATGGCTTGCGAGGTTATGAAAATCTCCCAGATTGGGTTGGATCTGGACAGGAGCCTGATCCCAAGCTTCGTGAGTCCGAGGTGAAGCCAGACCTGACTGAATCAGGCCCCAAAACTGCGGGCGAGCGACTGGACAGAGCTCTGAGGGAACATGAAAGGAACATATCAGTGTCAAGTCAGGGTCGACCCGGATACATGAAGACGCCATCCGCTGTTGCACCGAAGAGCAAGAAGACTCTTGACGAATGGCTGGACGAACCCGAAACAGAAACGGAAGAGGAGACGGATTCTGAAGAGGAAGTGACAGACTCCGAGGAAGAAGAAGGATCTACGGAATATGAAACGGACGAGGAAGAATCTGAAGAGGAGACCGACTCCGATGACCGGGAACAAGCCCGACAGCTGTTGACCTAGATCTCTCTAGGCAAATATGGGACGTACCTTTGCCAATTCTGCGGTATTACGTCACCTCTATACTAGATTATGAGCTTAGAATTGAAATGAATCAAAATTTGATAGATACATTACCCTATTTATGTAACCCCATTTAATATTCTGATCTCCTGCGCGAGACTCGCACAAGCAGCTGCCCCATTACCACTTTGGGTACGGAGTATATTCCAGGAGAACCCCAAGGCGGTAAACACCGGCATAATGGGGAAATAATGCATCCCCCAACTAACTATCAATCGGTCTCTCCGGGGGAGTTACCGTTAACCTCTCCCCCTTGTCCTCGTCCCAGCATGGACTAAAACCCAAGCCAAACATCAAAAGTAGTCGAGTCGATGAACACGAAACTCCACTATCTTGCAACTTGTGTCTCCTCATCCTAATTTGGCCTTCTTCCTCGTGCCTAAAGTTCGGTCCGCCGCGCTTACTCACCAACCAACCCCCCGCTGTTCGGCCTCGCTCGTCGATCGGTCATGATGAGAGCTACTGCAGGAACTTTTCAGACAGACAGATATCCCTTCTCCAGGCCATCTGCATAGCGTTTATTTTTTTTTTTTCGAATTCCTATATCTTCGCGTCTCTTGGTGAAAAAAAAAACAAACAAACAACCTATTTTTGGGACACGTGTTCTGGCGGTCTTCTCTGCTTTTAATTATTGGGGGACTTTGTCTTTTGCCATTGTTTAAGGGTACTACGGAGTACTACTACTGCTACTACTAGGGCTTTCCGGGGGCGGGTTTTGGATTTTACACACCGCAGCAATAATGCCTGGCCTACCGGGTGAGTTTATGTCATGCCACTTCTTTTGATCTTTTGAAGTTTAAGGTTCTTTTTTCTTTGTTTTTTTGTCTTTTTCTATACTAATGCTTATATCTTGGCAGCTAGTATCGATCTCGACGAGTGTATTGAGAGGCTGTACAGAAAGGAATTGTTAGCGGACTCGGTGATTGAGGCGATATGCGCAAAGGCGAAAGAACTGTTGATGAAGGAGAGTAATGTGGTTCACATTGCGGCTCCCGTCACAGTAGTTGGGGATATCCATGGGCAGTTCTTTGACATGATTGAGATATTCAAAATTGGAGGGTTCTGTCCGAATACAAATTACTTATTTCTGGGTGAGTGGCTTTATTCCTGCTGGTGGTGTCGATGGATGTTTTCCCTTTGGTGTTAATCGACCCCTTGTGTTATCCAGGCGACTACGTGGACCGCGGTCTATTCAGCGTGGAGACGATCTCCCTTCTTGTCTGTTTGAAACTGAGATACCCCCAACGAGTCCACCTCATTCGCGGGAATCACGAATCGCGTGGCGTCACGCAGTCGTACGGCTTTTATACCGAATGCGCACGAAAATACGGGAATGCGAATGTCTGGCACTACTTCACCGATATGTTCGATTTCCTCACCCTGAGTGTGGTGATTAACGATCAAATATTTTGCGTGCATGGCGGTCTTTCGCCATCGATCCATTCGATAGACCAGATCAAAATCATCGACCGGTTCCGCGAAATCCCACATGAGGGCCCTATGGCGGATTTGGTCTGGTCGGATCCGGATACGGAACGGGATGAGTTTTCCCTTTCTCCTAGGGGGGCCGGATATACATTTGGAGCGCAGGTCGTTCGAAAATTCCTCGAGGTGAATAGCATGTCTCATATCCTGCGAGCGCACCAGTTGTGTCAAGAGGGCTACCAGGTCCTCTACGATGACCGACTGAGTACTGTTTGGAGCGCACCCAACTACTGCTACCGATGCGGGAATCTTGCCAGTGTCCTGGAGGTTAGCGACACCGGTGAGAGGTATTTCAATATATTTGATGCGGCTCCCGAAAACGATATCCATCGCGGGGAACAACAAGCGCAACAGAGCAAAGACGGCCAAAACCCTGTCATCGACTACTTTCTGTGATACCCTGTTTTCTTTCTTTCCTTTTTTTTTTTTTCCCCCTTTCCCCCTTGTTTACCTTATTACCCGAGTTTACAAGCCTAGGCGCTTTTTATCCGATTTGAGTGCAACCTTTTGGGAGTTTGGCAAATGACAGACGATTTATAGATAGTATTGAGTGAATGAAGAATAAATAAAGAAGGATGGGGTGAATTAAATCCATGGATGGCCGGGATTGCTTTCATAAAGCAAATCATCGCCAGATTCCTTAACTGCAATCGATTATACTGGGACCAATTTTGGAACCGGCCCAACAAAAAAAAAAAAAAACAAGGGAATTCCAAGAAAGGTACTTGTTTAACGCTTATAGATTTGGAGAATATATGCTGGTCGTTAAATGTTCATTCTTGTTCAGAAGCCGTTCAAATTTACCAATCCTTTGCAATGACAAACGACCATTCGAACATGAGATGGGTATGGTCATCGTCATCGATGAACTTGGAAACCGCATTGTAACTGCCACGGGCAAGCATTCCGGAGGGAGCTTCTTCGGGATGGACTGGTAGCGATGAAGACAAACGGGTTAGTTTGGGAGACCAATCTTAAGAAGAAAATGAATCAACGAAAAAAAAAAAAAAAAAAAAACCTACATTGCTTCTCATATAACCGCTTCTCAGTGGTATTTGGAGCATAGCTTCCCTGTACGGGGTTAGTTCAGTCATCATCAGGTAGACAGTTCCAAGGTAAACTGACCAACATCTCCTCATCTTTGCTAACACGGATACCCTTACGCCTGACGACCTGCAGATACTTCAGGCCACTCAGGACCTCGTGGTGGACTTCGAACGCAACCTTGATCCGGAAAGTAGCGCCCTCCTTGATTGTGAATGGCTTCTCCTTCAGATGCTCGACTGCACCTGCTCCGGAGAGGTCGACTACAACATCGGAGCGCCCTTCGACCTGGAGCGTCAGAGACTTGATGATGCACTTTCTGGGATCACTGGGGTCTCCGATGGGTTCGCCGGCGTTGAGACCCAGGGAGGCCTTCCAGCGGTTCAGGGACTCATCGTTTGCGTCTGTGGGGATTAACGTAGTCAATGGTTAGTTTCGGAATCGGGTCGAAAGATAAGACAATTGTACAGGGTAAATAGATGATGGGGGAAGAGAATTTAATGAGTCAAGTATTGAGGAAGATGAGTGTTGGAAGAGGGGGACCAACCCGCCCCCCACGAGCTGAAGGTCCTTGCAGGGGGCAGATCGATGATAATACATTGGCGTGTTGTAAAAGAAATCCCCACATACCAAGTTGCGTATATTCAGAAATAGTCTTTTTTTCTCCGATCCTGAATCCCTCGGTCTTGGAAGCAACGAGATCATCCGTATTGTCGGCCATTGTGATGGTGCTTTTTGTTTTTCTTGATTTATTTGGCGGGGTAATCGTCACTGACAATTTTGGGGGGGGCGGAGAGGAGGGATTGGAGAGTATAGAGAGATAGATAGAGAGATGAACTTGGTCGGAGATGGGGGAAGAGGGAGAGAAGGGAGTTGAAGAATGACAGGCAAACAGCAGAAATAAGAAAAGAGGAAGAATGTCGAGAAGGAAGAGAAGGTTGAAATAATGGTCTCCTAATGAAGGAGCGTAACTAGTAGTTTGTTGATGTAGCGGTGGATTTATTATTGCGGGCTCAATGGTGAGGGGACCTCCTGATGTGGCTTAGTGTGTCGTTTCTGGGATGGGTCGATGTCCAGGCATTTGCCAGTACTGTACAGGTTATATAAGTCTAGGCAATTAATTAACAGGTTTAAACTAGCCATGGTGAAGAAGATATGGAGTATTAAACATCTCATCCTTAAAATTTCAGCCTGGCCAAATTGGCGGTCAAAGGGTGTTTTATATAGATTCCCAAACAGGATATGATCGGCGGTCACGGGGCCCATTTGTGGCTGCCAGATTCACCAGGCTGCAAGGCATTAATACCGCAGCGTGGTAAAACCGGATACCGGGGGATGGATCCGCGTTGGTGCATCCCTTCCGTTTCAGAACCGCAGTTTGCTCCTTCTGAGCAATGTGATTGGTCTACAGCATTGATCGTTGGGATTAGCGCAATACGCAGCAGGCGAAAAGGTAGGTATGGTAACAATGCACGGGGAGCAAAAGCAAATCACTCGCCCATTTCAACTCTTTAGGGATTAACTGATTGATTTTCTCCCTAACTTATCAAAAAAACCTGCTGCTATCAATTTCGAGTCGTTGCTCGAGTTGTTGTTGTTGTGGTTTGTCCGCCTAGCAGTTTTGTGCTCTCCAGATCTTGTCTCCTGTCCAAAGGCAATCGCGCTCTTTGCATCTCTGCGCATTTGCTGCCTCTGGTTGGTGACGTCTTTATCCCATCCATCCCTCAAAACCTTTTCGCACAGGACGCGCCTGCAACGTGGCCGCTGATTTGACGTCGCATTCTGACTTGAATCTCCTCTAGAGCGATCCCTTTCTGCCCCGCGAGTTCCACCCCTCGCTCTCTTCCATCATTCGAGCCATCATGCCGCGCTCTCTGCCAAAGAAAAACAACCCCCTCATCCTCGAGGATGCGGCTCCTGTTTGTAAGTCCTACCTTCCCGTCGCGGAGCGCGCGGCTCGGCTAGTCGAACCCCGTCACGGCTCTGCCGTCTGCCTGTTTTCGTTCACGCCAACTGACTGGATGTCCCCGGTGTTTTATTAGACGAGGAACTGCTGGCGCGCCGCCGACTGGGGAAGACCAATCTGGTCGTGAAGCAGAACCAGGTTGGCACCTCGAATGCGACCAAGCCAGAGAACCTTGGACCATTTGAATACGCCCATCTGCGTGCGCCTCTCCCCAAGGACTTGAAGGGATCTGAAATTTTCCCGTCACATACTCCCCAGCAGCATCCGGAAACTTACTTCCTGATGGTAAGTCGATTTCACCGACCCGAGGCACTTTTGGGTCAGGCACTAACCATGTCATGTGTGGGTTTTTCTGCGATAGCGACGAAGCAAAGATGGCTATGTGAGCGCGACTGGGATGTTTAAAATCGCTTTCCCTTGGGCAAAATTGGAGGAAGAGCGATCGGAGCGTGAATATTTGAAGTCGCGCAATGAGACGAGCGAAGATGAGATTGCCGGAAACGTCTGGATTTCTCCTTTACTAGGTACGGATATTTTAGCCCCTTCTCTGGATTACGACGCGAAGTCGGTGGCTCTAACCCGCATTCGCCAGCACTTGAATTGGCAATCGAGTATAAAATGTATGACTGGGTTCGGGCCCTGCTTGACCCTCAAGATATTCTCCAGAGCCCCTCTAGCGCGAAGAAGCAGATTACACCCCCGCCTAAGTTTGATCTGCCCCCCATTGAACCTCCTGCTGCCCTTGTCCCTTCGACACGACTGAGAAGGGGCCGCTCTGCGTCGCCTAGCAAGAGGTTGGCTTCTCCCCGCAAATCTAGGCAAACCAGAGCACAGAAAGAGGCTTCTGCAGCTGCCACGAATGCAGCAAATGCTTCCCTTCAGAGCTCCTTGGATGACACGGCCTCGACGGCAGATGCCGAACCCATCAATGGACATGTGCTGCCCAGTGTGGAAGAATCTACCGAGGAGCCAGAACCCACACCCTCCAAGCAACCAAAGTCGAAGAAACACGCGCCCTCCGCCGAAGAAACTGAAGATACGGTCAAGTTTGATTTCAAGTCGAGTGCTACTGAGGGTACTGGAACCCAAACCACGCAGACCACCATTTCCGTCGAGATGCCGATTACCCTACCAGAGGCTCCATCTGCTGCAGAGACTGAAGAGATGATTGCCAAGGCGAAGGCGATGGTTAAGGAGGCCGTCAAGCTTCAGAGCGAATCTGCAGAATCGTCAGTAGCTGCCAAGAAGCGCAAGACAGAAGAAGCAGAGCTTAGTGAAGACGAGGAAGATGAGGAGACTAAGGCTTTGCGCATTAAGAGGGCCAAGGTCCTTGAGGAGAAGCTGAAGCGTGAGCGAGTGCGAAACCGTGCCCTGGTTGGTGTCACTGCGGCATTTGCCCTAGCGTGAGTTTTCCATTTCATACCTCTACTGGGGATCAGAGTCGCATCTAACATATTTTCCACTTGCAGAGCCTCAATTCCCTATTTCTTTTAGATTCCCACCGTTTGTATCGTTCCAGGGATCCCGGAGCCATATCGTTATCCGGCAAAATTTATCCCAGAATACATCAGACCCTTTTCTTCACTATGCCTCCCCATCCCCATCCCCCTTTCCTGATTCCCTCATATCCTCGTCTGCACTTGGCCATTATGGTTCTGGATTCCCATTTTTGCCTTGGTCGGCCCGTGCGGTCTCCCTTATGACCTACTCCCCTCCCCGATTTATGTCCGATTGAAGCTTGGTCAAGGTCATCCAATGCTTGTTTTTGATAACGTACTGTACCCTGGTGAGATCTGATGTATCGTATTGATGGATTGCTTATCTCTTTTATAATACTTCCCCCGGTTGGTTGGCAAGAGTTGCGCCCTCACAGAGGAGCAATCACAGTCCGAGTTGGTGGCCCTGGAGATCGAAGGAGCAGCACTGCATCCTCTTTATTCCTTTCCCATGTACGGTCTCTGATTGCCTGCTGGATGTCCAATATACATTTCCATAATTTTCTTTTCATGTTTTATTTTCCCGTTGCCCCGTTTCACCATTTATCCACGACGCTCGTACCACGCGGGGTGAGATTTTATTGTTAGGTTATTTAAGATTCAATACAAATACAAATACATTAAGCCACACTGGTCTCCTTTATTATCACGCTGACTGTGTAGTAGTTACTTAACTAGTAGTAAGTAAGTAAGTATTATTGTAGTTACTTGAAATGGTGGATCGCTGCTGCAAACATGCAAACTTCCGTCATCACAAATTGTCAGTTGCGCCAAACACCTCGGATCCCAGAGCTTCAGAGCTACTTCCAGCATAACATCTTTCCCATAGCTTTACCATTTCTGTGAAATAGCCAATTCACTCTTTACATCTATTTCCCGCAATTTTTTATTCCCCAACTGAAGCTATGCAATGTCTCTCCCTGGTTTAGAGCTCACGCAGCCTTCCGAGGAGAGGGAGTTTGTCCCCGCACCACCATCCCAGATCAATCTGTCACAGGGCTCGGAGTGGAGGTTCGAGGTTGCATTTGGGACAACCGTTCGAGTAAAGGTGAGTTTGCAATACCCAGAAAAAGAAAAGAAAAAGGAAAAGAAATAAAACAGTATTCTGGAATCTGGGCCCCGGCTAATATCGAGAGTGGTGTGATGATTTCTAGCTCCTCTCTGGTGCAGCAGAGCTCTTCGGAACCGAACTCGCCCCCTCACAGACATACACATTCTCCGGGACAAAGGCAGCGATATACACATGGCATGGATGTACACTGGAAGTGAGTGCTGGCGAAGCAGTCACCGGACTCGACGGGCTGGCTTCGACGACTCGTGGCGGACTAGGCGCCGGCGGGTGTCAGAGCGAGTACGTAGCTGAGGAAACGCCAATGGTGGAATATGCGAACGTGCATTTTGCGCTAGAGACCCTCCGACAGGAAGCCAAGGCCACAGGGAAGGACGGTCCGAGGGTCTTGATCTTGGGACCTGAGGATGCGGGCAAGACTAGCTTGACGAAGGTTCTTACGGCCTATGCGACCAAGGTTGGGAGGCAGCCGATCGTGGTGAATTTGGATCCGACGGAGGGCATGCTGAGTGTGCCCGGGACGCTTACGGCCACGGCTTTCAGGGCGATGTTGGATGTGGAAGAGGGATGGGGGAGTAGTCCTATGTCTGGGCCTAGTGCGGTGCCGGTGAAGCTGCCGCTGGTGTACTTTTACCCAAGCGTCAATCCGTTAGAGGCGGAAGGGTCGGTCTATAGGCCGATTGTGTCGAGGCTGGCTCTCTCAGTGATGGGGAGGATGGCGGAGGATGAGGATGCGAGGGAGACGGGTATTATTGTTGACACGCCAGGAATCTTGAGCCAGAGCAAGGCGGGGAGTTTGGAGATGATTAACCATATTGTGACGGAGTTCTCAAGTACGAATTGCCCTTTTCTTCTGGAGTGAACACAGTGCGCGTGGAATGAATGCTGACCGCTGCGTAGTTACTACGATTCTGGTTATTGGATCGGAGCGGTTGTACAGTTTGATGATGAAGAATTATGACAACAAGCCTTCATCGAGTGCGTCTGCAGCGGCCTCGGATGAGCGTATCTCGGTCGTGAAGCTCTCCAAATCCGGAGGCTGCGTCGACCGTGATGCTGCGTTCATGAAGGCGGTTTGTGAGTCTCAGATCCGAACCTATTTCTTTGGCAACCCAGTTCCTTCGACGGCATCTTCAGCACTCTCGCTGTCGGCATCGTCAACCACCAACGTCACACTATCGCCTCACGCCCAGCAGCTCGACTTCAACACTCTGGCGCTCTACAATTACACTACTATCTCCGCTGAAGAGGACCAAAACCCTGACGATGACGACTACGACCCGGCCCAGCTTGGAACCGGGGACTCCTTCCTGCCGGGGGGCAACGAAACAGACTGGACTGCGTCGCGGCAGCACGAAAGCACATCGTCGTCTCTCCCTGGAATCATCTCCGCAACGCATGAAAGCACATCCTCGGCTGTGGTCAGCAACGCACTGATTCCATTGAAGAAGATTACGGCTCCCGTGCCGACCGCGCTGGCTAACGGTCTCCTGGCCATCACACACTGTGCTCCAACGGGCACTTCGGCGGAGATCCGCGACGCTAGTATCATGGGGTTCCTGTATGTGGCAGATGTGGATAGCGAACGAGGCAAGATCCGTGTGCTCGCGCCGGTAGGAGGACGAGTACCTTCACGGGCGATTGTTTGGGGCAAGAAATGGCCTGCGGAAGTGGTGGGACTGGTTGGATGAAGTGACGAGTTTCAAGTATGAATGAAGATATCCCGATCTCCCTCCTTTGGTTGGCGAATTTTTGGCCCTTTTTTAAGGGGAAGAGCGACTAACTACCAACTCTATACGTAATTAATTACGAAGCGAGCGTCTAAATTTACCCAGCGAAATAAGAAACCTATTTAAAGCTTCATTCACATCCAGTCGACATCATCATACTCTGTACCTCGAACAATGAAATCCTGCCAGGGAACCCAGCCAGCTCCCGGTAGTACAGGCCACTAGTAGATAGTAGTTTCAGGAACCCATGATTTCACGCCATAATCCTAATAATAATAAAGGAGTGTCAAGGAGTGTGTCGCGGATCGCCCGCAAACCCAACGATCCACACATGGTATGGGTCGAAGATAATCTAAATGCTGTCCCTTTCTTTTCTTTTCCTTCCTTCATCTCCTTCACTCTCCCTAGGATACCTCTTCCTCCTTTGAATTCCAGCAAGAAAAGAAGAAGAAGAAGAAGAAGAAGAAAATGTTCCTCTACCGCTCCTACCGCCACCGTCGTCGAAAGCGCCTCCTGACAACCATGCTGCTCCCCCTCCTGACTCTCCTGCTCGTCCTCCTCCCCTTCTACATAATCTACAAGCCCCCGAGCCTTCTCATCCGCTACTTCCAACGCCGCTGGCCCGACGTCCTATGGCAAGTCCAGCTCCGCGCCTCCTCCTCCTCCTCCTCCTCCTCCTCCTCACAGCCCCTCGTGGCGCTGACCTTCGACGACGCCCCCTCCGACTACACCCCGGAAATCCTCAGCCTGCTCCGCGAACACGACGCCAGGGCCACCTTCTTCGTTATCGGCGACCATATCCTGGGCCGGGAACAGACGCTCCGCGATGTCGTCGGCGCGGGCAACGAGCTCGCCAACCACGCCATGTTCGACCAGCCCTCGCGCGATCTCAGCGACGATGAGCTCGCGGCCCAGATCCAGGCCGTGCAGTCGAGGATCCAGCGGATCTATGCTGCCGTGGGGAGGACGGCCGAGGCCCATGACGAGGTGCATATTCAGGGGTTGCGGGTGAATCGGGTGGGGGCGTTAGCTTTGGGCTCGACCGAGACCGAGACCGAGACTTCTTCAGCGCAACATAACGTTAATCGGGGCGACGAGGAGGGGGGGGACGGACAACCCGATCCGCAATCGTCTACGAATCAAACTGATGACGGTAATAACAACAACAACAACAACAACAACAACAACAGTAATAATCATAATAATCATAATGCTAACAGGGGGAGCCGTGGAGGAAATCCAAGTGGAGAACAAGAACAAGAAGAAGAAGAAGTCCTGACGGAGCTAACGCCTGGTCGCTACTTTCGTCCTGGCTCCGGGTTCTTCACGGATAGAATGCGTGCCCTGGTTCGCAAGGAAGGCTTCCAGCTTGTGCTGGGGAGTGTTTACCCCCATGATGCGCAGATTAATGTACCCTGGATCAATGCAGCGCATGTTTTGAGTATGGTCAAGCCGGGCAGTATTATTGTCGTTCATGATCGGAGACCCTGGACTGTGCCGATGCTGGCTAAAGTGTTACCGGAGTTGAAGCGCAGAGGATACCGTGTGGGCACTGTAACAGATTTACTGAAGGAAGGTATTTCTACTTGAGTCTCCGAGTTCGGTGGTTTTTTTTTTTTATATCCTTTTCCAAAGTTTCATTGTTGGTACAGGGTCCTCTGTCTATGCATATAGAGAATTGGTGTTTGAGTGTACGATACAGGGGTTGGTTGACCAATACCCAAACAGACTGATAAAATAAACACAAAAAAGGCAAAATGCTGGGACATTTTCCAATAAAGAAAAAGAAAAGAAAAGAAAAAAAAATCATTCCCATCGCTTCCATTCCTCGAAGTTTTTCCGTAATTCAATCGAACAGTCATAACCCCGTCGCTCATCCTCGTGCAATTCCTCCTGACGATCCCGAAACCGTTGCTCCGCTTCGTACCGTTTCAGCGCCACCCAATTCAGGTACGGCATATCGTTTCGGCGCACCGCATCGTTGAATTTCGCCCGCAACCGAGGCGAGTAAAGCTGGCAGCTTGCCTCGCGCGTGCTTGATGGCCCTGTTTCCCCCGGAAGAAGCCGCATCACCGTGGAGAATTGCCGTGCGATGGGGAACCGTCCTTTTGCCAGGGGCCACACGATATCATCGTAGCAGTCCTCGCAAACCGTGAACTCCGGCCGCTGTGGCATGTAGTGCCACGTGTTGAGAACCAGCCGGCTCCGTCGGCAATCTCGGAGGACCACCTTGCGTCGCGCGTAGGCTAAGAACTCGCTTAGATCCGGAGGAGCATCCTTCTGTTCTGCGCGATTCGCCGACAGGTCCAGCCCGTCGATGTAGCGGATGAACCGGGGGCTATCTGTGACAAAGTCGCATACGCGATCCAGGATTATGCTGCTTCGCGCGAATGTTTCGCGGTGTTCTGGCATCAGGAGACGGACGTTTCGAACACACGCGGAACAGACATTGAATTGAGGGAGGAAAAGACCGGTCTCGTTATCGACGACGCGATACCAGTGTTGGTCGTTAATGATACGCCCCGTGCATGGTTTGCTTCCTGGTGGCGGCCGTGTGATTTGAAAAAGGAGGTCAAGATGGTCGAGCTTTTTCTTGAGTGTCTGCACCCATGCTAAACGAGTCCAGGGTTCGCTCATAGAACAACGAACTAGCTCAGTCCGCGGTTTGGGGGCGCTTAGAACGAAGCGGTCGCGGAACTTTGACTTGCGCATTTGTTTGGTGCAGGAGGGGCAAATATCGAGGTGGTTCAACCCTTGAATCGTGTGCCAGTCTTGATATCCGGCTACTGGAAGGGACCTAGGACAGGGAGAAAGACTCAGGCTACCACTAGGCGAGGTTGAGCGGCTTGAATTTGCAGAGCCTTCTTGCCGGGGTGGTTGCAACTGCGTCAAGGTGGTTTCCTGCTCGACAACAACTAGTATCTGGGTAGGCTGCTCCACTGGCTTTTCTGCAAAAGATACAGCTCGCCTGCGATTCTGATGGGCGGGAATTGGTTTTTCCCGATCCAGCGAGATAGATCGGACAGCTGGCTTTTTGGGCGCCGTAAGTTCTTGCGGCTGTGTGGGATGGGCCGCCTGATGGGTAGCAGACAACGAAGGAATCTCGGGCGATGATGATTTAGGAACCGATACAGCCTGTATCTGTGGCAGCGGGGCAGATATCTGCGGATCAGAGAGGTCTGGAAAAGCTCCAGGCATTTCCATCACCCTCTGCTCACTACGTGCGGTAGTATCAGAAATCTTGGGCTGAATACTGGAATTTCCCTGGGTGGTGACATGTGGAGGAATACTTCCAGACTCACGTTCCTCGCGGCGGCGCTTGATTTTTTCTTCCAGCCTTTCAGCAACACTGAGTGCTGGCGATAGAGGTGGTTTTCTATCGTCAGGCGGAGGGCTTCGGTTAGAGACATCGCTACCTTGTTTGTGCCGGATGGCGCCTGAATCAGAGAGGTAACCCGGGCTTGAGGAGCGGGGGTCAACTGAGATGGACTTCAGCGTACGTGTGTATTTCACGCTTTCAGACCGCTTCGGCATTGACGAAGAAGCCTTGCGCTGCATCTCCCGCGAGGCTAGAGGAGCAGGTGGTGGAGCCTTTTGGGCAGGTGGTGGCACAGCTGGCATTGGCTTCGGTTGAAGCGTACCCTTGCGAATGCCATAGTCCCGAACAGGTAGATCTGGCCGAATAGGAAGGGGGGGAGGACCAGGGGGAAGAGGCCTGCTGCTTGTGGCAGGAGCCTTTCGATCCTCTGGTACCTGTTTGGGTACCATTCTAGGTTGCTGGGGGAGTGCATCCTGGGGTCTGCGAGGGTTCCGTAATGGGAGGTTCCTTCCTGGTCCTGGAATCTGGTTCTCCCCAGGGTACAACGGTTTATGTGTTCGGTCCTTTCTGGAATCCTTTTTGGGAGATTGTGGTCGGGCACCAACATTAGGTGCCTTGGGTCCAGGGGCAGTTTTCTCTTCCACATTAGAAAAGACTTGGGAGACAATGAGAATTTCAACGTCTAAAATGAGCGGGCATTGATCGATGGTTCCACGGGCGTGGACCCCTTCAATCCCGGGTAGTTCTCCAAGGTAAGCTAATCCATATAATTCCCTGGATAGGGAATCAAGTTCATCCTCAACTGATGGGGAGGGGGGCCATTGAGACCGCTTGCGCCAGCGCAAGGACATCTTGAGGCAGGTCAAGTAGATATACAGACAAAAAAAAAAAACAAAAAAAAAAAAACCTTGGGAATCAATCAAGGAAATTGAGTACCGTCCTTGGTTTGGCAACAAAGAACAGCTATCCAGTTATAGTCACACGGTATATTGAAGTCAGTTTCCCGGCAATGAGCATGGTAATTTTATCGAAGCAGATTGAAATCAGTCGTAGAAACGCCGCGGGGCCAAAAATAGAGCAAGGAAGCACCAGAGAGAAAGCTGCAAAGATGAAGAGTTAAACCAATGAAGAACAGCAAGTAAGCGATCAACTCCAAATCGTCTTAAAATTATTAAGTATTAAAGAAAGTAGTAATACAAGGTATCTGGTACACAAAAAACTTAAAAAAGAAAGCAGGAGGAGGGGGATAGGAAAGGAGGAGTATATAAAGCTCTGGTGGAACTTGTCGGGCAGCGCCTCAGCTTGAGATTTTGGCCCTATGGGAGCCCCAGCCGGCAGATTGGGCGTTAACGGCGACGAATCAGTCCGAAAGGTACTGAAAAACAGCGACCGTGGCGGGGTGGTGGGTTTTGGGAGGGTTGGGACTGGACAAATATCAACAATGAGGAGCATTTCTGAAACTGATTGTATGCACTTCATGCATAGCCACAAGAAATGAACTATTGCCCTGACGTTGTATGTCACAACAGCGAACTTGTTCGTCCAACTACCAACCCTAGATCGGCGGAGCAATGACACGGTCACTGCCACGAAGTAAAAGACACCAATGCCAGAGCGGTCTCAAGTATATCGCAGCCACTCAGCCTTCGTTCCTGGCCCTTCGCGTCCGTATTGGGCGCCCTCGAGTCTACATGCGTGTGATTTCATTGGGATGATATGCACTCAGGGGTGATGCGGATGGTGAGTTGTCTGGTTGAAACTGAAATAATGGCGGCCATTGACTCACATCCCCACATGTGAAGATGCGGCCAAGAGGAGGATCGAGGATGATCTCGGTGATTGATCGTGGGTGGTATGATGGATGAAACTCGGATTGCAATCTTGTGGGACTTTTTTGGGCATCACGACCAACTACCTGTCTGGGACTAGGGCTGTCACTGACTTATGCACTTGCATAAGTAGTATAAATGACTCAGCTGGATAAATTGACCCAAAGTGTTAGCCCGCGGAATAGACCTCACCACATAATCGGAAGCGTTCCGCTGCTGCCATCCGACGGAAGAGACCCAGGGACCACTTTGTGTACGAGATCCCAAGCCGTCTAGCTCAATTGCAACATATCTGGATGGATTTCAAAGGACGAATCTATTGAGAAACAGGTAGCCGTCGGCCGAAGGGGAGTCCGGCACATATCTGGGGACAATTTGGGATGGTGAAGCAGGTCGGGATGGTACCTTGAACGGCGGCCCGGGGAAAGCATCGAACAAGAAAGACATGAATGAGATGACGAAAGGACAGACAGGCCAGGACAGGCGGGAAACCTAACTAGAAGGCCTCGATGACAAATCCAACGACATGAAGTTAGTTAACTAATATAAACTAAATGTTTCTCTGCTACTTAAGCCCTCCGTTATTCTCCATCAAATGTATTTGCGACAAGCTGCTGCCCGCCTTTCTGCCCTGCAATTTCACCTTCACCCGGCTCCATACCTGATCTCGCGCTCCCCCTCACGATTCCAACCTACATATCGAAGCCTATCCACAATGTCTGTCCCATCGACAATGAAAGCCGTCGTTGTTGAGAAGGTCGGAGGCCCCGAGGTTCTCGAGTTCCGAACCAATCACCCCGTTCCTACCCCGCAAGAGGGCCAATTGCTCGTGAAGAACAACATCTGCGGCGTCAACTACATCGATACCTATTTCCGCACAGGCCTGTATCCCTCCGCAAAGCCCGAAATCCTTGGTCGCGAAGCTGCCGGGACCGTTGTCGCTGTGGGCCCCGGTGCGAATCCCTATAACTTCCAGGTTGGCGATCGCGTCGCCTGGCTGTCCTCTACCGGATATGCGGAGTACTCGGTCGCCCCGCAGGCGAAGACCGTGAAGATTCCCGATGGGGTCTCTGATGAGGACGCCATGGCCTCGTTCTTGAGTGGGCTGACCGTTTTGTCTTTCGTGAAGGAGACGTACCCCGTGCAGAAGGGCGATTGGGTGCTGTTGCATGCCGCTGCTGGTGGGGCTGGTTTCCTTATGACCCAGATTCTGAAGTCAATTGGGGCTCATGTTATTGGGACTGCTGGGGGCCCGGAGAAGCTTGCTCTCGTCAAGAGCCTGGGGGCGGACTATGTGATTGATTATCGCAGCGAGGAAGGCAAGGACTGGGCGAAGAAGGTCAAGGAAATTACTAATGGTCGGGGTGTGGATGTTGTCTATGATTCCGTAGGCAAGGATACATGGGAGGGCAGTTTGGATGTCGTCAAGAGGAAGGGGACTGTCGTTTGGTTCGGAAATGCCAGTGGACCAGTCCCTCCTCTGCCTCTAAAGTAAGTAGTAGTACCCTCGTTCGAGACCGTCATCTTAATGACGGCGAGGCTAACTTGGGGAACAGTAAACTCAGCCCCAAGTGCGTGAAGGTCGCCCGGCCTACCCTTTTCGGCTACATTGAAACTCGCGAAGAGTTCGAGTTCTACGTGAACGAGCTGTTTACCCTCCTCAGAACCGGCCAGCTGAAAGTCAAGATCCACAAGATTTATCCTCTGGAGGAGGTTGCTCAAGCTCACATCGATCTGGAGGGCCGAAAGACTACTGGAAAGCTGCTTTTGAAGCCATAGGGGCCAAGGTCATGTTTATAATCAAAACAAATTGGGATAGACAGCAGCCGGTCTTCTTTTTGGTATATCTATGCGTGGGAAAAAAAAAAAAAATAATTAAGGATTTTTTGAATGGCCTCTTGAACCCTACGCTGACGCTTTTCCTTGACCAAATTTCTGTTCAATCCACGTCACTTCCATCATCTTCATCGTTTCCGGTCAGATCTCTTGGCTTCTTCCATCCTATCATCAGATCATTAGGAAGAACCGTATAGATGGAACTGTAGGCCGTGTGAATGTCCTCGAAATAGTGAAGCCCGCAATTCAGCTCCCACACAGAAGTGATCACCTTCATGCCCACATAGCAGTGCTCCAGCAAGCTTTCTTCCAAAAAGAATTCAAACTCTGGCATTATAGGGTTCTCTTTCTCCCATTCATTGCGTTCTTCCGCAGTCATGTCGTACCTAGGTCTTGCGGGATCGTGATAGGCTCTTCCGCGCAGTATTCCGACGGAATTCAAGTCGGGGGCATGCTTCTCATAAAACTCGGTTGTGACAACGTCCGGAGGCACCAGCCCAATAACTTCGAAACCGTCGATATCTTCCACACGTTTCGCCTGCAGCTCCCCGTCTAAGGATAGCTGGTTAAACAAAACCGCAAGTTCATCTGAACCAGAGCCAGCCAACCCAAATTTCACTACCTTTCGAGCTACCTCTTTGGTCATCAGCGTGGAATTATCCTTGGGGTTGCTCCACTGATTGTTCTCGACGTAGAGGTCATGCTGGAATCCTCCGAAAAGGATGGAGCACCCATTGTTAAATTCGCCGGGTCCTGCTGCTGTAAACTGCTGGTTTTTCCATAGTTCTTTCTCGGCGAGGTCACACGATTTCCTCGCCTCGTCGATATTCTCTCTATGTTCCGGGCAAACGTTGTGGTAGAGGAGGTATGAGAGGTAATTTCTGATCGTAACCGTGGCAAGCTTTATCATTTCTTCATTTTCCGGATTGAAGTAGTAGGGGAAGTACGAGGTCCTATCAAACGAAGGGTGAGAATACAGCGAATAGCGGCAGAGTGTGCAATAACTGACAGGTAGCCCTTTACCACAGCATTGAAATCAACGGGAAGCTTTGAGTGATCATCCTTGATGGAGGTTTGTCCTCTCGCAAGAAGAATCTGTTCGCTGTCCATGTTCTTGAAGTCACGATCATCGGATCCGACAAACATTTTTGGGCCAACGTCCACACCTCCGTACGCTAGGTACTTTTGAAAGACCTCCAGTCTATCATTTTCAATTCGACGCTTCTTCTGAAATCGCAAAAATGCATCTTCCATGCGACTAGATGAAATTAGCAGTTGCTTTATCGTCGCTTTTTTTTTCCCCCGTCATATCTTACTGGATGATCGGACGAGACCTAACCAAAACACTAAGGCATCAGATAAACGATCAACATCTCGAGAGCAATGCTCACTCACACATCGAAGAGTTCCTTTTCAGTGTCATATTCCTCCACGGTCATGGGCGCATCAACATAGTACTCTTCGAACCCGGTTGGCTTATTCTGTGCAGGCGAGCTGTGAGCCCGTGGGATAAGAAATGCTATATTCTGGAACGGATGGCCATACCCTCCCACGTTTACTTTTGGACTTCTTGCTTCTTTTTCGTTTCTTCTTCTCGGGCTCCAGTAGCTGTTCAGGGGCTAGGATGGGTTCTGCTTGCGTCTCCATCCTGGAACTTGAAAGAGTACCGATTCTTCACTTGGGAGTTCTGTAACAGCACGAGAGAAGTTTGGTATGGATAAGGATCAGAAACCTGAAATGAATAGTTTAGGACTGAGAATTAGAAGAACTAAAGAAATAAAAGGGTGGGTGAAGATGGAGGTGAAAGGGAATTAAGGAGAGTTGGGAAAGAGGTGAAGTATAGGAGAGAGAGAGAGAAAGAATAAGGGAAATTAACAAACCAGTCATAAATACTCATTCATCTTCATTCAACCCATTGAGAGGCTTAAATAAATAATATCCTGTTTATTTGGCCTCTAGATCCAACCACCAAGAAAGTCTGAAAAAATATGTCTTGTATGTGGTTCAAATGCTTCATGTTATGCAAAGTCAGCCAGAACACCAACCAACATCAGAATTATCTGGCATGATTTAATGCAATATCATAGAATCATATAGATTATAGATAATAATATAGTATCTCAGGAGGAATAGTTGTAGTTAGTGGTAGAGACCAGGGGCATAACCAAAAGGTGGCCGATTGGGCTTCATCCCGACCCAAAAGTCTCAGCTCTCTCTCTCTCTCTCTCTCTCTCTCTTTGGTTTCTCAATTCTTCTTCCCCTTGACTTGTCGATTTCTCCAAATATTTACCTTCCTTTCTCTCCTCCTCCTCCCTCATTCCTCTCTCTTCTTCTGTTTTCACCTTTTCATTTTGCGTTTTCAACCCTCTTCCTCTCCTTTCCTCTTGCGTTTCGGGTTCTCGTCCGCGATCGTCATTCTTGCTCAGCGACTTATGCGGGATACGACCTCTTTCAATCCTTGCATACAAACGCTGCATCACCTTTTTGCTCGTCGATTTTGTCTCCTTGGATGATGATGCCTTCCTCCTCGAGGCCAGATAGTTTTAAACCCCAAAATCTTGACCATGATAGCTTCGTTGCCTTTGACCATGCCGCGGCTGGACAGTAAGTGCTTGCTTATATCCCCGCCTTCCTGCCACTGGCCCTGTCTGCGGTGAAACCGTTGAGCAGCAGTCATCCCCCTGAATCCCCCTGTTTTGCGATCCGGTGTGCCTGTGAAGGTTGACTCATACTTTTTTCTGCCTCCTCTGTAATAGTGATGGCGTCCGCTGTACCCTCTCCGGTTCCTTTATCGCGAAGCCCTGTACGGCGCAAGAAATCGCCTTCTACGAATCTACGGCCCTTCATCCTGCGTTTAGAGAATATATTCCTACATATATCGGGACTTTAACTTCCGCCGACCAGCATCAACCGCCTCTGGCTCTCGCTGCTGCTGCTGCTGCTGCTGCTGCTGCTTCTGCTTCTGCTTCTGCCCCCACACAGCCCGGTGCCGTGAGCTCGGATTACACGTCTACCTCGGAAACCCCGATCGCTGCCCCAGCCAGCACCTCGGGCGACCCGGCCGCGGCTGATGCTCCACAAGAGGCAACATGGACACCGTCTGCTGGGAAAAAGTTAGAAACCGGGTTGTCCATCGTGCTGGAGAATGTTGCTTCTGGGTTCAAGAGACCCAACGTTTTGGATGTTAAGCTGGGAGCTAGACTCTGGGCTGACGATGCTCTGCCTGCGAAGCGAGTCAAATTGGATATTGTGTCGCAGGAGACGACTAGCTCTTCTCTGGGATTCCGGATTGCAGGAATGAAGGTGTGGACGGGGGTGAACGGCGAGGCTGACGAAGGAAGCAAAACCAATCCCTACATTACTAGATACCAGGAGTCGCGGGGCGCAAAGGGCGAGGTGACGGAAATCCATGGCTACAAGCGGTATGACAAGTGGTACGGCCGGTCTTTTACAGATAAAAATGTCCAGGAAGGCCTGGAGACATATCTTGCTGGCGCAAAGACTGGTGCGGTCGACCGCTCCAGGCTTGTCGCCAGGCGATTAGCCGATGAGTTGAAGCAAGTGCAGGAAGTCTTGGAATCCGAAGAGAGTCGAATGTACTCCTCTAGCGTCCTGATCATCTACGAAGGAGACCAGGAAGCGATGGAGCATGCTCTGGAGGAAGAAAAGCGAATCCAGGAAGCCGGCCCACAGGAGGCGGACGAAGAGGAGGAAGGTAGTTCCGATGAATTTGAGCTTCAAGAGGGCGGCGGGTCATTTGAGGTGATCGATATGCCAGTCGGGGAGATCGGCGAGGCTAACCAGACCATCAATATCAACATCGACCCGGAAACGGCCCAACTGGGGGGGCTGGAGGACGAAGAAGAAGATGAAGAAGAGGGACCTAAGGTGCACGACCTTCGTCTGATCGATTTCGCCCATGCCAGTTGGACTCCTGGCCAGGGGCCGGACGAGAATGTTCTGACGGGTATTCGGAACCTAGTTCGCATTTTTGACGAACTTGCGCAGGACTAAATGGACCACCACCATTGGCATGAAGTATTTGCTATTTCCATTCTATTGTCGCTGGCGGCTTTGAATGTGATGTTTTCCTTGTTGCATTTGACATATAGTACTCTCTCTCTCTCTCTCTCTCTCTCTCTCTCTCGTGTTAGCCCTAATTTAGATTTGAAATCACGATTTATCATTTGATCATCTCCCCAAAGTGTTGCTCAAGCTTACTCTGCCGGTATTCAATGTATCGCACCTATACAAGACAGACGATCCACAGCGAGAAAAAAAAGTTATTATACTCAACGAATAAGACAAGGACTATGTTCTCCCTGAACCTCGGCCCATTACAGAGCTATCCAGGGCATGGGAATCGTCTCGAATATACATACTGTTTGAAATACAAAACCCTACGGAGGAGAGAGAGAGAGAGAGAGAGAGAGAGAGAGCATGTGTGTGTGAGGTGAGGTCCACCAGGGTCCAAAGTACCAGAGTTATAGAAAAATCAAGACAACCTGCCAATACTACTAATATTTTAATAACAAGTCCCATAGAATCATTAGTCTTGCCACCTCAGTCTTCTTGCCAGTAACTTCACAGCGTAAACAAGCCCCAACAAGACCGGAACCTCAATCAGAGGTCCCACGGTGGCTGCGAGGGCCTGGTTACTATCGGCGCCAAACATGGCAACGGCCACCGCGATCGCCAGCTCGAAATTATTGCTTGCGGCAGTGAAGCTCTGCGTCGCTGCCAGCCGGTAGCCGAAGCCTAGTTTGTATGCGACACACAGGGTCGAAAAAAAGATAACGGCGAAATAGACAACCAGGGGCGCGGCGACCCGGACAACAGAGACGATCTGGTGAACCACCTGGCGACCCTGGGATGCAAACAGGACGAGAATGGTAAATAGCAGCCCGATCAACGACCATGGGCTGGCCCATTTGAGGAACACACGGTCGAACCATTGCGGGCTTGTCACCTTTCGGAGCGTAACCCGGGTCAGGACCGCGGCGCCTAGGGGGATCCCGAGAAAGACTGCGACGCTCTTTGCGGCCGTGGCGTACTCGAAGTCGACGGAGTCTCCGCTGATCACTTGGATGAAGAAGACTCCGAGCGGCGCGAACAGCGCCATCTGAAGCAGTGAGTTGACGGCTACTAGGATAGCGCAGTATTCTTCATCGCCGCCTGCTAGTCCGGTCCATATCAGGACCTTGGAAGGTGGTTAGTGTGGTGAATGAATCCAGTTTTTTTTTTTATCGCTGTTCGCTTACCATGGCAATACATCTTGCGAGCCCAACTAGAATAAGTCCCTGGCGTAACTCTGGCTCATCCGGCAAGAAAGCCCAGGCCAATGCCAACTGCAACAACCCCCCAGCATTAGTGAATTCGTGGAGGCCGGAAGACTGGTGGCAAGCCCACCCAACATACCATGAAGAACGGCGCAATTATCCAATTGCAAAAGATGCTAAAGCCAATTTGGATCCAAATCTGGCGTGTTCGGAAGACCTGGTGCAGACTTTCGTATCGAACCTTGCAGAGAATGGGGTACATCATAACCAGGAGACCAACGGCTTTGAAGGCATATATGTATATTAGCTAGGATCCTCAAGTGCCGTTACATACCTACCTCGGTAGGTAGTTAATAATGATATGAAAACAAAGGCAGACTGACCGATTGGTACGGATACGCCTACCAACTTTCCCCGTTGCAAAGCAGGACCGGTGCTAGGCACGAAGTTCCCTAGAATGATACCAATCGCCATAGCAAGGAAAATCCATATCGCCAGGAATCGATCGATGATTCCCAGGTTCTTGAATGCGGATTGCTTGTCTCCAGGCACATCTGAGTCTGCGGCGTGGTCCTGTTTTTCCATGTCGTCGTGCCCGGGTGTAGATTGAGCTCGAGCTGTAGAACCCATATTGTAGAAATTCTGAATCTTGTCAGAGTAATGTCAAGATACATAGCCGAAGGCATCCTTCTGTGATATACCGGAGTATAGCACTTCGATGTCACTCAACGGCTTTCATTGGCCAGCTTAAATTTTCGTCACCCAAACACTAACTATGTGCCGCTGTCCAAACTTACCGAAGAAGGTGTTTATTGCCCAGTTCCACTATGGAGTATGTATGGCTTTCACAGTCCGGTCCATTCGACCAGGTTGGATCCCAACAGTTAAATACCGCCGGGACTCCTGTAACCCTCTCGAGACATAGCAGCTATACAGTTCTGATACCTCCGTCGATCTTACGTGCTGCTCGAGTCAGTCAGTATGCCCAGAAAGCCGAGTGTCCTGTTCGTCTGCATCCATAATGCTGGCCGCTCCCAGATGGCCGCTGGGTATCTCGCCCACCTAGCAGGCAACGCGATTGAGGTCCGATCTGCAGGATCTGCCCCGACAGAGTCCATCAACCCGATGGTCATCGAAGCTATGCGGGAAGAAGGCATCGACTTGACGGGTCAGAAGCCCAAGATCCTTACCCACGACGCCCTGCACGCCAGCGATGTCGTGATCACTATGGGCTGCGGTGATAGCTGTCCAGTCTTTCCCGGCAAGCGCTATCTGAACTGGCAACTGGAGGACCCTGCCGGACAGGGCATTGCTGCTATACGGCCTATTCGTGACGAAATTCGACACTTGGTTGAAACCCTTATACTTGAACTTCAGCATTAGTTGATTAGGGCACATACAATCCACCCTATCCTGCCAATTATTGCATTCCAGCTGCAGCTCCAGCAGGCCTGTCTTCATGCCCCCCCGGAAAGAAACAACAAAACGGCGGAAAGCGTGGGAATGGTGGTTTCTGAATCTAAGAGTTGTTGGCTTTACTGTTTTGGATTGGCTATAGAGAGACAAGTGATCTGTTTGCAGACGGGTCCTCCGCTATACAAGCCTAGTTATACTCTACTCCTCTCTCCTGTCAGTTAAATTAGCATTATTGCGGGCGAATTACCATAACTCCCACTTTCATCAATGCAGAGTAGGGGTTTTCTATACGCGGTAGAGTTGGGACTGTCACTCACCCACACTGATTGGATGAGTATAAACAAGAAATTTCAATAGCATCCGTCATGGCGCTTAATATGGGGCACCATGGAGTAATCCTTATTGACCTGGTACGGAGTACATATTGGCAAAGAATCGGAAGGAGGAAATTTCACCCAATCATCACTTCTTAGTGACATGCCTGGTTATCCTTCCCGAACCCACATGCCATGCTTCCTCTATAGTATGCAAATATTCACCTTTTACTCTGCTTTGTACTCCTTTTCCCTCTCGATTCGAAAGAGCTTCCGCCGTATTTCAGGCCCCTCCTCCTAATGTGGGCTTGTCTCAGAAAAACGATACCGAAGCACAACCTCCTCACCGAGTCCCAACTCTCCGCATCGCGATACATACATACGGCAATGCTGGCTGATCCAAATACCCAAGCGGGACCGACAGGACCGCGCGAGTTCAACAAAGACTTATCGCAGACGGTGTCTGGCTACCAGTCCCTAGCATTGCCAGAGAATGAAGACGACATCGAAATCCGCAAAAAGTACCGCCCATTCCTTCTAGACGAAGACGCCGACGCCGACTGGGTCAGTAAGCTGGAATTGACCACGGTCCTGAACCTGGCCGCGAAGCACCTCCGGGACACAAACAGACGCGCGAGGGTCCTCGTGCTCTACGGCAGTCTGCGCAAACGGTCGTACTCGCGACTTGTGGCGTTTGAAGCCTGTCGGATCCTCTTCCGGCTGGGCTGTGATGTCCGTGTGTTCAATCCCGACGGGCTACCCGTGAAGAACGATATCGACCACGGCCATGCGAAAGTGCAGGAACTCCGATCGCTCAGTGAATGGAGTGATGGGCATATCTGGGTCTCTCCCGAACAACACGGAAACCTGGTAGGTACATACATACATACCTAGCTATAGTAGACCACTCCCCCCCCCCCCCCTCTTGACTAGTTATTTACGGAGTACTATACTGAGTTACTGCTTCTTTGCGCGCGCGCGCGGCGGGGGGGGGACGATGACTAGACTGCAGTCTTCAAAAACCAAATCGACTGGATCCCTCTCAGCACTGGGAGCATCCGGCCAACGCAAGGCCGAACGCTAGCCGTTGCCCAGGTATGCGGCGGGTCGCAGTCGTTCAATGCCGTCAACTCGCTCCGGATCCTAGGCCGCTGGATGCGCATGTTCACCATCCCGAACCAGTCCTCCATTCCTCAGGCGTATACCCATTTCCCGGAGGAAGACGGGCCAGGCGGCCAACGGCTCAACCCTAGTAGTAACAGAGACCGACTGGTGGATTGCATGGAGGAATTTGTCAAATATACCATCTTGATGCAGCCGCACCGAGACCTTTTCGGTGATCGGTTTAGCGAGCGGGAGGAGAAACGGTTGAAGGAAAGCCAGTCTTGAGCCAAAGTGGTTCTTCTTGATGCTGCTGTTTTGGGCCTCGATCTACTACGACTTGTTGTTTTGTGGTCTGCAAAGAGTAGTGTAACTGTTTTTGGAGCAACCCTGCTGCTTTCCTTTTCCAATAGTGTCCATGTATGTATTGTATTGTACATACTATATCACCCTAACCCTAATTAAAGCTCTGGCTAACTAGTAGCTAGTAACTATACTTCCGGTACGATGTTTTAGGCTTCATGCGCTACAGGACAGAGATCGTAGTGTCCATTCTGATTGTTCCCCCACCATGCCGGGAAAGGATGAGCAGGTCCTCCGGCCCCGAAGACGGCAAAAGACAGAATAAAGAGGGCAGTCAGACTAGCACCGTCGAAGGCACCAGTGATCAGATACGAGTAGTTCTTGAAGATGCGGGGGCGGTGGTTCCGGAGGTAGAACTGCACGAAGAACCCGGCGAGGATCCAACTGAAGATGACGCAGGTCTGGCTTTGGTTGTAGGGGATGTACCCGGCATATTGAATGAGCTGGGGCATGTTGATATCGGCGAGGTCGAAGCCTTTGATGTTAGGAACGAACTGATCAAGGGTCAGTAAGGAAGGTAGGGTAGGCAAAGGTAGTTAGGGCCGGGAGGTAGCCTACGTAATAAACGATCCGGTGAAGTGCCACAACACCCGCGCCAATAGCTAGACCTATCGGCACCATTTGATACTCCCGACCGGATTTGTAAAGATACCCGGCCAGTGCCCAGGAGGCGGCATTGGTGTTGTATGATTGCATCGTTGCACCGCTCCAGGAGGAGTTGCCGTTGCCGTTTGCGAGGAGATTGCGATTCCCGCCCACGATGGAGGTCATCACGGCGTAATTAATGAATCCGCCCAGAACGGTGCCGTATATTTGGGAAAGGAACATCACACGGGGAGGAACCTTGACTGCATGGGAGTTAGCTCCGCTTTGTGGGCTCGAAAAAGAGGATACGAACGGTATTCGCCCATCTTCAAATCACCGGAAAGGCTGATGGTGTTCGCGATGACATTGTGAGACCATGCAGCGAAGTACATGTTGCCCACGGGATGGCCAGGAAGCAGCAGTCCTGCCAGCATTTTTGACAAGTTGTTGGTGGCAATACCGTTGCCGTAGCGAGAAAAGAGAATGGTACTCTACAGACAGATATTGGATGTCAGAGTTATTCTCTTTACCGAAACTGCACTCGCAATGATGGCTTACCAGAGGGGCAAAGAACATTCCTACTACCAGCGAGACGACGTACGCCCACGCCGGGAGGGTAATGTCCTCTTTGGTGACCACAACCAGACCGAGAATGAAGCTGCCCACAAGCACGGCAATGTACCACCACCAGGGGGCTTCCTTGTAATGCCTGACCATGTGCTCATGGTGCCGATCGTCGTATCGACCTTGTCTCGCACTTTGATATGCTTTCAGGATATCCTTGCCCCAGAAGAGGAAGCAATGAACGACAAGGGCACCGATCTAGAACAATATGAGCGTGGGGTCGGGAAGAGGTCAGGGGTTGGTCCTTACTGCAGCGTTCGCCATGAGCATCGCGAAGACAAATGTTCCGGCCAATTTAGGTGGGCCGTACACGTTCAAGGCGGCTTCGTCGAGCACACCACCAGCGAAGACTTGATCGATGGGGTATGGTGTGCCATTGGCTAATAGAAGCCTCGTCGACATGAAGGGAAGCGATTGTGCGTTCCAGGCATTGGCGTAGTAGATGCCTGCCATCGCAATGAAACAGACACCAAACCCTAGAACTGCATGGGCCTGGAGCACAAGAGGAAGGGAAGTTTGGAACGAAGTGATCTACCGCCATCTGTCAGGTTGCTTGCTTTCCTTGGTCCACACGGGGAGATTTCTCTTACGTATTGCCAGTCAAGAGATATACTGAAGAGGCCCATTCCTTCGTTGTTGGTGGCACCACCGAAGACATTGGTGAGAGTAGCGGCCGTGTCACCAGTCGCTCTCATTGAAGCCAGGCACTTCATTATTGCACGTTAGTGACTCATATCAACGCAGATCGGTTTCGGGGGGATGCTATATACCGGGATCGAGATGGAGTTCAACCATGGGAAGATATAAGCTGGGAAGCTCTCGTAGAGAAACATGCCAGTGAAGCTGTACCAGAAGTATCTCAGCGGCTTGGAATTCTTCAGCTGCTGCCAATGAAGTCCCTGGAGAGTCTTGACCGTGGGTAAATTACTCCAGTACACAGCATCGACATGCCAGACGGTTATCGGCCGCAAGATCCCACAGATGCCGTAGCCAAACAGGCCAATAGAGATAGTACTCAAGATGACAGTCGTCGCGCTCAATGGAAGATCGTAGAAGAGATCTTGTGCGGCAAATACCATCGTGCTCGCAGCAGCGTTGGAGGCCGACGTGGCCGTGATAGAACATATCGCGTGCTCCTTCAGGCTCCAGGGCCCAGAATTGAGGAACTTCAAGACCGTAATCGACAGAGGAAGTTTCCCCTGGCCGCCGTTTTCCCTCCATCGAGCTTCAGACATATCACCACGGGGCAGGAAAGCGGCCCAGCCTTTGCCGAGAAAGTAGGATATCAGGACGATAAAGGTCCCTTGAATGGAAATCACGGTGGGTTTGAACTGCGAATCCATGTCAGCAGCCTTGAGACATGAAGAGCCAAGCAGCATGAGCATTCACTGACATTGTAAATCTGGTACATGACAGCCTGGAAACATGAGAGAATCGATGCCAAAAGAAGACTCCGAAAGCTGACAGCACTTTCGCCATCATCCCGCATGGGTAGAAGGTGAGTAGCCGCATCAGAGCCAGTGATGATGATAACGTCGTCACTGTTGCTGTTACTCTCGTCGATGTCCTCCGCAGATGAGGTGCACAGCCCAGTACCAACTTTCAGATCATCTTTGCCATCTACTGCCGTGACGACGATCTTCTCATCGACCACCTCACGGCTGGAGACCGGGGAGTCGTTGCCCTCTATGGGCAAGTCGGAAGGGATCGGTGACATATCCGGTCAGAGTACGCCTTTCCAGGGGTACGTGATATACCTAAAGGACTACCTAAGTAGTCGACAATGATTGTTCCTTCGCCTTGCGCACTTCTTATAGGGTTATTTAGAGAGCGATATGACACTGACCAGTGGAAGACTCATGATACCATAGAGCACGCAAATGAGCCATTACTCCAACATAAACTCCACTTCTCCATATCTCCGCCTCCTCCTCCTCCTCCTCCTCCTCCTCCTCCTCCTCCTAGAATATGAATGACCCCAGTGAAAGAAGCGCTTTGCTGCAGCCGTGCGGGTACACGCTAAGCTTGGACAGCAGGGGCCGCTCTCCTGCCTTTTTCTCTAGCCCTACCTCGTAATCTAGCAATTATGTAACTTCCTTACCCTCTTTCCTCCCTCGGCCAAGTAGAATTAATAGGCAACTCATAATCAATTCTGAATGCTTCTGCTGCTATCACTAGAGAAAGATTGGGGAAATATATCTGTATCCGTGCAATCCCATATCCTGTCTACCCCCCATGGATCACAGCATCTAGTGGCGTTAGAGTGGAAGTAGTGCCGGGGACAGTATCAAGCTTACGAGCGGTCCTTCGAACCCCAGTAACAGGCCGAGACTAAGGGAAATCACACGGCGGGGGCGTAAGTAGAGAGAGAGAGAGAGAGAGAGCCTAACCAAGTAAGCTTCTTGATCCTTACGCAGACAAAGTATGTAACAAGAATCTCAACGCCACTTGGGCGAGAAGTTCTTCCAGGTTATGAATTGGTAACAACCCAATTATATCCCAAGGGAGCCCAACTAGTCGCCATGCAAGACCCTAATGACTCTATAGCAATATGTACCGAGTATTAAGAGATAAAGATGATCATTAGGCAATGGGCCCGAATGCTATGTAACCCTCTCTGCACTAGTGAAGACTCAGACAGCCAACAACAGGGTGGAATCATTCCTAGACGCAGATTTAGCTCTAAAGGTCTTACTGACCTAGACATGTCTTATCAATATTGACAAGGGAGGTACTGGGTTACTCTCGGGAATAGGACGAGCCCTAGGATTGAAATGTGGAGAATTGAGGTTTTAAAGGCCATCTCCTGATACTCGCAGTCAAGTAACTGACCCTTAATGGCTGCATGGATGATGAAGATAGCCAATGTCTCAGGGTAATATCGGGCAAAACTGGGAAAGCAGATAAATCATTGTCAGATATGGCCTTACAGAGACATCTATTATAGAAGCCTTGCTCTCATGCACCGAAAGATATAAGTAGTTGGAGAATGAGGATGGGATAAAGAAGGCATATTCTGTAGCATACCTAGGCATAGTAAGGTAGAGGAATACTTTTACAAGTGAATCTAGTGCTGTACTAAGCAATCTATCCAGTTTAAATTCTCTTGAAGTCCACTGCAGTCTTCACAAAATATACTTCGGAATACGAGCATTCAACAAATGCGGCCATGGGCGACCCATGGTACAGCGAAATGGCCCTTGATTTCATCACTCCCTTTGCTTTCCTTCACGATTCTCTTTAAACATTCTCTGCAAACTGTCAATTATATACAGCTGCCATGAAGATTGTTATCATTGGCGGGGGCATCTCTGGATGTGCGGCGTATCTGGAATTGAGAAAACATCTGCCTAAACCTCCCCAGCCCGACAAGCAACACGAGATCACCATCTACGAGGCCTATGATACTAGTATCGACACTACTCCTGAAGACCGTGATGGATCCACGCATTCCTCCACATTGGTCGTCGGTGGTGGATTGGGTGTCGCGCCAAATGGACTCGGAGTTCTGAAGCGCCTGGACGAGAATCTCCTGCGGGATATCGTTCGTGGAGGATATGCCATCGCGCACCAGGATCTCCGGGCCAAAAATGGGGTTCTTCTTATGAGCATTGACTCCACGGGAAACCCTGATGCCGATGGTAATCGCATGCATCTTCTCGGGACAAGTCGCCACTCCTTGTGGAAGAACCTGCGTCTGCGTATCCCCAATAGCGATATCATGACCAAGCGAGTATCAAAGGTGGTTGCCCGTCCAAATGGGCGAAACGTAGTTCATTTCGAAAACGGTAGTCCGTCGGTTGAGGCGGATTTGGTAATTGGTGCAGATGGAATCAAAGGCGTCACCAAACACGCCCTGTTTCCCCAATATAAAGAAGATCTCTACGCACCTCAATATCAGTAAGTACACTGCTGCAATTCCGGTATCTTCTGACGACGAACAAGTACTAAGTAATCACAGGGGACTTGTAGGGGTCGGTGGGTTTCTCCCCGTCGAAGAGACCCAAGATCTTGTCCAAGCCGGCACGATGAATTTGGTTTTTGGTGGAAATGGATTTTTCGGGTACTTCTTCATGGAGAGCTCGCCATCTGCACCTGACCGTGACTCTCCATACCATGTTTCAGCACCGGGGGGGTCTCTGGGATGGTGGTCGACATATGCAGTAGACGAGTGTCCGGATCCCAAAAGCTTGGATATGGGAGCGGTCTCGCGGCAATTAAGAGAGCGGCATGAAAACTGGAAGGACCCTGTCATTCGAACGATTCTGCGTTCTCTTCACGTCAGCAACATGTACCCTACCTGGACCTCCCCCCAACTTCCAACGTGGCAAAGTGACGGGGTTGTCCTTGTGGGAGATGCAGCTCACGCTCTTCCTTCTACCTCGGGACAAGGCTCGTCTCAAGCTCTGGAAGATGTCGAGGCATTCATTCTGCTGCTCAGCCATCATCTCCGCGAAGTGGATCACAGCCACTCCCCTGATACCATGGCCTACAAGAACATTATCACAACAGCCGCAAAGCAGTACATGGAAATGCGCCAGCCACGGATTCAGAGGATACTGGAATCTGCACAGCAAATGCAGAACAGTAAGCGAAATATGGGAGTCCTTGCAGAGTATGCGATGTACTGTATGATGTGGATCGCCGGTATGAAATGCTGGGGCTGGGGCTGTCTAGGGTCATACATATCTCACTAACAAGTATAGGGTTTTTCCCAAGTATGCTGACGAAATCGGTCCAGGAGGTGTTTAACTACAATGTGGCTGAGGATGTTGAAAATACCATCAGTTCTTCCACTCGAAATTTCTAACATCGTCAGCAGAAGCAGCCATTGACGTGGACTGCAGCAGGTTGATGCCTTCACAGCCCAAAGAGCGCTGCATCGAACCAGATCAGGTTTAGTATGGGGATGAACGTCATTTCTGGTTTAGGAATAGCCTCATGTTCAGCCCCGAGCAACCATAACGATTCAGGAGATTCATCGACAACCTTGCTGTCATTTGGCTCGCTCCTCCATGGGCTTTGAGTTGGTGACAATGTCACTGCCGCGTTTAAAAAGATATAAAAGAAGCCTCCCTTGAACGCTATGTTTGCAGAACATCAACAAGATTGAGAGCAAGGACAGGCCTGGCATCACCAAAGCACACTATTTCTGCTATTGTTCGATTCACACCACCGAGATGAGGGTACAAAGTTCTTTTGTTCTCCTCCCTATATGCATTAGCGGGGCTCTTTCCAACTTTCTTGGGCCAGTCTATCCGGCCCCTAGAGACCTCAGCAGCCGGAATAGTCTTGTTGCTGCTGGATGGAGAACCCTGACTGCGACGCTCGAAGCCACTCTCAATGGCAGCTCAAACAAAACATCGCCTGCCCTGTCAGGTTTAGGGAACATGACCTTCTCGATTGGAATGTTCTCGACCCATGACAGCGGCGCAGAAACCTTGCAATTCCACCATACGTCCCCCGAGGTCGCTCATTCGCCTGTGGGCACAAACACCGTTGATGCAGACAGCATCTACCGCGTCGCCAGCCTGACAAAACTGTTTACTGTTCTTGCGGGACTACTTGAAATGGAAAGCAGTGACTGGGATCGCCCTCTCTCTGAAATTTTCCCACCCCTTGTGGATTTCCTCGATGACGAGCTTTCCAAGAAACACAGTCCCGTGTATGATGCTCAATGGGACCAGATCACGCCCAGTGCTTTGGCTGCTCAAATTGCCGGTGTCTCTCACAGCGGGGCACCTTGGTTTGTTGATCTCCTAGCCTTACACCTTCTCGACCAAGCCCAGAATATTTCGAGCCCCCTGGATGATCCAGATACCTACGCTCTCCCGCCTGTCGACCTCAACGATCCTTCTGTTACAACTCCATGTCTGCGACCCAATGTGACCTGCTCAGCGATTCCATACACCGAGGGAGTGGCCGCGAATCCCCCCATTTTCCTTCCCTGGACTAGTCCAGCATACGCCAACAATGGGTTTGTCTTGCTGGGCCTTGCGATTGCCAACCTCACTGGGAAACCAGTAGAGCAGATATGGAAGGAGAGCATCTTCGGCCCTCTCAACATGGCCTCGTCCTCTTCACAGGTACCGCCGCAGTCCGAAACAAATCGCAGCGTGATCGCGGGAAACCCTGCCAACAACTGGGCCATTGCGGGCGGGCTCTCCACACCGTCCGGGGGCATCTTTTCCACGTTAAACGACCTCGCAAAGTTTGGAGTTAGCATCCTCAACTCCACCTTGCTTCCAGCCCACGAGACCCGGAAGTGGATGAAGCCTGTTACCCACACCTCGGATTTGCATTACTCTGTCGGCCGACCATGGGAAATATACCGCTATACCCACCCAGCCACTGGTGTTGTCACCGATATCTACACGAAACTTGGCGACTCCGGCTATTACGGGAGTATCATGGCCTTTCTTCCTGAATTTAACGCCGGGTTCACCGTCCTGGAAGCTAGCTCCCAAGACTCACGCAGCATCCTGGCTCTCAACCTCATCGAACAAATTGTGGACACCATCGTGCCAGCACTGTTCGATCAAGCCGCGGCTGAGCTGGAGCAAAACTACGCTGGAACTTACGCGGCTCCAGCGGACGGATTGAACTCCTCCATCACTTTCAGTGCCAGCAAACACGGGCCACCCGGCCTGAAAGTGACCTCGTGGGTCAGCAACGGGACCGATCTTATGCCTTTGGTGCCCGTAATCATGCAGAGCGAAAACTACCGGCTTCGTCCTACCATCGCCACCCCCGGGGAAACTGGCCAGATCGCGTTCCGAGCTGCTATGGTCCCTCAGAATTCGGTCCATGAGAACGCCCAGGTTTCGGGCCTGTTTGCTGATTTCTACAGCATAAACCAGTGGGTTCTACTCGACTCGGTAACTTACAACAATATTGCCCTGCCATTCTTTGTTTTTGATATCACATCAGAAGATGGATCTCCTTCCGCAGTAACTCCAGCAGCCTGGAAAGTAAAGCTCCAGAAGACTGGCTAGGTGCTTGGTTTTGGCCGATTTATTATCACCTATGCATTAGAATGATCAATAACATTAGAGATGACATGACATGACTACATCATTTAAGTTGCGTATTCGTTTGGTCCTGTGTAGAAGCTCACTTTTCATCTCATCTCATAATCTCCAACATACTTATGTACTGCCTCAAACCCAAGGCAGCACCGTAAAGATTACATAATCCGCAACTCCGCAACTTTTTTATCGCATCCCAAAACCAAGTCCGATAAAACACCTGCACCACCCCAGTCAAAATGCAACTCACGCGTGTGCTATTCAAGCGCTCAGTGTGGAAGGGTAAGCTACTTGATTCTCATCACGTCCAGCCTACTAACTAACTCGAACCACAGGCCCCAACATTGTCCCGTACGTCCCTACCTACCTAGCTAACCTTGATTCCGCAACCCCGAAAAGAACCACCCAAGAACACCCAGGGAAAACAAAAAAAAAGCCACCGAATGGAATTCCTCATTAACTCTCCTTGTTTCCGTGTTTAGTCTTCCACTCCCGAGACAATTACCTCCTCCCCCGAATACCCCGCCTATCCGCACGCAGAAGCGCGCTGCTACCATTCTCCCGAATTTCGTCGGGCTGCGGTTCTCAGTGCACAACGGGAAGACGTACCAGGATGTCTTGATCACAGAGGAAATGGTCGGGAGGAAACTGGGCGAATATGTGCCGTATGTGGTTGTCTTGATTTTCCGCTTGCCCGTTGCCCCTTGCGTGCTGGGTTGAGGAAGGAAGCTGACTTGTTTTGCATAGCACTCGGAAGAGGTTCACGTACAAGCAGTCGAAGAACAAATAGTCGTGCGCGGTTTTCAGGGGTAGGGGTTGGTGGATGTTGTGTTGCTTCTTGTTCCCCCAGCGGACATCGACATATTGGGATCTGGATTTCTCATCTGGTTCTGGGGTTTTGAGCGTTTTCTGGCCTCTCATGGGTGTGTATATTTATTTGTTCGTTTTTGTATCAATACACCTGGTTATTATGGTTGATTTCATTATCAGCGATGTCTATATTACAGCTGGAGTAATCCGCAACGCGCCAACGCGGCATTTTGATAAGACGGACGGACCCTAATATTGGAATTATCGAACGTCCTAATAATTATACAGAATGGGTGGCTTTGGTTGGGATTCAGCGCCAGTTCTACAACCTGATAGATGCTGCCGTTTCAGGTTCGCTTGGAAGATGTCAATATCATCTGCATCTACATGAGACAACAGGAACTTGTTCCGTTAGAATGTTGGGAATCTTGAGTGATTGATATATACCAAGCTACCTACAAAACACCCACATCTATCTTTCTGACTGCGGACACCCTACCCCTTCTCCTGAAATGACCCGACATAAAAAGGAAATTACTCCAATGACAAGATTCAGTGCACTCCAACAGGATATGTCAACTGTACCCGTTCAGCTAAAAAGGTGCCTAGACAACCATTTCGCCCTGATACAGTATTGTTGTTTGTTGCTCAACAACAACAGGATATGTTGATGGGATATGGAAGCAAAGTTGCCTCGCATACGCAGCTGCTGTGGCGGCAGCATAGGGCTGCCAGTCGTCGTTCTTGTGCGAATCGGAATAGTCGGAGATGCCACGAATAACAAGACAGGGCCAGTCGGCCAACACGCCGGCGGCCTCCATTTCAAAGCAAATGATGTCGTACTGCTCGGCGATCTGGTCCCTCCTCAGCCCGCTTTTCATCACTCTCTCAGCAGAGGCGATGTTTCCTCGATGAACAACTGGAGATCGCTCGCGGTCCCCTGCAGCATCTGTCGGGCGCTGCACCCTTTGCAACGGACTACACCCAGACTGGTCGCAGGGAACCCTGGCTCCCTGGTGGACATACCCCGGGCTATACAGATGGTCCTTTTCCAAGCCCGGGTACCTGGACAACATGCTCGGGCCGTCGACTGTGCTGTCCACCATGCGTCTGAGATGTTCAAGTATCGGGTCGGTTGGCATCGTCGCTCGTCTCGCATCCAGCTCCCTGGCCGCGACAAGAAGCCTCTCCGGAGGCGGCGCCAGAAACCCGGTGTGCTGGAACTCTCCAGCTTCGAGCTTGCCATGATCGTATTGGACCACGCCGGGATATCTCCCGGACGGCTCGCCCACAACCACGTCGCCCAGCCTGATCATCCCAGCATCGGTCTCGACCGGCACGCCGCCTCCAATTCCGACTAAAAGCACGCTCGTAATGTTCGGGAATGTCATTCGCATCTTTGCCATGGCCCCGGCTGCGAGGGCATTTCCGGCACCCTGCAAAGGCACAATAACGACATTGTGAGGGCCAATCCGGCCGGGAACGTAGTCGGTGCGGTCATTGGTGCTGACTGGTAAAGGCCCGTGTTGTTCGTCCAGCATGCTCAGGGCAGCTATGAACTCGACTTCTAACATACAGATCCATCCGATCGTGTAGTGTTCCCGGGTGAAGTTTGTTCTGGGTGTCACAGCCATAGTTACTATCATCCCAAGGTATATATATAGGTAGGTAGGTAGGTAGGTAGGTAGATTGTTCGAAGTAAGGGTATATTGTCTCTGAGAAGGAAAGTAAATATGTATGTTCGATTCCAACTATGCTCGCGAACACCGGCCAATTTATAGACACCATCGCTGCTATCTAGGGAAGTGCTTGATTCCTGGCGCTTATATCAAACGAAGAGCCTCGTCTCCTCGTAAAATTAGGGTGGTGTTTTTCCTTCTTGCACCTATTGATAGTTGTATAGTAGCGTGTTCGCCTCGGAGCCCCAACATATTTATAGATTAGCGCTGATAGACAGACTAAAGCAAAACGCAATGGAGACTAAGGTTCACTCGTTACTTCTTTGGAATAGAGGACATTGGTTTCGTCTCTCGTCATCCAAAGAAGCAGAAATAGTTATATCTCGAAGGATTGGAATCATAGTCAAAAGCCCCAATATGTTTCCTAACTAACTTATCTCACCACCTAAACGCCACTGCAAATCTAGCACTGTAATAATTTTATAGCCCAACGCAGGATATCCCTTCTCTCCCAATAAAGACGCCATAGTCCATAGACAGATAAAAAAAAAAAAGGGTGGAGAGGGAAGGGGAATCTGTCGAAGCCGGGGTGGTGCATTCTTATACACACACCCACACCACCACGAAGCCAGAATACCTAGAGACATACCCAACCCAACTATTCCCAATAACCGCTAGCAAAGAAGCGCAGAAAACTCATCGGTAAAACTCCCCCCTCTTAACGCTGACCCCATACTCTGAAACGGCCATTCCCAAATCCTCCATGGTCAGCACTGTTCGTCCCTGTCCTGAGCCGCCGGACCCACCGCCCCCAAACCCGGGCCTCTGAATACCCAAATGTGTATTTGCCTTTCCCTTCGCTGCGTCACCGCCCGCCGCGCCGGTCGCCGCACCGGCTGATCCAGCGCCACCAGCGCCAGTGGGCATATTCAAGCCGGACGCGGCGTTGAGACTGCCCATGGGGTTGCTGGCGGAGGAGCTATTGGAGGCCCGGATGCGCGCATACTGGTACGAGTCTGCTGCGATATCTGAGATGAACTTTTGGGTCGCCAGCGCGAGGAGGCGCGCAAGGTGCGGAGGGGTCTGGTTGGGCCCGTTTCCTGGAGGCGGGAGGCCGGCGAGGGTGAGGTAGTGTGCGGTGACGGCATCCGGGATCTATATATTGCCATTAGTAGTAGAATCCAAAAATGCAAAATCCATTCTTATAAGAGGAGGGAGAGGTACAATAGGAGCAAATTCATCCATCTTTCCAAGAAACTCGCGGAGACTGGTCTCCTTCTTCGACGGCGCTGTCGAGTCCAACGCAACGGCTTGCACAGGATTGCCTATCTCTGGATCGCCGCTGTTGGCGGGATTGGTGGCGACGGGGTGATTTGACATGGCTGGAGCTTTGGCTGGGTTGAGGTCGATGTCCTGCTCGATGGAGGCGTCCAGCGCGGTGGAGTGGGAGCTTTCGGGCTCGAGCTTCGGGACCACGGTCGCTTCGGCGGCAGATGGCGGCTGCCTGTCTATTGACGACGGCGGGGGATCCTGGGAGACAGGGGGAGATTGTTGCGATGAGGGGGGAGGTACAGAGGATGATGATTCGGCGGCCATGGTGAGGGAGGAAAGAGAGATGTGCCTGGGATGATGTGGACGGAGGGGTGTGGCTGATCGGATAATTCACTCAGGGGGGGGGGGGCCTAGAAGCTAAGAAACCAGGGAGCTGCGAACATGCATTGATTAATCCCTGAACGATGAACAAATGGGGGAGGGGGCGACGGGGAAGCTTCCAAGGAGGTTCCGTGACGGAGAAGAAGTTCTTGATTCAGAGGCGGAGAGAAAACTTTCAGTGGCTGCCGAGGCAGAGCTCTCCAAATGACGACGACGGAGTCGATATATTCTTCTATAGCAAATGCTCTGTTTTATTAAATACATGTCGAAGCTTAATATTACAAATCTTCTCGTTTTTTTTTTTTTTTTTTTTTACACCGAACAATCTTATACAGGATCCATCGTCTTTACTGCCCCAGGTGCATCGCTGAAGGGTCCGTATGATGATGCTGTCCGAATTGGTCTCCATGAACCTCTTGTCCAAGCGTCTGCATCAGATTCTGCTCTGCTGTCTGATCAAACGTCGGGTCGGGTGGTAGCGGTGATGCAGACATGCTGTCGTGCCCGTGGGCCACCTGCGGAGCATGGGCCCCAGCCAAAGCCATCATTCCCTTGATGCCTTCCACATGCGCCTTGTCTTCTTCTCCCTGTTTCTTTTGACGTTCCCGGGCTTCGCGCTTAGCAGCCTGAGCAGGGGCTCGCGTTTTGAGTTCTCCCGTGACAAATTTCAGGTAGTAGGGCACTTCGATGCCGCTTTTGAGGAAGAACAGCTTCAGGTTTCGCGCCTTATCCTTTAATTGGACTTGGTTGCGATCCTTCAGTGCCTCGCTGATAGTCCCGCCAGGACCAAACATGGCGAGGATCTGGCTCCAGTGAGGGCCCTTGACCCGGTCCAGACCGGCCATCAGAGCATTCTCTTCCTCCGTGGTCCAGGGTCGGCGCTGGCTAGGCAGACCCGATTTACGACTGCTGGGAGATGACTTGGCCGATGCTGCCATGCGCGCACGCTCGTAAAGAACCTGGGTCGGCTGGGACTGTGAATAGTGGGGGATGCCAGGCATGTAGCCATGGTTGGAAGCGCCCGGGCCAGGTCGTGGTGGCATAGGCACGGGAGAGGCATGGGTGTACTGCTGGAAATTGGCTTGCATGGGGCTTTGCTGGAAAGTATAGGTTCCGGGGGACTGCTGGTATCCCGAAGGAGCCGGGCTATGCTGATACGGTTGATGTTGGGGGATCTGTTGGTGTTGCGGTTGGGTACTTGGTTGTGCGGGGGTATATCCCTGAAGGATTTGCACACCATGCTGCTGTCCCGGATGGGAAGTCTGTTGCTGTGGTTGCGTTTGCTGCATTTGATGCATTTGCGGCTGTGCCTGTTGTTGTTGTTGTTGTTGTTGTTGTTGCTGCTGCTGTTGTTGTTGTTGTTGTTGCTGCTGCTGCTGCTGGGACTGCTGCTGGGAGCGCCTCAGTCCGTGGCCTTGCAAAGCAATTTGCGCCGCACGAGCTGCCCGAGCAACCAGATCGCCATGCATGTTCTTGTCCACAGGAACTTCGGGCGTTTGGGACGCAACAGGGAACTGGCTTTGGAGAGGGGCACTAGGGGGTTCTTGAGATTCGCCATTGGATGAAGATGGCTGGCGTCCTTTCGTGATCTTCTTCGACTAATCTGCATTAGTAGTCTGGATAATCCAAGATATGAAACCAGGGTTAGTCTAACCTGTTGATTGTTGATAGTATCGAAGTTCTTTGTGATGTAGGAGCTCAGGTCGCGGAGAAAGTCTTCCCAGTGGTACTTATCTGGTAAAGCCTTCATCGCCTCCTCGTTATTGACATCGCTAAGGAGGATGTCACGGCGCGACCCGGCCCGCTTCACAAAGTCCGTTTCACTGGGAGCCAGCTGACGAGTGCCGGGTCGTCTATCCAGTAGCTGCTGCTCTAGAGTATCTGGGAACAGGTCGTACAGGAGCTCTGTCCGTGTGCGTTCGGTATTGTTCATCGATGCGATGAACGCCTGGGTCTTGAGCTCAAGGAACAGGGCGCCTTGCTGCTTTAGGAGACGCCCCCCCTCTGGAACAAACACGTCCAGCAAATTCTCGTTTAACTCGGAGAATCCAATCTCCTGGGTGCCAAAGATACTTGACACAAACGACGCAAGGTTGGCCTTTCGAATAATATCGACTTGAGATGGCTCCGTGAGCTCCAGTTCCATGGGAGAAAGAAACGATTTTTTCGACGAGTAGACCTTTTTTGTGTGATCAAAGAGCGAGCGCATCGTGGCATACGCCTGGCCGTTCTCAGAATCTGGCTCAGACACGAAGGAAGTGATGTCTTGGTAGGTAGATTTGGCTAGCAAGGATAGGATTTGGGTGGACTGTGCAGTCAGCACAAGCTCGGATTAATTCCAATGGGAGGTCGCGGCCTACCAAGTTGTCAAGAATCGGCAAACTCTGAATCTTCAGATGCGAATTCGCCTTGACAAACACCATGCCTTTGGGGGCGTCTTGACTCGAGGTATCCGCCAACTGCTGCTGACCAATGACGACCTGTTCCTCCACTCTTTCGGAATGATTCATAATGTTGGAGATCACTGTAGCCACATCCGGGTCAATGTTAGGATTTGATTCGGATGCCACCGCGCTGTCTCCAGGACCCTCGATCTGACCATGCTTGTTTTCCTCCGGATGTTCCACAGAGTGCACAACAACACCTCCGCCCAGCGCCGACACCAGCTCTTCTTCAATCTGGTCTCCAGCACCTTGCTCTAGCGGGTGCTGAATGGGTTGTTGCTGCTGATGTAGTGGCTGGGAATGGATCAAGTCGTCGGATTCGGTCTCGAGGCGGCGCTTCTTGGATGCACGGGGCGACTCGGAACCGTCCGCCTGCTCGAGCGGGTGCGATAGTTTGGGAGATTCTAGTGTTTCACTCGGTCAGCAACTGCATATTAATCCCAGGGGACGGTAAACAGAGCGAATCGAGATAAAAATGGGAAGAAAAAAAAAAAGGGAGAGGCTGTGTTACTGCCGGTCGAGTGAAGGACAGGTAAGTGAAGGATCTGGCACGACGCAGGCAACTAACCATGGTGACCCTCTTCCTTTGGCAGGGGAGACACAGGGAGTTCTGACGAGTCAAGACCATCAATTAATGGGCCTGAGTCTTGCGTACTGGCCATCGTAGGGGCGATTCCCGATGGCTGGGATGATGATGACTTCCAAGAGCAGAAATGAGGGCTTAGGGGTAGGGCGCATTCGTAGGGCTTTTTCTTTGCGATTCTTTTTTCAGGTGGTGAGGATTCGGAACGGAAGAATGTCGAACCGCATATTCTGACCAGAACATTGTCGGCACGGAAAGTTTTCATGTCTTCGAATATAATAAGAGAAACTGGATTGATTCGTATTTTGATTCTCTTAAAATTGAGAGAAACGAGAAACTGGAATCTATTTTACTACTGGAGTGGCTTCGGGTTGGAACCGTAATGCCACATCCTAATGTCACGGCATCGGCGGGAAATGGTCGTGGAAATATTAATAATGCGTGGTATTAACTACCTACAAGAATACTTCGACTTCAACTCCAACAATTATACAAAATGTAGCCCGAGATGAGCTGTCACATTGAGTTCAACTAGCCCTTTGGATGTACGAACAACCGGACTCCATATATGTACACAGATCCCATCTACTCTCCATTTGCTTCTACGTCTGGTAACGACAACCCTAGATTCGGAAGTCCATCAACAGCTTCCTTAAACCAAGGCACACTAAAGACTTCGTCATACCACCGGGTCACAGCTGGAAATCTCTCCTCCATCTCGCCTCGGAAAGCTGCGTATGCCCCCATAAGCATGCTTGCTGTGAAAAAATCCGCTACCGTAATCCGTTCCCCCACCAGATACTGCCAACTCTGCAGACGGTGCTCCAAGTGTTGGCAGCGATGAAGCATGAAGCGGAGAGAGTCATCGGCATCTTGTCGAATGATCTGGCGCTGGCCAATGAGAGGAAGAAAAACGCCTCCAACCGCTAAGAAGAGGTCGGAGTTGGCAAAGGACATCCATTTCAGAATATCGTAGTAGTCACGGGTACTCGAACCGAGGAGAGTGCTGGATTCGTCTTTGGATGCGACTATTTCACGATTGTCTTAGTCTCCTGCACTGAATAAAAGACGGGGAATATGGCAATGTACAGTAGAGAGTGAGGGGAATGCATTCAGAAAGAATGTAGCCATCGGCTCTCACGAAGGTGGGCACCTGCCCTAAGGAGTTGTATCGGCACAGCTGCTCATATCCGTCGTTGTTTTTCTTCTCCGCATATACAATATCCAGCTCAAGACCATTAGCTTTGGCCAAGGCAAGGATTGTGGCGGACCGAGGATTTGGCTGAGAAGATCGTCAGTTAATGGATTTCATCGGGGAACAACCTGAGCATGTTCGTACGCTATGGGTATAGAGGGTACCGAATACCATCGTGAAGCCGGGTTCTCCTACCCAGGCGATGGATTCATTGATCGTCTACAGCTCATGAGGCAACCCCTGGGATATAGTTTTATGCTATTTCCATGTTCTTTTTCCTCGACTAATGTGGAATCCTGAAATCGGCTCGGGTTTGTGTAGAATGACCCGATGTTTGTTGGCAGACTGACGGTGCTGACTTGACCGGGACTTATACCAGACGAAATTCAAATTGTTTGGCCATAGTCCATATTCCCAATATTTATCAATAAATGCGCATTGTCTATTCAGGCTGCACTCAGGGAATCCCCATCTTTGGCAAACTTGGAGCATCAAGTAGGATCCCAGGGGAATCCTCAATAGTGAACTGTATTTGAACAACAAACACACACATATAACCATTGAGAAATGAGATTTGGGTAAACTAAATATCCTGATTCTCTTTCACACTTATTCTGTCCTGCCAGTGTCCTCAACGCCCGATCTATCGGGGCCCGAATGTAGTAGTCTGACAGCAGGGGTATTTACATCGATAATTAGGCCAGAATGGAGATTTATAGACCACATCGCATGGAATTACACACTGTGCAATTAGATATCCTGGGAATCTAATATTCTAAAGGGGTTGCCTCTCCAATATTCATTCAGGCCTCAAATTCTGCACTCGTGGTCAAATTTCTTCTTACGCCCTGCCTTACTTCCCTGACCTTCTTCAACCACACGGCCACTGTATCCAAAAAGCGAAAAGAGTAACAGAAATGGCCAGCTACGCCGTTCTCGGATCTACAGGGAACACGGGCACTGCTTTGATTGAAAACATTCTCCGTGTTCCTACCAACCGCGTCCATGCCTACTGCCGCAACAAGGCCAAACTCCTGCGACTTGTGCCGGAAATCGCGGAGAACAAGAGCGTCGATGTCTTCGAAGGAAACATTACAGACTTAGATCTCATGGTCAAATGTGTTCGCGGAACCCGTGCGGTCTTCCTGGTGGCCACTACAAACGATAACGTTCCCGGGTGTCGCATCTCGCAGGACTCTGTCCAGACGGTCATTGACGCCTTGAAGACGATCCGTGATGAATCTGACTCCGACATCCCCATCCCAAAGCTCGTATTACTCTCCTCTGCCACCATTGACCTGCACCTGAGCCGACGGATGCCTGGATGGTTCAAGCCGGTTATGAAAATGGCCGCGTCGAACGTCTACAACGACCTGATTGAAGCGGAAAACATGATGCGTGAGCAGCAAGACTGGCTCCAGAGCATCTTTATCAAGCCCGGTGGGCTCTCTGTGGACATCCAGCGCGGACATAAACTGGATTTCGATGAGCAGGAGTCTTTCATCTCCTACTTGGACCTGGCTGCGGCAATGTTGGAGGCCGCAAATGACCCGAATGGAAAGTACGATATGAAAAATGTAGGGGTGGTCAATACGGGAGGGTCAGCCAAGTTCCCCCCGGGGACGCCCAAGTGCATTATTGTTGGGCTTTTGAGACACTTCTTTCCGCGTCTACATGGGTACTTGCCTTCGACTGGGCCTTCATGATCTGGATTGGCTTACTCGCCTTTTGTTTGTGCTGACTGGGGGGTTGCGAATTGGTTGACGGGGCTGACACCGGCATGATCACACAGCGTTGTAAGAGTGTTTATACATAGACAATTTAATGCCTTCAATAGCTCCGAGTCTGTACTACTCGAGACCTTCGGGGTAATAATCGCCAATCGGGCTTCGATGAAGACCGAGTCAGGGCGCAGTAGGATTGGGGATTTATAAACCGCACAGGACGTTGGCAAATCTGCTATCCCAACGGCATCAATCTACTCCCCAGGGGTATATGCTAGAATCGACCCCATGTCTGAAACGATCATGGGCGCCTCGCAAATACGCCTTCAGGGCGACAAACTAGGAGAAAATCTCTACGTCAATCCTCCACAAGAAGCGATAGAGCTCACGAATCGTCTTCTACAAAGAAACCACGACGAGCTTCATATCTTCTTCCGCGACCTGAACGGCCATAACCATCTCGTGCACAATCTGTTGACGCGCCTGGTGCTTGGAGCCACCCCGGCCCAGATCCAGGTTGCCTTTGACGATGACCTGCCCACACAGCGTGCTATGCCGCCACTCGACGAGGAGGTCGTGCAGAGGCTCTCGAATGAAAGCTACTTTTACGAACGCATCTCCAAAATCAACCACTATACCAACTTCCTCTTCTTCTTCCAGAAGCAAATCAGCCGGAGAGGCTGGAAGGCCGTGGTAAATGAGTACCTCTTCTCCCGGTCTCGGATCGCCGAAGCGCTGCTGGCACTCATGTACGAAGGCGCCTACCACCCGATTATCCACCTCGGTCTCGGTATTGAATTCGAGCAGCCCAGCATCATTGCGGAAGCTCTCGCCCAGGCCGCAGCCCACGATTCCTTCGGCACAGCCCACTACTTCTCGTCGGCGGAAGAGCGTGCCACCGTGCACGAAACCGGTAGTATGCCGCTAGCTGAGCTCCTCCATGACATCTCAAACACGCCCTCCCTCGTCAGTGTCGGCCGTGCCCAGGGGCTTATTGGCACTATGAAGATGAAGCGTGCGGTCCTCCCGGATGCCGGAGAGGATATCATCGACATTGCGGCACGGTTTCGCGTCACACCGGAGACGCTGGAGAAGCGCACCGCGGAAGTGATCAACCTGGGTGCGTACATGGCGGGTTCCGCACAGCGGACCGGATATGCGCGGAAGATCGACTTTTTCTTCATGCATTGCGTGACCAGCTCCATCTTCCTCAGTGTGCTTACGCGCCAGGACTGGATCCGTCTAGAAGACAGAGCCCGCGTGGTGGAGTGGAAGGGAAGACTGGATTTGATCTGGTATGTAATCTGTGGGCTGCCGGAGCTAGATATCCATGCCGTTGAGAACTACACGGGGACGACCAGCGGAGCAGCAGCCGGGTGGATGGAGCTCTTCGCCTTGGTCAATGAACAACACGATGATGGACATGTCGCTAAATTCGTCCGAGCCCTGAAAAACGGAGAGGAGGTGTGCAGGGAGTTTGAAGACGACGACGATTTTATGGTCCAGGGCGATATGTGGCTGAAGATTGCTCGCATGGCCTACGACAGTACGCAAAACACGACGCCGCAGACCAGTTGGGTGGTGATGGCTGGTATGAATGACGCTTGGGCGCCGGTTCCCAAGCAGTAGCTGCAATCTCTTTTATTCCTACGTCAATCTATGCCGTCTGTATGCTTGGATCTTTCCAAGTCCCTCCAACGTAGACCATACTATCTAGTAAAATACTTTGCGACTGCGCTTTGAACATCCGTCTTGATCAACTTGTGCGTTGCATTTACCGGGAACTCGCGCAGTCCAAGCTGCTCTAACGTCGACACGCCTCCTAACGCGTACTTTTGACCGAAGCTTCGTATGACATGCTGTTTAATCTGGGCTTCTGTTTTGCCGTTGAGACTCGCCAGGACGGCGAAGGGCTCGTGCCCTAACTCGGGATGGGCGATTGACACCACGCAGACCTAGCCAGATATCAGTTTGGGGGAAAAGAAAGAAAGGAAGAAAGAAAGAAAGGAAGAAAGAAAGAAAGAAAGAAACGTACTTCCTTCGATGTCAACTTTTCGATGCAGCTCTCCAGCGCAGCAGGCATAATCACCGTCCCGCTTTTTCGAATCATATCCTTCTTCCTTCCGAGGATAAAAACCACTCCGTCGCCATCAATCATCGCCACATCTCCGGTATTAAACCATCGGATCCCCTTGGAGTCATGGTAAAACGAGTCCTCTGCGACCCCACCCAGATACCCCGGGATTGTGCCCCCGCAAGACATATGCAACTCTCCCAACTCCCCTCGCCCGGCCACACTCTCGCCCTCGCTGTCCCAGATTCTCACAACCGTACCGGGCGCCACAGCCCCGATCGGGGCCATCTCCCCGTAGAATGGAATGTCCGGCACCGTCATCTCAGAAAACGGCCAGTAAAACGCGCCCATTCCCTCCGTCATGCCGTGGTTCACACAGACCTTCGCGCGCACAAACAGCCGGCCGCATCTGTCAAGCACGTCCTTGGTAACGGCGTCGCCTCCAACCTGCACGGACGTCACCGAATCCACATCGACCCGTTCCTGCGTCTGCCGCTCCCGCGACTCGATCTCCTGGCCCACGGCACGGACCATTGCCGGCGTCAGAACAATAAACGTCGCGCGGTAGTCCACCACGGCGTCGACGAGATCGCTCGCGTCAAACCCGCCCCCAGTCATCACAACCGCGCCGCCTGCGCGCCACGTCTGCAGCGTCTGCGCGGGTGCGATGCCCCGGGAGTTGTGGCCCTGCTGCAAGGCCCGCGCACCGTTCTCGGCGTTTACAAGCCAGGACTGCGACTGCAGGGCGTGCGACATTCCCGACACGCGCAGCGGACAGCCCTTGGGGTTGCTGGAGGTCCCAGACGTAAAGAGGATGGAATGGGTGCGGGCCGGGGAGTCGGCTCGCGCGGCGGCAAGATGGCCGTCGGCCTGTTCGGGCGATAATCCGGAACAGGCCGCCAGCGTGCACAGGGATATCCAGCCGGGGCGCGCGGTTTCCTCGAGCGTGATCTGGAGGACTGGATGCTGGCGTTGGTTGTTGGGGGTTGTCTTTGCCAGGAGCGCGTCGAGGGCGAGGGCGCCGGCGGAATCCCGCACGACGACGAGCGACGGGTTCACCAGGTCCAGGATGGCTTGGAGCTCTTGGTTCTTGGATGGCTCGAGCAGGGACGGGTCCACGCAGGCGTATGTCAGACGGAGCAGCACCGACGTCCAGAGGAGCAGGGCGTATTCTCCGCCGTTGGGGATCAGCATGAGAATCGTGCTGTTGGGCTGTGTGCCGTTTGCCAACATGCCTCCGAGGAGCTGTAGAGAGGTGCGATGAAGCTGGGAATACGTCCATCCGAGGCAGCTGTAACGGGTGACGTGCTGATCGTCGACCTTGTCGTCTCGCGGCACGACAGATGCGAGGTGCCCTGCTGGTTGATGGGTGCTGATGACCGCCAGACTATGTGGATTCCGGCGATAGCCCTGTTCGATATGTTCAAAAACCGAAGATTCATTCGCGAGGCGGCCCCCGTCGATTTCTGCGTTCTTTCTCAGACTGGGTGGAAGAGTATACTGGGACATCATTTTGGTTGCGGGTATGCTTTTGCGTATACCCATTGCATCCCTAGCCAGGTAGCTAGTTTAAACTAGCTTTCCAAAGGCAAGCCAGGCATCCTGATCTCTCTTCGGAAATCAGTTGTCGGGATTCGGAGTATATCTGGTGTACTGCCAACATCGGGATATTATATCTGTGGGGCAAGACATGGGTCAAATGTCAACTTGCAGGTAGCAAGGGTATATATATAGTGTCTTACTTATTCTCCAAGACTTTCAATATATGGATCATTATAACCATATGTATATATATATAGATATAGATATAGATATATTTGGTGAGAGCAACCACAACAGGATAAGCTTTGACAGTTAGGGCTAGATAAGGTTCTATTCTAGTGTAAGCGTCTCGCTGGCGAGGCGCTTGGGTATGGGTAGTGTTGGTAGAGGAAGCAAAGCTACATGGAGTACAAGGATAGTAGGAAGGTATTAGAAGTAATAAAATGAAGTGCTTGCCTCTTAGTACTTTAGGGGTTATTATATTACTATTTATATTGCTTAGTTAAGTTACTAGTATAGTATAAGTAACTCAAATATTACTATTCTCCTAATTACCCTTAATTACTAGGCATGTAATTTAGTATATAGTTTGGCATATAATTATATATTATATAATTACTATAATAATTACCTCTCCTTCCCTTAGTAGCGCGTCCGCATGCTATGTATACTATACCTGATCTAGCTTAGTACCCTACTAAGAAGGAGCTAGTCCTAGTTAGTATAATATAACCTATTTTTTTATTTAATACTAGAAATAATAATAGTATATATAATACTATCTCTATTAATTATACTTTATTAAATAGGATATAAATAATATTATATTTTACTTTAAATAAGATAATAGATAGGAGTAGGTAGTTTATTAGATATACTAGTAATAAGTAAAAATATTATTATAATATAAATATTATAAGAGAATACTCTTTTATATATATATCTTCTAGCCTAATCTATATTCTAAAAGATCTCTTCTAATAGGTTAATATATTATTCTAGGTAAGTTATTATTACTTAAGTATTATAGTAATAATTAATTATATTATAGACCTTATAGCTCTTCCTAAGTATCCTTTATTAGGTACTATACTAGCCACATCCCTATAGAAAAGAGCTTATTTAGCTACTATTATTTCTTTTTCTATAGGTGCCTTTATTCTAGCAGTGCAGGTCTATTATACTAACTATTTATAGGCTCCTATAGTAAACCCTTCTATACCTATATTAACTATAGTACCTGTAACCCCTATTACTACTAATATATCTCTTATAGTTCCTACTATTACTACTATATTATCTAGCAGGACTATATCCCCCTTGTCCTCTATAGCTACTCCTAGTATTATGGTGACTCCTGCTACCTTTCCCTCCACTTCTTCTACTACAGTAACTCCAGCTACTCCTGCTGCTGTCATCACGCCAGCTCCCGTCATCGCGCCAGCTCCCATCATTGCTATAGCCCTAGCTACTCCGCCTGTTTTGGTTACCTCTACTAGCCCAGCCACTATCATTTAGACACTATATTACCTATAATATACTAAATCTTAATAGCATAAGAATAATAATCCTATAAAAGCCTGTTCCTGTATATACCTAAATCTAGAATAATAATATACTTAATATACCTACTTATATAAAAAATACTTCTCTATTATCCTGCCTGTGCAGGTTAGTCTTAGGAAAATTTAGGTAATATCTAGCAGGGTAGCAGGTATGGCAGCCTGTACCTGATAAGCTCATACTATTAAGATTTTTATCTATTATCTCAAGACTAAAGACTAGATAGAGAGGTTACTTTAGTCTATTAACTATAATATATTTTACCTACTTAACATACAGTATGTTGGGGGCAGTATAATAAAGTTAAAGAATAATAATAAGGAGGTTTAGAATAGTTATAATAATTAGGGATTTACTAATATTATAGTACAGGTACTTATTATTTTTATTTTTATATAATAAAATCAAGTTATTTTCTTAAAATTTCTTAATATCTATAGTATACCCTTATTAAATCTTAAAATCTAGTAAAAAAAAAAAAAAGAGTAGTACTATTAATATACTTTTATAATTTTTTTAATTTTTTAATCTTATTAACTTATTATTTTTATATTTTACTTATTTATAGTATTTTACTAGTACCTTACCTATATCTTATTTATATAATAGAACTTATTTAAGATATCTTATATATTTTCTAAGTCCTTTACTAATTATTAAATATTCTTATATATTAGTTATTTTTTTTATTTAACTAGATATTAGTCCTTATTATATAACTTTTATTATATAATAATCTATTTTACCTCTTATTCTTTTTTATTATTAATAATAACTAGTTAGAATAGTACTAGTAAATTACTATTTCTTATATTTTATTTCTTAAAGAATAATATATAAAAGACTAAGTAGATTTTCCTATATAACTTAGGTAATTATAGGTAGTATATTTATTAGCCTATTACCTTAACTATTTTAAATAGCTCTTTATATTTAGTATCTAGCTTCTTACTAGGCCTCTATATATAAATATTCTTTATAAATAGTAGTATCTATTAGCTTATATAATACTTAATTAGGCAATACCTCCTATTATAGCTCCTTACTTACTATTTAGTAGTATGGTGCAAGCTCTTTTCTAGCTAATAATATTTTACTTATAGTTAGTTAAGTTATTCTCCTATTACTATAACTATGCTAGAGTCCCTAATATTAGCAAGCTTAAATAATACTGGCTGGTAGTTATACTATATTTTATAAGGGGACATTTTTAATAACATATTTTTTATATTATTATATATAAATTCTACTATATCTAGCTAGTCTACCTAGTTAGTTTATTAGTAACTAATATAAGTCCTTAAATAAGTCTCTAATATCTAGTTCTAATATTCTATTTAGTTATCTATTTATAGGTAGAATATAATATTTAATTATTCTTTAATTTAAAGTCTTTAGTATAGCTAGATTTAATATTTACTAGTAAAGAGCAAGCTATAATTACTTATTAGACTCTTTAGTACTCCTATTTTAAGTATAATTTTTTCTATAAATATATTAGCTAGCTTCTTAGTATTAATATTCCCTATTATTAGGAGGTATTTAGCTTCCTTAGTATATTAATCTATAATTACTAAGATAGTATTATACACGCGCCCCTTTTATATTAATAGTAGTAAGCTTATAATAAAGTCTAGAGTCAGGTCCTGCTAAGAGTATTCTAGTACTAGAAGCTTTGCAAGCTAGCCTAATAGAAGTTATCTAGATATCTTTATCTTCTAGTAAATTAGATAGCTCTTTATATATTCCTTAATATTATATTGCAAGATATTCTAGTAGAACTTTTATTTAATAAGATCTAATATCTTTTCTTAACTAAAGTAACCTATATATAAGTTATTATAATATACCCTTAGTAGTTCTTAGCATACTACTTAATTAGAAGGAATATAAATAGTCTTACTATATTATACTAGCCTATTACTATTAATATACTATCTATTCTTATAAGTTTACCTTTATTTAGTATTATTCTTAAGCTATTTTATTACTTTTTATTTAGGTAGTTTCTTTATTATTTAAGTATATCTCTAGCATGCCAGGCATTCCTTACTAATATTACTCTAAATTTAACTTACATAGGCATTCCTATATTATATCTCCTGAAATAAGTCTTATAAAGTAGTTAATAGTATCCTACAAGCTTACTTATTACTAGCTACCCTTTATACTAGCATTCTTTAGGTTAAAAGTTCTAGATCTTTTAACTATATAATTAAAGTCTCTTAGGAAGTTACTATCCTACTCCTACCTTAATTATTCTATAAACCTCCTAGCTTTACCTAAAGTATAGGTAAGAGTCTCTTAGCTATATCCTATTAAATAAGTTTATAATTCTTTTACCTTAAAAGTATATTAACTAGGTTAAAGTTACTAAGCTAATATTTAATCTAGAAATTATATACTACTAGAAACTTAATCTATCTAGTCTAGTATTAATTTAAGGTCTTTATAGTATAAAAATATTTTAGATTTATATAATCTATCTATATATATATTATATATAGATTACCTTTAAAATAATAGTATTATATCTTAAAGTATTCTATTATAACTAATAATTCTTAATTATAAATCTTATATTTTCTCTCTACCTTAATTAATTTCCTTAAATAAAAGACTATAAATTACTAAGTAGTATGCTATATCTTTATAAACTAGATACTATTATATTATATTAGAATTCCTATAATTATAAACTCTAATATATTAGTTACTAGAAATATCTTATTCTCTAGATTAAAATACTATAATATAAGTAATCTAGAAAATACCTACTTTAGTATCTTAAAGGTACTTTAACTATTCTCTATTATCTTAAAGGGGCTACTCTTTCTCCTCTTTACTATTCCCTTTAATATATTATTTAGTAGGGCAGTAATCTTAGAATACTAGTAGATAAATCTTTAGAAGTATCTTATAAATCTTAAGAATATTTAAATATTATAGAATAAGTATAGTTCTAGCTAGTTACTTATAATATATACCTACTTAAGATCTATTTAGATTCCTTTAATTCCTATAATAAAGCTAAAGAAGTATACTTTCTCCTAGTAAAAGCTATACTTTAAAAGTTTTATATAAAGATTATACTTTTAAAAATATAATAATATTTTACTAATATAGTACTTGTACTCTTCCTTTATTTATAAGTAAATTAGGATATTATTTAAATATATTATATAAAATTTATCTAGAATCTTCTTTATTATTTTATTAATATATACTTAAAAGGTAGCTAGGATATTATATAACTTAAAAGATATAACTAGATATTTATAGTATCTATATCTTATATAAAATACTATCTTCTACTTATTATTCTAATAAATATAGATCTAGTAATAAATATCTTATAAATCTAGTTTAATAAATTATTTAGCCCTAACTAGTTAGTCTATTAATTTATTAATTTATAGGAGAGAATATTAATTCTTAATAATAATTATATTTAGGCCCTTATAATTTATATAAAATTATAGTAACTTATTAGCTTTTTATATAAAAAATACTAGCACGCCTGCTATATTTATTAAGGGCCAGATCTATTCTTTTTCTAATATTTAATTAATATACTTCCTTAAGATTACTAACTCTATTCTTAATATATTATATAGCTAGCTTATTAATAGTATTATACTAGTAACTAATAATATATTATAACTAGCTTTTTTAAAGAAGAGTACCTCTATCTTTTTTTTTAAGAATACTAATTTCTATTCTTTATAATATTTAAAGAAAGTCCTTATTATACTACTATTATTATATAATTAGCTTAAGACTAGTATAGTAATTCCTTACCTTATTATACTCTTAAATTACTTAAGTAACTTAATCTTAATTTTTAGCTTTTTTTCTTAGTAGTACTAGGTATTCACTGCCAAGGAGATATTAAGATTAACTAGACTTAGCTAATTATATCTTAAAATTAGTTAATATTCTTTTTCTTCTAAATCTATTATATAATATTCTATATTAAATTCTCTAGTTTTATTAAGACTATCTATAATTTAGCTCTTTATCTAGAATCTCGCGTAGTATAATATTATTAAGCTATTAATAAAATATATAAGTTACTCTATCTTTATCTTATTAAGGTTTATTCCCTCTTTAGCTAAGAAATAATAAAAAATAAAGTCCTTATTTACTCTAGTATCTATAAATATCCTTATTATAACCTATTTCTTGCCTACTAGGATAATTATAGTAGCTAGAAGGGATCCTATTAGTACCTCTTTATCCTATTAGAGTACTAGGGATTCTAAAGTATTTAATTATTATTAATCCTAGTTCTTTAATTCTCCTACCCCTTTAGTACCTTTTCTATACTAGGGGTATTTCCTTGTAATATAATTAATTTAATTATACTAGTAGTACTAGCCTTCCTTTTATTAATTTTAGTAGTTCTACTACTCCTCCTTTAACTCTTTCTACTAGAATTTATTTAGTTAGGGATTTATTACTTTATTATTATTTTTTTTTCTCTTTCTTAAGTTATTCTTTAATATATAAGATTCTAGAAGTTAGTTTAATTATACTTTATTTAATCTTTCCTATTTTTCTTATTTCTAAAATTTCTTGTACCTTACCTCTAGTTTAGTAACTTTAGCTAGACTTTATAGTATTATTATATCCTACTAGATTTCCTTACGCAATTTAGGCTAGGCTATTTAGATAGCTAGTTAGTAGAGAAATCCTTTAAGATTAGCTTTAATTATTAAGATAAACTTCTTTATCTAGGTTATTAAGATTTATATACTCTATTATAGTCCTTATCTTATATATAGGAGCTAGTAAGCTACTATTTACCTATAGTCTCTCTCTAGTTCTAGGAAGTTCTACAGGAATTTAATAAACTTTATATAAATAAATTCTTTAGAATTTACTCTATACTTAGAATATTATATTTATTTTATATTATCTTTTAGATAACCTATAGTATAGTAAACCTTTATTATATTACTCTTATAAAGTTTCCCCTATAACCTAAAATAATCTTAGAGATCTTCCAGGAAGATACTAAGTTTCTTTAAGTTTTATACCTTAAAGAACTTAAGTTCAGGTACTTTCTTCCTACCTATTTATATAACTTGCACCATATATTAGGCCATGTACTATAGTTTATTATCTTCTATTAATTTAATAGGTTAGTACTAGAGAGTTACTAGTATTATTAAATCTTTCTTAATAATAATTTCTAGAACTATAGTTATAGATTCTATAGAGTTTAGATCTACTACCCCTTAGGAAGAGGAGCAGGTAATCCTTCTTATACTTATTATATTACTTTACTTAGTTAAGAAAGCACTTTGAATTATAAGTATCTTACTAGTAAGGTACTTAAGTATAAGTAGTATTAGTAGAGAAAGCAAAGCTATACAAAGTATAAGAATAATAGGAAGGTATTAGAAATAATAAAATAAAGTACTTACCTCTTAATACTTCAGGAGTTATTATATTACTATTTATATTACCTAGTTAAGTTACTAGCACAGTGCAGGCGACTCGAATGTTGCTGTTCTCCTGATTACCCTTGGTTACTGGGCATGTGGTTCGGCATGTGGTTCGGCATGTGGTTGCATGTCACGTGGTCGCCGTGACATCTAGTCTATAGTTTAAGATCTATTTAAATGATTGATTGAAAGTTTAAAGATAAAAAAACAATTCTAGAATGATTTTATGAACATCAAAAACAAAAAGAAAAAAAAAAAAGAAGAGCCGAACGCGGGGGTCGAACCCGCAACCTTGAGATTAAGAGTCTCACGCTCTACCGATTGAGCTAGCCCGGCTGGGCTATGAGTAAGGGCTGGCTAAAGAGGATTTTGTAGTACACTGATATAAGGAGAGTCCTTGGACACAAGAAAAAAGATCCCTATTGCTATCCCCATGATAGCGAGACAACCACGAAACGATTCCCTTCTGCTATACGAAACAGACAAAGGAAGCTATATCCAAGGCACTATAGGAGGTTCTTTGTATACTTCCGAATCGACCAATCAGGTTGGATGCGAAGAAATCACCAGGGACCATGTTTCACAGCGACCCGTTGACTAGGAACCAAGCCACCACCACCACGATAACAAAGGTTGAGGACGATCTTCAAAGAAGAAGGCGTTAAATCTATTGGCCTGTCCATGGGATCATCCTGCCACAGCTTGGCGGTTGGGCTGAGTAGAGTAAACAAAGAACTGGCACTCCCATTAATATATCATCGTGCCTCCGTAGGGCATCGCTCTTCTTCCTCGTCTTCCTCTTCCTCCTCTTCTTCCATACTGCCTTTTGACCTTGAGACATCTCCTGAAACCCAACTCGCACAAGATGGTTCATTTCCAGACCACCACTGCAGCTCTCTTCTTCGCGTTTCTCGCCGCCCTGGCTGATGACACCACCCTCAGTACCGATATCGTGGGGTGCACCGACCTGGGCTGTCCCACGCATCCCTGGGACTCGTGCACCGTCGCGGACAATACCTACGTCGGGGTTGGTTTAACCCGCATCGCAGATGTCCCGGATGCCCTGGATGGCATCTCCTTGGTGAAGGGAGTCAACATCTCTTTGCCTGGTCCTGGTGGGGTTGGAGACCCCGTAACCAGCCAGACTCGGCCATACAACTCCGTCTATTATCTCGGAACCCCCAGAGACCTGGACGTGGGTTCTGTATCTGGCTGTGCTGTTGTATTCAACGATCCCCCTTCTCGCACTTTCGTTTCGGGAGATCTCAACAGCACCGGGATCCAAGAGGGCTCGGGAACCTGTCCCGACGTGATTGAACAGAGCTGCATCGCCAAGCTCACCGAACAAGCCCAGAATGTGAACTACAGCGGCTCCGGAGCTTGCTCGGCGCTGGAGAGACAGCTCCGATCCCATGCGCCAGACGAATGCAGCGATTTTGCTGGCGCTGGGAACGGACTCGGCAACTTTACCGTCGCCTCGCTCGGGGGCCTGTCGAGCATCAGCGGCTCCCAGAACTCTACCTCCGACTGCTGGCCTATTTTACCCAAGTCCGATAACCTCGCGCAGTTTGCCCGGGACACAGCGATGGTAAGTCACTCTGATCCCTTAACCCCGGCCCTTTTCTTTTCTTTTCTTTCTTATTACTGTACTAACCCACTCAGGGTGGCTACACCGCCACCGCAGACCTGACGGAGGTCTACAAGATCACGCCCATTCTGACAGTCTTTACTGCTGGGAACGGCAGTCTGGTGAACAACACCTCGGCACAGCTCACCTGTCTCAAGATCGTGACCACCCTGAATCCAAATGCCCCGGGGGTCGCCCAAGGCGCCGCTCCGCTCTCTACATCCAATCTGGTTGGGGTGAGCGCGGCCGCCCTCGCCACAGTCATGTTCACGGTGTTGTAGATGGCGACCACGATACGAAGTGTATGTGTATGTGCATATGATGAAATTATGGCCCTTACATTTTCAGACTTTTTTTTTTTATTTATTTCCGTATCAATTACTGGTTCAGTTTGTTTTTTCATTTCAAACTATAGAGGGATGTCCTGTACATTAGTTATCATCACGTATTGCCGCTCCGCTCGGGATTGGCGTGGATGCTTGGCTTGGCTTGGCAAAGGCGGGGGAAATTCCGGTCTTGGCAAATATTCAATCCCGCTCGAGAGGAATACATAGCTGCTAGCATAATAGAAGGAAGTCGAAGAACATGTATCCAATATCTCTTTCTCCCAAGCAAAGCATGAAAGAAAGAAAAAAAAAAAAAAAAAAAAAAAAAAAAAAAAAAACCCCACTAATGTCCAATATTCAGCGCCGCCCCCGCAAGAGGAAAAACCGACCGGGCTAAATGCATCCAGCTCCATTTCACCACCAACCTCCTTGCCTCTTCCACCGTCGCCACATCCGGCATTGTCCTGCTCGCAGCCTCCAGCTGAAACAGCAAGCTATTCGTCGGGCTCATGAAGACCCAGGTGAACGGAACCATCATGACCGTGGCGATTCCCGCGAGCGCCGCTGTTCTCCAGGGCTTCTTGCAGGCTTTCCGGCTCGCCGCGATATACCCGTAGAGAAGGGAGGTGGCGACGCTTAGGGTGGGCAGGGTGAGATGGCCGTAGTGGAACATGCGCACCCATTGGTGGAAGAGCTGGGGCGGGTGCGTGGTGGTGTCGAGGAGCACTGGGACAGCCATGGCGGAGAGGGCTGTCATTGCGCCTGCATATGGACGTATTTGTTAGTGCTAGGAGTCCAGGGTACGGGTACAGGTAGCGGCTGGCTGGGTAGTTTACCTGATAAAAAGGACCCCGAGATCATGGCCATGGCGACCAGGGGAGAGGACGGAGAAGCCATCGGACTAGAACAAGGCTGAAGGGACACAACACTAAACAGACTGTGGATACTGTTAGACTTTTCCCACATGGCTGATTATCTTGGGTAGAAACTCTGCTACATAAACTCGGACTTGGTTTTTTTTTTTTTTTACGTGGAATAAGACAGGTAAGTAAGTCAGTGTAGATAGATAGATAGATAGACAAAACTCCTCGGGGTCTAGATCGATGTCCGGATAACGCCCGGATGCCGAGTGAGTGTGAGGAGGAGATGCTGATATTGCAATCTCTCGTCTCGTTATACGGTCATATCAATCAACCCATGTAGGCAGGCTTATGGTCAGAGCGCGTCACTCAAACCCCTCGTTGAACCCGTCCACCACAACACCGCGGTCAATAAACTGCGAGATCCATCCAATGGTCACCCTGCATGAAAGTCAGCCGCCCAATCGAACCACGCCCCCCTCGTCCATTCCCAAGCACCGGGGGAAAGAATCCTCACTGGCTCCGCTTGGTGTCTGCAAACCGCTCATGGTCCCCAACCAAATGCTGCTGGTAGTAGGGATCCTCCTTGATCTTCTTGTAATCCTCTATGCTACGGAACACAACCTGGCTGAAGCAGTCGTAGTCGGCAAGGTTGGCCATCTGCGGGTCCATGATTTGGTACATGAGCTGGCGCGTAGAAGTTGGATTGTGGATCTTCGAACCCCGTTAGTTGATTGCATTTGGGCCGTATGTGGTAAGCCTGTCAGAACACACCTGCGTCCAGCGGAGAATCCCATACTTGACCATCAGGTCCTGCGTGAGCGGCGCGGAAATCTCCGTCATATGGCGTCTGTAGGCCTCTTCGCTCATCCCGGGCTTACGGTATCCCAGGATAGTAATGCAGAGGAGCTGGCCTTTCGTAGACTCGGTCTCTTGGGGAGGGTCAGGAAGAATAGAAGAAGAAGAAGAAGACATTCCCGGGATGGATGCTGGAATATTTGAAAAAAAAAAAAAAAAAATAGAGTATCGAAGATTGCGTTACTCAAGAATCTTGGGAGCTTTGTGGAATCAGAACGCAGAGACCAGGATAGAGCCCGCATAATATACACACCGTGGAGGATGAACCCCGACGCAACTATCCAGGGGTAGCTAGCTAGGCACCGGAGAGCGAAATCAGAATCCACCGATGCTGTAGATCTGTTTCTGAGACTTTTTTTTTTTTTTTTTTTTGCTTGGATTGTGATGAGTAGCGAATGGAAACCAAAGCGACTCGCAAACGCAGAACCAATACATAGAGAAAGGAATAGGAAAAGTATAGTTCAGGATATGTTCAATTTAACTCAATGTCTATGTGGAAGAAAATCACAAGCTCTAACTTACGGAGTATACTCAAACGACAACTGGAATAACAGATATAGAATAAGCAAGACCAGCGACTTCTTCCCGCCTCCCTTCTCCCCTAGTTGTAGTACTCCATCAACCAACTTCTCAAATCACCAATAGTCGGGTACTCCAAAAACAGACTTCCTGTGACAGTAACTCCTAGCTCCTCACGGAATTTCTCCGAAATCACCAAGCTCATCAAACTGTCGATTCCCAGGTTCGCAAAGGAAGCGTCATCTGAAAGATCCGACAGCTCAAGAGACGCTTCGTTTGCAATCAGCACAAGTGCCTTGGCGGACACACTGTTATCTTCTCCGGCGGAAGAGGCACTGGCCGGGTTACTGGACGAAGCTGGAACAGGAGGGGCAGATACTGGCGCAGGAGGAGCCGAGGTTGCGGGTTGTGCGATGGCTTGCGGGTTTGGCACTGCCTGAGGGGCCGAAGCAGGACTCACAGGCGCTGCAGGCAGCACTGCAGGGCCCGCAGAAGCTGTAGTATGGGATACAGCTCCTGCTTCCTCGGGAGCCGTGAAGAAGCGGCTCAGAAGGATGCGCGGATACCGGCGAAATTTAATCCCACCACACATACCCATAATGACACCGTCCTGCATAATATAGACATCCCCAAGATAAACAGAAGGATCCTCCTCAGTGGGGATCATCTTGACGTACGACCGGTACTTTGCCCCTGCGACAAGCGGTTTAGCGAATCGTAGGGAACTCCAGCCAGGCGTGACGCAGTAATCGGATTTGGTATCGATGGCATCAGAGACGTTCATCACGAAGCCGGCCAGGTGAGCAACACTATCGATGAAGTAGGGGGGGATTGTCCAGTTGCCGCTCTTCTCCATGGTCAGCTTAACGTCAGCGAAAGCTTCCAACCCATTCAGCACGACAGATTGCATGCCGCGATATTTCTCCGCGTAGTCGACGAGATTGTTTGCGAAAAGAAGGTAGGCCATGTTGTGGCTAAAACGGTTGGCGGTGCCCTCTTCGGCAAGGCGCTCAAGGGCCTCAATGCGTCCCTGGACAAGGTGGGCATGAGGGATCCAGGTCTTGAGCCACTCGGACGAATCCCCGTAGTAAATGTTAGCACTCGCAAAAGGCTCATCGACTGTGCCGTCATTGAGCACATTCTGCCATGTAAGATCCGCCACGCCCGAGTTGATATCTGTGGTAGAGATGGTGACTCTGATATATTGTGGCTTCTTGGTATTCTTTTGCGCAACGAGCCCTTTCAGAACGACGAGATTGGCCATGTTCATCTCAGCAGGCTTGTTGCTTTTGACAAGATTTTTGTGCAGATACTCTCCAAGTGTGAAGGCAATATCCGCATGAATAGACTAGTATATTTCACGTTAAAAAAAAAAAAAAAAAACACTGAAATGAGATCCTGTTAGACAACGTACCGAGGTAACGACACCGCACCCATTCATCTTGTGTCCATGCGCAGCTGAAAGGAAATCCGGCTGCATCATATCGGACTGCATCACTACATGTCCTGCAGGACCACAGAAGCTTTCCTCAAGGACATGCTGGACAGTCGAAGTTTTCAGACTGGATTGCACTGCAGGTACCGCCTGCAGAGCCTTTAAACCCTTCTCCTCATCGTAGAAAGTGTTGCCCTTGGTAAGAATCCAGTCGCCGTTATACTGTAGCCAGTAGTTTTTGTCATTCCAGGCGTAGGTGGGAAGATCAAGGAGGCGAAGCCCCGACTCGAATGGGCGCTGGTATTCATTCCAATCAATCGCTATACCAGCACCGTGCAAGGCGGAGAGACTTTGCGACAAGGTCACCCAGTTGTCTTCTCCTCTCCTCAATGAAGCCACGCTCACGTTGACTGAGGAAAGAGTAGCATTAACAAAACCCATGCAAACAGGATGAGGCCCAATCTCGACCCAGGCGGTTTCCTCGTCAATCGTGGAGAAGCTCTGAGCCGTTTCAAGGGCAGCGAGGAAGTTGACTGCTTCTCGAGTGGCGCGACGCATGTATTTCGCATTGATCGTCTTAGCGTCAAAGATAACCTTGCCCAGCAAGGGTGAGATAATAGGCATATTAGGTGCACGGAATAGTGCGCCGCTTTCGGCAGCTTCCTCGAAGTCATCGAGAATCGCGTCGGTTTGGGAGGAGTGAAACGCAAAGGTCACGTCCAGGGTGGTGCATCGGTAGCCATCAGACTGCAAGAGCTTGGATACGTTCTCAATCTCCGCTTGCGAGCCGCTCAGCACGGTCTCTTTGGGCCCATTGATGCAAGCGATCTCATACGCGTTCCCTTCCAAACATTTCTCAATGTCGGCTAAAGGAGCACGTACGGCGAGCATCTTATGGCTACCGACTTGACATTTTTCCTCCAGCAGTTGAGCTCTCCGTCCAACTAACCAGAGGGCATCGCTAGCTGACAGCACGCCGGCAACGTGGAAGGCTGCGTACTCGCCCAGGCTGTGTCCGATAACAGCGTTAGGTTTAACGCCCAATGACATCCAATATTTCGCAAGTGCAATCTCAACCGATACAAGAGCTAGCTGGGTAACCACGGGGGAGTGAGCATGGTCTTTCGGGAAACTACCATCAATGGCTGGAATAAACGAAGGGAAACCTTGCCCCTGAGCCAGGGCATCCAGATGCAGGATTTGGGACCTGAAGTAGGGACAGCTGTGGAATAGCTCCAGATCCATAGATTTAAAGGAGGCGCCTTGGCCGGTAAACGCGAAGGTTACCTGAGGAGGGTTGGTCAACGAAATGGGCTTGTGTCCATCCACAGCTTCGAGATAAGAGGTGAGCTTCTTCTTCACTTGATTGATATCAGTTGCAGCAACTGATGCACGGTGATTGTGATGGTACCGCCGGGCAGTGGTGGTGTACGATAGGTTCGCCAAAGACGTGTCTGGGTTGGCTTCCAAATACGTGATCAGACGCTCCAAGTTTCCTTTCAATGAAACTTTGCTCTTTGCCGACACATTGACAACATGAGCTGCGCGGGGGTCGACAAAATCAGTCGTTCTGAGGGGTGGTTCTTCCAGGCAGATCGTAGTGTTTCCGCCAGCTGCGCTGAAGTTATTCACCACCGCATATCGGGTCTTCCCCTCCTCCCGCAGCCAGGGCACTGCCTGGTACGGAATATGGAGATTTCTCTTATCCAGATCTTTCGGGAACATGGGGTTTAAACTATTTTTGATACCGACATGAGGCGGGATTAAGCCCTTTTGGTACATGAGAAGTACCTTCAAAAGAGCCGTCACTCCTGCTACAGATTCTCCGTGTCCGACATTGCTCTTGACGGCGCCGATATGGAGTGGCTGTTTGGCGTTGCGTCGCTTGGTGATCGGGGCAAAGACATCTGTAACGGAGGTGATCTCTACGGAATCACCAGCCTGGGTGCCGGTACCATGCATTTCCACGAAGCTAACGTCAAGAGGATCAACGCCAGCAGAGTTCATGACCTGGCGGTACAGGTAGGCTTGAGCTCCGGCATGGGGGTGCGTGATTGAGATGGCCTCTGCGGAGTGATTTGTGCCGGCAGCGAGGATTACACCCAGGATGTTATCGTTGTCGGCTTCAGCATCCTCTAGGCGCTTGATGACAACTGATCCGATGCCATCTGCACGACAGTATCCGTCCGCATTGACATCCCAGGTCTTGCATGCACCAGGAGTCTTGGAGAGGAAATGGCCGTTACCAAGACCAGCAAAACCATCACAGTTGGTCAGAATATTCATACCCCCAGCCACAACCATGTCAGTATCACCGTTCCAAAGGGAGGTACAGGCCGCCTAAATGGGAGTGAATTAGCTAACGGTATCGGCAGGTTCATCATACCATGGTACTTGCCTGGATAGTTGCCAAACTGGAAGAGCAGGCAGTATCGCAACTGAAACTTGGCCCCGCAAATTTGAAGAAGTAATTAATACGTCCAGGGCCGAAGGCACGACAGCCTCCTGGAATGAAATAAGTACCGACTTCTTGGCCGGCATTGACTTCACGGTAGTCATCACTGGTCTGTCCATAGAATGTCCCGATGCGATGGAGGTTCGTAGACGCTGTGCGATTTGCTACATAACCGGCCCGCTCCAGCGCCTCATATGCTGTCACAATGGCCAGGCGCTGCATTGGATCCGTCTGCTGTGCCTCGCGGGGAGACATGTTGAAAAAGGGGGCATCAAACAAGCCCGGTTCATCAATAAAACAACCGTAAGGAGTATTGGTTGTGTTCATCCTCTTGCCCGTAGGATCGTAATGCGTATCAATGTCGAACCTATCAGCAGGGACCTTTCTGGAGACATCAAGGCCCTGCTCAAGCAGTTCCCAGAACTTTTCTGTGTCTGTTGCACCGCCAGGCATCCGGCAGGACATGCCGATAATCGCAAGCTTTGACTGCTTTGGACCTCTAGGGTCTTGTTGTTTCTTGGAATTCAGTACCCACGGGATAATCTCCTCCGTTGAGACTTCAAATCCCTGCAGTTTCGAGATTACAGTAGCCCGTAACTCGTTGATGGGGACGGAGTTCCGAAACACCTGGATCTCACAGTTGGTGGCAGACGTCGAATATGCCTGGTCCACTACAGCCTGGATGACGTTATCCCACAGAATAGGCTGTGTCAAAAGCTCCTCGACAATATTTTCAAACAGGTCTTTAGCTGTTGAAGCTATAAACTGTTGCCCAGTGGAAGTCTGGAAAATAGGAATGGTTGGCGAACATCTTGCATCCAGCGCCTCGATCGAACTTGTTCCGACGATTTCCTTGACATGCTTGAGGCTGTAGATGTGTTTGGCATGGCAGAGACCCCCAAAGACCGGCAAACTAACAACCTTGTGGCGACGGAAGAACTCAGACAGCCTCAGAATACGCTTGATTCTGGAAGGGGGGCCACTGATTGTGACGGAAGACTGGCCCCATGCGCTCATAAAGATCTTACTGGGCACCGGAGTTTTCTACCCAAGAATGAGTATCAGGCACGATGCGTAACCACAGATGAACCAGCTTACCTCTCTAGCGTGAATTTCATCAAGCTCTGCCTGAACATCTTCCGGTCTGGCCCCCGGGACAACCGAGGCCCAAGTATCTGGGGAGCCTGATACATCGCGCGGCTCAAGGTTTTGAGAGATGTCATCCACCAACACCCCAAGACGGAAGGCAATCCGCACTACCTCAGCACCAGTGGAGGGAATATCTGCCAGTGTGGAGCTTAGAGCAACTGAAGCTGCTGCTAGTATACCCATACCTAAACCCGAGAGGTATGTCGGTGACGAATGTAGGTCAAACCGGTCCGGATGGGTTTCGTAATATCTGGGGACATTAGTTCAGAAGCATTAGAGCATATTGAATAGGTTCACAGTCTTAATTCATACCCAATAAGAGTTCCAATCTCCAGAACACAGAGGAGTACTCCCTCAATAGAGCCACATAGAGGGCCCTTGCGAAGATCCGGATAATCCACGAGGTTCAACACAGTCTCAAAAGCCGGCATGAGCGCCTTCAAGGACATCGATATCTGCCGTACTTCATCACGCAGAGCTAGGGTAGCCTCTTCGATAAATCTAGCAAGTAAGGGATGCTGTCTGTCCTTGCTGTGATTGTGTAGGTGGCGGTAGAGGTCTTGGAGGTCATCCTTGGGGAATTCATTGCTGAAGTACAGGAGCTTCATCTTGGAGTATTCCTCCTGTGAGTCCGAGGGAGGAGTGTAAATAGACATCCTGGAAGAAGAAGTCTCGAGAAACTAGAGGATGCAAGAGGAAGTAAACGAAAGTAGGATGGATTCTAATGCGGACGGACTGAGAACGACTTGCTGCAGCAGGGCGACCTTTATTGGCAGCACAACCCCCCTCCCAACTTCCTTCGCTAGATTCGGAGAATTTGACTTCAGCGGCATTCGGTAATGCCTATTCTTACTCCAGAAATCGGACACCATGATTTCCCCGGTCGGGGTCTACTTGATGTGCGCGCTGACGGAGTGGCCGTTCGCAATTCCGAGGGACACATGTGGTGATGGTAAAGGGGGGGGGGGGGGGAGTTTTTTTTGAATCCGAAGTCTCTGTTGTCCTTTTTCTTCTGAGGACTATTCTACTCTTGTGGCTTCTTCTCCCATAACTTTCAGTCACCTTGGGTACACACTGCTTCGAATCCGGACACAACAATGGCCCAGCCGGAGCAGCACAAAGGCGGATACAAGCAAATCAACAAAGCTCTGAATGTGTGTGCCTTTGATGCCTACCTATCTGCTCAGCTGAAGAACCTCCCGCATCTGCAAGATGTTGAGCAGCTCAGCCCTAGAGTCCTACGAGTGTTGGGACAGAATGCTGGAAAGGTAAGGGCTTTTTCAAGCCTCCTGCTGCCCGAGTCTCCACGCGCTGATATCAAGATTATCAGTTCACGCTGCAGGGAACAAACACCTACATTGTTGGGACCGGGTCACACAGACTGATCATCGATACTGGTCAGGGGGTTCCGGAATGGGCAGACCTCTTGGACACTACCCTCAATGACCATTCGATCTCGTTATCGCACGTCCTTCTCACTCACTGGCATGGAGACCATACCGGGGGAGTTCCGGATCTTATTCGCCTGTATCCTAACCTTACGGAGGCTATTTACAAGAATTCTCCCGGTAGTGACCAGCAACCCATCAACGATGATCAAGTATTCCGGGTGGAAGGTGCTTCTATCCGGGCAGTCCACGGCCCTGGCCACTCCCACGACCATATGTGCTTCATCCTTGAGGAGGAAAATGCCATGTTCACGGGCGATAACATTCTGGGCCACGGAACCAGTGCTGTTGAAGAGCTGGGGATCTATATGGATACTCTCCGGAAACTCAAGTCTTACAACTGTTCCATCGGCTATCCTGCCCACGGCGATGTGATCTCTAACCTGCCCACAAAAATAGCGGGAGAGCTCGCGCAGAAGATGAGACGCGAAAAGCAAGTCCTCATGACTCTCAACCGCTTGAGGAAAGAGTCAAATAGTACAGGTCAAGGAAAGAAGCCAAGCGTGACCGTCAAGGAATTGGTGGTGCTGATGCACGGCGATTACCTAGACGAGGAGATGCGAAAGATGGCCCTGGAGCCTTTTATTCAGGAGGTTTTGCAGAAGCTTGCGGAAGATGGCAAAGTTGCCTTTGAGATGCGAGGGGGAGTAAAACGGTGGTTTGGGATTGAAGTGCTCTAATGGACGGCGCATCAACGTAGAGAATGAGGCTGAAGAGGTTAGAAACAAAGACCTTCAACCAGGAACAATGGGATTGTATTGTCTTTCAACACAACCGTATATGATAACTTCAAAGATTCTCAATCTCTACAATGGCCTTTTGACCATGAAAGTTGTATTCTATACTTAATGGACAATCCACTGCACTGCACCTGGTAATCCCCCTGCAGTAGCTTAAGAGCCTGCGTTGGCACGATGTGAAGATGGTCAATTTCCCATTGCTAATTACGACAACAAGGGGCTTCAAGTCTCCTCTGATTTGGAGGCTCCCTTCCAGGCTGTTCCAGAGGATCCATATTTGGCGAGCTTCTGCGAATTCCCTGCCGCTGGGGGTCAGGTTGCCTTTCTGGATAGAATTTCGGGCTCCGACAGGGAATAGATGAGACCGGGGGGGGGGGGAAGGCAGATTTTACCTAAAAGAACTAGGAAGATATCAACCCCGTTGGCGGCATGATTGGTTTGTTGACACTCTATTCCGATGCTTCGGGTCCATAGAGGGCAGGATTTCTCCGAGTAACTAGGGCTGCTCGGTCACTCCGAACGCAGTAGCACGAAACTTCCCGGGAAAGACGGCCTTTTCCCTAATTCAGATGTACGGAGGAGGCCAAGAATCCACCGGCAGGACCATCTAGGGTGGATCAGTCAAAGTGGAAAATACTTGCCTGGATGAAGCTGAACACGACGACGGTATCAAGATTCAACCCAAGCCAATTGCATGCTCCCACATTTGGAATTTGGCTAGCTGGATTCCCTTGTGCAGTGTCAGCCTATCAGCACTTCCATCCGCAGGTCGGGAGCTAAATACTCTTGTCTCTTGATTGGCCTGATGTCCGTTATGCTTGATCAATCTACCTCGGCCAGCCATGTAACAAGTGCTGTCGATCCGCTTGGAGTCACCACATGCTGTACCACCTATCCAAAGGATGAATTAAGTGGATGGTCTGAGCGCCTGAAGGATTTTCAGATTCCAGTCACCAACGCTAGGATTTCACTGATCCCAGGAGAAGCGTTCTACTAGGTTCTGTCGGAGAATCCTGGTGGTGTCGGACTCCGGGACATTGGAGGGATAATAGCAGCTCCGTCCTCATCTATAAGCCTCTTAACTCTGCTGATACGGACAGCGATCTACCCGGAAGCTGAAATTCTGACGGGCGATACAAGATAGCTGTGATAATGCTCGCTTTTAGTCCAGCCGAGGTAGAACTATCGGGTTCGCATTAGCCTGAACGTGTCTGAGCAAGCGCTACCATTAGGACCGTTCAGGCTGGCATTTTCATAGTACAGTCCATTGCATCGTCTACTGCATAATTGTAAATTCTGAGCCGTTTGTGGTATGTGAGATATTGGATCCAAAACGCCTGTACTTACGAATCCGATGATTACTGGAGACATGCAGTCACCTAGGCACTCTGGAAACTAAGAATGCATGCAAACTTCTTCCTGCATTCTGTCTGACAGGATTAGGTACATCCAGAAGGATTATTATGCATAGTAAAAGGAGAGAGATTGGGAGCCAATCCTTCCTCATATCCATCATTCTTTGACAGCCTGGAGGAGTAAATCTAGCTCGCCAAATGTAGGCTTACATGTGTACTGTGAATCCTAGCCAATTCGATAAAATAATTTCAATTTTTAGCTGTAAGAAAAGATTATCTTATGCCTGAAACTCACTTCACATGCCCTATGAATGATAATTGACGCTGTTAAGACTATTCCCCCCGCTTTTTAAGCCAGAAGTACAAGCCCTCGCTTTCCTCTACAGATCTCAAAAAAAAAAACAAAAGAAAAGAAAAGAAAGGAAAGGAAAAACTTCCCCAGTTGAATCCTTTCTATATTTTCCTCATCTTTCTATGTATCGAGTTCCCATGTCCGCCGTGTGTCCTCCAGTTTCATCTCAAACTACTCAGCTGCCAACGCATGGGATGATCAAACTACGAGGCAGCTGCCACGCTTGTGCCGTCTCCAAGCTCAAATGCAGCCAGGACAAACCAACCTGTGTGCGCTGTGCAAAGAGAGGAACAGCGTGTCAGTATCTGGCTAGCAAGCGTGCAGGCCGCAAGCATGGCAGTCGGGCAAGCAGCGTAAGGAACCCTCTGAGGACGAACCGCAATGCAGACCCCGCCGGACGAGACGGCGGAGGGGATGTTCTAGCGGCTCCAATGCAGTTTATGCAGTATGCTCTCCAGCAGGACCGCAATCTCGAAGGTCTTCAGGAGCAGGACGATCCGAAATCGACTTGTCATGACAGCTTGTCCAGTGCCAAATCGTCCTCCGCTCCCACAGCCTCCGTCACTAGTCCATTGAGCTTCCCTGTCGATTTAGACAGCTTTCTGGGGTCGCCTATGTCCTTGTCGCTGCTTGATGGACCGGAGCCACAGTATTTCGGAGCTTCTGAAATCGATATCCGGGATTTTGGTCGGTTCTTCGATCCGGATTCGTGTTTGATATCAGACAATCTGCACGCTGCGGCTCATGATGAGCGGCGTGTCACCAAACCTCCTACGCCGGATGCTCTGATCCCTCCTCCCAGTGGGTTTTTTTCTGATTCCGATACGTTTGCCCAACGGTTCCAGAATTCCCCCAAATCCGATGCGTCTTACCTGCAGTGCTTTTGTCTAGTCCGCTCGCTAGGAGTGCTGAAGGATCTCTTCCCTACTTCCTTAGAGGGTTGCACGACTGCCAGCCTAGACGATCAGGAGAGCGCCAATCAAATTCCGACCATCCAGGAAGTAATCACCAAGAACGAGCAAGCCATCTGGGAAATTAGTCAGCTCTTGGAATGTGACTGCTCACAGGACGGCTACATACTCATGGTGCTGACTTTAGCGGCGCTGAAGGTGCTGGCTTGGTACAGGGCTGCAGCAGCGCAGGACCCGCCGCTATTCGAGGACCGTCAGCACTGGGGCAGACGACCACCCCCAGAGCAGGTAGTACGAGCCCCCGCTGTGATCCGAAATTATCACGTAGATGGCGAAGATCAGGGACGGATGGCTGCACAACTAGTTCTGAGTGAACTACACGGGGTGCAGCGATTGGTAAACACCCTCTACCAACGTCTCAAGGAACAGGGAATGCGAGATGTTCAGCTTGCCACCCCAGAAGATATTACCGCAGAGGGACGCGATTTCTTGTCAGAGAGAGCAGATCCCTCGCCTGTGCCCGTCAGCCTCTTAGATAGATTGGCGACAGACCTTCGAACCGGTCTACGCAGCCTGTCTGCCGAGATAGTCGGTGCACTCCGTCGGGGCTGATTGTCAGCCTACCTAGGAGCAAAGCCACCTTTATACCAAACAACGCTTCGTCCTGAGCAATAATTGTGTTTTCTTTTAGAAAGCAGGTTTGCGCTGCCATCGGGTGTTTGTGTCAAGCTACTTGATTGCCTACCTGCCTGCCTGTATGCCGTTGGCTTTGAAACTCAAGCAATCTGACACATGTGCATCGAGTCTATGTTACGTATCAGTAGACGACCTAGGGAGTAAGACAAACATATTTCTGATTGTGCTTTTGAACATGGAGCTGCGCCACACAAGCCTGCTGCTGTCAGAGGGAGAGTCTTCTGCTCATCCCGGGGCATTCGGTCCATTTCGTCTCCGTCATCATGCATAAGAACATCTTGGTAACCGTCCAGTAAGCATAGGAGAGTCTAGAGACTGTACCGGTGCTCGTAAGCTTCCTTAAATGTACGAAATTTAGCCATAGTTTACTCTCTCTCTCTCTCTGTTTGAATAACTCATAACCCTATCTATCAACGTTTTAAATCACGATACAGTGCTGCAAGGGCCTGGTCCAGACTTCGAGACCGACAGAATGGCAGATTTTATCGTGAACACTACCAGCGATGGACAAGAATTCGACCCAGAGCGATGGAAAAACGTCACGCAGAATGGAGAAGCTGGCGAGTCAAGACTTCCAGAACGGCACCCTGAAACCGGCATCAACGTGCTAGTCGTGGGCGCTGGGATGGGCGGGCTGATGACCACGTTAGAGTGCTGGAGAAAGGGGCACAACATCATTGGCATCCTCGAGAGAAATGACGGACCTGTCTATTCAGGTACTGACTTACGTAGTCTTCTTGGACTATGTCCGAAAGCGAATCGAATGCTAACCGCCGTCACCCAGGAGACATTATCGTCATGCAGCCCTCTGCCATCTCAGTGATCCGCCATTGGCCGGATATGTGCCGCGACATGGAAGAAGACCAAGTGAACGCGAGCGTGAGCTACGAGACCCACGACGGAAGGCACATCTACGGTCCGACGGTGCCCTCGTTCAACGACCCCGAGCACATCGCCACGCGTCAAGGATCACCATACGTGGCTCCCGCGCAGATCCGGCGGAAATTCTACCGCATGCTCCTGCGGCAAGTTGCCAGACTAGGCTTTCGAGTGGAATACGGCAAGCCGGTCCGGGACTACTTCGAGGACCGGGTCTCTGGAAGCGGCGGCGTGGTGCTCGAGAACGGCGAAATCCGCCTGGCGGACATCGTGGTCGCAGCGGACGGGCTCAAGTCTAGCTCGGACATCCTCATTACAGGCGAACCCCGGCCCACCAAGTCCAGCGGGCTCTCGATCTACCGCACTGCGTATCCCAAGGAGCTCGCGATGAAAGACGAGTGCGTGCGCGAGCGCTGGGGCCGCTCCCCGCCCACCTGGGAGTACTGGCTGGGGCCAGATATGTACCTGGGGGTCTTTGTCGGGACGGACATCATCTCGTGGGGGTTCACGCCGCGCGATACCGACGGAGCCCCCACCGAATCCTGGGAGCCGGACACGAACCCCGAAGACGTGGTCAAGGCAATGTTGCGCGTTCCGGGGTGGGATGCGGCCGTGCTAGCCCTAGTGAGGAGCGCGCCGGCGGGGGCCGTCGTGCATTGGCCACTCCTCTGGCGCGATTTACGCCGCGAGTGGACTTCGCCCGCCGGCCATGTGGTCCAGGTAGGTGATAGCGCACATAGCTTTATCCCAACGTCCGGCAACGGTGGGTCGCAGGCCCTGGAGGATGCCATCACGCTCGCGACATGTCTGCAGCTTGCGGGTGGAGTGCGCAATGCCCCGCTGGCCACGAAAGTGTACAATCTCCTCCGGTTTGAGCGCGTGAGCTGTGCGCAGAAGATGTCCTTTGTCAATTCGCAGCTGAAGACCGCCACGGACTGGGACGCTATCTGGAAGGATCCGTCCAAGATCCGCACGCGGTTCCCCAGCTGGATCTTTCAGCATGACCCGGAGTCGTATGCATATGAGAAGTATGGCCAGGCCTTTGCGCATTTAGTGGCCGGGGCTGGGTTTACGAATACCAACTTTCCCCCAGGCCACAACTTCCGTCCTTGGACAATCGAAGAAGTATATCGGGATCTCAAGGAGGGGAAACGAGTGGAGGATCTCTTGGATGGAGATTGGTCTTGATGCTTTTGTAGATTCCCTGTGAAATAAGCGTTATTATAAGCGTAATTATAACTAGAGGATGAGTGTGAAATCAAGGCGGATATTCTATCTATACCCCGTTGCTTTGAGTCCAATTCCAGCAGTCCAGCTTACTGCAACTAACCGGATTCTTTATTTTTTTCAGTTTCTACCAGCCTGTGTAGCTCTTGACTTTCCTTTCTGATATCTAGCCAGTTTTGAACCAGATATTACTAGACTCTGGAGCTGCAAGACCTGCGAGACCTGCAGAACTGCAGAACTGCAAGACCAGTGCAGATTCCAATTTAACCAGCTGCAATATTAATCGAAATCGCTCTCCGTCTCTGAGCCAAGATCGGTCAGTTCTCCCACGGAATGGAATGGAATGGTTTCTGACTGCAGCCATTCTGTCACCCTCCGACCATTCGGGCACCGTAAGGTTGAATCCTTCTTATAGAACCCTGCAGGGGTATAAGTCATCGTCATGTATGCTTCTATAAATATGTCATGTCACACGGTTGGTTCACGTTCTTCCCCTCAATTCCTCTCACTGAAATCTCTCTCACACTCCCGGGAACAAGCTGCAAGAGACGACGAAGAAGAAATGGCACACATCCCTTATCGTCTTGACGGCAAGGTCGCCCTGGTCACCGGCTCAGGCCGTGGCATTGGTGCAGCGATGGCGACAGAGTTGGGCCGCTGCGGAGCCAAGGTTGTCGTGAACTATGCCAACTCTCGCGAATGCGCCGATAAGCTCGTGAAAGAGATTGAAGCTCTAGGCACTGAAGCTGTCGCGCTGCAGGCAAATATACGCAACGTGTCTGAGATCGTCAAGCTGATGGACGAAGCTGTCGCCCATTTTGGTGGTCTGGATATTGTCTGCAGCAACGCTGGCGTGGTGAGCTTTGGTCATTTGGGTGATGTTACCGAAGTAGATAATACCCCCCCCCCCCCCAAATCCCATATATGAAAATAACAGCCTTGAAGCAAGTGGACTAACGTAAGAACAGGAAGAGTTTGACCGAGTCTTCAGCCTCAACACCCGGGCCCAGTTCTTTGTCGCCCGCGAAGCATACCGGCACCTCAACGACGGTGGCCGCATCATTCTCATGTCCTCGAACACAGCCAAGGAGTTCAGCGTTCCTCGTCACGCCGTGTATTCTGGTTCCAAAGGCGCAATCGAGTCCTTTGTACGCGTGATGGCCAAGGACTGCGGGCATCGGAAGATCACCGTCAACGCAGTGGCTCCGGGTGGAACCGTGACCGATATGTTTCACGACGTCGCGAAACATTACATCCCCAACGGCGAGAAGTACTCTGAACAGGAGCTGCAGGAGATGGCAGCGCATGCATCGCCCCTGGTGCGGAACGGATTTCCGGTGGATATCGCGCGCGTAGTGTGCTTCCTCGCAAGCCGGGAGGGAGAATGGATTAATGGGAAGATCTTGACTGTGGATGGCGGAGCTGCTTGAATGGATGAGCCATAGTATGTATCGCCGTGTTTTTTTTTTTTTTTTTTTCTTTTCTTTTTAGAATACATAAACGGGGGACAAAGAAACCAAGATTTGCTTCCTTGGATGTCATGTCATGTTCATCTACAGTTTGCTTGAATCGGGCTCCGAACGTATGTCGGAGATAAATCAATTCAGTTCAGATCCAAATCCCCCTTATAAAAGTGTCGTTTGCATCTCTGTATAATCGGTTCTTTTCGAGTGATCAATTGGCTCTCCCGTACCGGGCCAGCGTTGTCGAAAAAGATCATATCATCATGGCTCTCCAGCCTACCTTTCACGGTAAACCCTACTTACTTACCCTTGAAGTTCCTTTCCAAACTCATGATTCGACAGATATCATCGGCTGCGAAAGCGTCCTCTTCGAATGGGCCGAGAGCTACGATAGTAAAGACTGGGAACGGCTCCAGAAATGCATCGCTCCCTCGCTGCGCGTGAGCATCCCCAACGGCCCCTCCGGACTTGCAATTAACTTGAGCGAATTCCAGATCGACTACAGAGAGTTCATCGACAAGTTCTGGGAACAAATCCCAGCGGCCGACTTTGTGGCCATGGCTTCCGACCCTCATTTCCTCGGGAACCCGCGCCTCAAGACCCAGCACTTTATTGGGATGACAAAATGGGAGAAACTCAGCGAAACAAAGATACTGGGTCACCATCAGATGCGAGTCGCGCACCAAAAGTATGCCGATGACGAGATGAAGGAGGTTCTTGCGAAAGGACACACACATGGCTCGGGGACGATGACTTACTGCCGGGTAGATGGCGTGTGGTTATTTGCAGGGATCGAGCCACACCTGCGATGGACGGAGTTTGGCGGAGAGGGCATCTTCGAGAGTGAGGGGAAAGAGAAGAGTAACGGGGGTGCTTGATGACGCTTTTGGCTTATGCGCTCAGTTCCTCCAAGTATGAAGTCGATTTATACTACGGTCTATGTAGTGGACGCATGGCTTGTTTTTGAGATAGATCCAAAACCACGGAAGATTAGGGTTAGCTCAACCCAGTGCTTCGGTTAAGAGACCCTCAACCTACGTTCCAACGAGAAAAGTCATCTGGAGGAATCGAGATAAGTTTTTATCGTTGCTTTTTTCCAATATCCGGTCAGCAACGGTTAACTGCAATCGGCGTAATCACAGACGTCCAAGCGTATGCATCTCGGGTCATTTCGCAAGACTGTGTCGGAGTTTCGAACGGCCGACGTGATCCCTCTTATATCTTAAGATTTAAATCATTCCGGTCATGTTATTGTTAAATGATCCTTTCAGCGCGATATGTAAGTGATGATGTAAGGTCGGTACCCTGTAGTTAACTGATCCCTCGAAGCTGGCCTAAACCGTAGCCCAATATACCCCCATTTGGCTGACCTCTTCTGCGCCGAATTTATAGAGCTGGATCTCTTCTGCATAATAAGCGGGGTACTGTATTCCGAGTCGTCTGCCTCTGTGTTTCTTTTTTTTTTTCTTTCTTTCTTGTCTTTTCTTTTCTTTTGGTGGGTTGCCAAAGCCTGGGTCCGTGGAAAAGACCAAGAGAGCTTTCCTGCTTCAATCTACCTCCATTTGGTCGGGAATTCAACATGGCCACGATGTCCCAGCTTGAGGCTTACACCAGCGAACTCGCTGCCGCTGTCAAGGCACTGAGCACCCACTGCGAGGACTTCAATTGCAGCCGTGCTCAGTTCGTGATTCCCTTAGACGCACCCAGTGAAGCCCACCGGGCTCAACAATCCGCGTTGGCAACCATTGCCAGATTGCAAACCATACTTGCGGGCCCTGCAGACTTTCTTCACCATCTTGCGGTTCAGAATCAGCTTCTTGCCTGTCTCCACTGGCTCGGAGAGTTCCAAGTGCTGGCTTGTATTCCCATCAAGGGCAGTGTCCCTATCAAAGATGTAGCTGACCTCGCGGGGGTCCCCGAGGTACACCTCTCGCGTGTGGTTCGAATGATGACCACAGCAGGGTTTCTTCAGGAGCCACAGCCTGGAACTGTTGCGCACAGTGCGCTCTCCGCGCCGTTCGTTACCAAACCAGCGTACCTCGATGTTTCCATGTTTCTTGCGGGCACTGCTGCCCCTGCCGCTCTGCAAATGGCCACTGCGACGCAGCGGTTCGGACCCTCCGTCCGTCCCAACGAAACCGCGTATAATCTTGCCTTCAACACATCCACCTCCTTAGCGACTCTGTGCGAGCAGCAACCAAAGCTACAGCGGCAGTGGCCCGCCTTTCTGCGCTATGGAACGAGCGACACGGAGAGCTGCGTGACCGACCTCCTCGCGCGGATGGACCAGCTCCATCGCGGGAACATATCTGTTGTCGTTGAGGTCCGGTATACCCTACGTTCCCCAGTTCATCGGATAATGTCTAACGGATCGCAGGTTGGCGCTACATCAACCGACCGCGCAGTAGCCCTTGCAAACCTTTACCCTTCCGTTCACTTCATCGTCCAAATGATACCCCCGTCGTCCGGCTGGATATCCCCAATCCGCCCCCCAACGCCCTGCTCCAGGCACGACGACCCGCGGCAACTCAGCGCAAACTCTGCCCATACCGGCAGTACTCTCGGGACCTCAAATCCCACAGGCCACGCCGCGGGGGTTTCCGTGCAGCAACGCGCCCCCGCCACACCGCAGCTCGTCTCCGACGCGGCAGTCTATATCTTAAACCTGCCATCCCCGTCCCCCTCTACCTCCTTTAGCTCGCTCTTCGGCCGCATTATGGCGGAGCTGCGCGCCCACCTCGATATCCTCCGGGCGAATCCGGCCGCAACGCTCGTCCTCATCCCCCGACTCCTCCCGGAAACAGGCACCGTGAACCCGGAAGTCGAGGCCAGTGCGCGACTGCGGGATCTGTCGCTCTTGCAACTCGCCAACGAGCGAGAACTGGAACTGGCCGAGTTGCTGAATATGCTCCACAGCGTGAGCGACAATATGGGTCGTCTCGTGGTCGTCAACAAGCTTCAGTCAAGAGACAGTGTAGCGATTGTATTAGAGGTGCGGTACCAGACCTATAACCGGTAGCTTAATTGCTTGTATATATATATATATATATGGCAGTAAACCAGATTACCAGTAATAAACCCCAACTATATACCAGAGTAACTTTAGACTTGTACTTGAAATACAAACTCATATCCAGGCTTCTTAAGAGGTACATAGAGTCAATTCCTGTTGGAGTGCTGCACTCAGTGAATGCAACCAGCACCACCATAAAGCAGCATCACCATAAAGAAGAAGATAGCAACACGTGACTACTCTGGGTATTTAAGGCCACTATTTCCTTCTAGATCTCCATGCTTCCTCCAAGCATCTCTCTATCTCCTAGTTAGACCTAAATTAAATTTATTTTGGTTAACTTTCTACTGTCATAGTTTGACAACCTTTATCAGGTTATAAGCCCTCCTTAAGGTTCTATTTTATACTTTATAAACCTTTAAAACTCTTATTATACTCCTATACCCCTGTATAGTAATCTACTCCCTGATTAGAAAGAGATCCTGGCAGAAATATTACCTACTATTATTGTATTATACCACCTGTACTACTATTATATTACTCTACCTAGGTAATAGTATATGGAAAATCTCTATAATTTAATTAAAATAGTAACTAAATCTACCCCTAGTAGATATCCTAATATCCCTAACTTATTATACCTATTTTTGATAGTTACTACCCTATTTATTAATAACTAAAATCAAGTAATAAAGTTAAAGAATAGTATATTTAACTTGAGCCTGATAATAGTGTTAAAAAATAATTTAAAATTCAAAATTTAGGCTTTATTTATATAAATAAAGCTAAGACTTTATAAGATAGATAAGCTTTTTAAAAGTAATATTTCTAGACTATAATTTAATAATTCTAAGTATAAATTATAAGAACTTCTTTTATAAATAGTAGCTAGTTAAATACTATATTTAATAAATAAGAAACTAGTTGTCACGGAGGGCAGGCAGGCAGTAGGTGTAGTTAACAACAGGATATATATTCAGGCTACCTGCGTATAGGTGCAATAGGTAGGGGTTAGGTTAGGATAAGGACATAGCTCGAAGAGCTATAACAAGATTAGGGGTAACATAGCTTAAATACAGGAGTAGAAGTAAATAATTAGGGCAGAATCTAACTAGATAGGTATATAACTATACCATAATAGTATCCCCTCTCTTAGGCTAAGCTCTAGTAAAGTATTCTTAAGGTCTAGGCTTTCTAGAATAGTAGTAATAATAGGTAGCAATATATTTAGTAGTATTCTCTAGGTAGCTAGCAGGAACTTTAATAATAATAGGGTATCTAACCTATTTAATAGTATATTTTAAATACAGGTAGCTACTTTAGCTATAGTAGTCCTAGTAGGAGTTAACTACTTCCTTAACCTCCTATTTCTTAATACTATTAACTTTAACATGTAGGGGTTTAGTTTCCTCTTATCTAGATAATAGGTCTTTAGTAGTTAAGTATAATAATTTAATATAAAATACTAGATATATTTTTATACTCTTAGGCAGGTCTAGTTTATAAATATAAGGGCTAATAACCCTTCTAATAAAGAAAGGGCCTAGGTTTTTCTAATCTAATTTTTTTTAGGGGTACAGGGTTATAATATTCTTAGTATTTAACTAGATTAATTAGTCCTTAATATAGTATTTAATAGGGTAGTATTTCTAGTTAGTATAATATTTATAGCAGGCTTAAGTAATAATTATAATAGTATAATAATATTTTTATATCTACTTTATAATTAAGGTAAATTAATAAATATTATAAATTTATAAGTAATAATTAGGTAGGATAGGCTTAAATCTTATATAAAGGTTAAAATTATATAAAGTAAAGAATAAGGAGTATCTAGTAGTTTTAAAATTAATATTATTAGTAGTAAATTCTACTATAAGTAGCTATTTAGCCTAATTATCTTATAAATAATTAATATAAATTTATAAATATTATTCTAAAATAATATTTATATATTTAGTTTATTTATTAGTCTTAGGATAATAAGTAATAAATAGGAGTAATCTTATTTTTAGAATATAGTTTAAATATATCTAGAATATTAATATAAATTAGGGTCTTTAATTAAATATAATAAATTTAAGAAATCTATAAAATCTTTAAATATAATCTTAAAATAGGTAGGTAGCTCTCTTAATATTATAGGTATTATTATAGGAAATATAATATTAAAACTTTATTAATTAGTTAACTACTATTATAATAATATTAAAGCCTAAATTTTAGAGTAAATATATAATAAAATTAATAAATATATTTTTTTAGGGATTCTTAAGTATAAGTAAGGAATAAAATATATCTTAATACCTATCTTAGTAAGGTATAGATTATTTATAAGTATAGTAGTTATAAATCTATTATTTTATAAATTATAATATTCTAGGCTAGTAATATAATTATAATAATAATTTATAAATTTTTAATTTATCTTAATAACTAGTAACTATATTCTTATAATATTTATATATTAATTCTACTTTTAATTTTTCTATATTAAGGATATATAGTTAATTATAATAAAATAAGAATCTAAAATAATAAGTATATTTAAATAATATAATTAATAGATAATAATTATAGCCTTTTTCTAGACTTTCTAGAATATTATTAGGGACTAGGTCTTATTTATAACCTCTATCTAGGTACTCTCTTAGCTATTTAGGAAGCTAGATAGTTTCTTCTTCTTCAGGCTTAGGTAGCTAGAAGTATACTAACTTCCTTCTAGTAATAACTTAAAGCTAGATTAATTATAATATCTACTAGCTCTATAACTTCTCTAAGTATTTAAGCAGGAAACTTACTAAATTTTCTCTTTTTAATATTATTTAACTTTAGTATAGTAAGTATTTATTCCCCTTTTTAAGGAGATCCTATAACCTCCTAGTTAAGTTATCTAGTTTTATCCTATACTTGCCTGGGTAATAATTAATTATAAAGTTAAAGTAGGATAGGAATTTAGATTATTAGGCTTATTATTAGTTTAATATTTTAATTATTATAAAATACTCTAGATTTTTATAGTTAGTTATAATCTTAATTAAATACTAGTATTTTTCTAATTCTAGGGTTTATTCTTCTAAATAATAAATAATTACTAGTAACTTTTTATTATATATCTTATAATTATATTTAGTTAGAGTTATTTTTTTTAAATAGAATCCTACTAGATATAGAATTCTATTATTATTATATTATAATAGTACTTTAGTAAATATAAAGTCTAAAATATTAGTTTCTAAAATAACTAGTTAGTCCTAATTAAAGGACTATAGTATTAGTTTCTTAATAAATTCTGCTTTTAGTATTTTAAATATAGTCTAGTAGATTAGGATTTATAAAAATAGGATTCCTTTCTTCTTTAAGGTAGTAATAAGTATAAGGATCTATAAGAATCCTTTAATAAAGTATTAATAGAATCTAGTAAATCTTATAAAACTTTTAATATTAATAATTATTTTAGATAGCTTTTAATCTATTATAGTCTTAATCTTCTTAGAATCTATATAGATACCTTTTCTTCTAATAATAATACCTAGAAACTTAACTTCTAATTAATAAAATTTATACTTAAATATCTTTATATATAGGTTATTATTTCTTAAGATTTATAATATTTATCTTAAATATTTAGTATATTTTTTTCTTATATAGCTATAAATTAAGATATTATCTAGAAATATATTATAGAATATATTTATATACTATTATAAAATATTATTTATAAAATATTAGAAGGTAGCTAGGGTACTAGTTAGGCTAAATAGTATAATTAGGGACTTATATAACCTAAAATAGGTTTAAAAAGTAGTTAGGTACTCTAACCCCTTTTTAATATAGATATTATTAAAGATAGCTACTAAATTAATCTTAAAGAAGTATTATATTCCTTATAGATTATTTAGGATTTCTTTAATTAGGGATAATAAGTAGTAGTCCTTAACTAATATAGTATTTAGTCCTTAATAATCTATATATAAATAAAGGCTACCTCTAGGCTTATTAATAAATAGAATAGAAGAAATAGCTAGAGATAAGCTAGAATATATAAAATCTTTTTTTAGATTCTTTTTTAGTTATTTCTTTAAAGTAATTAATTATACTTATAATATTAGATATAATTTACTAAATAAGGGCTATTTTTCTTCTTAAATCTTAATATTATAATTATATAATTAGTATAGTAGTGTAAGTGTCTCACTGGCGAGGTGCTTGGGTATGGGTAGTGTTGGTAAAGGAAGCAAAGCTACACAGAGTATGAGGATAGTAGGAAGGTATTAGAAGTAATAAAATAAAGTACTTGTTTCTTAGTACTTTAGGGATTATTATATTATTATTTATATTGCCTAGTCAAGTTACTAGTATGGTACAGGTAACTTAAATATTACTATTCTTCTAATTATCCTTAGTTACTGGATATATAGTTTAGTATATAGTTTAGTATATGGTTATATATTATATAGTTACTATAATAATTATCTTTCCTTTCCTTAGCAGTGCATCTGTGCGCTGTGTGTGCTATACCTAATCTGGCTTAGTACTCTGCTAAGGAGGAGCTAGCCCTAGTTAGTATAATATAACCTATTTTTTTATTTAATACTAGAGATAATAATAATATATATAATATTATCTCTATTAATTATACTTTATTAAATAAAATATAAATAGTATTATATTTTACTTTAAATAAAATAATAGATAGAAATAGATAGTTTGCTAGATATACTAGTAGTAAGTAAAGATATTATTATAATATAAATATTATAGGAGAATACTCCTCTATATATACTCTTTCTAGCCTAATCTATATTTTAAAAAGTCCCTCCTAATAAGTTAATATATTATATTAGATAGGTTATTATTACTTAGGTATTATAGTAATAGCTAACTATATTATAGACTTTATGGCTCCCTTAAAGTATCCTCTATCTAATACTATACTAGCTATGTCTCTATAGAAGAGAGCCTATTTAGCTACTATTATTTCTTCCTCTATAGGTGCCTTTATT